AGAACTTATAGAGCTTTTTTATAATAAAGTTAAATCATAGTTTAGGTCTCTTAAGAGTATTATATCTAATTAAGGATTATTATTCACTAGTAAATTCTAGTTAAAATTATATTATTAGTTCTAAGTTTAGCTTAGGCTTTTAATAGCTTTTTACCTATAAATAGATCGCTAAATAGAAAGGATAAACTAAATAGTTAAATATTACCTATAATACTTTATAGTAGAAAACTAGGCACTCTAGCTACTACTATTAAAGAATATCTATAATATCTTTTATATATCCCTTCTAGAATCTTAGAGAAAACTAAGTAGAAAGGATAATAAAAGACTACTAATACTAGAATTAGAGGATAACGATAAGTATAAAGTCAAAGAAGTATTAAAGAGAAATTAATTAGGAGAGAACCTTATTCCCTTATTAAATAGAAAGGCTAGCCTTCTAAATATAATTAATAGGTATCCTGAAATAATATAGGAAACGCTATAGGATTAATATAAGCTTATAGAAGATAAAGAAATAAAAAGAAGTTCTAAATATATAAATATTATATATTAGAAATAGTTAAAGATAAATAAATAAACTACTACTAAAAGCCTATAGAAATAAAATACTATCCTGATACTTACTATACTAGAGCTTAAATTTCCTTAGGGATAAATAGGAAACTCTATATAATACTAGCTACTACTATATCTAGATAGTTATCTAGATAAGCTTTCTAACCCTTATAAATAGTAGATCAAACCCTATAGTAGAATACTAGTTTTACCTAAGCCTAGGATATATATCTATTATCTCTAAGAAGAAGATAGAGTAGTTTCTTTAAGTAGAATAACTACTATTTATAGATAGAAGAACTATTGGGAGAAGGAAGAATAGAAGAAAGGCTATATTAATAAGTAGTAATAGTATCCTAGGAAGTAGTAGTAGAATATTACTAAAACTATAATAAGAACCTAACTAAACTAGTACTACTTATTCTTTATAGAGGAACTTACCTTTATAATACTCTTAGTACTAGTAAGAGAGTATTTACGATAGTAAGCCTATTTAGTACTATTAAAGGCGTAGTAAAGATCCTACGAAGCCTTAGCGATCTCTAAATAAATATCCTAGTTATAAGGCTAGACTTCTAACTCTCTAGTCTCTATATTTACTACTATATTATCCTAGAATAATTTTTTAGCCTATACTAAAATATCGGATAGATTATAGGTATCACCTAATATAGTAGCAGTGTCTCCGCCCACCCACACCGCTTCCGCGTTGTAGGTGTGCCACACACAGATTCAACACCATACATAGATTCAACATTTTTCCTATTTCCCCTATCTACTACTGTATCCTACTAGTATCTATAAAGAAACCTAGCCTATTCTGACGTGCTTCCTCTGCTCTATCTAATGATGCCTAGGATTCCTGTGTAGGTTCTGGTGGTAGTGATATTCTATACGCTTTCTTCCACTGCTTCCTTACCCGCTTCCGCTCTGCCTCTGCTTCCTTCTTATTTCTTTTAGCAATAGAACGATTTGCATCTCTAATAGAGAGTACCCCTGTTTTGCTAAGCGGCGTTTTAACCTAGCGCTTAGTGATTAGGCGCTGTAGTAGTTGTTAAGCTTCCCTAATCTTGCGAATAGTATCGTTTGCTAGATATAGGTTCTCTATAGCAATCTTGTTATGATAAAATAACCGGTCAAGATTACGTTGCTACCTAGGTGTAAGATCTTCTTATTAATATCTAGCAATCTTCTTTTGATTCTTCTCTAGATCCTGTATAGATCTAGGCGGCGATTTGTCGATACTAGAAGAAGATATAGTAGTTTGTAGTAGCAGCGAAGGTGTTGAATAAAGCGGTAGATCTAGTACTGTAAGATCTTGATACTCTTAGATAGGAAGGCTATTAATAACCTTTCTACTATCGACTAGATATATCCTACGATCTTTAAACGATTCACGAATAATTCGCTAGCTAAACGCTCTATTCCGAATATTACCGATTATTCGAAGGAACTCGGATCTTCCGATAGGGCTTCTACCCTAAAACGCTTAGTCGTTATTCGCTAAGCGGAAGTGTTGCTTATAGCTTAGAAACAGCTTACCGTCTAGCGGCTAGCAAAGATACGTAGTATATAGTAGGAATTCTATAGGTAGGATATTATTCTCTTCGCAAAGGTGTAGGAATTCGAATATAAGATACGAACTGTGGCCGTCGAATATTAGGATACGTTTTTCACCCGATTTTGTACGGTCGTATATTAATTCTATAAAGAATCGAAGCTATTAAACTGCTATACTATCGGTTATCTAACCGTTTAGCGATATAGTGATAGTAGTTCTTAGTAGTAGGTCGTCTGTTTAATTAAACTAAGATTCTATAAAGACCCCGTTGCCTTTAAAGATAAACTAGGGTTCTATCTGCTACCCGTCGGTAGCTATACACTCGATAGACGTAATATTTTCGCCTTAGTCTAGCTAAGGAAGGTCTACTACCTTCCTACTACTACTAGTAGTAGTAGTAGATATAACGTTTCTAGACCTTCCTTCGCCTAGTTGAAAGCCGTATTTATTAAAGTTATAGACTAAGCGTAGTGGTGTAGTCTTCTTGATCGTTTAGGCTAGTAGATCGTACTAATTCGCTAATACTGCTAGGTCTTCTACTAGGATTCGCTTTAACTCCTTCGTATACTGCTTAGTAGGCCCTAATTGAAGATATTTAGGAAGCCTATTAATAAAGCGATACGCCCACATCTTACTGACCGACGGCTTCCCGACGCGTTAGCATACACGATTCGCCTACGCTTCTAGTATCCTAGGAGTGATAGGCATATAGCAATCGTTTATATGTTGAATCCAGCGAATTAAGGCCTCTTCTTGATAGGCTTCTAGGGCCTGTTTAGCATTGCGTTTAGCTGTATTAGGCCCTGCTCCTTTTTTGATTCGATTATAGAGGGTGTGTCGGTTAACACCAAATTCGCGTGCTAAACGCGCTATATTCGGCTTCTCAACGCGTGATGCAGCTAGGCAGGCCTCTGCCATACGAGATTCATCAAATTTAGGCATATTTAGATGGTAGTGTTGGATAGGGAAGCAAAAAATAGGGGAAGTAGGAAATGTTGAATCTGTGTGTGGTGTTGAATCTGTGTGTGGCACACCCACAACGCGGAAGCGGTGTGGGTGGGCGGAGACACTGCTAGTAGTAGACTAGGAAGAAGTTAGTATAAAACCTAGTAGAAGGCCTAGCGAAACCTATAGTAGAATATATAGTATTCTAGGTAGAATACTAGCGATATAGGATAGATACTTTAGTATCTAAGACGTAGTTAATTAATAGAGAGATATCTATAATTAGGGATAGACTACCTAAAGGCCTAATACTAATAGTAGTCTATTCATTTGAGTTGGCGCTTTGGAGCTGAAATGAGCGATTTCAGATGCAATGGACGAAAGACCTTGTAGGGACGTCTTCACGGTCTTTGTCTCACTTGGCGTTGACGAGTGAGAGCTCAAAGCGGCCTAGCCAGCGCTTCGTAATTGGACGTGGCTAATCGAATGTCCGTTTTACCTAGCGCCCATAAAGCAGCAACCTGGTGTGGATTTTCCGGAATTGAACTTCAGATGAGCAGATCATTAGTAGCTGAAGCCGCCTAGACCAAAAACTGCAGCAGACAGAGCTTCGACAAGGCTACATGAAGATTTAATCTTCCCAAAATTTGCCAAACCAGCACACTTCTCCTTGAAATATCTAAAAATGACCAATAAGATGCAATCGAGGGGTCGTTTCAGATGAAAGAAGATTTTGCATGCTCACTAGCGCCCACGTGCGAGCACAATGTGGTCTAGTTAGCGCTTGATCATTGGGCGTCGTTCATCAAATTTTGGTTTCATCTTGCAAGTTGCAACCATGTCGACACTTTGGGCTAGATTTCGCTTTCAGTCAGGGCAATTGCGGCTCATCTTCTTATTCGTGGTTCTGGTCGCGCGCGCTATATCTCAAGGCCTCGGCGGGAACACTAGCTCGCTCATTGGACGACATAATCAACTCACAGGGATCAGTTTGCTGGTTCCCCGTGTATGTGGCCTAGCCTAGGATTAATTGGTCCTCGGGTATCTAAAATTGGACACTGCCTTGCCGCTGTTCCCAAGCATATCTTCTCTGACCCTAACCGCGCGCGTAAATACGTAGCTTCAGCCGTTTCTGCTTGTATTTGTGTAAGCGGATGAACATACCCTCATCTATTTAAACAGCTTTCGTTTTCCAAAATATTCGTCAACTACCAATCCCTCCTATCTTGGAGCCACGAATATTCCAGATTCCAATTTTTCAGCAAGCATTCAGCTGTTTATCAAAATGCCAACCAAAGTTTTCATTCTTGTCTTCGCCGGTGATCCGCTCGACTACACTAAGTATCGCCACACGGGCCTATACTTTGAGTTTCCTGATAGATCTACAAGTCTATTGCATATAGAGGGGTCACCTGGAATTTTCGAATTTTATCCACGCAACAATTACAGACCTGATCAGAGTCGGAGGCTTGTGAGACAAATCAGAGTGGCAGAGCTTCCAGATTCGATCAGCGAAGCCACTATCAGAGGTGTCGTTTCAAGAACCCTGGTGAAGAATGGACCTCAGGATATAGATTGGAATTGCCAGAACTGGGTGGATGACGCACTTACCCGGATGGTGAACTATGGGTATTTGAATATGTCTCAACGAGCATCGGCTATCTATGAAATGACTGATGCATGCTTGGAAGCGGAGGATGAATAACATTATTGTAAATGCCAAATCATGTTGCAGGTTAGTGGCTTACTTCAATAAATAAGCAGGCGGTTTCGCTAACGAATCTAGCTCTTCGATCTATTTATAAGCTTTTTGGGTATTTTTTGTTAAGAACAAAGGAGAGCTTTTAGTTGTACTTAGAAATCAAAGTGATGATTATATTGTTAATTGTTCGATTTGCCACTATCTTAGGTCTTCATGATATCCATAGTATATCAGCTAGTGGCTCAAGATGAGAGCTAAGAAGGACATGCCTATGTATTCTCTCTCGAATTGAGGGGGAAGAATACGGGATAGATATTCTGGCCAGTCAGGCACTGGTTTCAATTGCCGAAGCGCCTGAGTATATTCCCAATATGCCGGGTACCAACCAGCATCTTCCCAGTCGAGGATTGCTGTGACATGGCCTCCTTCGACGAGAATATTCCGTGGGGAGATATCGGAATGAGTAAAAACAATCTCATGGTTATCCGAAAGCGCATGTTTAGCATAGTGTCGTAATAAATCAGGTGCTGACTGAACAAGATCCCCTAAGATAAATTCGTTGAACTGTTGCTCAGAGTCGAATGGGCCACCTTCAATAGATATACGTCGTCCAATTATCGCCTTGCCACGTCCGACAGCTCCGATATATTCCCCTTTTAAGTTGCGAAGTTGGCTGATGTAGGAATGAAGTTCGTTGGCAATGGAGAGCTTTTGATTGGAATCCAAAGTATGCCACGCTTCATCAAGTCGCTTTCCAGGCATATAATCCATCGTAATAGCCACTATTTGGCTGTTCTCCGAACGGACATCATGAACTTTGGGTACAGGGATCGTGGTATTTGCTGCAATGAAACGAAGCGTTTGCGCTTCGTGCGAACGGATATTGCCCGACTTTATGACAAGATTTTCTCCCACTCTAACGACCGTGCGACCGAACAACGAATGGAGTATCTCCCCCTCTGGGTGATTGATTGCATCCATATTCAGGGAAAGGTAAAAAAAGGAATCTAGAGAATGAGTTAGGAGCGTCTTTGAGAATGAATCAAATTTAAAGGGCAACTGGTGCGAAGTGAACTAATTTCCAACTGATTTGACACGTGATATATGAAGCGTAATCGGAAATGATTCCGCGGCGCTAAGACAGGGATCAGATTGGAGGGCAGCCTAGACCAATCTCATAAGCTTTCAAAATACTGCGAACCATCTGACCTCGAGGATTTCAGGCTCATCGTGGTCTAACATTCATCATTTAACTATTCATTTGGTAGGTGTGGTCCGAGCAATTTTCGCCCAAGGAATGCTCCATAGAAATAAAACGGGGGATGTTAAATGAACCTGCTATAACATATTAGTCATACCTATATTGCTGCTTGGACAAGGCTACATGAGAAGATTTAATTGGCTGCAGAGAGTAATGATCCTTCCAAATTTAAAAGCAAGGTAGTTATTATAAATTGTCTTCAAATAACAACATTGTATCGCCACTGAAAGAGACCTGTTAGGACATGATGAATAACGATAAGAACTATGTCCAGTAGCAAGATGTACTTCTGCACGCCAGATCAACTTCTGACTTTCAGCCCAGACCGACCCGCCTTTCTCGGTGGTCGCATCCTTTGACAAGCTCCCCGCTTCCCGAAATATTCCCTCCGACCGTTGGAAGTCTGAAAGGAAACCTAACTCAGGGAAAAATTTGGCAAATATACTACAGAGGAAGTGTAGTGAATCTCACTTGCAACAACCCAACAATACATTGCCGATGAGCAATGGCCTTCCCCAAGCGTAAGCATGTAACGGATCAGAGTGAGCGAATTGCGCTGGCAGTACTTTATAGTTGTCCCGGATTTTGCTAAAATGAAAAATATGAGAAACAATATAACATGCATCAGGCTAATCCGAGGTTTGTTTTCCGTAAACTTAGTTAATCTGAGGAGAGAAAGCCTGACGATTGGATCACGTGAGGCACCCTTCTGTTTCGCCATGTAGTCAAAACTGGCCGTGTAGTGTAAGATTGAGATTATATGAAAAAAAAAAAAAATTTTTTCTGCTTTTCTAATAACGGCGTCTTTGATCTGTTTACTGAAGGTCTCCTGGCCTGGTCAATTTGATATTAAAGCGGGTTGTAGCCACCAACGGGGATAGATTGGGCAGAACCCCACTTTACTGGACTTCTCAAATCCGAACGTCATGTTTGTGCCTCTCATTGATTTTTCAACCCAAGCACCGGGGGCTTCCCATCCAGTACCAGAGGTGAGTACGATCTAAAAGTTCCCCAAATATGGGCTAATATGATATGTTGTTAGCGCATGGATCTTAATTCTCTATGCTAGGTCGCCCGTCTCGTTCTCCTTGTCCCGTGCGCCCCAGATATCGTTTCCGACAATGCCACAGTCACTTATGGAGGATTTGGCTTCTTTTTAAAAAACGCCAGTTGAAAGCAAGACAAAGAGAACCGCAACGTCTTCTTTTGTGATGATGCTGGCCTGGAACCTTTCTTAGTCAAGGCTTCCGGCAATTTACCTGGATATCTTCAAGGGTACGGCTTTCAAGTCTGGAAAGTGCTAGAAGAAACCAAATTCTTGGAGAAGGAGGGCATTGGAAAAGAAGGATACATCATACCCGTGATGATAATCTCCGGCCAGCCTCGTTTATTGTCCGAACCATCCCAGCCCCTTCTTACTCCAAATATCCCAACAAACTTTCAACGTGAGCCTGTTATTTCACCAGCTTTAAACCTTATCCTTGCCCTTCCACCAACTACATAGGCTGTCCTCGAGGCTACAAAGGTTGCAACACTGATTGAGAGTCTGCAATCCCGAGGTATTGAGACGTGGTATGGAAACATTAGAGGGTAGTCCGCAGGGGTCACGGTCTGTCGTCCATATGGGAATAGTTGAGGATATTCTGCGGGTACAGAAGTGCATGTTGCTGCAAAAGCCTGAGGAAAGTCTGCTAATGTGATAGTGGCTATCGTATTCCCCATCACTTGTTGTGTTGGAGAAGTGCTTTTGAGAAATTAGCACTCCTCTGATTTTTGGTTTGATAATGTTCACTTACCTCCAGATTATTTTGTTCCATGTTGAATAAAGCCCTGGTTTCCATGTGATTTGGATAGTGAGGTCTGTCTCTTTCACATTCCCTCGATTCTGGAGGTAAATTTCTGCTTTCAACTGTATGGGTTTGACCCGGTGGCATTAGAATGAGGCCTGGCCCATCTTGGGTCAGCGTTTGGGTGGCCAGCCCCTCGTGAGATTGCTGTATTATATTGCTCGATGAATTTGATGGTGCCCCATTGCTATGCATTATAGAATTCGCTGACTCCAGATGAGAAGTAACATGTGGAATTACACGAATTGCGGATTGGCGAGGCTGAGAGGAGCAGTTATTTTGAGTTTCGCCAGGCCATCTATCCTCGATCGTTCTTGAGACATTTGTCTCTGAAAGTTGATTCTCCATTAGTTGGTCCAACATGGCTTTTGCCGGATTGAAAACTCTGGAAACCTCATCCTCTGCTAATTCATGTAAACCTCGTGCTTCTGCTTCCTCCGGAAGCCTTAGACGTCTTAGATAATCCATCATGACGATTCGATTTGCATTCGTCGCTGCCTTGGGTAGTTCTTTTGTCCACCTGGAGTTTGTAAGCAATGATTTTATCATCGCATGGGTCATGATTACATTGATTCGCCACCATCCTCTGGAAGCACGTATAGTGCACCCAACCCTCCAAGGTCTTTGGCTATTAGACAGTACCGTTCTCCTCGGCCAACCCAGAGTCGTACCCGACTTTCGACGACAGGAAGGGGTCATTGCAGCCAGAATTCCTAATCACATGGGCTATAAACATTGAAGCATCATCGTATTGATATCGGGTGCCTGGCTGTACGGCATCCTTTAGTCGGAAAATTGCGACACATAAGATTCTTAGACGAATTTTTTCCAAATGCAGCTGTTCTTCGCAAGCAACAATGAGATTATAAAGAATGCTAAGTGGGGATGTCGGTGTAGGATCGAAAGAACTCTGGGGGAAACTTGCAGGTTGAAGAGCGACTGCTGAATCCGGGTTTTCAATTGCCTGGCTGTGGAATAGTGATTTACGTCTGTACTGCAGGTCTTGGACGGTTTTGGGGACTTGAAGTTGCCGAGAAGAGTCTGAGATGGCTTTTCTGATAACGGGCTGACGAGAGCGCCGGATATTGTTGGGGATATATTTGTATATACTTTTTGATACCTTCGTTGTTTCCTGCGGAAATGAGGCTTTGTATCTCAGGTAATCTTTGCACAAGGGTCAACTCACCGCATTTTTACAGAAATGATTCTCGTCCAATTGATCTTTGCCTTCTTTTTCAGCCTTCTCACAAGCAGCGAGGATATGGTTTGCCAAAATTCTGCTTTCCACAATGCCCATGTTGTAGCTTGGAAATTGAGTGGAGTTAGAATGATGAAAGAGAAAAAAATCTGTGCCATCCCGAGCACAGACCGCGCAAAATGGATGTCAACAGACCAGTAAATGGTGAAATATTTTTTATCCCTTACCTTTAATCGGCCCAGAGTATGTTTGAAAAAAGGGGAAAACAATTAGCATTCGATCTGAATACCTTCTTACAGCTATCCTTCATATTTCGAAGGATCAATTACAGCTATTGCCTTTACTGTAGTTCGGCTTACGATTAATCGTACTCAATCGCCGTTTTGAGTTGTATGCCAAATTGTTTGAGCAATTCTGCTAAGTTCTCAATGTTGCTCTATTATCTAGTATCTGAACGTTATAATATAGGTGGGCTGAGTAAAAAGTTGTGCGAGGCCTTGAATTCCCTGAAACTAATTTTCTGTTTCGTTATCGTCTAGTATAATTAAGTGTATTCTTGCGTGGATATCTAAGGAAATCTCGCAAATTCGCATCCTAGCTACCTAATACGTCGAAATACTAGGCGATAACGGATAGCTTATTAATAGTCGAATAGCTAAGAGACTTAACTAGTCGCTTAGCGGCAGTAGAAAGAAGTATATTATCGATTATAACCTTATAGAAATCGCGGAGTTTTTTTAGGGACTAATAAGCTCGTAGTACCTTTCTAGTATCTTTACTAAGTACGTTCTAGGAAGTAGTCTTCTAATAAGGCGAAGGGTCTATTTATAGATATAATAATAACTTTAAAGCCGATAGAGCGGGTAAAAGAAGAAGCTTAATTGTCATATGATATTGCAATATTAGACTATTCCCAACTCTATGCCTTAGGTGTTAGTTAGACACCTTATCGGTCAGGCTTCGTTATAACAGCCCTACTTCTCCCTAACATAGATATATAACCTATAAGGCCCTAAGGGTTCGGTGCCCTTCCATTAGGGATTCGTGAACCCCTCTCCCCTGTAGCCTTTGCTTACCTCTGTTATATGTAGGCCACGTTAGACCGTATATTGTAATATGATTCATTGCCTTTACTTTGGTTATATAGGAAAGTGTTGAAGCCTGTACATAAATTAAGGATTATAGAGAGATCCATGATAGCAAGAAACAGTGTTTTGCTTTCCTTACTTGACGTTTATCTTCCTACCTAGTCGACAGGCTTTCTACCCTGTACAAGTAATTATTCCCTAACACTAAGGACCGGGCCTAAAGCCTAACCTATTCGTGGGTTAGGTTAGTTGGGCTCGGGCCCGTGTGGGCTTTGGCGATGTCTACTAATAAGTTGGTTGATTTGCTTGGTGTGGAAAGGTCCAGCTTACGGTAACTTAGATAGAATAGAGGATATAACTAGCACTCTTGATTCTCTTTGGTCTATATTCGGCAATTGTGAGAAAAAGCTGTACAGCGTCGGAGGGTTGACGATTCTCTCGAAATAACCCGAGAGATTGCAGGGTAATAAAAGGCTTGTAAAATTAAATAAATCTCCCTTCTATCCTATAATATCATTCAGTATGCAAGCATCCCTATCAAAACAAAGCTTCGGAGTATTGTAGTATCGCATAATATTTAGAAATTGTCAATTTGATTCATTCGTGATTCAAGCCAACTATCCCCGCGACCCCTCTGCCAGATAACTACTGGGTGGTTGCGCAGGTCTCGAATTGCCGCCTCGACATCCTCATTGGTGAAATTTATTTAATGGACGCGTCGTGAAAGTAGGTATTGACAGATGCCTGGTTGAAAGAAGGGAAGTGGTGGTCAGTAAATAATATAAAGAGGCAGTAGGGTTGAGCCTGGGTTGTTTATGCTCAAAACCAACCGGGTAACCGACAAATTCGGAGCACAATATAATTTCTCCATCGCACACGGGCGACGCAATACTCCGAAGAATAACTATCAATGAAACAGGGACTGTAAATGTGAATCGCGCTTTCTGCACCTTGGCAATATTCAAGGCAGTGGATATCAAGCTTCTCAAGTCGGTATTGCAAATGGAGCTCTGCAATGTCAACTGTGTTATTTTTGGCTATATCCAGTAAACGTACTTGAATATCCAATTGAACCACTATTTCATCAATTATATTCGCAAGAAGAATGAATGGCCAGACTCTACTTCTGATTTAGCAGGTCACTCAGAGGATTTCTGAAATGTAGAAGACAATATGCACGAACTTGTCTAATAGACCTATTCCTGTTATCATCTACCCTTACACTAATCAAAACAACGAACTATTTCCAAGAATGTCTTTGATACCATTTTCGACTACAAACCTCACACCATGCAAAGATGATCTTGTAAATATAGATTACAAGACATAAACGAGGCTGCATAGATATTTAAGCTCTTTCCACCAACCGTGGTAAGTAGACTCTGATGTTCTCGTAAACCAGGAATGTCACCCAAGTACTCGGCAGCACCCGGAGGATGTTCGGCCCAAGTCCCTTATAGAAACTGGCAACCCCCTCCTGAGTCCAGATTCGAGAGACAGCGTCTAGGGTGCCTCGATATAAAAGATGGGCCTCATAGGTTTGCAATCGTGACCTTAACACTTGATATGGATAAGTAGCGCAACCAGCAAAGATTTTGGACAGACTAGACAAAATAAAGAAATCCAGATTTCCAAGCTTCCGTGGTGCAGCCTCCGTGGTACTATTCACCACTAGGGTCTCCTGATCCAGTGAATGCGATCGAAACTCCTTGAGTCGCTCATAGGCCATAAATTGCAAAGCTCCATGGCTAACACCAAACAAGGCGGGAACAAGACCCCGGTAAAAACCCCGCCAACCTTCGGTATGGTATATCTGCCGTGCTCCGGATACGAATGAAGAGTATGCCCCAGGGGCCTGGGCACCGGTGGAAAGCATTCGAGTCTTGATCACCCAGATTGGATTGGTAATAAGAGATGTGGCGGCGCCTACATAAAGCATGATATAGGTCAGAAGCCTCGTTATTCAAGCGGAAGTCACGAGTCACGAGTCAAAACATGCCTGCAGTGCCCGATGCAATAAAATAATCAGATGATGTGAGCATGCATCCTTCCTGCCTTCGATAAAGACGGAAGCAATCCTTCAAGCTGCTATAGCAGAGGAAGTACATGCCCCAACTCGTGGAATTTCCAATCAAATTCGGAGGAAGGCCACGATAGAAAGCGGCGAAGCCACCTTCGTGTTTGGCGATTTCACGAATGATTCGCAAGGAGCTACCGAAGCGAGAGGATGTACTTCGGTCGACTAGTAAGGGGGTAAGAGACGAGATCACAGAGCGAAATAGTATTGGGAGGACAGAGGGAGAAGAGAGTTATCATACCCTGTAGTCTTGTCTTGACCAAATCAAGTGGATGTAGACAGAGGGTGGAAGCAACACCGGCGGTAAACCCTGCTACGGTTTCCACGAAGGATGATGGCAGGCCATTTTTGTCAGTCATGAATCGTTCTGAGAGATCCAAGAGTGGAGGAAGTTGGTCGCAGGGTCAACGAGGCGAATAGGTTGTTTTTCTGCCAAGCGGAACCGGGCTCGGGATCGGGGTCGGCGCGCAGGCGGACGGGGATGGGCGAGCGTTCTTGTATCACAAATTCAGCCAACCGCAAGGGAAAAAAGGGAGGTTGGTATGAAAATTGAAATAGATGGAACTCCTCTTGAGTTAAATTGACGTTATATTGACCAGACGAAGCTAGATGGGAGAGGCTAGATAGAGTGGCACGCACCACCCTCTACATCATGTCGCCTCCGGAGCCGATACCCGTAGGCTGTCTCATCCTTTTAACTCATCCCACTATTGCCGCAGGATATCAAGGCAGGTCAGATCAATGGGCTTGCAGTAGACTGCAACGGATATTCAATTTGAAAGTTTAAAAATACAAGGGTTAGACCTGAAGTGAAAAGTCCATCTAATCCTTCACCTCTTATGTCAGGCGCCAGCACCGGAGATTTGTCCTTGGAGATGATCTTGAAACCAAGTCCAGAATGGACAAAAATAGTTGGGACTGTTATGTTCCAAATGTTCCAAGCACATCAACCGGTGTTACCAACTTCATTCCAGATTGGGGAGGGGGTGGTGTCCCAACGTCTAGGCCAAGGGGGAGAACAACCTAATCAAATCAATGGTTTAGACAGATAGGGGATGAAAGGCTGCGTGCACTGCCTGGGAAGAAATGTCGGGCGGATTGGACGTACTTGAACAAAGATGGCTTGGGCTCGCTATAGGTGTAACCTGTATATGCAAGTCAGTCATCACAACCGCCGCAAAAGCCTGTAGAGAAAATCTCTGCCGATCAGGTATTAGTGCAGACATACCAAGGTAGACAATCAGAGGCAAGTATCCGCTAGTAGGTCAAGCAATGTTAGCTGGATGCTGGATGTAATGCATTCTGGAATCAGTGGTAGAGAGAATGCTGAAAGGTTTCGGTGCAGGGCTCACTAATGGATGGCAACTCGGGAGATATCGATCACTTTGGAAACACGCTCCTGGGGTACAAAAATATAGAATTAGCAATCCATAGCAGATTTCCGGATGAATGTTGAAATGGTAGCGAACCTTGGTCTCTTCGGAGAATTGAACCATTTTGAGTGATTATTGGGAAAGAAGAAGGGGGAAGCGGAACAAAATCGATTCAAGCGATGCAAATATTAGAAAAATTTACCCAAGAAGATAATCTCAGGAGGGTGTGGATGGAAGGATTTGTGGATTGAGGTGTGTGAATGGTGGTGAGGTGTTCGCTGAAGTTGATCGGAGGGCGGGTTCAAAAGTTTTCGGGGTTCGCAAACCCCATGATCACCGCAAGCTCAAGCTGCTCCCTTGTCCACCAACTTCCCTAACCTCCACTTCCTCCACGAACACTACTTGCTCGTTGTCTTGTTGTCTTATTGTCTTGATCAGGCGTCTTTCTTGAATTCTGACCTTGTTTTGTAATTGATTCGTTGGCGTCATGTCTGGCGCAAGGCATTGGTAGGCCCTTCTTTCCCTAGTCCTAGTCCCACAAAATGATGGAACCGGCGGCTAACAAAACCCAGGGAGCAAGACAAGGAGGCTACAGTTTACATCGGCAACCTCGATGAGAGGGCATCGGATAGTTTAGTTTGGGAGCTGATGCTCCAGGCTGGGCGCATCGTCAACGTTCATCTTCCTAAAGACCGAGTCACGCAACTGCACCAAGGATATGGCTTTGTTGAATTTATCAGTGAGGAGGATGCGGAATATGCTTCAAGGATCATGAACGGCATTCGTCTTTTCGGAAAGCCTATTCGTGTGAACAAGGCATCGGCGGACAAACAAAAATCAGTGGAAATCGGCGCAGAGCTCTTTGTCGGAAACCTTGACCCTATGGTCTCTGAACAGGTTATCTACGACACCTTTAGTCGCTTTGGCAACTTGATCAATTTTCCAAAGGTAGGAAAGCCCTTTTGCCTCCATAAATCATCGCGTTTATTATGAAAATTAACTCGATATAGATTGCCCGTGACGATAACAACCTGTCGAAGGGCTACGGATTCGTATCTTTCGCCGACTTTGAGTCCTCCGATGCGGCAATTACGAATATGAATGGACAATACCTGATGAACAAACAAGTCTCAGTGCAGTATGCCTATAAGAAAGATGGAAAAGGAGAGCGCCATGGCGATGAGGCAGAGAGAACGTTGGCTGCACAGGCTCGGAAGCATAATGTTCGACCGCCAACCCAGCAGATCCCAGCACCTTCATTCTCGGGAGCCGCTACGAACTCTGTCGTTACTCCCACTGCGATACCAAATGGTGACACCTCACGGCCGGTGAGTACTGGCCCTCAACCATCTGATCTAGGGATGGGCCGGGGTATGCCCATGGGAATGGGCTATTCGAATGTGTCACTTCCTCCAAATCGACCGGCTCCTCCCCCTTCACCACTCGTCACCCCGCCGCCAGGGCTCCCAGCCCGGCCCCCTCCGTCACAGGCGGGCTATGGTGGACCCCAAACCTTCCTGCCACCGGGATTCAATGGCGCCGGCCAACAATCTGCATTTCATGCGCAAGCTGGCGCTCCCCCAGCATTTGGGTCCCCTGGGTTTGCATCTCAGTCTGGTGCACCCGGTGCCCCTGGTGCTCCACCCCCGCTACCGCCGGGGTTTCAGCAGCCGGGATATGGAAATGGCCGATGAGCAGCACAAGTAACAAGTGCCGCGCGTTTCTATATCCCCGCACGTCGCTAAGAATTTGGATTATCCAATTGGTGTATCTGTTACGATTGAATGACAAGCTGCCAAGCTTGGTGATGGATTCCCAGCCGCGTGCAATTCCCCGACGGGCTTCGATGGGGGTGGTGGCGGCTGAGCAGACCGTTCCTTTTGAATCAAGAATCGCTGCTGGGATTACTCAGTGATGTATTATTATCTAGTCTTCCAGCAGAATCGGTGAGGTTCGAACAGTTTGACAAACCCAGACTCGATGTGCTCTTGATGATGGGTATTTGACTCCCTTATTCGCTAATCTTGAAGGAAACCTACCCCGATTCATCAAACATATGAAAGGTCAGCATGACCAAGTGTATTTTTCAGAGAAAAAGAATCAAGACTGCGAATGCGTATGTCATAAAGAACCATCGTAGTCACGAAGTGATTACAAGAAATCATCGGGCTTCTAGAAAAAGGCGAATGAACCAGAGGGAAAGTAGGAAGATTCTTTGTAGATTGCCCTTCACCCTTCACCCTCTTAGAGAAATAATTCAGGAGCGAGGAAATACATAATGATGAGAATATTCACCGCGTGCCAGCTTATGAAAAGGAGACGAACTTCGGATCTCGAGGCCGGCCATCCGGACCGATATTATTTTTGGCGAAACGCTGCTGGGTATAGATCCGCCGAGCCTCATCAAAATCCACCTTGCGATGCTTCATAATCTTTCGAATTTCTTGTTTCGCCTGTAGATCCAGCCCCCCTCGTTGATCACCGTCTATAATGTTCGAGGTGATATTGAATTGTGACGAGTTCAGACCGGCTTCTAGGTCGGCCGTGAAGCTCGAGGGCAGGCGATGATAGATGTAGTCTGGGACAGGAAGTAAATGAATCCAACGTGATCGGGTGAGGTAGAGCGCTAGAACTCGATTAGCTTTCAATGTCACCTCTTAACACTGCAGGGCACCAGGGTAAATGAAAGAGAGGGGGGGAAGTTCGCCTACCAGTCCCAGAAATGATCACGGACAATAGTAGTCCGTAAAAGAGCAGGTAGGTCATGATTGTTTCGCCAGAGAAGATAACAAGACAAAGCAGAACAACCAGACCAGACCAGGCTTAAGATCAAGAGTCCCAACTTTCTAGACTGGGCAGGCCAAGGGAAAGGATGTTGTCATCCGACGCCGGCGATGCCGAGACGCCGAATAGGGAAAGCTGACGAAGCTGGTCCGCGCACGGGATCTGGGGATTTCAAGCCTGACAGATCAGGTGTGAATACGACTGCAAGGCAACAAGGCAGCAAGGCCAGATTGGCACATATTAAGGCACAAAGGCATCCACAACAGGGCTCAGGCTATTCCTAAAGCGGCCTGCTTAGCGAGGCGCTGAGTCGAGATAGAATTCGAGCACACAAGAGCCGACGCCGACCGACGACGAGCGATTCCGACCTCCCCAATTCCTCCGAATTCAGCATCCCGTCAACATGGCCGCCAACGTCTCTAACGATCTGATCTGGCTGATCACCCGTACGTCCTTAGGGCCAATTCCGACCCGGAGCCTTCGTGTCTGACTTGGAAATATAGGTAACCAGAATGCTTCTCTGGTGCGCCGCAACACCGGTGGTGGTTCCCAGCTGTCCCGGGACTCTCTGAACCTGGTGAACAAGCACTCCTTCAAGGTATGGCGTCCTCCACTGCCTTGTCATTTAATTGCCCTCTTCTCTCTCAAATTTCCTATGCTTTCTACGAATTGCGCGAGCCACGAGAGCTAACAGAGTTGTATTCTAGTACTCCGGCCTCAACACCAAGGTACCGATCCTCACTTCCTATATCCCCGCTCCCCATCTTTTTTCCCTATGGCGGAAGTACCCACTCCATTGAGCATGATTTTCGACCTAACTCTGCCCGTTCTCAGGCCGTTGGCGTTCAGGCTACTGAGAACGGTGGCGTCATCGTCACCGTCAAGAAGCCCGGAAACCCCCCAGCAGCCCGCCAGCAACTGGGTCACCGTCACCTATGGCCCCAAGACTAGCACCCGCAAGTAAGCTACTTTACCTCATCTGGTCTCTTGACATGCGGCCCATGAAGGTCACTTCGTTATATGCGACCATACTGACGTGCGCGCGTCTATTCAGGATCTACAAGGGTGTCGCCAACCTGACCGCCCGCTACGGTTATCGTGCTGATCTCCGCGAGGAGGCTGTTGCCCGTGTGAGCGCTGTCCGCCGCTCTCAGCGACCCAAGAAGGATACTGCAGCTCCTAAGCTCCGTGGCGCCAAGGCCCAGGCTGCCCAGAAGGACGAGTAAATGTGTCCCCGCGGATGATTGAGAAAGAGGAGGGCCACATCTTCAAAAATGGAACAAAATGCAGAAGCTGAGGGCGAACGCGCCAGCGGGGTGGATCGACAAGACCTGTGAAACCTTCAGATGCGCGAGCGCCCCTTGCTGGAGCAGGACGGAGGCGTCCATGTAATCTAGCAAGCAATCTGGCCCCGGGGCACATTATTATTCCCTGACCCCGGTCGTTTGAAGAAAAAAGAGAAATGCACAAATCACAAATAATGCTGGACCTCCGAGCACTAAGACCGTCGCAAACTAGGTGACCCGGAAAAGATCTCAGCCTGCAAATTGTAGTCGATCAGTGGACGCCGTTGGAATTCTGGGGCCTCCCAGCCGATGGTCCGGGCCGAACAGGTCTATGCCTCGGAATCTAAATGACGAAATGTAGAACTAGAAAGGGGCCAGACGATTGTGGGGGAGGGGGATGTTTGGTTCTCAGCAGAAATGATGTCGTGGTGCTCTCCTCCGCGAGACCCGCCTTTTCCCGACGGTTAATGGGGACTTAGAGATTCCGAAAACCACGGGCAACACGATAATAGCCGGAACTTGCGAGGACAGTTACCGACCCAAGGGTAATGCCGGAAAGGATGAATCATGGATCGGTGGTGATCGGTATGCAGACCCGGTAGAGATGTTGAGTGGTTGAGCGGTCGACAGTCGAGACTGTGTAGACCGGACGTCCCAATCCAGTAATTCCAGAAGCCCACTGGGACCGAGAGACCTTGGAGACCAATGATGACCGTGGGGACCTCGAAGACCTGGAAAGGCCCTGGGGTATATGTCAACCTCTCGACTCAGGCAAAAGGATGGGAGAGGATTCGATGAAATGAGAAGTATAGGATTGTATCAGGTGATCCTTGTGATCCTTTTGACGACTCGGAGGCTTTGTTGACCGGCCATATTCTGGTGCTCCGGCTCCCCAGGGTTGCTTTGGCGAGTATCAGATCACTTCGGAATGCTTTTCTGCAGGAATCCCATTAAAATGGAACTGATAGAATTCCGGCCCAGTTTGTACTGGGTTGTAAATCGCTCCTCCGTTGGTGGAACCGCATGGGCAACTCCGGGGTTGCCCCTCAGGAACCTGCCACTGCCCCTCTTCACGTTATAATCCCGGTCCCTCCCCGCCTCTTCTTCCTCCTCCCCCCTCTTCCCATCCTCCCATTTTCTCACCTTCTCTCCATTCTTCTAACTCGTATCACATTTACATAATGGTCAAGGCTGGTAAGACATTGTCCCACTCTCTATCAGTTAAATTGGGCTGGCTAACCTCCGGATCTCAGTTGTTCTCGGAGCCTCTGGCGGCATTGGCCAGGTGAGATTTCTTCGGGGAAGAATTACAGAAGAACCAAGAGATGATTTTTTTGAGCGGAAAAGCTGACCAGATCGACATATTAGCCTCTCTCACTTCTGCTGAAGGCCTCCCCTTTGGTGGATGAGCTTGCCCTGTATGATGTGGTCAACACCCCTGGTGTGACGGCGGATTTGTCTCACATTTCCTCAGTGGCCGTACGTGACAACCACAATCGCCAATTACCAGAACGTTTGGTCTCCTCGGCGGGCCCGCTAATTCGACGATAGAAAATCACCGGCTACCTCCCTAAGGATGATGGCTTGAAACACGCCTTGACCGGCGCCGATATTGTCGTCATTCCCGCCGGCATTCCTCGTCAGTTCATCCTCTCTCGAACCCATATACCAACCTACTCCTCTCAGCTAACAGCCTGGGCCCAACAGGCAAGCCCGGAATGACCCGTGATGACCTGTTCAAGATCAATGCCGGAATTGTCCGTGACCTGGTCAAGGGAATTGCCGAGTTCTGCCCCAATGCCTTCACCCTGGTCATCTCCAATCCGGTTAACTCCACCGTTCCTATCGCCGCCGAGGTACTCAAGGCGGCCGGTGTTTTCAACCCCCAGCGCCTCTTTGGTGTGACCACCCTCGACGTTGTCCGTGCCGAGACCTTCACCCAGGAGTTCTCTGGTCTCCAGGACCCCTCCAAGGCGACCGTCCCTGTAATTGGCGGTCACTCCGGTGGCACCATCGTCCCCCTGTTCAGCAAGGTCTCGCCCAAGTTTGAGATCCCCGCTGACCGTTATGATGCCCTCGTTAACCGTGCGTACCTTGCTCCCATTTTTCTTTCTTTCGAAATCGATCACCCTCGTTAACCTCTTTCCCGTCTTTCTCATACAGGCGTTCAATTTGGTGGCGATGAGGTTGTCAAGGCCAAGGACGGTGCTGGTTCCGCTACCCTGTCTATGGCATTTGCCGGTTTCCGGTAGGATTTAATTCTCTTTGGTAGAAATGGTTCCATTACTGACCCATCACAGATTCGCCGAGGCAGTGATCAAGGCCGCCAAGGGTGAGAAGGGCGTTGTGGAGCCTACTTTTGTCTACCTGCCCGGTGTCCCCGGTGGCGAGGAGATTGCCAAGGCAACCGGTGTCGACTTTTTCTCTACCCCCGTGGAGCTTGGTGTATGTTTCTTTTTTAAATTAATCGCAGGGCTAGAAGCCCGAGAAGATAAGACTGACATGACTGTGACAGCCCAACGGCGCTGAGAAGGCCACCAGCCTCTTGGGTGGTCTGACCGAGAAGGAGCAGACGCTCCTCGAGGCTTGCATCAAAGACCTGAAGGCCAACATTGAAAAGGGCGTTGAGTTTGTCAAGAGCCCCCCGCCAAAGTAATACCTCCCCCTTTCCTCTTCCTTTGCTTGCCCTGTCCTGCAAAGACCATCCGCAGTGTCACTTGTCACTCCCAACCCCCGGCCGATGCCTCACGCTTCTTCCCTGGGAACCTATCCAAAGTAACAGAGCCTTGCTAATTATGGTTATCCCGGAAAGATAGGCTTTAAGCGTGAGATCATGAGATTATGAACGATGAAGAGACATAATGAGGCGAATCCTTAGCCCAACGGCCGGGAATTTTGCATGCAAGATAACGGGGATCATAACCTCCCCAGAATGAAGAATATTTCCCCAGCTGCTATTTCATCCTCTTCTGTAACGTCTGCTTCGAAGTAGTTCAAAGAAAAAGGTGAAGTCAACAGGTTAGCATCGAGCCAGTGCAATATCTTGCCAACACGTTGACGTAGAATGTACGAGCTTCACCAGTCCAGCTGGTACCGAGATGCTCGTCTAGAATGACATTGAGATTTCCCCTCTACCGAAACCGCACATTAGGGGCCATCCAGTCCTGACTGGACATTGAAAATATTTGACAGTCATGGCCGAGTTTGGACAGTCTTTATTTGAAATGTTGCCCCTGGGAGGTCGGACGTTTCTGCCTGGACGGTGGTGTTGATGCCCAGGTTCGCCAAAGCACCCCGAATGACACCACACGGAAACCAGAGGTACTGCAGAAGCCCAAGAGAGAGAGAGAGATCAGCCTTATTTCTGTCTTCATAGGCGCACAAATGGAAAAGAGGTCCATAGATATAGATTCTAGCAGAGGGAAATGTGATTCCATACCGCTTGGGCCATTGATATAGCTTCACTCCGCACCGCCATACTCATGCGGGCAAACGGGCGGAAGGCACTGTCTGTTAGGACATACACCCCCTATTCACATTTAAATCAGTGCCGTTCTTCTGCGATTCGGTTGCCGGACATATCCCGCGTCCCCCCATAGTCCATGATAGCTCAACGTACGCGATGGTTTGTTTTCAAATTGTCTACCTGCTTTCGAAATAAGACCATCCACAAGTCCTTGCAAAGAAATTTGATGACATCGAGGTTATCTGTAAAGCGAGGGCGATCTCGGGAGAATCTGCGGAGAGTTGAAAAAGTATCAGTGGCCCGACATATGCATGGCAAGTTGGGACGGTCTTCTGCCCAGCCCAGGATTCCTGAAACCGAGTCTTTGCTGTTTACCTCTCCGCAAGACCTTGTCCTACCCGATAGCCCAAAGATTCTAGACGAAAGTAGGTTGTTTCTCGTACTTCCTCGTCCTCCGCTTCAGTGCCCTCGGTGGATAGGTCCTCGGCAAGACGCTGTGCCATCGGAACCAGCTCTATGAGCAAAAAGTCGAAACATGAGGAATTGAGGGCACGGGCATTGGGATCGGAGATGCTAAGCGCAGCGGACGCGTCGAATGACATGGTGGGCGGTGGTGAGCTAGGGCTGGATTGCGATCGATGAGCGGTTGAGCTGGGGAAAAGTTGTTTTGCCAAGACATCGGGGACATTGGAGGGCGGCGAAGCACGGCCGATGCCCCCGTTCGATTCCGTATAGGAATCGCCGAATACTAAAAAAAGGGGTTCGTGTTTGAATTGCTGGCAACTACACTAAATAAACCATGTAACTACAATCCCGAAGGGCACAACAGATAGAGAAGAAAACGTATAAGATATCCAATTGCACGATGGCTCCCTATGGCCCTATAGCTCTATCTCAGAAACCAGAAACCAGCAAGTCACTCCTGCCGAAGCAGCCCGAATGCAACCCAGACCAGACGAGGGACACGCCAGAAACACCACGGCAACATGCAAAACACAAGAGAAAAGCGACGTGAAATATAGGATTTAGACACAGCTGCGATGAGCCGCCAATATTTCTCCCTCCATCTTCTAGTATGGTGGGTATGACCGATGGCTTAAAGGGCTGTTGGCCACCGGTTGATGAGGATCCTGCGACGAAACGCCTCGGACCGCAAAATTCAACGCCGGACGCTTGGTAGGAGGGACAGGAGACTCGTCCTCATCGTCGTCACTGCCAGTTAAATCAATCACTTGGGCCGCAGGACGCTTCCGGCTGGATAGGCGGGCCACCGAGGATGGCGTTGAGGTTTCACGGGACTGAGCAGGTGTCCGCTCCAGCAGATGGCCCGGTGGCAGAGGTTCTTGTTTCACCGAACTAACCCTCGGCTCACTGATCTCAATCAAGTCGGCATCATCAGATGCAGGCGTTCCTCCACCCACAGTGATGGCATTATCATCGCTCGGTTTGGACCAGACTCCATCCGGCTCCACAACCACCTGATCCACGTCCAATGAAGTCGATCGCAGAATATCGTCCACGTACCTATTTGCACGAAGTGTAAATTAATCCATGCACAATATGGCTCGCGAGGGTACCTCAAAACTTACTGATCGATCTGTAAAGATTCAAAGCTGGTCGATTTGGAGCACACGGGACAGGTCCACGTGGGGGCTTGTTTTTGTAACTCGAGGAAAGACGCTGCGTCGAAGCACTGGTTGTGCGTACAGACGATTGAGCGACAAGGAACTTGGATCCTGAGCGTCGACAAGGGACACTTGAGCGACATTATGCTCGATGTGGCAACAATGTCGGTATCTTCTGCGCGGTTTTTCACTGGAACAAAGCGGGGCGTGAGAACCAGTTCGAGTGCCAAATCCTGAAAGTTTGGAGCTAGTGAAAAATGGAATTCTCTGGATTCTTACTTTCTCGAACGACCTGTTCCTTGGAAATCAGCTTGCGTGATTTCAACTCAGCCACCAGCTCCTCCACGGGGTGCTGCCGGACAAGATTGGCCAGCACGAAGAATTTCTGTTCAAGGTTTCGGTGAGCTGAATTATTCTTCGGGCGTCCAAATAGTCGCTCAGCAAGATCGGATAGACTCACCTTTGTCGTGAGGGCATAGGTCATGACGATGTTGTTAGGATAGTTGGCCTTTTTGCGGATGTAGTTTGTTACATCTGCAGGCTGCGTCGTGCCAGGCTTATTTTTCAGCCCACGAAGATTGGCCTTGACCTCGTCGAGGTTGGCTTTGAGCTCCACTTGGTGTGGAAATGCGATGTCGGATTTAGTGTACTGCTTCAGCCCGGAATCAGCTGCACAATAGACCATCACCCGTAAATTTGAGTCTGTCTGCAAATTCGAAGCCGTCGACTGATCTAGCGTGATCTTAAGTTCAACACTATCCCTTGTCTGTTCGCGCACTGATTGGCATTAGACGGCGAGTAATTGCAATAAATATGGGGTACACCCGCTCACCTTTACATTCTGTAATTCGTGTAAGGTGGGCCAAAATCGTGAAAAAGGGGCTCTCTTTGAAAACAAGAGGATCTGAATCCAGGTCAATCATGATCAGAAATATCGAATACGTGGATCAATCCGAACCTGGGGTATGTGAAAAGGGGGACATAGTTCCTCCCAAAGATGCAGTAGGTCGAGCCTGAGATGCCGCCAACCTGGCAGATGGTGACGACTGAGCTTGATGACCGGGAGTAGACTGAAAAGCGGAGGCGCCGGGGATCGCTGTTTGGTAAATGCGCCCCCTCAAAAGTTCGTAACGAGACCCATTCCCTTCTGAATCGCAGAGACGTTCTAGATCTATGATGAGGAATGTCAATGCCTGTCCGGAAACTGGAACGGAGTAGGTCGAGGGTCATGTTTCCTGAGAAAAACGCCTGGTAAATAGGTACGGTGTGGAGGGAAAAGGGAACGAAGGCAAGGAAGTGAAGGAGATGGTAGTAACGAACAACTGATGATGCGAAGTTGCAATGAGGCCTTGACTCCCGACACCGCAAGACCCTCATTTCGCAAAAGATCTTTCAACTGAGGATTGGTGAGAGTCTTGATCAGCGCCACTAGCTGGGGAATCTCGGAGCGCTGGCCCGAGGATGTCATCGCGACTTGGATTCAAAGGCAAAAGGCGTAAGATCTGTACTGGCGTTCAGGCGGATTGTAATGCAGCCAAGCCTGATATAGGGGCTTTGCAGCGATACATCTCAGTGTCCTCGTCGCGAGCCTTCTTGTACCGCAGAGAAGGTGCTTGGGAGGCCAGCTTAGCGAAACACAGCACAAAGAGAAGGAAGTCAACATCGCGGCGGTTGGAACTTGAAGTGCCGTCTTTGGATGACATAAGACGGCCTATCGCGATTAAAGAAAAAAGTCGAGCGTCGGACGGCCGTAGTTCCGCGATACCCTTTCTCTTTCGCCTCCTCAATTTCCTTCCCTTCTTTCCTGTCCATTTTTCGAGCGCATCAAAAATCGACATCATGGCGAAAAGTGTTCGGGCCAGTGTCTCCAAGCGCAACCGCGCGAACCTGCGCAAGAAGGTGTTTGGCCCCGTGGTCGATGCTCGCACAGAACGACTCGCCGCCAAACTGCAGGAGATTGCATCTCAGCCTCGGGTCAAGGCCTCCGAGAAGACAGAGATGGATTTGGAAACAGATGAGACCGGTATGACCTGTGTTTTCGTCCTGTTTGACGGTTTTCTTTTCCCTTTGCCTTCTTCTAACCCCATTTATGATCTAGCCGACAAGAAGGATGGCGCTCAGGCTACCGCCAACGAAGGTATGCCTTCTTTACTCCTCGTTACTCCTTTTTCATACCCTCTATTCTGTCGTTCAAATGTTCCGACCGAAGTCCGCAGTCTAATACCTTCTCTTTTTGTGCAGAAATGGACATCGACAACAAATCATCCAAGAGCCGATCGCAGAAATCCGGCCGAGTGCAGAAGCGCAACCGACGAACTCGCCCCTCCATCGTGTTCCAATCACATTCGTCTAAGGCTAAGAAAGGCTCGAAAAAGAAGTAGAAAGCGTTTGGATGGTGACTGGCGACATTGATGGACATGGACTGTTCCATTCGGGCTTCCGCGGGGTGATTGTGGTGGATGCAGTGTAAAATGGCGTTAGGAGTCCCTCGGGCATATACTATGTTGTCTTTTCCTCTTTTTGTTCTTCTTAATCGATCCGTGGTCAATCTATTACGTCTGGAGATTCAATCTAATTCTTCTTTTCTCGATCAATTCGAGCAGGATGCTTGTAAATCATACCGAAACCGCCCGCAAATCTTGAAAAAAAAAAAAACCTCCTGATCGATAAAGAAGGCGGTGTAGCCGCATATGGTAAACACCTGGGGAGCTTCCATCAGGTCTCCCTTTCTTTTGCGGACTCCGTCTTGCAAACGAGGAGGTCAGGGCCAGAGACCTATCATGACAATTCTCCGATGTAGCTGGGCAACTCTGCTCGCCAATCTGCTTGTGCCTGTCGGCATTCTGATTTTCTCCTCTGGCTTCTTCCCCTATAAACCACTCTTGCCGGGCTTGGCAACCTTTGATGAAGCAGATCAGGATGCATCATCCGCAATCTTCGATAAGGTCATTTTCATGGTGGTGGATGCCTTGCGCAGGTGAGATCATAATGAGCGCTCGAATGGAGGTTTTTTTTCAACAACTCAAATCAAAACTATAGTGACTTTGTGTACTCGAACGAGTCCGGCTTCTTATTCACTCAAAGGTTAGGCAAATCCCTGCCAGTAGAAGAAACGTATCTAATCGTCTCCCGACAGTTTGATCCGTACGGGTGCTGCATTGCCATTCACGGCCCATGCCGGCTCCCCGACCGTCACCATGCCCCGGTTGAAGGCGATGACCACAGGGTCTGTTCCATCATTCTTAGATGTGATCCTGAATATCGCGGAGTCGGACACATCGTCTACGCTAGCTTTTCAGGATACATGGCTGGCGCAATTGAAAGCCCGAGGAGACCGGCTGGTCATGTATGGGGATGATACGTGGCTCAAACTGTTCCCCGGAATGTTTGACCGGGCCGATGGCACGACAAGCTTTTTTGTATCGGTCAGTCGTAACCGAGGCAATGAAGTTCCAATGAGCCGCCAGGTCAACTGATTTTTTGTGTTCCTTTTGCAGGATTTCGTCGAGGTGGACCGTAATGTGACTCGCCACATTCCCACCGAGCTCGCCCAAAGTGACTGGGCTGCCTTGATCATGCATTATCTGGGATTGGACCACATTGGACATAAGGCAGGTCCGCGAAGGTATCTTCTCTTACTTAATATAGACCTTTGAACTGATGGGACTAATACTGCCCTAGCCCTTTTATGAGATCCAAACACCAAGAGATGGATGCGGTTGTCAGCGAGATCTATACCGCCATACAGCAGCAACCCCATCTTCAGTCTACACTGTTCGTCCTCTGCGGCGACCATGGCATGAATGAGGCTGGAAACCATGGTGGCTCATCTGCTGGCGAAACATCACCTGCACTGCTTTTTATATCCCCCAAATTCGAGGCTCTGGGAACCAAGCAGACAAGCCCCGTCGAGCCCTTTGCAGACCTCCAATTCTACCGAACGGTCGAACAAGCAGATATTACAGCCACGCTCGCTGGGCTACTTGGCTTGCCCATTCCCTTGAACAGCCTAGGTGTTTTTATTCCAGAGTTTCTAGATATGTGGGAAACTGGTATGCCACCCTCCCCCAACGCGAGGGCTCTCCTTTCCCAGCTATTAGAAAAAAACGCGCGTTTGACAAAAGGCCCCTTTGATTTAACCTTGTTGCAGGATCCCAAAGGCTTCGATTACTTTTTCGAAACGCTCATCAGCTCTTGAACACCGTTCAAACAACGTTCCCTGGTACTTCCTTCGATCGGGAACCCATTGCAGCAACCTGTAATTTGAATGCGGTATCCGACATTGAGGAGGCCCAGTGCGCATGGTCCCAAGTTCTTGATCTTCTGTCCGCCGATGGAGCCATGAATGGCAATTCTTCGGCCCTTGAGTCGGCGCTGTTACAGTTTGCACATATTGCCCAGAGCATCATGAGTAGCACTGCCAGTAACTACAATGTTTCCCAACTCTGTCTGGGATTATTGGTCACAGGTCTTGCGGTAGTGCTGGTACTGCCCTCTGTCTACTCGGAATCCGTGCAGACCACGTATACCCGCGTGTTTCTTGCATTCATGGTTGTGGGCTATGGTGGTATGATGTTTGCAAGCAGTTATGTGGAGGAAGAGCAGCAATTTTGGTATTGGATATGTTCTGGCTGGATGTTCTATCTGCACATCCGATCGCAATCCTCGAAGCCGCTTCTTCAAGGAAAGAGGTTTCTTCCAGCTCACGGCGGTAAACTGGTCACACTTGTACTTGTCGTCTCCCTACGAATTCTGAGAAGATGGAATCAAACAGGGCAGAAATTTGCTGCAGAGCCAGACATTGCCCACAGCTTCCTTCCAGGCCACCCAGCCGTCTTCTGGGTCCTACTAATACTCACGTACCTGGATGCGGGCTATCACTTTTTCCAAAGCCTGCCGCCGACACTCATGCTGCGAATAGGTGCTTTGGCTGTGGCAAGTATGGCCTTCATATTCAAATTGAACTTTGTTGCTTCCGACTCCCCTGAGCTCCTGCTCGGTTCCTTTTGGGCGAGGGCTAGCGAAAATTGGCCCGATAGCTTCTCACTAGTGTGGCAGGCAAGACTCATTTTTGCTGGACTTGCATGCTACGGTCTTCTGGCTGTGTTCAGTAAGAACAAGCAAAGTAAGTTTTCCCGCCGGTTCATTCATTCTCGAGCATGCTGGGTTCGAAGACCGACTAACCCGAAGCAGAAGCCCCCGGGGTGCTTTTTCACGAAGCACTGAATGTATTTTTGATCACTCAGTCCAGAGCGACCAATATCCCCCTGTTCCTGGTTTTTCGGGTCCTGGCCATGACCCTGTCCTCGATGCGCCTCACCGGAATTGAGGTGACAATTACTGCGTTAATAATGCAGTACACGACTTTCTTTGCGCTTGGCGGCTCCAACGCGATCTCTTCGGTCGATATTTCAAGTGCCTATAACGGAGTTGGCAGCTATAGTGTGGTGCTCGTTGGGATTTTGACATTTCTCACTAATTGGGCAGGTCCGGTCTGGTGGGTTTCCATGGGCCAGTTGCTTCGACCTCATTCCACCTCAGCGGATCACAACGTTGCTGCGCTGTTGACATTCCACATCGCAACCTCGCTGGTGTCTGTCATGGCTGCCTGTACGGCTCTGAGAACTCATCTTTTCATCTGGACTGTATTTTCCCCAAAATATCTCTATACTTTGGCATGGGCAACGGCGAACCACATTGGCGTAAACCTGTTCGGCGGGTTTGGTCTCTCCTCTCTTCGGCATGGGAGATGAGAGACGGAAGGATGGCCAAGGACATAAATTATAGAAATTCAGTCATTACTTGTACCCCGGGATAGAGAAATCAAATAGGGGAAAGCATCATCCAATTCCGTAGTCTCTCATAGTAGCCCGCTGAACAGATCATCAATAGCGTTTTTCTTCCGTTTGCTTGTTTTCTTCATCCCCTTCCGGTTGGGGATCTTATCTATTGCAGAATTTTGCACTGTCTTAGGGAGCATTTGGCGAGTTTGGTTCGGTTCTGGGAGAGATTCGACGTCACCACGAATAACCCGTTCTCCACGGTCCTCGCCAGAAGAAGTAGCATTTAAATTCTGAGTGACGCTTGGCTGCGGTCTCACCCCTCGTTCAAATTTGATAGCCATAGCCTTGGAAGCGCGCGACAAAGCCGCCAAGAGCACAACTCCGAGTGTTGAAAATTGATTGTCGGCTACGACGGAGGAGAAGGCCCTGGGAAAGTTAGCACGAGCATAATCGCCTCAAGGAGACTCATCCGAATATGCCAGGATCAGGATTCAAGCCGATATGTGAGTCCAGGAACGAGACTTACAAGTAGCACTTTGGAATCAGATACGACGCTAGGTGCTGTCGATAAGAGGACACTGCAGGCGCGGCCATGTGCTGCGATCCCAGATCAAGAGTGGTACGCCTCAAAAGCGACAGCCACCTCCACCATTTCGCTCGACGATGCTGGTTTTTGTTGCGATGATAGATTAATTGGAGCATGGCATGGACGGCCAGGATCTCTTGCTGGTCCATGAGGGGCGACTGAGTTGTGTGAAAGAGTGAAAACCTAAAGCATGCGGGTTCTCGAATTTCCGGCCCAGTTGACCCGCCGCGGCTTCTGGGGATTCGATAACCCGAAGCCCCACGACAATCCCATTCAAGTATACCAAGTATGATGTTTGTCAATACGTGGTGTTTGGTCGACATCGAGAACTACATTGTTCGGGTCGCATAGATTTGAGTTCAAAATTGAATCTGATTGCAAAGACTAGTGTTCAAAAAAAGGAACGAGTAAAGAATAATGAGAAAGGGAAAAAAGGAGCTGACGAGTCAAAGATCTCCAGGATCAACGTCTCCGTCCTCCTCTGACCAGAAGTGTTATGATCTCCTCTGCTTCTGGAGAACCCTAGAGACCGAAGAAAAGTTTCTCGGGGAGTTGCTGAAAGTCGGCAAGGGTGAAGCCTTCCGAGTGTCTGCTGCTCTCAAAACAAGACATGCATGGGTAAAAATAGACAAAATGAGATGAAATGAATGAAATGGGCTAATATGAAAACGCAAATCAGATGAAGTTCTCAGTTCCCAGATTGTTTTCCATTTTGATGTCAGCAAAGTTGTCATGAATTTTGCAAGGAAGGTAGGTTCGTTTCATGTCTCATTGCAACACGCGGATGCACGCAAGAGCCACTGCTTAGGGCACACCTGCGTCTATTCCCGACTGGATCCTGGTTTCCACAGCTGCATGGTACCAGGTGTCTCAAGAGCTCGGCTTTGCTGAGTACGAGAAGCTCGGACTGGAGATCCAAGCTCACGGGCCCGCTCACGTTCGCGCTCCAAGTCCTGCTCTCCTCGCAGTGATCCCTCGCTGTTGCTGTCAGAGTAGCGGTGGTACTGTGTTCCAGGAGCAGGCGTAGGTCCAGATCGGGAGATATTGCGGTTTTCGCTGCGGTACAAGCCTAGGCTTTGGTCAATAATCCGATAGATTGATATATCCATAGAAAACAACTCACCACTTCGCTTGCTTCTATCAACACCCTTGGATAGTGTGTAGAAATTGTTTACCGGGGGAAAAGTGGCTTCACCCCCGATGCGAGGACCAGACAGATGAAAAAGCTATTACCGTATTGATCATTACCTGTTCATTTGAAGTATCAGGGGAAGTGTGAATCCAACCTTGGGTCGGTTATTGTAACTGTTCAAAATAACCGGGCTGTTTCGGAATTTTTCAATGAGCGCATCTTTGCCCTGCACCGCTGTTCAAGATTGTCAGATAATCGAAATCATCAGTGCTCAATTGTCGGAATTTCAAGTGATTGGAGAAGGAGAAAGCTATGACACCACTTACTTGCGTAAGAGATCTCGGCGACCTTGTCGGTAAAGTTGTCATATCCGGGCCTATAGCTCAAAATCAGCTTCCCTAAGTAGCCTTGACAGCAGCTTAAAGACAATCGTACCAACAAGCCCCATCGCGAGCTTCCACAAACTAGAATCACATTAGCACAGTTATGCAAGAACCCAAGGAATCAAAATGCTGACAGGAATGATGTCCACGGCCTAGATCATGTCAATAAAAATACCCGAGGAGTGGGATCAAAATGCAACTCACATCAGCGAAATTGACGAAAGCATAACCAACACTATTGAAATGTTGTGATCAGCGCCAGTTTAAGTGCTCTTCTATCTCTATACTCACTTCTGGTTCATTTCAAAGTCTAACGCCGGTGGTCTGAGCTCAGTATCCTATGAATAAATCTGGATGAGACGAAGAAACATACCCATGCGCAGATACAGAAAGTCATAGCGATTCCGACTAGTCTGATCCAAGATCCCCTTCAGATTCAACTAATCAATCGGTCAGTTTCATGTGTGATGTTCGCCAATAGAAAGAATGCATCTTACCCAAACCATAGGGTTGGGAATGTTGCGGAGCATAACCTTCCAGAAGAGAAACAGATATTAATTATGGATTCTAAATATCATCAAAAGGCCTCTGACTTACACTGGTACGGCCATCCTGTCCATAGTAGATCTTTCCAAGGTCGATCACATTGTCCTTGGATATCGAAGTGCGGTCCGGAATTATTGGAGAGCTGTCAGGATCTCCGCCCGGGGACATGTAGGCACGACGCCCTGGAGTGCCGTATTGCGAGGGGTGTGAGAGTCTGCGGCCTTTGATTGTGGAGGTCCAGTGGCGGATAGGCTGAGATTCCATCCCTTGGTGCCACGGCATCACTTCAATGACAAAGTCCTATCAAGTAGTCAGTAAACCTGCCATTCATTTGGTAATCCAAATTGCACGAAATTTTTATTGAAACTTACTTCCGTTCGAATTGCATTCAGAGTGCGAACAGCATTGAGGGCATGGTGAGTGTTGTAGTACCGCACAATGAGTTCGTGAGTGGTCAAGCGACCCAATCCAGATGAATTACCGAGCAACAGTTCCTGAATCGAATACACCCGACCTACGAGCTCGAAAAAGGGCTTCAACCTGGCAACAATGTTGGATGGGTTCACATTCGAGTGGTTGCCACAGTACAGAGTAATTAAAACTTGGTCATCAAAGTTGGGAGGCAGAGGGGATGCCAGCCTGGTTTCCCGATTGAAGTCCTCTGCAGGGATAGGAACCAGCTCCCACTCCGGGTGGCTGGATTCTATGACCTGTACAGCTCTTTTGGCTTCACTGATATCGGCAAACGCCACATAGAAGCGACCTTTTGTGTTCAATTCAGGCAGAAATGGCCCATTTGTCGACTCGAATCCCTGTTCTCAGTTTAGTCTTGAGCGATTCCAAGTTGGTATGAAAGACGAACCTGAAACATCTGAGCCACCTGCAAACCCTCGAGATCAGTAGACACGCGCTTCACAAGGAATCTACGGTCATTGGTTCGAGACTGCCCAGGTTTCTTGACCAGTCGAGTCTCAGCGGAGTAGTCCGAAGCGGTAACATCCGAGCGAACATTTCGGCGAGCTTCATCAGTAGGATAGTCTTGGAGAACAAAGCCTACACGAGTGTCCCGGCGAGAAGGCTGGCCAGAGGCTCCGCCGTAAGCATTTGAGCCAGACTCCCTCGGAGGAGCACGGGATGAATAATCATAAGCCTGCTCAGATGCCTCGCGAGTAGTCTGTGGGGCGGTTGCCATCGGTAGCCCAAGGGGCTGAAGAAAACGCCAACCCGAAAAAGGATTGCTGATACAAAGAGTGAGCTTCATCATGACTTATTTCATCTGGTAGGCGAATCTTCCAGAAACGACGGAAACACCACTTACCGGGTCGGAAATTCCGCAGCTCGTGGAGCCGGAGCAGTCGATCCAATCTCAGGGTTGACACCCGTTGGCCATGAAGTAAATGCATTAGCCTGGGGAGTCGAAGAGGCTCTTTGCCCCGAGCTCGACACAGGCGGTTTATTGGTCATCGACTGCGAGTTTGTCATGACGAAGACCTCGTGCCTTTGATTCGACCACTCTGTGGGTGGAGGAATGAACGAGATGGAGGTTGACTCGAGCTAATACAGGCGAGACAGGACTTGGAATAGACAGGAAACAAGAGGAATAGGAGAATGGGAGGGTAGGATGATGGGAGATGAAGAAGGAGAGATAGAAGAATCAATCTGAGCTAGAATTATAGGCTTCACAAGATCACAACGACCAGAAATGGACTAGGAGACTGTCAATGGGGGGAGGTGGTCGAATCGAGCGAGATGATTCGCCGGAAGGGTTTGAAGTTTTTCGACAACACGACGTGACTCGCCGGTTACGTTGCGCTGCCTTGACGATGTCGTCCAACCCACCGACGACACCATACGCTTCAACCTGAGGCATATAGGCCGTCAGGGTCAACTATGTGGAGCATATATTGTGCCTATCAACCCATCAAAGATATGCCACCTTGAAAACCTTCTTTGAAGGTTCTCAGCTTCGTGGACAGCACTTAGATTGATACACCACTTAATGCGAAGACGTGTACACTGATCACGGCTGATCATGACAAGAGTTTGAATGTTGGCCTATTCATAATATTGTGCCAGCTGAGTAGGTGAAAATTAAACATTTTATCTATTCTTCTATTAGTTTTCCTTGTACAAAAAAGCGACTCTTAAAGTCAAAAGAGGTGCAATGTATAAACCAACCTGTGAATCATTACGGTCAAAAGCCTAGAATTCATCTTAAGCATCTGGTGGTTGATCATTGAACTGGGTTGCTCAAAGCATCTCTTTTGCTGGGATTCTGCAACAAAGAAACATGTGTTGTCTTGGTTTTTCGTTGGACTGCGGCCAGGCTATCAAATGAAAGCAGGAGGATGTTGAAGTTAAAGAAGTTATTATTGCAAGCCGGTGGCAAGCGGTTTATAGATCTAGCGGTCCGTGCATGGCGTTAAGCCTCTATAGGATTAGCGTCCGATTTCTCCATCTCCAAAGGTCAAGAACATACACCGCTCTCTAGACCGCCCCGGTACCCTGCCATCGTCAACGCAACTGTCCCAAGGTCCCGCCCGATTCTCTCTATACTCATTGCAGATGGCAGATGCCGATCATGGCAACCTTCCCAGAGCCGCATGTTCTGAATCAAGTAATCTGCTCTCAATACCCTAGTGTTTACCATAGTTAACAGGACTAATTGGCCACAGATCATCATCTCTCCCTCCGACACCGATTACCTTGATCAGTTGATTCCCTCAATCCGTGATTATAGCGTTGGAAACCGGACGCCTCAGCTATTACAATCCTTGGCCAGATTTGCGAGTGATAAAGAGGCTGAAATTGAGGGCATTTGTAACACCAATCATCAGGAGTTTGTTTCGTCAGTCAACTCATTGCTCCGTATTCGGGAAGGCACCGTGAGTCTCACAGCGGAGATTTTGGATCTGAATCAGTCCATTCAAACCAGCACGGAGCATCTTGCGGAGCAAAAAAGGCGTTGGTAGAGTCCCGAGGCCACCGACAAAACATCGATGAGACATCCCGGGCCATTCAAGATTGTTTAGAGGTGCTCCGTCTCGCCAACCAAGTTCATGATCTTCTTGCTAAGAAGAATCATTATGCGGCCCTACGCGCGCTGGAGGAGCTGCAGAATGTTCATCTTAAAGGGGTTACTCAATACAAGATTGCGGAGATGATTCAGCGCTCTGTTCCAGCAACCCAACGGGCCATTGCCGAGGCAGTCATGTCTGATCTTAACACCTGGCTGTACCGCATCCGCGAAATGTCACCGTTTCTAGGGGAACTCGCTCTCTTTCATACCGACCAGCGGAAGTCGCGGCTCAAGCAGCGAGCAGAGAAGATTTCGTACCTAGAACACTTCAACCTGAATTCGGCCATCGAGCTAGTGGCGGATGAAGATGAAGAATATGACCTGTTGCAGAATGAAGATCTACAAGTCCCCTTTGCTCCGCTTTTCGAGTGCTTACATATCCACCAGTCCCTTGGACAGATGGATAAGTTCAGAATCGAGTACTCCAATACTCGCCGTCGCCAAAAGGACCTACTCCTCCCCTCCTCCATTACCCTCGTCGACGAAGACGGTGCCAGTCTACATAATTTACTGGAGGAGATGGCAGGTTTCGCGATTGTGGAGCGTGCGACAATGAAAAGGGTTCCGGACCTACGATCATCCGTAGATGTGAGACTATTCTGTTTTTGTTTCTGCTCTCTCCTCTGGTCATAGAGCTTTCCTTCTGAGAAACCCGAATATCGATTATTTTGGTCAATGAACTGACCAATGGGGATAGATTGACGAACTTTGGGACTCAATGTGCCAATCTGCAGTGGGCCTGATCTCAAAAGCGCTTCATGAAGTGGATAATGCAGAAAGCATTCTCAAAACCAAAAATCTCATTGCTCTTTTTATGCAAACAATGAACGTGCGTTTCTGTTGTTGTTTAATGATTGGTCCAAACTCAGAGACTAATTTGCATCAGACATGGGGGTTTTCGGTGAGGGTATTTGATGATTTCCTTTTGAGGCTATTCGAAAAGTATGCAGAGCTTTTAAAAAGGCGATTTAGTGACGACTTTCAAGAGGTACAGACCGACTCTTCCCCTCCGCGCTCCTTTTCATTTGATACCTCTGTTACTAACAGAACCAGATCGTATCCACTGATGATTATATGCCCATGCCAATTCAAACCTTGGAGGAGTATGACAAAGTGCTTAACGTGAGTTGGTACAGCCCAGATAAGCCTCATGAGGAACAAATGTATGTGTTTCAATCTATACGACTACCAAAAAAAAACCAACCTTGGTCAGAACTGACTGATGATACAGCTTTCCTTGTATCCTTCCATTTTCCAGAATGTATCCTCTATGCTGCATCGACATTCGAAATTTCTTAAACCAATTCTATTTTTTCGCCAATGACGACTTTTCCCACCCCAGCGTGATTGATGAGACATTGAAAAATGTAGGTTTCAGTCTATTTTAAAAATATCGAGAATTATTAACTCGCAAACCGCTAACCTCGCACAGGCCCTGGATGACCTCCTTTCACGAAAAGTCTGCGATACCTTGGTTGAGCGTTTATCCTCACAGTATTTGGGCCAGATCGTTCAAATCCTGATCAACCTGGAACACTTCGAATTGGCTTGCCATGAGCTTGAATTGCTGTTAGCAGCTGCGCGATCACAAAATTCAACCGGTTCTTCCATTGCATTGAGAGCTACCGAGAAATTCCGAAGTAACAAAAAGGCCGCCGAGAAACGAATCTTCGAGGTTGTCAATTCCAAAATTGACGATCTTATTGAGACGGCAGAGTATGAGTGGATGGCAATCAACCCTCCTAAGGAGCCTAGCAATTACATGCAAACCCTGACCCGATTCTTGTCAAACATTATGAACTCTACTCTGCTTGGGTTACCAACAGAGATCAAAGAGCTTATCTACTTTGATGCCCTGAGCCACGCTGCAAATATGATAATGGTAAATCTCAGCATTCTCCTTCTATTTGGTGTTGAGCATCATACTAACGGGTTATCCAGGCCCAACCATTGGCACCTGAGGTGAAGACCATCAACCCCAATGGTGTCGCAGCATTGGCAAAGGATGTAGAATACCTAGCCCAATTTGTGGACAGTCTGAATGTCCCCATCCTGCGTGAGAACTTGGACGAGCTACAGCAAACTGTGCAACTCATGCAGGCTGACAATGCGGACGAATTTTACGATATCTCCACCAGGAATAAAAAATATGGACGTGTTGACGCCATGCAGGGCCCTGTTTTGCTTGAAAAGTATGGTTTTCTGGAGCTCAATTCTGTGCGAAGCCCTTTGCTAACTTATGCTAGACTGACTCGTACTGTTCAAGCCCCGACCAAGGTAGAGAAATTTGTCAATCTGTCCTCACGCTTTAAAAAGACAGGGTGAGTCCAGGCATGATCGCGAGGATTACACGTCCACTTTCCAGAAGGTTGGAGAGGTGGACTAGACACGCAAAACCCGGTACATATATGTAATTCTATCCTAACCAGACACGTTGACGAACAAACTTAAGTGCAGCTTAGATTTGGGCGGAAACAGCATAATCCATCCTAATTCCCCACCACTGGTATCAGAGTCATTTGCCGTGGCATGGCATAGAAAAATCAATCGAAATAAAAAAGCAGTAAAAATATAAGATAAAGTGTAAACAACCATATATTCCAGGATTCGCCGGGAGATCAAGCATGAGCTCTTGAATCAACGCAAAAACGACCAAATGTACTGAAATGGGTAGTTCACTGGTCCAAAGTCAGGAAAAAGCTTTGCAAGGCAACTTATTCTTCAGAGGGGGAGGGGCTCCAAAGATAGAGCTTGACATACCTGCTGAGGGGGCAGATGGGGGTAAGCATACATCCCTTCAAACATCTGGGACTGAGGCTGGCCATAGGCTGCGGTAGGATCCGACTGCACGGCCCCGGGATACATGGCGGCCTGCGGGCGGTACTCCTGGTCCTGAGGAATACCGTGTTGGCCAAGGGAAGCATAGTCTGCAGGACCCAGATGCGCTTGAACGCCGTGTTGACCGGGTGGCATCTGACCCGGAGCTGCCGAAGGACCCGGTGCCGCTCCCGCCTGGCTTGATCGTTTCGCGTGGGAGGTCGCTTCTTCTCGAGGGACAATGTCAATCAAAAAGTCGAACATATCAGACTTGGAAAGCGCGGCAGCGATGTCAGATCGTTGGAGAGTCCGGCGTTTATTATCTTCTGCGTGGATCCACGCGCGCATCGTCAACTCGGTGATGAAAATATCGCAGCCCTTGGCGAACAGAATGGGTGCCTCGGCGGAAATCATTTTGACTTCGGGGTCCGCTTTCATCACCTTCTTGATTCGGGCGAGTGGAAGCTGGTGAATCTTGTAATCATGGTTGTCTGTCTCCAGGTGATTGATGACATGCTGCCAGTAGGTTGTTAAGATGTCCCGGGCGGTGCCTTGGAGACCTTGGTTGACCTAAGTCTTTGTGAATCGCAGCCCCAGAAATATGGAGGGACAAGATGCTAGGATCTTACATTAGCCCAGGTTCCAGTATACAGTTCGGCAACTGGCGCATAGCCTTGTGCGGAGAGCTAGTTAAAGGTGATCGTCTCGTTAGCCATGGCCGCCCTTGATACCCCTTGCGCACCCCCCGTAGTTCCAGGAAGAACAAGGAGGGGAGAGAGGCTTGAAATCGGGGTTTGAGGCATACCGCTGCACTGGCACCTATGGATAGGGTTAGTTTTAGAGCTCAAATGCAGTTGCGACAGTGGAGATCCTCAGATTGCGCTCGCCCTCAGGCGACGAGCTTTACAGCTTCGGATGGATCAATTACCGTAGTGTCCGCCATTTCTGATATCATATACCGGCTGTTGCTGCTGTTGCTGCTGTCTACCTTGCTGCTGTCCACTGCCCTGAGAAGCTGACTCCATGTCGATCGAAGGCGATGCGCGCACGAGGTTGGAGGGATTACGGGTCGGGCAGGTCTCGACGAGAGAGTAAAGCTCTCGTAAAATGGGGGTGACACCGAAGTTAATGCGAAGAGTCAAAGAGATGGGATGAATAAGGATTGCTGGGCGCGAGATGCTCTCGAAGTCTAGAATTCCCGCGGATGGTCACGGCGCGCGGTCTTCGAGGGGTTGGGAGGAAGCGCGTCGGGGTCGGTGCCAAGCAACCTCAGCTCTCTGACGTTTCCGGTCGGTCCCCCCGAACACACGATTGTTCGCCTTCAGGGCTCACATCGCTAGAACTTTTCTAGTGGCAAGACAACAGATTCACATTCTGATACAATATCACTACGCTCAATACCTTCGTCGGGATAAGCCCTAGACCTTACGAGGTAATCGACTCTTCAAAGGGCTCAAGGAGTCCCCGTACTCCGCATATAAGTATACTACTAGTACTTCAGGGAACTAACTCATCAACGTCCAAGACGACCAGTATCCTCGGCCAGGAATCTTCCTTGGGGTATTCTAGGGCTGAGACAAGATCGGTCTCGCAATGACTCCATAAGTTTAGGTAGTTGCTCTCCTCTAGACCTCCAGATGTCACGGGAATGATGGATTGATATTATGTAATAAATATCACGTGATGTGTCCGAAAGAGATTTCTCGTCAATGTTTTTCCGATCCGATTCAGCGAACAACAGAAAAAAAAAGCCTATAAAACGCTCCCGGCCCAGCTCTGCTCTGCTCTTCAATGCCTTCCATCTTTACCTTTAGTAGGAATGGTTGATACCACCCATGTGGAGTCTGGCATCCAGCCTCATGATGAGGCGGACTTGACCGATGATCAGATTCAACAGCTTTTGCTGGAAGCTGAAGGTCGATTACGCGGGTCTAACGGGCAGCTCGTCCCAGACCTAGACGCCGCGTCCCTCAGGTATGCTATCATATTTGCCCGGGCTAATTCCTCACTCTTTTCAAACTCTGACAGCCAAACAGAATCCCCAAGCTGTCTCCGGGGTCTACTCTCGAGCCATATGTTCACCAGGGTGACGAGATTGCTACCGTTGACTCGGCCCAGCTGATCGACCCTAAGCAGAAGGAGCTGTCCAACTCGCTCCGATCGGTACAAGTCCCGATGCACAGTGCCTCCAAGAAAGTGAGTTCAACCCACCGTTCCTTGTTTCCCGCCCCTTCTTGCTATGAGGAAAAATTACCCAACGCCTAAGCGCTTGATGCGGCGTCACCAGTCCGTCTTGGGCTGTGCTGCACCAGTGAGAGCTTTTATTTTTCATAGTTACTCTGAGCATATCACCTCGATTCCACTGGATTCAAGATCGTGTGTATTCGGCCATGATTGCTAACGGGCCACCTTGTAGGACAAACCAACGGCAGGCCCCGACTGGTTCGACCTTCCGAAGACAGTATTGACCCCAGAGCTCAAGAGAGATCTGCAGCTGCTTCGGATGCGTTCCGTTCTTGACCCCAAACGGCACTACAAGAAGGAAAACGGCAAGGCCAAGCCTCCGGAATTCTCTCAGGTGGGAACCATCATCCAAGGCCCGACAGAGTTCTTCAGTGGCCGAATCACGAAGAAGGATCGGAAGAAGACATTTGTCGAGGAGGCCATGGCCCTCGAGCGGGAGAACAGACGCTTTGAATCGAAGTACCGGGACATCCAGAGCGTCAAGCAGAGCGGAAAGAAGGCATTCTACAACAACCTACGGGCCAAGAGAAACCGTAAAAACAAGTGAACCTGCACTATTCGACATCATAATTATGGTTGTTTCTACGGATCTTGGATTTCTCTTTGGTGCTGCAATGACAGCTGGGTGTAACAAGTTATGTGTACTCTCGACATCAAAACGTCGTTAGGTATGACTGAAAACTCCAACAAGAGTTTGCAACACCAGCTTCTGTCTCGGAAGTCAGTTTAGCGTCTCGGCCTCTGGTGGCGAGGAAAGGGGCGGAAAAAGGCATAATCTCTCACCTGCATGTCCAATGCCGCAGACCGGCCTGCCTCCAGGACCTCCTCATGTCCAGCCTTTCCTTCCTCGAGGATTGCACTGAGCTCGCCTGCGTCTTTCTCCTGGAGCAAGTGTTCATCCCCACGGGGCACAGGTGCCAACACAGCATTGTTCGTTACGAGGCTGAAAGCCAGTACTCGAAGGCCACAGTGCCGAGCCACGACGATCTCTGGCACCGTCGACATTCCCACCACATCGGCACCGAGCATTCGAAGCATTCGACTCTCCGCCCTTGTTTCATAGCTTTGTCACGTCAGATTCCATGCAGGCATTTCCTTGGGTGTGGTACTTACGTGGGGCCTCCGACGAAGGCGTAGACACCCTCGTGGAGCTTCCGGGTGCTTTTGGAAGGGATGACTTGCTTCCACACACGATGGACGTGGCGACGAAGCTCAAGGTCGTATGCATCTGACAGGGGTGGAAACCGGACTCCAAATTCCTCCACGTTCGGACCTCGTAAGGGATGAACCCCCGCGAGACCTGCCAGAAAGAGATGCTGAGGCCGTGTCAGCAATCGGTCGTTTATTTTCTCTCGCGAAAAAGGAGGATTATCTTACATCATTCAACAGAACAATGTCTCCCACACAATAATCTGAATTCAGGCCACCGGCCGCATTCGTTACTGCCTCTTAGATTAGTTTCTCTCGTAGTTTTGTAGAAGGCACCTCTGCAGGAGAGCGTCAGGATTGTATCAAGGACATACAGACAACAGTTTCGACGCCTAACCGCTTGAAGACGCGGATAGGGAATGTCACCAGCTCCATTGAATGGCCCTCGTAGTAGCTGTTGCTTTCCATTAGTCGATAATTCTCTGTATGCCCGCAAAGTCATAGCGAAAGGGAGTATTCACTGTGCTCGGCCAACCATCAACACCGCCGGGATCTGCTGCCCCAGCAATCCGAACACCAGCTTCCCAGCATGCCCCGCAACTAAAATCGTCAGTGTTGGTCAGACTTGTGTCTGCGGCTCACTCACCTGTCGACCGAGGAAAGTTGGGGATCGTGGCATAGTCATATTCCGCTCGGAGTTCCCCTTGGACGGTGTCTGCTAGGCCTCCCAATCCAGAGCCACATACAATGGCGACCTTCGGGGCTTGCAACCCCGCCGGTAGACTATTTTTCAAGAACAACACAGCCTCAGTAGCCCGCTCGAAGGCAGACATGTCGGCTTGGGCCATATTGTCGGAAATTGACGAGGTGGACAGATCTTCTCAGCGAAAATGAGGGCGGGGAGAGAGGAAAAGTCCTGAAGAAGAGAGGGGTGGAGCCTAGGAGCATGATACTGCGGAGTCGCAGGTAGAGCCTCATTGGTGCGGTGTGCTCTGGTACCCAGCCTGACCTGGGGGAATCATTGAGGAGTCATTGGAGATTGGAGTTTCGGAGGGGTTTTTAAATGTCCAGAGGTAATCTGATGCGATTCTCGTTCGATAGATGATACCTGTATGGGACAAATACTCACGAAGGTTATCCACAGGCATAGGAGTACTTCGCTGTATATATATATCGACAGAAATACCTACGGCAGTATATCTATATCTCTGTTTTTGTAGGCCTCTCCTCCATGATACTGGACCGAAGCTAACAAGGGCCCCTTTCGTCTCTTAATCCCCGCCCGTTTTACTTCTGTTTCTTTTCGACATTGTTCTTTTTCTTACAATCCCCGAGCCCTGGGTCGCTCGTTCCCAAGCGCCGTGGAAAGCTGGTCGCCGGGCCCGAAGGCGGTAAAGCCCCCGTCCGCCAACCTCCCAAAAAAACCCATACCCCAGCACCAAACAGCGCCCAAATCACCCCAATCATGTTCTCCAGTACAGCGCGTTCCATATTGGAAGTGGGAAAGTGCCTGCGGGTGAGTAAATTGCATAGATGGTGATCGTGCAAGTGTTAACCCGATAATCTGTGGTCTAGGTGCCCGTGCCCATTCGCGCTCTGTCGAGTCAACCTGTTGCGCCAACTCCGGAGAAGGCGTCTCCTCAGACCCCCCCCAAGCCGGCTCACTCAGCCATGTAAGACGCTATCATCGACAAATGTGTATTGTGTTGGAGAATAGATCAGCTGATACAAGATTTTCCGATATAGACCAGCCGCCGCCGAGCAACAACCATCGGAGCTTCCTGTTAAAGAATGGTTCGTCAATCGCATCACCCGCTGGCCATTCCCTAGAAAGATGAAAGAATCTGGTCCTTGCTAACATGGTATCAGGTCGGAGCGACTAGGAGCTTTGGGTGATAAGACCCGGCTGCCCCGAAGCGTTCAGGCGATCTACCTGCGCCCACTCCGCAGAAAGGCAGAGCATGGCCTGCCCGTGTGCGACTTGCAATTGCGATCTTACAGCGTTCAGAACGTCGAATTCTTCGCTGACTTTGCCATCCGTGCGGCCTATTATCTTAATCTTCCGGTTTCTGGCCCGGTGCCGCTCCCCCGGATTGTCGAACGGTGGACCGTCCCGCGAAGCAATTTCGTCCACAAGAAAAGTCAAGAAAACTTCGAGCGGATCACTCTCCGCCGACTGATTCAGATCAAGGATGGCAACCCACAAGCAGTACAGGCATGGCTTGCCTTCCTCCGGAAACATGCTTTCTATGGAGTGGGTATGAAAGCTAATGTCTGGGAGCATGAGAGCCTCGGTACGTTCCCCCATGAGTGGATACCTTGCCAGTCGAAAGAAAGATCAAATAGATACTAATTATGCAATAGATGTTGCCAAAACAATGGATGCATCTCTTCCCGAAATCCAAAAGACAGTTGGTCCTCATCTCGCCCTGTTTGGCAAGCGTTTCCATCAGGCAAACCCAAGAACTTTCCCCAACCGTGTGAACGGAGAGCGATTTACTCCTCATCAGGCCAAGACCGATCATCTGCGGTGAAAGTTGCCAGGCTGGGACGTTAGTCGTGCTATGCATTATTTCTAGGGAGAATCCCTCGGCGTCATGTAGTTGTATATTATTATTTTTTTTTGGCTTGGATTAGCCCTCGCCAGGCTTAGTGTATGCTACTTGGATCATTCCTATCTCCGATGAATGGAGTCACGTTTCTTCTTAATACGCTTACAAGGGTATCTTCTGCAAGATCCCCTCAAAGTATTGAAAACCATACCCAGGCATGCCCAGCCATGAAATCTCAGCTGTCAATCCCATTGGAGATCGCCTCGCCGGCGCGAGGCGTCACGTGACACAATATATTTTGCACGGGCGGGAGAGCCATCGGCAACTGGTCCATTGTCCTCCTTCGAGTCTTTCAGGTATTATCTGAAGATTCTACCCGAGATGCGTACAGCGGTCTGTCAGCATGGCAGGACATCTGTTCGGTCCGTGGGGTGCTTCGCCGGCTCGCGCCGGGCCAGTTTCCAGCCGTCCTGGTATCGGTCAAACAGCTCGAGTTCAAGCTCGCCGGCCACCCATGAGCCCATTATCTTCTCCGGAATTCAACCGACAGGGGTACCCCATCTGGGAAACTACCTGGGTGCTCTTCGGGAATGGAAGAAGCTCCAAGATAATGCAAATCCAGGGACCAAGTTGCTATTCTCTATCGTGGATCTGCACGCATTGACAGTACCACAAGATGCGAGCAGGTTGAGACAATGGCGAAAAGAGGCATTTGCGACACTGCTGGCAGTGGGACTAGATCCCAGTCGCTCTACGATATTCTATCAATCCGAAGTAGGTGACGCATCCCGCATTCGGCGTCCCTTGTGCGAGATGGTTGAGAGAAGGGTCCCTTTCTGACAGACACTGCTAGGTGCCAGCACATGCAGAGCTCATGTGGATTCTCAGCACTGTTGCTTCGATGGGTTATCTCTCCCGAATGACTCAGTGGAAGGTAAAGCCGCCGATGGACCCATGGGTCCCTCTTTTTGTTCAATCGTTTCTAACGGATGGCTTCATTTAAGAGCAAGCTTCAGTTACCAGAGGATATCACTTTGGACCACTCGGAGGCTCGCGCACAGCTGCGACTGGGTCTATTTTCTTATCCTGTGCTTCAAGCGGCCGATATTTTAGTTCACAGGTACAATCCGCTTGCATAACCGGACCTGGATGGTCGCTTGCTAATGACACGAACCAGAGCAACCCATGTGCCCGTCGGAGAAGATCAACGGCAGCATCTTGAATTCTCTCGATATACTGCCAATAGCTTCAACCATCTTTATGGACCACTTTTCCCCATTCCAGAAGCCCTCATCTGTAAGTAAATCCTATGTCTTGGCCAGGAATGGCAATGTTTCCGGAGAGCGAGGGCTTACTTTGATATCTTTCTTCCTTTTTTCTTTCGCAGCTCCTGCAAAGAGGGTGATGTCTCTCAAGGAACCAACCTCGAAGATGTCCAAGTCTCATGTCGATGAAAAATCTAGAATTCTTCTCACTGACTCACCGCAGGAAATTCAAAAAAAGGTCAAGGTGGCTCTGACCGACTCTGAGCCTATGATTACCTATGATCCGGTGCACCGACCTGGCGTTTCAAACCTGATCGAGATTGTCAGTCATTTTGATGAGGTCCCCTGCGAGGATATCGCTCTTGAATACCAGTCTGCCAGTCTGCGGGCTCTGAAAGCGCATGTAGCTCATCGGATCACGCACCACCTTCAAGGAATTCGAGAACGGTATCTCTCGATTATGGAGGACCAGACCGGACGCTTGGAGTCCGTTGCTCAGCAGGGAGCCGAAGCGGCCCAAGTCAATGCCGCCGTGACAATGCGGCGGGTCCGGGAAGTGATGGGGTTGTAGAGGATGAAGGTGAAGACAAAAGGGGAGCTGGCGTGGAAGAACTGTGGAAGTGGAGAATATACCAGGAGTTCATATATGGCCCCTGCACCTGGAGGGTCTGACCCTTGTACCATATGTAGTATAGAAATCAAATCTCAGCCTCTTACGTAACTTCTGCAATCCTCCTCCTCTCCCCATTTGCATGGGTCTTTGGTGGCTCGAGATGCATGCGATGCAACGATCACTCACATCGACTCGCAAGTTGGATCCTAGGGCGAGATGTCTCTATCTCCGAGCTCTCTGAATGTTAACAGATGCTTCATAATTTATGCTACCTCTGGTGATGATTTACTGGGTATTCGGTAGGGTGTTTGAATTGTACTTCAGTCGGTTAGGCAAACGAATGGCATCGGATATCCGAAGTCATAATAGTGAGGTCACTGATGTACTTGTATATTTGACTGACTAGCCGTTTCATCCCCATGCAATTTAGTCGGCATGACCAACTAGCGACTAACTACAAGTATTGACTTGAACAAGTCGACCGGCTTTTCAGGGCCGTATAATTAGACAATTGAGCATCAAAAATCCTGCTGGCTTGACCTGAGAGGGGCTTCATTTTTGTCCTTGCCTCCCCGAGAAGAGCTATTTTTGTTCCTGAACCCTTCACGGATTCGATTGGCACGCGAGACATCCGGTACCACTTAGTCGATGTGGCTGTACAGCGATGTGGCAAGGTTGGACGGGGAACAGGCAGCCACCGTTCTACCGAACCCTCCGATCCACGTGTATCATGAATCATGACCGGTCTCCATTGATCCATTGGATTATTTCGAAAGACGTGCACCTGTAGTCGGGGCATCTCTATATACCCCTATGGTGCACTTCGTTTATGTACCGGTCCCGGGTTCACAGCGATTCGATAGCTCATGAAGAGGGATATAGTATAGAATATACTGCCCTACCGCGAGTCCCACTGGAAGTCCCCCACTACACTATATCGAAGCCTATATACATTAGTAGTAAATAGTCCTCCGTCGGAGCATTCGCCCATCGTCTCTCTCACGAGGTTTTGATAAGCGCTGGCCGCTCTCTTGGCGGGGGGTCCATTCTACGCCCTAAGCGGCCGCCCTAACCGGAAGCAGATGGAGCGTCATCCATCCGCGTCATCATCGCACCCGTGACCCAACCACGTCCGCTGCGTACGTATGCCTCCCGCTCCAGCAAAAATCTCCCTCCAAACTTCGAACCTTTTGTGGCGCGACCACGCTGCGAGCGAACTTTCCACCCTTCAATTTGCGAAGTGCCATTGGATGCAATTGAAAGCCCGGGCCATTGGCCCTTAATGCCTATGTCCTGGCTGCTGCCGTCCACCCCGGCTCTTGCAGTGCCGCGAAAACTGGTGACGACAACTTGTCGGTGGGTCGTGAGCGCCTTACCCGCCCCTCCCAGTGGGCTCTGGAGTGTCGACCCATCGTCGCCGTCGTCTCTGACCCCCCTTTTTCAGTGCAGCGCCAACAGCAGATGGTCCACCGGCGCACCGCTGACTGGCCATGAAGAGAAATGACCCGAATTTCCAGCTTCCCGGCTGGCCCGAGTCGCGCAGGCAAGTCTGGGGCATACGACATCCACCTCGGTGGCACAGCCGCATCCAATGCCTTTGAATGACGGGGATCTCGACTCCAACTTGACCCGACGCGACTCCGTATAACGCCATCGCTCGCCCTCACTCTCTCACCTTTCTTTTCTCAGCTCGCAGACCCGATTTTAACGCCCAGAACTCTGCGCCTTGCCTGATTTCGACGCCCTAGAAGTCGGATCCTACCGACTCGCTCGATTTTCTTGCCTCCTGCGCCTTCTTTTTCCACCCTCTCTGCCGCTGCCGTTGGGATTTTCTGCTGCAATCGGAAACTTTATCGGGGAGATCCCTCGCGTGGAAAACGAAAAAGAGAAAGCGGCTTGCCGATCATCAACATTCCTCTTGAGGGACGAAATCTGGGGAAACAATGAGGAATTCTTGGTTGCTGCTGGCAACCCTTGCATCGCCTGTGCTAAGCCGGCTGTCCTTACAGCAACGAGATGTCCCGGCAGTGGTCAATTTGGGGATTCAACGCAAAGATGTCACAGACCCGGTGGCCCGTGATCGGATCAGGAGAATGAAACGGGATAAGACCGTAGTCAGTCAAACCTTGGACAATGATGTATGTATCGACCCTTCTTCCCTGCCCTCTCCCCCGATTTTGCAACAAATTTCCTCGATTTGAATGGAACTTTTGAGCATGGTCTGACAAATGGACCTGCAGGAAACTCTTTATTACTCGAATATCACCCTAGGAACTCCTGAGCAGAGCTTGCGCTTGGTCCTAGACACGGGTAGCAGTGATCTGTGGTGCAATGCGCCCAACTCCACCCTCTGTGAAAAGAAGAGCAAGCCCTGCAGTGACGCAGGTACCTATGATGCTAGCTCCTCTTCGACCTACTCATATGTTAGCTCCGATTTTAACATCACTTATGCCGATTCGTCGGGGGCTGCCGGTGACTATGTCACCGATACGCTTGGTATCGGTGGTGTCACTCTCAAGGACTTTCAATTCGGCGTGGGTTATTCTTCAAGCTCGGACCGTACGTAATCTTTATATTCCACCCCTTACCTTTCTGTCCAGAGCCGCTATCTTCAGACATCCCCAGTACCGTAAGCTAACCAAACATCTACAGAGGGTGTTCTGGGTATTGGATACGTCTCCAACGAAGCGGATACGGATGGCACCTATCCCAATTTACCGAAGGCGATGGTCAGCAAGGGAATGATCAAGTCTAATGCATACAGCCTGTGGTTGAATGACCTGGATGCAAACACTGGTTCCATTCTCTTTGGAGGGGTGAACACCAAGAAGTATCACGGCTCCCTGGAGACACTTCCCATCCAGAAAGTGAACGGAATCTACCAGGCGTTCATCCTTGCCCTGACTGCGGTCGAGCTCAGCACCTCCTCCAAGACCAACAACTACTCCTCCAGCTCTCTCCCTGCGGCTGTTTTACTTGACTCGGGAAGCTCCCTCACCTACCTTCCCGATGGGATTGTGGAGGATATCTTCGATGACCTGGATGTCGATTATGACTCTTCGAGTGGGATTGGATATGTGCCCTGCAGCATTGCCAATGACAACATCAACATCACTTACACCTTTTCCTCCCCGAACATTGTCGTGGGAATTAACGAGCTGGTTCTGGACATGGGTGACTATTATTTCCAGAACGGCGAGCGCGCGTGTGCCTTTGGCATTGCGCCCGCAGGCGACAGCACCTCCGTTCTCGGAGACACCTTCCTGCGCAGCGCTTATGTAGTGTACGACCTGGCCAACAACGAGATCTCGTTGGCGAACACCAATTTCAACTCAACCGAAAACAACATCCTTGAGATCGGAACCGGTGATGATTCGGTACCCGGCGCCACGGCCGTGTCCAACCCAGTAACCACCGTGGCCGTGGGTGGCTCAGGAGGACGCATCGGTGGCATTACAGGAAGCACAGCCGTCATCTCCTCGGGGGAAGCGACTCGCAACGGGGCCGTGCCGCAGCGCACCGGCGTACTCGCGCATTTGCTACTGAGTCTGGCAGGAGTCGGATACTTCCTGGCGCTGTAAAGCCCATCTCCACCTTTTATATATAGGCGACATGGCTTTTCTATTTCTGTTACTTTTAGACCTTTCTTTTAGCATGTCTTTGCGGTGTACTGGAGTCGGGAAAATACCTGGTTCTGTGTTGAATCTTTGCTTGGATTTTTTGGATCATTTTTTGACGTGACATGAAACCTAATGAAAAAATATATATTCTTTTCAAAAAAAGCTTTCATAATCGTGTATTGTCTATCTTGACTCCTTGGTGGTGGATCGGATGCGCAGGTGATCGGGACGTGTTTGTTGCTAGGCGAAGTTCCAGTGTAAAGGCGGCCTTGGCAACATCCATCGTCCATCAACCACCAACCCCCGAACATGCCATCATCCCCAGCAGGATGCCTCGACTGCCGACGGCTGTTCTCCTTAAGGCCTTCCGAGAGAATCCCCTCCTAACCCTGCTGCTGAAGGAATGTCGTACACTAGACTCGGCCCGTAATGAACTTCGGTGGCTACGGGAACGCGCCATACGCGACAGCCAGCAAACCTCCGGGCTGGTATCAGGATCACCGCTGGGATGGCGAACACGCCTGAGATCAATGTGCTATCACCGGGCTCAAGGATACCCGCTCCAATACCTACTGGGGGACACGCCCTTTGGGGATTTGGAGATTCTTTGCCGACCTGGCGTCTTAATTCCACGGTCTGCTATATCCATTCTTGTCGCTATCGATACGATACAATTCTAATATATACCCCTGCAGGCCAGACACAGAGTCTTATACATACCAAGCAGCCAAGATGGTTCGTCAGCTGGGGCAGGATAGCCGTCCTAGCCTACAGTCGGCCACGAGATCACGGCCCTTCCGAATTCTGGATCTCTGTACAGGCACCGGGTGCATCGCGCTTCTCCTGCACGCGCTTCTTTCTCCACACCTGGAAAGATGTCAGATCCTAGGCATTGATATCAGCCCGAAGGCATTAAGCCTGGCCCGAAGAAATCTGGATCACAACATTCGATCCGACTGCCTGGATCGCCGAGCGTCTTTCGATGTCCAGTTTCATCAAGCGGATGTCCTTCTGGAAACGGCCAACGGTTCGATCCCCACTGTGGAAGAGATTGTCTCAAACTCTTTCCCTTATCAATCTATACCAGACAAACCACCTACCGAGTCTGGGTGTGACTTACTGATCTCTAACCCGCCATATATCTCCACATCAGACTTCCGTGACGGAACCACAGCACGAAGTGTCCGACTGTTTGAGCCAAGGCTGGCTCTGATACCACCCGCCTCGAACCATCCGGGGCATAAATCAGACAGACATGAGGATATATTCTATCGGCGGATCCTCGCCCTGTCGCTCAAATTAGCAGCCAAAATTACTCTTCTCGAGTGTGGGGATCTGCAACAGGCCCAGCGCGTGGTTCGAATGCATAATCAGATGAGGGGTAGCACCAGTGGCCTTACCGCAGAGATTTGGCCCAGCCAGGAAGAAGACCTTGCAGCCAATGGGTTCCACGCACACGAGGGTTCGCGATGTGTGATCATTCACAACCTGGCCAGGAAAGCCGAATGATCAAAGGGGAAAAAAAGAAACTGGGAACCATTGTGCTCCATACGCATAGGCCAAGAAATGCCCCCGGCGTCTAGGCCATGGCTTTTTTTTGAAAAACATTGCTGCAGAGACACTCTCCAGCAGCGGTAGTGTTCCACAGAACCAGATATACACTGCGAAGTTTGTATCACCGCACCACTGTTAGTCTATGGTCCAACCCGGATCTCGGCGAACTGATGGTCATCTGAAGATTCTGAGTTGTTCGATTTTGATAGGGACATAGGTTGGCTCAGTGACGAAGCGGAAGTCAGCAGGTCTGACCCTCGCTACAGGGGTTTGATTGGAATAAGGAAGTTTGATAGTGGAATTGCACAACGTGATAGGACTGCGTCCACAAACATGCATTGGCCAATGGCTACGTATTTATCTGCTAGGAAGGCGACGGGCTACTATATTCCATAGATTATACAGTGACGTATGTGGAGGGCATGGTGTTCAAGTCAAATTCATCATCCAAATGCATTCTGATGTCCATGATCCAAATTATGTACAAAAATCAGGCAGACCGCAAGCCATCACGGGTCGGTTCATTTTCTGTGAGTGATTAAAACAAATAGAGCTTGTGTACAGTACAATATTAAAGTAATGGTATAGTAGAAAGGAGGAAGGGGGATCAAGTGACAGGGCCGAAGGCAGCATGGGTTCATACAGTGCGAAGGGCGGCCAGAATCGAAGGCAAAGATCGAAGCCGGCTTGATCTTACCAAAAGTGAATTTCAACAGAGAGCAGGCACCTTTTTGGTTGCCATATTCACGCGAAATGCAGCAGAAAAACAACAAAAGAGAACTTTGTCCATGATTTACAGGTCCTTCTTCTGCTGGGTGTCAGCAGAATAGCTGCGGTCGTCATCGCCTTCCACGGTCTTGAGAATGGTTTCCATCTCCTTGGCCTGGCGTTTCCACTCCTTGTCACCCATCTTGGTCTCCCGGCGGAAGAGCTCCTCGTTGGGCTTCCGGTAGCTACCACCCAAGCGATCCCACAGGGTGGTGAATTGGCCGTAGTTGTAGTTGAAGTAAAGATGGTGCATAGTATGGCAGGCGGCGCCGTTGACCACGGGGCTGTTGGCTACATACTCGCCATCATGAATAAAAACAGTCCAGAGGTTGATAAAGGCGAACAGAAAGACGTATGCCAGTTTCTGTAGAGGGAAGATGAACGGGAAGACATGATACGGCACACTCTGGGACCAGCCATCCAAGGGGTGGAAGGCATGGGAGGCGAAGGGACTTGGCATGATCCACTTGTGGTGCGGCTTGTGTAGAGTCCGGTAGACGCTTGGGTGGTGTAGACCCCGGTGGATCCAGTAGATGAAGAAGTCGGTAAAGACGATAAAGATAGGGAACTGGAGAATGCTATAATACGGGAAGGGTTCCTCGGCGACGGTGTCGTAGAGTTTGGCATAGCCTCGAACCTCAAGCACGAAGAACGGCGCGGTCAACAGAGCCATGGGGGGCATGGAGGACATGGCCTGTTTGATTTCCAGGGCAACCTGGTTTTTCAGGAATTTGGGGTGATTGTATGTTGTCTTATCCCAAACGAAAATGAAGGACAACGTGGCAACCACAAAGTAGACGAGAAGACCGAAGATCCTGATTCCTCTCATGTCAGTCTATTTCATATTCAACTTTCCTCGATTCACTTGATGATAGAAAAGCAAGAAAATAAATGGTAAAAGGGAAAAAAAAAAAAAAAAAAAAAGAGCAACGGGGACCGGTCCAAGCCCGGTGGCGAGAGGGGGGGTCAAGCACATACCAGGTGATAAGGAAGAAGCTCATGAATTGGCGGTACATATTATCCCGCGGCCAAGCACTAAGGTAGGCATACTGAGAGGGTTCCAACCGGAATAACTGGGTGGCCGGCTCGTAGACGAAGGAGTCGCCGTTGCCGAACAGGGCCAGCGAGCTGTTGGCATTGATGAAGGCCGGCAGGGAGACGGAGGCGGCGACGGAGGTAGGGAGGAGAGTGGAATAGAGATGATCACCAATGAAGGTGTCCCAAATCTCCAGAATGATATCCATGTTGATGCGGAGGAGAGGGAGGGGGGGGGCGTATTAGGAGGTGGGTTTAGAAAGATCGGGAGGGGAGGGTTATTTTAGGTGAAGAAAAATAAAGCAGGGGCAAGTTTTGGGATGGGGCGCGGATTGGCGAATGAGAAATGCGACGGGCATCACACCAGCGCGGAACGGGGGAGCCGCCGTGTGGTTAATAAGCATGGGGACTGAACCTCGGAACGACTTGGTCGTTTAATAGTCGGACGATACAGAAGGATGGTCAGAACACGGTAATTCGGGAGACTGGCTGGTGCCACTTTGCAGATTGGCAAAGAGGGGAGAAAGGCATGTTGAGGCTCAGCGGGTGGAGGGGTCTGGTTTGCAGGATCAAGAGGATCACGAGATATATAAATAATGGCGTCGACCGGGTACAGCATTTTCCGGACAGCGTTATCAGCTACGTTGGAGTCTTAGCAAAAATATGATTTGACGAAGAGACACACTCTTGGTGAGATATTCGGACGCTATCAGTGCCCAAAATTACCAGAAAGAACGAGGATTGAGAACAGACCATATCAACACGGTCCAATTCTCGTTCGTCAGGGGTAAAAGCGATGCTGAAGACCCGATTTCCAGGCGACAGGGCATCAAGGCATCAAGGCACCAAGACCTGCATGCATTCCAATTTCCAGGCGACAAGGCGACAAGGCGACAAGGCCATCATGTGGATCCGTTCCAGGCCCCAAAGCCCCCCCAAGCCACTTTCTCCCGATAATAGAGACGAAAGCCCGATCATGATGGCATGATATGATATGATTCTACAGGGGACTTAGAGAAGGTCCGTCTCCCGCCGAACCTACTCGAGGATACTGGCAGATACGAGGCGAAGGGAGTCGTGGGATTCCCTCGATCTCTTTCTATCTCCTGGGACTCTGTACACCCGGGAGGTACCAAAGGATCCGGGACTCGTGGGTGCCCGGTCGGCTTTGCGGGAACCCCGTTTCGGGCACGTCCATGGCGGTTTCTTCCCTACTCCTCGACCTCTGTCTTTCTCGCGCACACGCGGATTGCCCGAACACTTGCCATCCTAGCGTATCTAGTTCTATATTTTGTCTCTGTCACTGTCGGTTAGATCATTCTCCTCTCTCTGCTCTATTTCATCCTTTTCTTTTTTTTTTTTTTTTTTTTTTTTTGGGGCCCTCGCTGCCCCGGAACCAGACATCGACTCCACTTGGCCCCCTCCCCTTCCGTCATCTACGCCCGCTGCGCTTCTCGGCTCGTTCCCTCGCTTCTCGCGCCAACGCTAGCCGCCAATTCCCAAACTCCACCCCCCAAACTCAACTCAACCTTCCCGCTGCCAGCCTCTTTTCCTCCCCCCTCTTCGCCCCCGACCTCATCCACTTCCGCCTTCACCCTCCCGTCCACCTCCACACCCATCTCCTGGGATCAAGGTCCACCCGCTACTTCCCATCCCATCACCCTTTGCTGTGGCTAGCTGCGTGGTGTCATCCACCAAGCAGCCTCGCCGCATCACCGATCGTCCTTGTGACCCCCCGTCATCACAGCTTCCCCCCCGGCCGAAGCTGAACTGCTGCGATCCCGTCATCGCGGTTCTACCTCGCTCAAGCGCTCGTTTGTTCTTCCGTCCCTGTTCAGTATCCCTGAAAGTAGCATCTCAATCGCCAATTCGCTATGTATAACACTCATCGCGGGATGGTGCCCGCCCCCAACTCCCGTCTGACGGAGTTACTGGATCAACTGCGTCAGGAGTTCGAGAGCCAGTCTCGAAGCACCGGTGAATATGAACACCAGTGTAGGTCTTGCCACCCCATACTTGAGCAATGCGATTCCCTCCGTTCCCATACCCCGTCTCAATTCTCGGGGGGCCCCCTGGGGAAGGACCCTTCCCCGCCGCCTCTCCCCGAGAATTGTCTCCCCTTTTTCCCTTCCAAGTGCCGCCCGCCCGTATCTCAATGGCTATGGCTCCAAGGTCGCGAAAATTCGCTGAATCGTTCTAACTGACAGATCACGCAGTAACCGGACAGCTCCAGGAGATGGAGATGATCCGTCAGAAGGTGTATCAGCTGGAACAGACCCAAATCAAGATGAAGGCAGAGTGCGTTTCCCTCTTTTCCTCCCATTTCTTCTCTTTTCGCGCTTGGCCTCACCCCCCTGGTTCATGATTCCGTCGAGATGCCTCGATCTCCTTTTTCTTTTCTTTCCTTTTTTTTATCGTTCTTTGACGACTGGCTGCTCACAATTCCATGCGCGCTACAGCTACGAGGCGGAGATCCGAATGTTGCGACATGAACTCGAGTCGCGCGGCGTGCAACCTGTTTCCTCTCATATTGCGCCCGCACAGCAGCACACCGGCCCGCAGGCGCAGCCGCCTTCATTGGGCCATGGTCCCAGCAACTTGTTTGGTGGTATCATGACCAACCAAGGAGGTAGTGGTCCCGGTCTTGCCCCTCCCCCCCCTCCCAGGATCAGCAGCCTTCCCAGCATACCCTTCAACAGCCTGCCTCGGCCGCCCAGCCTGGTGCGCCGCAGCCCCCGCAGAGCTTCCCTGGAGGATATCAGCCTGGTGCTGCTGTGAACGGTATGTTGCAGTGCGTTAAAGACTATCGCTGGGTTGCTAACGCAATTTGTTCTTGATCACTCACAGGCTATGGTCCCCCCCTCCTCCGACCGCGTCCCCGGGCCCTGGTAAATCGCGTCGCACCGCTCCAGGTCCGGCCACGCCTCAGCAGACGCAGATTGCCTATCCGGATCCGCGTGCGTCGCCTCAGATCCCTCGCCCCACGCCTCCTAACCAGTCCATCGTTCGCGCTGAGCGCCCCGGCAACATGCTGGCCAACTGGAATCCCGACGATCTCCCGGCCTCGCAGAAGCGCGAGGGTACCGATTGGTATGCCGTGTTCAACCCGGAGGTGCAGCGTGTACTGGATGTTGAGTTGGTGCACCACCTCAATCATGATAGCGTGGTGTGCTGCGTTCGCTTCAGTCGTGATGGCAAGTACCTCGCGACGGGCTGCAACCGCTCGGCGCAAATCTTTGATGTGACCACCGGTCAAAATGTGGCAACCCTGCAGGATGAGAATGTCGACAAAGATGGCGACCTCTACATTCGCAGTGTCTGCTTCAGTCCAGATGGCAAGTATCTGGCGACGGGTGCAGAGGACAAGCAGATTCGGGTAAGTTCGGTCCTCAAAACCTCCCTTTCCTCCGATATCGATCACTGACTGAACGCCCTCCCCCTCCGCTGCTGAGGGGGGTGGCTTCATACAGGTTTGGGATATTGCTGCGCGCACCATCAAGAATATCTTCACCGGCCACGAGCAGGACATTTACTCCCTGGATTTTGCTGGCAATGGCCGTTACATTGCGTCAGGCAGTGGTGATAAGACCGTGCGTCTCTGGGACATTCTCGACGGCAAACTCGTCTATACGCTCAGCATTGAGGACGGTGTCACCACGGTGGCCATGTCCCCTGACGGCCACTACGTAGCGGCCGGCTCTCTGGACAAGAGCGTGCGGGTTTGGGACACTACTACTGGATATCTGGTGGAGCGTCTTGAGAACCCAGACGGCCACAAGGACAGCGTGTACTCGGTTGCCTTCGCGCCCAACGGCCGCGACCTGGTCAGCGGCAGTCTGGATAAGACCATCAAGCTGTGGGAGCTCACTGTCCCGCGGGGCATGCACCCCCACAGCGGCGTCAAGGGCGGGAAATGTGTTCGCACGTTCGAGGGCCACAAGGTTCGTTTTGTCTTGTCTCTTTGCCGCTTTCCCGTTGTCCATCCCATGCCACCCATTCATCGCTCTTTTCGCTTTCTTTTACTTTTCCTGGGCACGGCAACCAAACGAGGGGCCCACTCTCCATCCTGCTTCCCCTCATCCTCCCGGTTGCTCTTCATCCTGTTTCTCCTCCTGCCCCCCTGTTCTTGCTCCCTATCTTACGTTGACCCCTTTTTTTTTTGGCTTCGTTTGACTGGTTTATGCTAACGTTGGACACAGGACTTTGTCCTCAGCGTGTGCCTGACGCCCGATGGCCAGTGGGTCATGAGTGGCTCGAAGGATCGTGGAGTCCAGTTTTGGGATCCGATCACCGGCAATGCCCAGATGATGCTGCAGGGCCATAAGAACTCCGGTAAGTGGATGACAGATGTCATATCGGACCTGACAGCTCCTGTCATGTCCTCCTCCCCCCTCCCTGGCTCGTTTCTCCCTTTCCATCAGTGTCTGATTGTCTAATTCTCCGCGGACAGTGATCTCCGTGGCTCCCGCCCCTACCGGCAACCTGTTTGCGACTGGCAGTGGAGATATGCGTGCACGGATCTGGAGGTAAGCTATCTTTGTTTTCTGATTTCCTCTCCCCCTCTCTCATCGGATTCTGTCTCGAGTCCCCTGTCCTCATCCCCGCGGGGCTCCAATCTCAGACGATCAAATCCTGCTTGCTTGGATTTTCTCCCCCATGCGCGCTAGATATGCGACCTGGCAGCCTGCTAACTGTGGATTCTCTCCAGATACTCGACGTACACTGGACGGTAAAAGGATTATTCGGGGATGCCTTGGCGCAATGTGACTTTGTTATTATTTTTTTCTCTTTGCTTGGATTCCTTTTGCAGCCGGGTTGGGGCTTTTCGAATTTGACGATTTTTCTTTTTGTCCCTTTTCCCGCCTTCTTCTCTCTCATCTTTTTTTTTTTTTTTTTTTCTCTTGAATAATGCAACCTTGCAAGTTTGCAAACACAATGCACCTGTCCATAGTAAACTCAGCCAAGCCACTGTCGCCACCCCTTGCTAGTTTCTGTCTCTACTGTTGTCGGACTCATGGAGAGTGGATCGGGAGCCAAGCCTTGACTGGATGAGAGATGGAACTCCGCACATGCGTCCAGAGCTACGGACCTACCGAGAGCTACAGACCGACAGAACTACCAAACCACCGATCGAATCGATAGTAGAACAGGGAATGGGACTGGCACTAACGGAAGGGCAAGTTGCACAAGAGCAGAGCAGGAAGAGGCCCCGACCTCCTGGGAGATCCAGCAAAGCCACCCCGGCCCGTCCGAATCACCATAGAGCCTCGCGGCCACCTCGGTGGGTGGGACAAGAGAGACGACATGTCAAACCCTGGAGGGCGATCGGCCGGGGGAAGGTGGATCCCTCCCCCCTCCCATCAGGCCAGGCACCATCGCTCTGGGGGATCATGGAGGTAGGTGTGGGGGGAAGAAGAGGCAAAGGGAAAGAAGGAAAAGGGTGGACCAAAACATCATCGACCCAGATGTGCAAGTGTCTGTTGGGGTATTGGGATCGGGACTAACCTGCAGAGGACGTGGGCTATGCGAGTGTCAAGTTCTACTGGGACATCCTGATTTCAAGGAAGGGCGGTGGGAAGAAGGGGGATGGATCTGTTGCTGTGGGGAGAAGGTGAGAGTCCGTGTTCGACCTCGATCCGCCTGACAGGAGCCACACACCGCGAGTCCAACAGAGACAGAGACGGCGATCGAGAGAACGAGAGCCGGAAAACGAAAAAGCAAACAAAAGGAGAAAACTGGGTGCCGGCCATAGTCGATGCACGCTCGGTCACCTGTCGGGTCCCATCTGGCAGGAGTTCGTGAGCGAACCCACTCCGATCCCTGCAGGAACCAGCAAGACTCGCGGCGGACGTCTTCAGATGCAAGACGTGCAGGGAAGAAGAAAACAACACCGTGGCGGGCGTGGCCTGGCACTCGAGGGAGCGAGAGGGGTGATTATCATTGCGATTCACTGTCCCGATCGCCATGTCTTATTTTGTTCCTTGGACGCTGTGATCTTGACTGTTTGCCTCTCATTCTAAGACTGTTGCTTGCTCCCCCCCCCCTCTGGTCTCTGCGTTGAACGGGAGAAGGAGATCATTTGGGGGCCAAGACAGTCAGGAATGGGGGGGGAAAAAAGAAGGCAGCCACTCGCAGCGACTGGTCGTCCCCGTATCCAGGAGAATGGGCAAACCCAAACGACCTAGAGCGGAGTACAGCCACTGTAGAAGAGAGAGAGAGAGAGGATCGAGGGGTGGGGGTGCGGCATCTGGTGGAGATCTGGGAGCTGAAACCGATCGGGGGGCCAGCAAAAGGAATTTCCAGGGCCATGGGCGGCTAACCAGGATATTCGCTGGGCGGGGATCGGACGCTATTGGCGACTATCGGACGGGCGCATCCGGGATGGGGGCCCCGGTGATCCCATGGCCGACAGTGGACGAATGAAATCGATCGAGGAGGCCGCCGAGAGGAGACGTCGAGCAACCGGACCGTGATGACCCTCCCAAAAGAGAAAAGTGGTAACTTTGGAGGTGAAAGAGGTGATAGTCATCACAGCAAAAGGTGGAGAGTCGAAAAACTAGCAGAAGCGCCGCAGCCTAGTAATCCGCAGTGGCCGAAGAGAAGAAGGGAGATGCGGCCCGTCCCAAGCTTGAAGTCCCCAGTTCGAAGCCCCAAGATGAGAGAGTCGAGATGGAAGTGGAAGTGGAGGTGGAGGTCGAAATGAGGTGAGGTGAGTGGTGGAGGAAGTCGACCTGTCGACTGCAGATCCCCCGTCCACATTGAAAGTTGTCCGAAAGGCCCGGCCCGCCCTCGAGGGACGATGGACTCCTTTCTTTTTCCTCCTTTTTTCTTCTTCTCCTGCGTCCCCCGTGAACCAGTGGCACGATGGTGAAGTGAATATGAAGGTGGTAAAAAAAAAAAAAAAAAAGAAACGAGATCTATATACGCCGTACATTCAAGTAGACTCGGGGCGGAGACGCCGTGTAGATAGACTTCATACTTCATATATTCTATATACTTCATCGCACTCCGTACTCCATCTACACCCACGACGCCAATTATACTCGTATAAAATCCACTTCTGATGCCATGCGAGCTCCACTCCATTTCCAAAGCACGGAACCACCAACATGCGGATCCAGTGGTGATTCGTCCCGACTCAATCTGACGGGCCCGATGATTATACCGAGTAGACACTCACTCTAGCCACCGAGACTGGCTTTATTCCCTGTCTGGAATCTGACTTGGGGTTTTTGTTCTCTCTCACTTACCCCCTTTTGTGCTTAGCGGGTCATCCAGGATGAGCCTGACTCGTCGGTCGCGCCACCAGTTTCCCCAGGACCAGGGGTTACCGTCATCGCCAGTCGCGGCTGCTAGTGAATTCTGGGACAGTGGGCCAACCCATTTCTCTCTGGGCTCGACCCTGTTATTCCTCCAGTCAGCTAGCTTCATAGATATTTATAATTTAAAACAGAGAGAGAGAGAGAGAGAGAGAGAGAGAGAGAGAGCAACAAAGAATAACAAGGGAGAGAGGGAGGAGGAGAGAAAGAAACGGAGTGAGAATGTTTCCATCCCTTCCATCCTGGACGGTTTCTCGTATAGTTTTCGTTGCTGGTTGAGGATAATTCTGATTGCAGATGAGCCAAGAGGGCAACCAGAGCATCGGAGAACCGGAGAAACGAAGCACTCGAGTACTAGAGAACTCGGAAGTAAAAGAATAAGATAATGGTCATGAAATCTCCGGTACTGATAGTGGTGATAGCTCCTATCTTTTCCCATCCACTACACGCTCGTCCATTCTTTGGATGATCCCGACGATGCATCAGCGGATGATCACCCGCGCGTGGGATAGTTTCTCCTCGGACATGTCAGCCTGCTAATTCGAGGAGGGTTATTGGGAGCTTCCTACCATTACCAAATCCCAGACGATGACTGGGCGCCATGGTCCTTATTCGCTGCTCCTTATTTTGTTTTATTTTATTTTTTTCGAATATGCATTTCAGGCAATGGAATAGATGGAAGGCACTGGCCTGTTTCCTGTCTGTAATCTTGCAAATCGAGGGCCATATACTACTCCCTCGAGAGAAACCAGATGTATACTTCCACGAACCCACAAGAACCCACGAAACCCACGAGTCCAAACCAAGGGGAATAAAAAGAAAAATGAAAAATCAAAAAGTAAAAATGACAAAACAAAAAAAAAAGATCAATTGATGCATTCGGTGATAGTGGGGACTGCGAATTGATTTGATCATTTTCAGGTCGCCTCGTTTCGTCCTTTTCGTCCCCCGTCAACGCCCTAAACCGCTCCACCCGGGGACATCCCGGGCAACGATCGCCCCTGCACCGTCCAGCCTCGAACGCCTGGGATCTGGAACTCTTACCCTCCCCACCCCACCCACCACCGCCGACTAGGGGCCCTTCGCTCTTTTCGCTCGTTTGGATTTTCCTTTTTCTTTTTTCTCTAGTCGATTTTTAGGCCGATTTATTCAGTCCCGGCTTGCTCGGGGCATGTCATACAATGGCTGGCTCGCCTCCTGCGCGTCGCTGCAAAAGCCGCAGTCTGGCAGGTCCCACTCGTTGACTAGTCGCGCTTTCGCTCGCTCTCGTCTTCTTTCTCATGGACGCGCATGAACGACCCTCTCACAAACGATCCTCTTCTGCTCCTCCTCGACGCGCTCCGGTCTCCACTCGTGTAATCGGGCTCCTAGAGACAATTCGTGGCCCACGACGCGGGTGATCACCACTAGTCGCGAATCCTCCTTCATCGGGGCCTGAACAAGTGCAACGAGAGGCCTTCAGAACGGTTCCTATAGGTGCAATCCGGTCTTCAGACCCGAGCCTGGCAGGTGGAGTGTCTGGGTGCTGCTTGGTCCGGGTGCCTGTCAGACATTCTTATATAGATCGTCTCACCCCCGAACGCGGGTCCAGTTAGGGCTCCACGAACCAGGCGACGGATCTGTTCTATATTTTTTTTATTCCCTCTCTGATTTCCGGTCCTGCCTATATACTTTCTTTATTCTCACTTCTTGCTCTTTCTCTCTCGTCGTATCCTCAAAAGCAACTCGTGTCTCTGGTGCACGACCTTTCAGGATCGTCTTTCCCCCGATCCTCCGATCTTCTTCCCATTGCTCCCTTGATACTTCCTATACTTCCTATACTTCCTATACTTCCTATCTTTTCCGTATTCCCATACTTCCCAGACTTCCCATACTCTCCCTTCGGAGAAGAAGAAAAGGTCAATCCTTCCAAAAGAAAACAAAAAGCCAGACGAATCACCCCCATCGACAAACCTCAGATCTCTCCAACTCTCTGGTGCTGGGGTGTCTGACGTGGAAAGGGTTCAGGTCTCGAAGAAAGTCCCCCACGGCATATCCAAAACAACTGCCCAGACTTTAGTGCTCTCTGCGTTGTGAGATCATTGATCGTCTCAGCCCCGTGAGTGGTCCATTACAAAAGGAAAAGAGCATCATGGAGACCGCCGAGCCTGTGCCGTACGAGTTCTCCGGCCATGGAGTCGGCGCATTCGGGCATCGTCGTGCAATGGACTCGCCGCTGTTCCCCTTCTACTCCCATCCCACCTCCACTCCATATTCGCTGCCCTACCAAAATCCGGCGCCGGCGGCGTACAGCTTCGGCTCCACGGCCTTGAACCAGCCGCCGCATCCCTATCAGTATTTCGTGGCCAGTCAGCCTCCCCTGAGCTCCCCGGTGCGCCTGCAGCCGGAACACCCTCCGCTGCAGCCGACCCTCCCCAGAGATTCGCCCCGCGAAAAACGCCATAAATCCCGCTAGTAAGCGAGATTTGGGCTTGCGAGGCTCATCGGGCGCCTCGACTGGCGCGGGTGCGCAAGAGAAAAAGGGCGCCGAGGCCGAGTTCTCCACCGAGGTGGATGTCTTGATGAAGGCCATTCAAGCCAAGCCAGAAACCTCGCCAGTGCAGCAGTCATTGCCACCTCTTCAACAGCTGGCTCCGCCCGGATATCCAGCCTATCCCATGTCGCCCCCGCGCTGCCTGCTCACCAACGAAGGGCAGCTGTCGCGGTCGGGTAAGAAGCGCAAGTATACCTGCACGCTGCCCAACTGTGGCAAGAGCTTCGCCCAGAAGACACACCTGGAAATCCACACCCGGGCACATACGGGAGACAAGCCCTTTGTAAGTCCTTGATGAAGAAGATCTCCAAATTTCAGTTGAACACGTCGCTAACGGTGGAGAATAGGTCTGCAAGGAGCCCTCATGCGGCCAACGGTTCTCGCAGCTAGGCAACCTAAAGGTAGGACACCTTACACTCCCCGCATTCATTGGTGGCCTTGAAAATTCCACACCCTCGGGCTCGTTCTTTCTTGCTCTTTTTCTCTTGGAACAGGGGGAGAGGGTTCCCTTCAAGGCAACCTTGACATGCTTGAAACAAGGCTAACGTTCGAATCTAGACCCATCAACGACGCCACACCGGTGAGAAGCCGTTCAAATGCGAAATCTGCCATAAACAGTTCGCCCAGCGAGGCAATGTTCGCGCCCACCAGATCACCCACATGCACAATAAGCCATTCACCTGTCTCTTGGATGACTGTGGAAAGAAGTTCACCCAGCTGGGTAATTTGAAGGTAAGCACGCAAACAGCTTTGCCCCTGCGCCCCTATTGACCCTCCACCCTGGTTGAATCTTTGGGGAGGAGAAGAGGTGTCTATGAGATCACTTGGAGCATACAACTAATGCATCGGTCTACTACCAGTCGCACCAGAATAAGTTCCACGCCACAACGCTTCGCAATCTCACCCTTCGGTTCGCTCAAATGGGCGACAATGGACCCTCTAGCCCGCAAGACAGGGAGCTGTGGGAGTATTTTGCCCAACTATATAAGAACAGCAACAAGGGGATCAAGGGCAGGGGCAAAGACCGTCGAATCGCGACAACGAAGCGGTCGGCTGCCACCAGCACCTCGATGAATCCAATCAACTCGATGAACATGATGATGAACCGTATGTCCTCTATGGAGTCAGACGAAGATCCACAGGCTCGCCGCGGCAGTTACGAAGACACCTTATCGATGTATACGGGTGGATCCAGCAGTGACGGGGACGACCCAGGCCCGTACTACGTGGACCGGCGCGGTCCGTGATGAATGATTTTGCCTTTTCTCGGAATAATTAACTATGTGACATTTTTTCTTCTTCTGTAGGATGCATCCTGGGGGGGTTTTTTTTTATTTAGGGCATGTGTTTCTACGGGGTTCTTCTTTTCTATTGGGGTCTTTTTTCATTCCCACCCTCCTTTTGCAACCTTTCTTGACTCTGATCTGATGTATATTGAGCCCCAAACCCCCCAGAACGGGGCTCTCTTGATATCCTTTTGTTTGTTTCCTTCTTATCTTTGATCTGTATTCTAGCTGGCTTCGGGGATTCCAGCGCTGGGGATTGATGGCTTGATTTGATGAATGTGATTGAACTGTACGATGAATATAAAAAAAGGTCTCGGGAGAAGCCATTTTCGTGCTGCTTGGGTGTTCCTTTTCCACTCCTTTTCCGAGGGGGTTTTTTTTTGGCAACATTGGCCCAAGCGGGTAAATACCCTCTCTAGCATCTGCCTCCCATAGAGCACGGGGGTTCGGTAGTCGAGTGGATCGACGCAAGTGGAGATGGCGCGGCAAATCCGTGAAGAATAAGCCTGCAGGGATAATCTTGCCTTCACATGCCACGAAAGCTTAAACAAGGCTCGGCTAAGCTGAACCTGCGAACGGGCTTGTTTGCAGGAAGAGAAAAGCAAATCTCGAACTATGAAAATTATTATTCTTTTCTTTTTTAGTTTGAGGTAATCTCTTTCTTTTTTTTTTTCTTTTTCGTTGGGGGTGGGAAAGGGGATTATTTCAAGTGCAGGAAGCACGAAATACCTCGAATAAGAGTTCTGGTAGTGTACAATTCAGAGTAGGACAGATGCCAGGGCCTGTCCTACAAAACAAGATGATGAAATCATGCAAGTGACACAAGATTTGAAAGAGGAAGAAAAAAAATAGAAGCAGATCAATGCTGGCAAATGACAAACACAAAGAACAGTCACTCTCTCACTCAAGTTGATTTGTTTGACCCGAAATAGATCATTTTCAGATTCGGATTTATTGCTCTTCAGCATCAGCGAGTTTGATATCGCCATCGGGGGCACCCGTGCCCTCCTGCACCGGAGCAGTAGTACCGACGGGAGTCGCGTGGGTCAGAGCGTCGGTAATGAATGCCTCCTCAACAGCGGCCTTTCTTCGGAAGACACGCAACCAACGACGGCCCCATTGGCGGATGATGGCGTCTTCGGGGAGGTCGCCACTTCCATCGCCGCGCTCCATCTGCTCGTCGTTGCTTCCAGCAGCGACAGAAACAATGGAGTCTTCGATGAACTTGAAGAGGGCTTGCATTTCAACGCGTTCGCGAGATAGAGTTTCGTCCAGAACACTAAGTTGCGGCTCGTATAGGCCGGACTGAGTGCGGGCTGCAACAATCTGACGCATACGATTGGTCACCTTGCCCACAGTGGCAGAGACCATTTCAAAAATGTGAGACTTAGACAGCACCGTGCCGGCCGCCATGCTTTCGGTCAGAACCCACTCCAAGACGGAGAGAGGACTCAGAACGGTGTAGTTCAGCAACTTGTCGATGATGTTGATCGCGATACCAGGCTGATCCGCCCAGTATTCCATGACGGAGGTAATAATTTGGCAACGAGCTCTCTCGGAAGTCTGGCCAATGGTCAAAAGCCGCTCCTTGTTCCGCTCAATGCAGGAAAGAACATGCGAGAGGGACTTGGATCCAACAAAGCAAATAGAGGTTACAAGCGCATCGGTTGATGGGACCTTAGGGTCTTCGACGCCAAGACTCTGGGCCTGCTCCTCGATGGATGCCATCACAGGCTGAATCTCATCGTCACCGGCCTTCTTGCGAATCAAATCCTTGAGTTCCTGCCCTTCTTTCGAGTACGGAGCAACTATAGTTCATTGTTAGTGACGATCCACCGTAGTCAGACGGATCTAGAAAAGCTTGACTTACTATCAGATAGGTACTTGAACTCAGGAGTGTCCAGCTCTTTGCCCTCCGTGATCAAAGGCAGGTAAGGTTCAGGGAGGGTGCCCTTAATACGCTGCGCAAAACTGAGCCGAATCTCCTTATCCAATGCTCCGTGGATGAATGCCATTTTTGGATGAATCACGGGGAGCTCAAGATCATCGACCCTAGGCTTTGGATTAGCTTGCTATTGCCGTCCTTTTTAGAACACCAAGTGGACACTTACCATTCGCTCCACTTCCATGTGAAACCGAAGTTGCTCAGGTGGTGAGCAAACCAATCCAGGAATCGCATACTCAGCTCCAGGTCCATAGTCTCGAGGTTGTTATACAGGAACCGAATAGCACGGCCGAGACTGGGAGCAATGGCAGCCGGAGCGATCTTGCAGCACTCCGTCAGAAGGGAATGATAATAAACGAGCTTGTGCTCCGATGTTGGCAGCTGATACAACTGCGAGAAGACTGCGTCAACGGCCACATCTTCAGGCTTCCAAGACTGACCCTCGCCAGCCAGATCACGCATACGATCGAAGGGAGTAGCCCGCTTGACGAACGTATCAGGAGTGAAGTAGCAGTCAACATCAATCAAGTACTTGGCTGTGGCAACGCGGTTGAAGTCAAGTAAGTTGATTGTATCAACCAACGCGTCTCGCAAAATCAATGAGGTGATATTTGAAGGGGGTGGCACGGTCTCGATTTCCTGATTTGCGTACACAGAAATGTAGACTTCAGGGAAAAGAGCTCGGGGACCATTCGGGACTGGGTTTTGAACATTAATCTCTGGAAAAGGGATTTTGGTGACGATCTCGAACGGCTTCTGCTCAGTGTCATCGCCTTCCCGAATGTCCTTCCAAGGTCGGGGGAGACATTTGAGTTCCCATCCCCGATTAGCTTCGCCTTGGAGTTGGCTTTGGAGAAGACTGATGACACTCGGACCAGCGGCGGACTCATTCTCCTCAGGGCTGAATGTGTTTACCAAGTCCACGAGAGCGTGCGGAGTAGATGCGATAATGTCGGTTTTTTCGAGTAGCGCGGAAGCATGGGACTCGAAGCCAGTAGCGGGGGACGACATCACATAGGGAATTGTGAAGAGAATGATTTTAACAAGCTCCATACCGAGCAACTAGATCCAATGGCGTCAGAAAGGGAGAAGGAAAACGTTGTCATGAAGAAAGAGGCTGCTTACGTCTTCGGAGGAAGCGGTTTGGAGGTCAACCGCACGGGCGAACAGCTCCTCCAAAAGCGAAAAAATACCATCACCCTCGAAAAGAGGCTGCAGGCAGCCCAAAAAGCGAACAAGAAGCTTGACCTCGCGCCATGAACCCGAATCAATGTAGTTCTGTAGGGCGCCGACTGCCTTGTTCAGCACATCCAATCCCAGCTCTGGTTTCATGTTATACGCGACCAAGGCAGTCGCCGCGACGAAAGGTGTTTTCATGGGCTGCTCTAGAACACTTCAGGACAAGAATGTTGTTAGCAAATCCATATGGCAGGGTGGCAAAGCCTCGAGCGTTCGACACGTACAGATCCAGCGAAATGTTGACCAAGGTATCCCGCAGCTCCTCATCGTCGTAATGTTCGGCCGCGTTCTTTGCGATACCATAGATATCATCCTCGACTCTGCGAGCAGCCTATGAAACAGTTTGCTAGCATTAGTACTCGGACCAATTGAGGTGTTCGAGTGCGAGGCCAAACGCGCGCGCGATCGGGGGTTCGAGAGAGAAGGCTCGTACCGATTCCGCCAGGCTCAAGAGCTGTCGGCGAACTTGAACAAATGGAGGCTCTTCAAATCTTCGTCGCTGGGGACGGCGGTCGAAGTCATCGTCATCTTGAACCGGCATGGTTAGCTGCGCGTGCGTGCAGCACAGAGAAGATCACCCACCTCGGTTGCGACGCTTGCGTCCGCCGCGGTGGCCGTTGTTCCGACGATCGTAATCGGCCATTGCGCGTTGAGCTTTTGGGCGACAATGGGGGAATCCAAGGGCAAGGAATCAGGGTTGACGATTGACGGATTGGAGCTCTCCAAAGGTAAATGGACGCCCCGGAAGGAAGGAATTTCCGGCCCGGGCTCCCCTGCAGCATCCACATCAGTCGGCAGTAGAGTATGAAACTCCGAGGAAGCAAAAGAACCCCCCCGGAAAAACAGGATTTTTAATGTGTCGACCTTTGCAGCGAAAGATATCTTGAGTAAGGTGGTGATACGAGCTGTGAAATATTGTTTCAGCTTGATCTGACACGACAGTGACACTACACGCTCATCTTACATTGGAACTCCGACCCGTCCACCCACATGACGGATTGCAATTGCATGGCATTGTCGCCCAATTTCATATCAACGATTCGTCTCCTTTTTGTTGATTTAATCTATTGGCTTGGCTCTCTATATGATAAGTCATAGCAGACACCGCAGCATAAGACGTAGCTATAGTCCGGATCATTTGGCAGTGGGAAACTGTCAACCAAGACTCCAATCTTGCAATACGAGCTCCTCTCCCATAAATTTTACTCCTATCCGATGAGTTCGAACAAAATTATCATTAATAAGTGATAAATTTCCCCAACAGTCATCAGTCACAATCGCGTTGTACCTTCACGTCGCTTTGAGAGGGTGAAGTATATCAAGGCTGGCTTGAGAAATAAGGCTCTACAAATCTTGTACTGGCAAATCCGAGGACAAGATAGCCAGCTAATATAAACGAGTAAATATAGATGATTATCTTCAGGTACTCAAAAGATTTGCACAGGCTCAACGAGATGGGCCAGACATGCTACTATAATTGGAAAACCCGAGAGGAGGGTACGGATCAATGATTCTATATTTCTACTAACTGAAACCTAGCACTGCCATTTGAGCTCTAGTGCTAGTCACAATTAGCCCGATTACTCTCATTATGAAGTCATCTGTTCCGGGATATATAGTCCTGTGCCTGGTACGGTGATGAGATTCGGAACAGTGGCTTCCCAACCCTCTTTTTCTCACTTGCATGCAACTAAAGAACGCCACTCTACCATTTAAAATGTAAGAGAAATGAGCCAAAAAATAACCTCTACAGAGCTTATCCGGATCTATGAGTGACGGACAGAAGCGATGAGATAAATGGCCCGTGACCGCCCACGGAATCTTACTTCCCGAGTCGGTTTCGCCTTGATCACGGCAGCCGCAGCTATGCCTCTCACCCGGACTAGCTTCGATTGGGACCGAGATATGAGAGGAACGGAATGATTACGTATCGCTTCCTCCTATATCTATACCTCGTGATCTGTTGGAGCGCGCTGGAGATTAACCCCAATGGTCAGAATATAGGACTCATTATAACGGCGTCTGATCCAGTCAGGCGTTTGATAATAGTCGCCAGTGAGTGCGGGTATGCAAAGGCGGAAATCCTGACCCGCCACCCATTCTAATTCTCTCGCTGGCAGCCAGCAAGACGTCCCCTTGGTCAAAGACAATCCATCCATACTCGGAGATCGCTGGCATCGGGAGACCAAGCTATGCTAAATGAGCGGTTTCCGTGTCTGGTTCTTCAACCGGTCTGAACTACTACGGGGCCTCGGGCCAATCAGGCGAAGAACTTCTTGCTCAATGTTCTTCAACGAATCTGATTACAAGGTATTCCAACTACCCAAGTCGGCAACAGCTCGCTACTGATGGAGAACCAGGAGGCAAAATCATACGAGGTAATTTTCTTCATATGGCTACTCGTGGGGATGGAACTACAGTAAACCAGTAACAAGTAGGTAGATATCATGGCAGGACCGGCTTCAGCTCTAGAAATGATACATAGTCTGTATAAGAAATGCGACAGATGTGATAAGATTCACCCCGCTAATACACTTCCGGTACGTAGCCTCCGTTCTACCGGTGTATGCAGTCTGTTTGGCGGATGGACAACCGGTAGGTTCATACAGGAGCAACAGTCGCTTTGGAAGACGCCTAGCCCTAGAAATAATTCATTGAGAAGAGGAGCCCCGGCACTTTATGTCTCACAGCCAACCTTTGAAGGACTCAAGATTCCTTTGGTACAGATCCGGAGCATCAGGAAACACCCGTGTCCAAATGGATAACTGGTTAGAGTTGGTAGTTAGATCGCCAATTTTGAGGTTGCCCAGGAGACGAATCATGGCGTATTCATATACATGCAGTGGATGGGAGATGTTGTATCAAATGTTATACCAGCAGGTTGAATTGGAAATGGGGGATAGGAATAGAATCATAAGTTCGCCATTTCGGACCTGAGTAGATTCCAACCACTACAAGAGGGCCGTACCCGCTACAGATGGACACACATGGCACACAGCTACAATCCCGGATGAAACAAGGAAATCGTCTGCTTCGGAACTGGAACATGTAGCTCATCGCTGGCGAGTCGAGAGGAAGGTGGGCCAAGGAGGTTAAAAAAAAGGGGAACCAGCCGAGCCCGCTGAAACCAGGACAATGACATTGCAAAGAAGACGAAGAGAGGGGAAAGAAAAGAGAAGGGGTAAGAAAAAAAGAGAGAGAAACAAAGCAAAAAAAAGAAAAGGAAAGGGACGCAAAGGGAAGAAAATAACAGGGTTTCTAGCGCTGCAAGTCGTAGGAAGTTCCACGAAACGGATCAGCCGGGCCTGTCGGCCTAGGTCAATTCGTATCGAAAAGAAATGGCAACGACCGGTGATGCATCTCGAATGTCCCAGGGTCGAGAAACAGCTTGCTGCGTCTGGGTTTCCTCCCCTCGACCGATGAAGCTATGCTAGTCTTCAATCCCGGAAGGCAGACTTGCACAGAAAGGGTATCACTTTTTCCTCCCAAGAGTTGTCGCAGACACCTCAAAAAATAAAACTCCAGGTCATGGACCTCCCACCGTTGCGTGACAATCATCAAGCCCCTTCAACCGCTTCCATATGAACTCGAATCCGGGTTTCCGCTCGGCTCTGAATCAAGAGGCGCCATTGCCATCCCACTCCTCGTCGGTTAACCAGTCAACTCCTTCTCCTCATTTTCCCCGACAAAAAGGTGCGACCTCGCCATGCCCTCCGCTGGTTCAAAGCAACAAAGGTATACAAACTCAGCCAAGGGCCTGTGCTCTCAATTTAGAAGCCCACTCGAAACACGATGGTTTGGGATCGATGGGTCGGCAGGTCATCAAACTCTCACGCACTGGCTGCGGAACGCATTTTAACGAACAGACGTGTCCCTCGCGGAGGTGGCATCGGTCAGCTCAGTCGAGGTGAGCCATCATTTCCTCCTTCGACAGCGGCTTGAAGTTGTTGATGTCGAGCCCTTGGGCCTCCAAAGCCGGGCGCGCGTGAGCAGGGACCAGTTGGGCATTGAGTTCAGGCGCAATGGACAGTTCTGTAGAGTGAGAGAGAGCCATCGGGATCAGTATAACAGTCCATCGGAAAGGGAGAGCGATATTCGCTTCCCCCCCCGGAGTGATTTGTGGAGCTTACCGTGTCGTGAGAAATCAAATAGACTGGGCATGTCCTTGGCGGGGTTATTGTGGTGACGGGAATCGGGTAGCCGGGTAGACGGATCCCGCAGCTCATCGAAGAAGGGATGGCACATGGCCTCGATCGCCGACAACCGCTGGGTGGGGGTGTATTCTAAAAGAGCCGAAATGAGATCGATGGCCTCCGGGGGCGCCTTGCGGAACACCTAAAGGTTGGTCAGCATCAATGATTCAAAAGCACCACGTTTTCGCGATCGGACCAGCCGACCGAGGCGAACCGGCGGCGGGAAAATCGAAATGCGACTACGTACCTTATTGAAGGGATGGGGCTTGATCTGAGGGAACTTGTGCTCCATGTAATTCGGATTCATAGTCCGAATCTGTTCGCGAGTGGGAGTCCCAAGAACCTTGATGATCTCCACCAGTTGGTCAATGCCCGATTCGCCGGGGAAGAGGGGTTGTCCCAGCATCAGTTCGGCCATCACACAACCAGTCGACCAGACATCTACCCATGGGAGAGGGGAATTAGCCTCACGAGGTCCGAATACAACAATTGGGCGGGGCGGGAGCGATGTTATCCGGGAGAAGGAAGGGCAAGAACAAAGCAGCGGGAGGACAGTAGCAGGAGTGGGAGAAAGACAGGCGTACCGATCTTGGTGGTATAGTTGGTGGCTCCGAAGATCAACTCGGGGGCCCGATAATAACGTGAACAGATGTAGGAAACGTTGGGTTCATTTTCGATGAGAATCTTGGCGGAGCCGAAATCGCAGAGTTTCAGGATGCCGGTGTTCGGATCCAGGAGCAAATTCTGGGGCTTGATGTCACGATGGCAGATGCCTTGAGAATGGATGTAGGCGAGCGACCGGAACAGTTGGTAAATGTAGAGCTTGACCTCCAGCATGGGCATGGTCGTCTTGAGTTTGTTGAAGTACCGCGAGGCTCGGTACACGGTTTCCGGGACATACTCGAGGACGAGATTGAGGTACACTTCATCTTTCTGTACGAGAAAGAGAGAAGGGTGGGACATCGGTCAGCCTGAGGATTTTGGGGGGGGGGGGAGGGGAAGAGAGGGCCGCGGGAGAAGAGGTCGCACATACCCTATCGCCGTTGGAGTAGTAGAAGGCCTTCAGCTCAACGATGTTTGGATGGCGCACAATCCGCATGATCTGCAGCTCACGATTCTAAAGGGGCGAAGAAAATCGGTGAGTCGAGGGAGAGGGGGAAAGGACTCAATGAAGTCCGCGGCATAATTCAGGAGCGTCCGCCTTACCTTGAAGCGCTTGTCCTGGAGGACTCTCTTGATGGCGGCATCCTCGCCGCTGGGGGCCATCTTGGTTTGAAATACCACACCGAACGATCCATTGCCCACGATCTTGCACTGGGTGTACGAGATCTCCTTGGCTTCGCCGGTGAGTCCATCCTGGACCTTTTCGCGGATGACCTCTGCGCGGGTAAAAAAAAGAGACAGACTGGTTAGTGGATAGGGCCGCAATTGATGACTTGAAAGGATGGGGATTGAGGGAGGTGGGAGAGGGGGTGGGAGAGTAGGAGGATCTTACCACCCATGCGCAAACTTGGGAACAGCCCAGGCCGACTCTGTGACATCGCTCTGGGGGAAGGGGGGAGGGGGTGGGGGGGGAGGGGGGTGGACGGATGAATGAAGGGAAGAGAAGTCGAGAGGGAGTGGAGGTGGAGGATATGCTATTGAGGAAGAGAATCCGTTTTGGGCGAGGTGTGTAGGTCGGTGGAGAAGCTTCGGAGGGGAGGAGAGGGGGGGGGGGAGGGGGAGAGTGGGCGGAAGGTCCGAACGGGGCGAGTCGAGCAGAAACGGCGCCAAGCAGCAGGAGACCGTCGAAGGGGAAAGTGTGGGTAAAGAGAGAGAGAGAGAGAAACGGAGGGCTGGGCGAACAGGACAAATGGGCCAGGTAAATTGGTGGCCAATGGAGAGCCGGTGCGTTGGGTCACGGGGAATCCAAGGTCGGTGACGTGGGACTCCGGATTTATGAGAGTTCCTGGGACTCGAGGGGACGAGATAACCGAGTCACTGGAAAAGGGCCACGGAAAGCGATCTCCAAGACGAGCAGCGTCCGAGGGAAAGAAGGAGAGAGACAGAGAGAGAGAGGGAGAAAGCAGAAAATAGGGAAATAGGGAAATGGGGAAATCCAAGCTGGTATAAGCTGGCACAAGCTGGCCCTCCGGTACTCGCGCTGGGCCCGTATACTTGCTGGGCCCGGTACTCGCTATGGGGAATCTCGAAGAGCGAGACCGTCCGCCAGAAAACTCCGCACGTACAACACAGAGCCAAAAAAAAGAGATAGTACAAAATGATGATAAGGGACGGGCGGAACAGGAGAATGCAAGGCACAAGAAAAAAAAAAAAAAAAAAAAAAAAAAAAAGAGATACCCGTCGCGCACGAATCTTAGATACCCATACTTCTCCGGGGCTCCTGGGGAATGATGCTGATGTGGTTTTGGGTCGGTATGGATAGTCGGGGATATAGTTCAGATTCGGTCAGTAGCCATCGAGGAGGCACCGATGCAGGCACGCGAGAATTGACCCAGTATAAGCAAAAATCATACGATAGGCTCCGTGCTGATCCCCTTTCGAACGAGTTTCTTATTTATACTTGACGCCGTGGGCTGGAGCGTAACTTGGGGGGGGGGGGGGGGGGGGGGGTTTGATTTCGGCCCCCCGCGAGTATTCTCAGATTTGCTGCTGCATCGGTCTTTTTGGGCCTTGGCCACTGGCGGAGTCAATTCGGGTTGGATTCCTCTAGTTTTATTTTTTATTTTTTATTTTTTATTATTATTGTTTTCCCTGGTAGTCTTCTCTTTTGCTCGCTCTCTCTATCTCTATCTTGCGCGCGCCTGTTTATGCATCTTCACCAGTTCACAAAAAAAGAAATGAAATGAAATGAAATGAAAAGGATTCAACAAAAAGAAAGAAAAAAGAAATAATAGCTCAACCAGCCAGTTTCGATAGACTGGCAGAGCGCTTCCAGTGTCCGGTACCGCCGAGACCGTCTTGTTCGTACCTAATACAGTACCAATACAGACCGAGCGGACCATACCGGACATGATATCATCGGTATCCGCGGTATCCGTCAGTACGGGATTCGAGCATGCCCTCTCTCCCCAAACCCTTCCACGTATATCGCCTTCTATGTCCTGCACTGTCCCTGTCCGTTGCCGCCTCGGCATTTCGACCAGCAACGTGAATGGGCCAACCATCCTCCTCCCATGAGCTTCGCTCTTGCCGTCCTTTTGCGCATCGTCCATCATTGACATCAAACAATCCCAAAATAAAAAGAGGATCCCGGAAGTACAAATGTTCCGGGTCGGGTGACCACCCGTGATTTTCGCAGGAACCGCGGCCATTGGACCTCGTGACCCGTCCAGGTGACTGGGAAAAGCTTGGGCCACCGCTTGGGAAGTTGGGGATGACCACTTGACTAGACGCATGGAGACTAGACTCCCGGTGAGCTCGGTCCCATGGACATCGGCCAGAGCTCTCGAGGGCCAGAGGTACGTTGGTCAGGGCAGATCATGCCGGGACTTTATTTTTTTTCTCTCTTTTCTTCTGCGCCGAGCATGAGCCCCATGGGTGAAAAGAGCGTTCTGGCCGAGTTGCCCGGGCTCGGGGTCCAGCCAGGGCCCTGGCCCTGGCTCTGGCCACATCGAGCAGGACCGGAAGCGTGGCTTCCATGAAGGCTGAATGGCCCAGTTCCTATTTCTCCTCCCTCCTTTCTAGTGCGCGACTAGGAGTCAATGATATTGACTAGCTAGGCTGTACTATTCAGACTATACTATCCAGACTATACTAGCTACACTATACTATCCAGGCTATATTATCTACAATCCACTATCTAGTCTATACTATATAGACTCAATCTTATATTAACCACTATACGAGATAAGTGTCCGAGGATTGTAGGGTGTTAGGATTGGAGGGAGATCAGTATCGAAGGCTACCACAACGGAGGACGGAGTATACTCGACTGGTGATCGTGCCTCCTGGACACCTCCGAGATGGGCCTCAGCCCTCTCACCCCGACGACATCTTCAGACTCTTGCTCGTCCATGAATGATCCGATCTATACTCCGTAGTCTCGTCTGTCCTGCATCCAGGCCCCGTGCCAACGCCGGCCCCAGCGCCGGAGTCGTCTCCCCAACTCCGGCTACCATTTTTACAAAGCAGTACGCTTTGGCGATATCGTCTACATTTTCTATTTTGGGGTCTGCTGCCGCTGATGAGGTTTGTTTTTCTTCTTTTGCCCCTGGCACCGTCGATCTCGGTTTCAGAGCTCGAGCCATGCCATGCGAGATACGGCACGAACGGGACCCGGCAGCCCACCGAACGTCGATCCCCGGTCCTCATGAGGGCCCATCCCGAGCCCCCCATTCCTCGTCATGATCATGCCCAGGATCCCCTTGGCATGTGCGGTGAAGTGATCGTAACCGACCGCCCCCCCCCGACTCCGAGTCATTGGGATTCTGGCCGTCGTCCCGTCTCGGGTGCATCCCTGTACCATGCAGTGCACCACACACACGCACACAGAGAGAGAGAAAGAAAGAAAGAAAGAAAGAAAGAAAGAGAAAGAGGGACAGCAGGCCCGATGGCCAGCGAGGTCCAGACCACATGTCGACAAGGTCACCGCGGAAACGAGGCCAGACGAAGCTCCACAGGCCCCTCGCAGGGCAACACAGTCAAGAGAGCAGCACAGCACGTCCATTGGAAGCGAAGACGAGAAGCAGAATCGGGTGTATCGAGATCGTAAGGCGAGGCGAGCGATCGCTCGTTGTCGCGGCTGATCTGACGAGTCTGCTGCGGCTCTGCCAATGACAAGAGCAGAAGCCAGGCTGACCGATCACCCCGACGAGGTAAAAGGTCGGTATCTACGCGCGAAGAGGCCGTTCAATGCATCTGTCTATCCAGGGGATGGGGGCTTGCAAACGCCCACAATTGGAAGATCGACTCGATGTTCAAGGGGACTCGGCTCCTGAGCCGTCGCTACTGGTCCACCTTCCATCATTTCCACAAGAACAATCATTCCACTGCGAAATCCGTATTATGATCTCGGACCACGAGCTGGACATATCGTGTGGACCTCTTCCATTCTTCAGACGGGAAGAAGACACTCGTTTGATGGGTGATGGATTCCTGGTGGCGCCTCAGATTGCTTGCTAGCTTTTTTCTTTATTTATTATTAATATTATTTTCTTTTTCCGAAGATAGTTTTTCTCGAGTATGCACTCCCCCTGGGACACGGAGAGCACTGGTACCGGGGGACTGTTTTGTTCTCTGCTCTCTATTTTTGGATTACAAAGAAAGAGGCTAAGGAAGGCAAGGCCGACGGCAGGAATGTAGTCATAATCGGGCTATCAGTTCCTGGCGCTTGCCCCTGATGAGACTTGCAGACTTACCGGTGGACTCGGTGGGTTTGGTGGGCTCGGTGGGCTCGGTGGGCTTCTCTGTTTGCCCATGCACAACCAGCTTCACGAGGCGACCCAGGCCGAAGAAGAATCGCAGCGGGCCGCTATGGGGCCTGGCGAGGGAGAAGCAGGCCCAGATGGGGAGAAGACTCCCAACAGCAGCCGTTGAGGTGCTCTCCCCCAGCTTCGGGGGCAGAAGGGGGGCGGGCGCACCCAGGGTTGGGGCCCAAGCGGCACTTGCCCTCGACCAACGTGAACGCCCGCTGCAGGCAACTGCACCTGGCTGAAAAAGGTTCATGTTGAGACACGGCGGCTGGGTCAGCTAGAGCCAAGGCTGCAGCTGTGCTGCATCGGCTGTTCAGCGTCTGTGCATTTCCGGGTTGAACGAGCCAACGAGGGCCCACGGAGTCACGGGAGCCTGTACAGTACCGTACCGTCCACCCAAATCAGACCAGTACGCATTCCATACCCAAACCGGTTTTGGTTTCGGTTTTCCCACGCCGGCATACCAGTATTTACGCCTTCGAGACGTTTACTACGAAGTCACACCAGAGGTGCAGAGAGATGCAGAGAGATATCGATCCCTCGACTATCTGGACTACCTTTTCCTGCCGAAGATAACTGTGTCTACATGTATCTATCTCTATCTACATATCTCTCTGTATATCTCTCTGTATATCTCTCTATATATCTCTCTCGTTCGCTCACTCTCTCTCTGTCCATCTATATCTCTCCCCGAACTCGACCCCCAGTTAGAAGCCCCCCCCCTGTCAGTGCCGTTTCTGCCAGAGTCACGGGTCACCAGTCACGAGCCACGAGCCACGTCCAACTAGACTAGCAACCAACCAACCGCAATCAATCTTTGCTGAGACGGACAATTTGATGACCAGGGGATCCGAGGGACCGAGCAAACCGGCAGCCACCTGACCAGGACCAATTTTTTTTCTCTTTGGCTGAAGCCCAACATCACCAGACGTTCTTTCGCCACAATGGAATGACGTAGGGCTCCGGCACGGCCCCGTGGAAAGCACGCCGTGAGCCCCGTTGGATGCGATCTTGAGGGGACCAACCAGAGAGATCAACTCATCCCAGAGAAAGGAACCAATCCCCAATTTCCTTCCGCCCAAGACCAAAGAAGGAAACAAAGGCAAAATCCAGTTGTCGGTGGGCCTCCCTGGATCAGAATCAGCCCTTCAGAGCCACACCCCTCATTGATGACCTGGGTATCCAAGTATCTGTTACTTGATACTCCGTGCCCGCCGACGGAGAATGGGCGACCCGGGCCATTTCGGGACGCACGCCCAACTCCAAGGGGATGGGGGATGGTCAAAGTGGAAAACCGTCAGGGCTGCTCTGTCGTCGTCTCCAGCTAGAGGATCTTGGTAGACGAGATAGTCAAACCCCGTCTCATTCGCGTTCCATCCACTTTTATTATTACTCTTCATCCCAATTACTGGGATGGATGGGTCCCGCCAACATATCTCCAGCGGTGGTTGGGTGCGCTTACCCGGCACCAACCCGAGCGAACCGAAGGAGCAGAACCCAGCAGAGACCACCCACAGCCTAGACGATCGCAACCCGGTGTCTCTTGTTGGACTAACCGGCATGACATCGGGAGATGATCGAGAGGGAGGCGGGGGAGAGGGGAGGGGTTGTTTACTGTGCAATGCCATTTGGGCCGGCCCGAGAAGGACCGGAATGTGCTCTGTTCATCCAGCGTGCCGCCGGCATAGGAATTGGAAGTATATGCGGGATGGGCACCGCTTGTTTTGCCTCGCGCTCGACGTCTACGGGTCTCAAAAGAAGACGCAAGGCCCAGCATGCTCAAAGCCTCCATGTTGCGACTGCATGCAGTCCGAGACTGTCAGACACGTGGGAAACGGCCTGCGTCCCCAAGGGGGAGGAGCGTGTCTACAGTAGGTATTTTTTTCTCATGCCAGAAATTGGGATCCAAATGGGAAACCATGGGAGGTGAATCCGTGCCGTCCCCCCGTGCCGCAAGGGAAATTAAGACCGCTCGGGAGGAATTTAGAAATGCCACCTAGAAGGATGCCACACATGCGAAACATGCGAAACCTACGGAACATGCGAAACATAATCCTGTCACAGGGCTCATTGGCCCACCGTCAGGATTTCCCCCTGGTTCTTTTTGTGATTTGTTTCCTCTTGAACGACAGGTCGACAGGTTGGAAGAGCGAGCGATCCAGGGATCCGGAAATTCCCAAATCGGGGTCGTGACCATTCCGATGCCCCTGATCTCAACCAACTTTGTTGATGTTCGGCTATTGAGAGTATGTACATAGGACATGAGGACAGTGGATAGGACTAAATAGGCCGGGTCATCAGAGGTTATACTCCATCGTTCATCGCGTCGTCCGCCCTCGATCGGCGCAGGTCAATAGCGTCTGTCATCGGGGCGTACGAGGTAGGTGTTCCCCCAACCATCCCACGATGGGCGTTAGGGTCGACGATCTGCCATCATTCGCGACGATCGAAATACAGCATCGTGGATCTTCTCTCTTTCTTTCTCCCTCACACACACACTCTCTCTCCCCGCCTTCCCCCCTGCTCTCTTTTTCGCGCGTCTATGCGGGAGACCAGCCTTCCCCCGCTCCCCAATAGGCATGGATGGTTAGGCTGATTTTTCTCCTTTGCCCTTTTCCCATTGTATTTGGGTGCCCATCGTGGGGGACTGGAACCAATCAGACTCGCCTCGCTCCGGCATCACGTCACAGTGCCGCCGTAGTGCTGATAATCCAAGTGCATTGGGAGTGTGCATTGGGATGCCATCAGCGCCCAGCCACGTCCCGATTCCACTTCGTCCAAGAGTCTGATTTCAATGATCTACTGTATTATTGACTGGTCCGAAATGCCCACTGCCTGCACCATCACGGACTAGCTCGTGAACTATAACCCAACTGAAGAAGTAAATAACGGCGGGGTATCATCATCATCAGCGAGGTAGGGATAGCCCACGACCAAGAATACGCAATTCCAGGTGGTCAAGTTCCCCTATGTACTCTGCACCATATATTCCTCTTATACATACTTTCCTACTTGCGTTGAATTACATCCCACCCCCTTTCGAAAAGTAAAATAAATATGCATCATAAGTCGCACATGGGCTGCCTTTCACGATGATGACTTTTCAAAATGGAGCAATTCCCGACTCGAGACCCATCCAACCAGGACGCAACCAGAAGTGGAGTGGAACCCCCTCCCCCCTCAAACCCACAGGCAATTTCAAGGAAAACGAGACGACCAAATCGAAGCGCGACAGGCGATTGGATGTTGAGCAAGAGGGTCACGGGCCCTGCGAAGTGTAATTGTGGATTTCTGGACTCGTGGATATTGTTGAGAGTGCGTTTGGATGTTCGTCCCCGCAGCGAACCCTACGGGGCCGCGCATGGTTGTTCTCCTCCCTCCCCCTCTCTTGGGCGCCCCCGGTATATGCAGGTCGCCAAACCGGGGACGACAGGGACCAACGGCGGCCAGGGTGATGTCAGGGACCCAATAGACGGGCTTTGAATCGCGGGGTGGCTGTCTCTGTTATTCACGCTCCCTTATGATTCCTAATGATCTAACAAGATATGGTTGGGGGGAGAAAAGGTGTAGAAAAAAAAAAAAAGAAAAGGAGGCTGATGCTTGGGCATTCAACCCTTTCAACCCATTCCGATCCTCTTCTGCAACTTCCCCTCTCTCATGATATCATACTGCTGCATAGCCACCAAGGGATTGGGAACGGGGGGTTATCAATCGACGGATGGGAGATTGATACCATTGTGGCGGTTCAAAGGCTGGCCCAATAGCCAAGAAGGAAAGATCCGGTCCTATCAGCCCGAGTCTCGGTCTATATGTGCATATCTACATCCTCTATCTGACAATACTACTACGTATTACGAGCAGTAGTCGTTCCTAGCGACAAGTAATACCGAGGTGAATCCTGGACTGCCCTCCTTTTCTTTCCTTGCCTTTCTCTATCCCTTTTCCTTCGGTTGGCCCTATGTCATTGTTCAGGATTGAGAGAGCAACGATGCTTCCGATAACTCCATAGTATTAGGCCATTCACAAGCGTTGTATCCACTCCTACACCCCGGAGGAGTCTGTTTGACGCTTTGTGGGGGGCTTGTCCATTTCAAGTTCGCTGGGGTCTCGCAAATTCCCTTATATATGGTTCAAGAGGGACCAACTCCTCTCAAGCGAGAAAAAAAAGATACGTAGTGGAATAGAGCTAAATGGTCCAGAAGTAATGTGCTCAGATCATCAGATCTAATGGGTATGGTTGGTTCATTGATCTTTCTCTTTCTCTCTTTCTCTCATGGAGATAGCGTCAGGTGTAGATTGAGATTGGTTGTCTGGAACAACATAGAGATATATCTTTGCACCAACCAGATTCCCATTAAGATTCCATTTCTACTGTGCAGATCATTGAAAATCAGCCCAGGCATGCCGGTATAATACTTCATATTCGTAGACCATTGCCATCCAATCTTATTCAACCGCTCCCAAGCGACACTCAAACTTGGTAGATGGGTTCATTGTTGCTGGGATTTGCATCTACTGTGCTAGTTCTGCTGAGTGGAGAGGTTCTCACATCGTACGACGGAGTCGAATAGGAAGAATATACACCAGGCATCATCCATGGAGTCAAACTATTACTTCTACCGATCTCTATCCAGCAAAGTGCCAAAGAGGCTGATTGGGCCGATGACTACTCTGAAAGAGCTTCCCATCAGAGGTTTCTTCGCCTCTCTGCTCACCCTAGGCTATACAGAACCCACCGGTTATACAAGATGCAAAAATGCTTTGCGATTTAGATTCAAAAGACTGTTTTACATTGGTCCGTCTATGATGCGAAAAACATAACCAGGGGGACTCTCCAAGGGCGCAACCACGCACCTCCCACCTCGCAAACTTTGCCATCCCACGGGGGCCGAAAAGAAAAGACACCATGGCCATGAGAAGGGAACCCAGATCAGGAGATAAACAGGACATAGAAGACCACGGACCAAAACATAGCTGGAGAGATGCGGACATCAAATGTCAGGGGAGGGGGAAGAAAGATAAGACGGAAAATCGGAAGGAGGGGGGGGAATAACAGAGATGTGAATCTATACAAAAAAAGACATGGGACTCTCCATGGCGCCAAACAACTGCCGTCACCTCCCGGCAATCCGATTTTCCAGTGGATGTACCGACAGAGAACGAACAGATATACCATGTCAATCCAGACATTTCAAGGGGGAAGGGCGAAGAACTAATAAAACAGAGAGGGTGAAGGATGATTAGCTCGAGATACCTGGCAGAAAGGTACCAGACTCGAGAGGAATGGTGAGAATCTCAGACATTGAGAGGAGATTAGAAGGGAGGGGGATGATGCTGGCGGCATCAGCCTTCTCCTGCTGCTCCATCAGCTCCTCGCCGGCGATCTCGAGAGAGACGGCAAGGCCGACCTTAGCCGTTTGCTATAAAAAAAACAACTCGTCAGCATCAAGTCGTCGGAAAAGAGAAGTGAGGAGGGGAAAAAGAAGAACATTGTCATACCTTGGCCTGGTCAATCTCACCAGCGAAGGTCAGAGAGATGGGCATGGCGATACGCTTCTCCAGAAGACAGCTGACCTTGCCAGCACTGTCGACCTGGGCGCGGAAAGAAGAGGCACGGAAGTCGTACTTGGCGCCAATGGCAGTGGTGCCATCCCGGCTAGGACCGCCCATCATCATCGCGGCGGCGTTGGGAGCGAACTGGAGGTTCATGTCGACACCGGCCTCGACACGCTCAGACAGCTTGCGCCAGTAGGTGGCGGCGAAAGTGCCCTGAGCCTGCAGCTGAGCAGTACCGATCCAGTCATCTCCCTTGTACTTGGCACAGTAGGACAGAGCAGTCTCCGGGCGAGTGTTCAGGCCCTGGCGCTGCCAGATGGCCTCAAAGCCGAGGGCCAAGCTGGGGGTAATGGACTGGAGGTAGCTACCGACGAAGATGCCGGTCAGGCCACCCTCCAGGAAAGAGGGGTTGAAGGCCTTCAAAGAGGCAGAGAAATCTTTGCCAGTGTAGTCGTTGTCGATCTGCATCAGACCCTGGGTGGCACCAGGCATGATCTGGGCGTTGGTCTTGGTGACCAGAGACGGAGTCCAGCGCCAGTTGTAGACAGCGGAGAGAGTGCCATCGCTTCCGAGGTTGCCTTGCATGAAGACCTGTGGACAGGAGAGAGATTTATAGTTAGATATATGAAACCGACGCTCAATTGAAAGCCTTCGATGAAATGGGACAAAATAGGATGCTCTGTGCTTACCTTAGGGCTGCCGTACATGGCCGAGAAAGCGTACGGGGGCAGATTGCCGGATGAGCCCATGGAGAACGCATGCGACACACGGAACAGAGGAGACATGCCAAAGACCTTGGTCAGGTCGGCGCGGAGACCAGAGAACATGAAGTTGGACAGCAGGACCTCCTTTTGCACCTCACGCGCGATGTTATCTACAGTGCCCGGGTTGGGCAGATTGAGCTGCGCCCTGCGCTCGGAGAACGAGGTGTATGCATCATTAATCACTGCCATGGCAGGGTTTTCCGTGAGGAAAGAGAGGGAGGATGTGAGATCGGCCATTTTTGGAGGCTGAGAGGTGAAAAGTATCGAGGTGTCGTCACGCGATGCCGGTCAACGGGTTCGTTGTGAGGAAGGGAGAATGGGCACGATGAAGGAGGATTGAGACCAGCCCGGGATATCTGGACGAACAAACGTCTCAGAACACGTAGACTTGCAAGGAGGGCTGTATCTGATCCGTTCGGAGGATTGGGGGTTGGTTCGAGGGAAGCGGAGCTGAAGACTTTCCAGTGAAAAATGCCAGTTCCGTTGCGCCTTTGGCTGCTGTCGCCGCCCGGGATCAGGTTAGGTAATCACGGGCTTTCTCGGGCGTGACCAAATCCAGAATGCACGGGAAACTGGGGAAAAGAAAGAGAGAAAAAGCCGTGAGGAGGCCAGATAAAGGTTCAATTGAAGGAAGAGATTATAGAAACATTCCACTTTGGAGGCCAAAACGTGTATTGAAGCGTGATGGAGGGCACTGGTAGAAATGAAGCGTAGAGAATAGAGCCTCCAACATAAAAAAGGCCGTAGGGACGATCCACCCGATATCTACTCCGGCCTTATCGTCTATACCGCCTCTCCCACCTTCCTGGTACTTTCATCCCTCGATCCTTGCCTTCACGAGACTCTCTGTGAGCATTTGTCCTTCCGACTTGTTCGGTCTGCCGTGATACCACATTGTCTGGAGTCTCTCGGGGAACTTGTCGTCACCCCCTTCCAGCCCCGCGATCATGGATACCTTACTGTAAGTCGGCTTTTCCAACTCGATATTCGAGTGACCTGTCTATAGTACTGTAAAAGATCCCCATCGATCTTCCTTCTCGCAAAGCCTTCCACGAAGGGCCGCTGACAGAAATGTGGCCATCGGCCTTGGGACTGTGCGCTGACGTCAATCAGTACTGCAGAAATCGTGGCCAACTCGCCCCAGTTCCGGCGAAAGTCCTCCATTTTTGTTGATGCAATTCATGACCTGCCAGAAAAAGCTGATCTTGCCCCAGCTCAGCTCTATAGCACTGAGTCTGGCCGGCTTTTCCATTCTGGCCGGATCGTGATCATCACTGTGGGGTTGCCCGCCAGAGGCAAGACGTAGGTCTCGCCAGGTCGCGACAAGCAGTTTTCCCGGTAGACAAGCTGATTAGATCTGACGAAATAGACATATCTCGGTGGCATTAGCACGGTACCTTCGATGGTATGTTTCCGAACTAGGCTTGGAGCATCGGTCTTCCCTTATTGAGCTTGATTTTATAGTCCAGTGAGCACTAACATTTCTGAAAGGCTAGGAGTCAAGACCCGAATTTTCCATCTCGGTGACTATCGTCGTGCTACGATCCCATTTGGCGAAGATATGCCCGATGATTATTTTTTCGTGAACGGTACGCATGGCGGTTACCGTCCTCCCTTGCACGCTGATCTTAACGCGGTATAGCATCGGCGTCATCCGTTCTGCTTCGCCAAAAGATTGTGAGAAAGTGTAGAGAAGATATCTATCACTTCTTGAACCATGAAAATGGTCAAATTGCGATCTATGATGCGGTGAATCCTCTGGCCTCGGGGCGACGCTCGCTTGCCAAAGAATTTGCAAAGCATGACATCGAGGTAAACTTGCCGCATTTACCACCATTGTTGACCCTGTTTTAATGAATGTCTTACTCTCAGACTCTCTTTATTGAGTCTTGGTGTGATGATGAGCGTATAATTGAAGAAAACGTGCGCAGGGTCAAAATTTCCTCTCCTGATGTACGTATGACCTATAGGATTGTGGTCCCTCCAAGCTAATCATCCTACTAGTACATTTCATGGAGCCCCGAGGATGCTGTCAAACATTACCTGACTCGCATCTCATCCCGGATCCCCCAATTTCAAACCATGGAAGAGAAGGACCTCAATTATATCAAGGTTTTAATTTCTCTTCAGACCTATTCTCTTATGTATCGTGTGCTGATATTCGACAGATGATGAATGCTGGGGAACGGTTGATTGTGAACAACTGCAGCTTTGGCTACCTTTCTAACCGTATTGTGTTCTACCTTTTGAATCTTCATATTAAATCGCGACGAACGTATTTTGTTCGGGTAGGCAACTCCTATTATTTGCATCAGATATGAATGGACTAACCGATCTGCTTAGGCTGGTGTTTCTCTCGAGGCCGATTCTTACAAGGCAGATGCGTCTCTGTCAGACCAGGGCGAGGAATATGCGAAGAAGATGACCGACCGCCTGCTTGAACATCGAGAATCAGAAAAGCGTGCTATCGTTGACCGAGGCGATGCGGCCTATGAACTTCGACCGTTGAAGGTCTGGACTTCAACCAGACGTCGAACAGTCGAGACTGCAAAATACCTTTATGACAGGGGTTACAAGGTTCGGCAGCGTTCACAGATGAGCCAGCTCAACCCTGGGGTTTGCGAGAAAATGTCAGAGAGGCGAATTCGTGCCGAATTCCCTGACGAGGTTGCAAAACATGAACTTGATCCCTATCACCACCGGTACCCTCGAGCAGAGGTAAGTGTGTTTATCATGATGCATACTTCTTTTGTTGACTTAGATAGTCTTATCACGACCTTGCTGTTCGCCTTGAGCCGATCATCCTTGAATTGGAGCGAGAGCAGAACGACTTGCTTATCATTGCCCACGAAAGTGTTCTGAGAGTCTTGTATGGCTATCTCATGGCCTGTAACGCCGCCGACATTCCGTTTTTAGAGTTCCCTCGGGATGAGATTATTGAGGTGCGATACGGTCTATCCTTTTTATAAACTCTGTTCTGTATTTGGCTAATCATCATTCCATCATTGATCCAGATCATTCCTGAAAGCTATCAAAATGAAGCACGCAGAATTCATATTCCTGACCTCCCCGAGGAGATCATTCCTGACTCTCCAGAGGACTTGAAAATACCAGTGCCTCCAAGTGGGGTGGTATCTCCGATGTCAGGCCTGGGTAGTCCACAGGATGGCGGTGCAACTCCCCAGAGCGGTTTTCGCACCCCCAGTGGACTTCGGACTCCGCGCGAGCCTGAGCGGATCTCCCAGCAACATGTTGAGGACGTTGTTTAAAATAGCCATCCACCAATTATGTTTGCATGATCTGATAGACTCATGTCACGGACCAACTTTTCGGCTCTGATCGCGCGTACAATATTGGTAGTAAATCGCTTGATTTTTCTAATTCTGTGTCATCCACACTAGCCTCCATGTAGCGTTGAGACAAAGACAATATTATCTCCGGGCTGGAGTTCATATGTTTCCTCTCCTTCAAGTTCCCAATCGGCGTCATTGATGAGAACAAGAATCCCTGGTCGCCTGCCATATTGTTAGTCTCGGGCTCCTTGCGAATGGCCACTGTCCCACGTACACATTGTCTTCCATAATAAACATTTCCTTCCTTTGATCTTTCATCAAATTGTCCACCAGGTAATGCAGCAGGTATGCGATATTCGGCTGGCTCCCATCGTCGAGTCGAGCGGGAAGTGCGACTTTATGCTTTCGTTCGTTTCCAAATAGCAGCTCGAGGCCACCACTGTAGGAACATTAGTATTGGGCTGCAGAAAGTGAGGGATGAGCGGACGAACGTGAACTCGACGGTGATAGGAGTTGAAGCACCTGCGCCTCCATTTGCGGTGTCACCCATGGTGTCAGTTGTTGAATTGAGAGACCGAGGATATTCCAAGAGACTGTGACTGGTAGAGAGTGAAATCAGCAGCGAGGAGGGGCTGGGCGGGAGCGCTCTTATCGATAAGCCCGTTTCCACAATTATCTTTCGCGACAGCTCTTTTCCTCCACCACGCCGACCCTCACTCCAGACAAAACGGTGCGTCCGAGTTGTTTCACCCTTCTTAAAACCATGGCGTCCGTTACGACCGATTATATTAGCGTGGGAGGAAATCGGCATCCGGGCGCCGCCGATTGGGATGTTCAATCGGGTGTGCTGGCCTTCGGTGCGGACAACAATGTCGCCCTGTGGGAGCCTCTAGTAAGTGCATAGGCATTCTATAAGGAGTGACATATATTGTGCAGAATTAACGATGATCTAGGATGATTCTAGCCGAGGTGTTTATGCCCTTCTCGTCGGTCATACCGATAAAGTCAGTGTCGTCAGATTTTACACCTGCCCCTCGTCTGGGACGAGATTTCTCCTCACCGGCTCTGTCGATCGGACAATTCGAGTATGGCAACAAGATTCGAGAAATATCCGCAATTACACACAAGTCTCTTGCCTTGAAGGTCACCAGGGATCGGTGAATGCGATAGCGGTGGCAGACGGGACAGATGTTGTCGCGAGTGGTGCTGCAGATGGCACAGTTCGGATCTGGAGAATCAATCAGCGAGATGGCGTCAATTGCGAATTGCTCGAGTCAATCACTATGACGCCTCGTTTCTTTCCGCTTACATTGTCCTTGCGCGTTCTTGATGTCAACAATGGCAAACCATTAGTGTTGGCCGTTGCGGGGACTACGACGGCGGTACAGATTTTTGTTGCAGAAACATCTACCAGCCAGCCTAATTTCCAACGTCGTACGGTGCTTACCGGCCACGAGGCATGGATCAGATCTCTATCATTTACTCTAGACAAGCAGAGCAAAACAAATGATATTCTGCTAGCTTCTGCCAGCCAGGACAAATACATTCGCCTATGGCGGTTGTGTCGGGGTGAGGCCAAGAAGCCCGCGCAGATTGACGAAAGTGACCCCCTACTGGGTGGCATGGAGCCTACATTGTCCAACAAAGCTCACGAATTTGAAGCGGGAGGATCAAAATATTCTATCACCTTTGAAGCTCTGCTCTTTGGAAACGAGGATTGGATCTACACTACCGCATGGAACCCCGACCCGACACGATCACAACTCCTCTCAGCTTCCGCTGATAATACCGTTACAATCTGGGAACAAGATCCAGTTTCCAGTGTCTGGATGTCTGTGGAGAGAATGGGAGAAATTAGCGTTCAAAAGGGATCTACTACTGCAACTGGCAGTGCGGGTGGTTTTTGGATTGGACTTTGGTCCCCAGATGGAAAGCAGGTGGTGAGCCTTGGCCGTACAGGTAGTTGGAGGGTATGGAAGCATGATTCTGAAGCCGAAATTTGGGTGCAAAAGTTTGGCATTTCAGGACATGTGCGTTCCGCGAATGGTGTACAATGGGAGCCCAACGGTGGCTATCTCCTTTCGACCAGCGCCGATCAAACTTCTCGTCTTCATGCCCAATGGGTGCGTGATAACAAGCATTCTTGGCATGAATTTTCTCGCCCTCAAATTCACGGATATGATCTCAATTGCATTGACACACTCGGGCCTGCCCAGTTTGTTTCAGGTGCGGACGAAAAGCTACTGCGCGTGTTCAACGAGCCCAAGCAGATTGCGGAGCTACTCGGAAGGCTGAGTGGGTTTCAACAAAAGATCGAGGGCGATCTACCAGACACCGCTGAAATTCCTGTCTTGGGTCTGTCTAATAAAGCCCAGGGAGATGAGGCCCCAGTTGAGGAACAAGTATCCACTGAGGCAGTATCTTCCACCCCTGCAGCTTCATTGATCACCGACACCCCGCCACTGGAAGATCAACTCTCTCGATATACTCTGTGGCCGGAACATGAGAAGCTTTATGGTCACGGCTATGAAATCTCAGCTGTGGCTGTCAGCCATGACCGTACACTTATTGCAACTGCGTGCAAGGCCAGCTCGATTGATCATGCAGTCATCCGTTTATATGATACATCGGACTGGCACGAGATCAAGCCATCTCTTACTGCGCACTCCTTGACCATCACTGATCTTTCATTTTCTGATGACGACAAGTATCTCCTGAGTGTTAGCCGAGACCGTCAATGGGCGGTCTTTGCCCGGAGTGACGAGGAGCCGACTACTTTTATCAACTTTACCACAAACCCTAAAGGCCACTCTCGAATGATTTTGGGTGCAGCATGGGCTCCGAATAAGACTGAGCGCATTTTTGCTACCGCAGGACGTGACAAGTCTGTCAAAATTTGGCAGAAGACCGACAATACTTTCACTTGCAAGTCAATTGTGGCCTTGACGTCTGCAGTATCTGCAATCGCTTTCCTGCCTTCCCCTTACAAGAACTCATTCATCCTTGCCGCCGGAGAAGACAGCGGCTCTGTTTCAGTCCACGGGATCGCCGTGGATAGCCTTGAAGCCCAACATATTGTGACAATCGACCAGTCAATTGCACCTTCCAGGGCAATCACTCAGCTCTCATGGCGCCCAGTTTCCCCGACTGAAGTGGAAAACAGAGACTGTTTCGAACTTGCAGTGGCCAGTGAGGACACTTCCACGCGCATATACGCCATCTCCAACATACTCTCATGATTTGTATATAGACACGAACATAATGTTAATGATGGGCGTTTTGTTCTCCTCCAGGCTCTAAGTTCAAGCCGTATAGTAAATTTCTAGTGTCCTGAAAGGTTGGCAAAATATAGTGACCCTTATCTTCTCACCCATAAATGGTGCAACAGTGCAACAGTCTAGCTTTGAAACAAAGTTTGTTACTTGCAGAGGTATCTCGACGTGTGCCTGAAGTGAGCTTTGTGAATACAGTCCCTGGCATTGTGCGGGGAGGAGTTCTGGTTTTGCGAGTCGCAAAGCGAAATGCAATCCTGATTGCCTGAACGAAGTTGCTTGTCATTCATCGAAACCTCGCCAGTGGAGTCAAGCGACATGCTTTTCTGGCGACAAGTGCAATTGATTGCACTACTGATGAAGCTCCTGGTAATGGCACTATGACGGCTACTTCTAGCAGAATATATTTTGTCAATAGCAATGAAGACGTCTCGACCAGAGTTGAGACTACGTTCAAGGTCGATGGGACAGCGGAGAAGGCGTAGGAGTATATCGCAGCTGTCATAATCGATGAAAGGAGTTGAATGAAAGCTATGATATTGTTAAAACAAAAAGAATGTTCCGATCAAGTCTCTCCTTCAAACTCTTGGTACGTCTTGAACTTTCTTGTGGGTACCTTTCTATCGAACATGATATCTAACTCTTGATACGTTCTATTTTTGGTCTGCAGCACAAAGTCAGAAAGTGATAGCAAAAATTCAAAAAAGACTTACCTCTGGAAGTCTCAGATAACTCCAGATGAGAGAGAAAACAGAAATGCCCCCGAAAACAAACTCGATCTTTGCACCAGCATTAAGTGCTCCCGGATTCAAGAAATAGGGCCCCATAATATCAAGAACAAGATATGATAGCCCGTTTATGGTTGCAGTGAGAGACAGCGTCTTTGCTCGCAGCTTTGTTGATGGAACCTCGCTCGAGATAATGAACCCAAGAGGACCAATTGTCAGAGCAAACACAAATTGAAGGCTAACAAGCATACTCGCTTGAGCCCATGAGTAAGAAGGCGTAGAGCTATAGTCCTTGGCAAAACATAAGAGTGCCACGATCCAGAGAATAGTGACAGAATAGCTTAGCCCAAATAGCCAAGAGGTCCGTCGCCCAAACCAAGCTAGCGGAAAGACGCTTAAAAGGGTTCCAAGAAATGATACTCCATTCAAGGCGACACCCATATCGAATGCCTTCTCGGCATTTAACCCAACCTGCTCAAACAGATAGGTAGCAAATCCAGTGGGATTACCAGAAAAATTTTGCACCACAAACAACATCGAGCAAATCTCAAGTCGTCTGCGGTTAGATCCCTTGAAGCAATCCCAGTAAGTTGTACCAGTTTCTTGTTCGCGCTCATACAGGTCTGTCTGAGCCATCATCGCTAAGGTATTCAAATTTTGGTCCTGAATAACTTTACTCGTCAGTTTGTCAAGAGCCTTCTTAGCCTCATCCAGTCGATTCTGTCTCATCAGCCACCAAGGCGATTCTGGGGCCCAGATCAAACCAATCAATAGGATGACAGGCCATGCCCACTGAACAGCATAGGGAATCTTGTACGCCCATTTGTCAGGTCGATTCACCAGACCTCTGGTGATGCCCGTTTGAAGGAATTGTCCAATCGTATAGCACAGCTGGACGTAGCCAGTAAAATATCCCCGAAGAGATAGCGGCAGCACTTCAGATGCATAAGTAGGTGCGAGAACATGATAGCCTCCCCAGATCAGACCGGCAATATACATGGATGTCGTCAAAACAATAATGTTTGACGCAAAGAACTGCATGAATACCAAGGCAACGGTAAAGCAAAGATACAGTGCCATTGTCCTTCTTCGTCCTATCAGATCCATTGGAATAGCACATGCCCAGGCCCCGACAACTTGTCCTACTATAGGCCCCATAGACATTGCCACTTGCCATTGCGTTGGAATTTGATAGCCACCTCCAGGGGACTTTTGGCCGAAATGTTTTTGAAATGCCGGCAGGGCATAAAAGTTGCCAGTGATCTCGATGTCGTACGCTCGCATGATGATACACAGCGAAAAGAACACTGACCAAAGTGCCCCGGCTCGATGCATTCTGAGAGCTTGCCAAGTAGAGACATCATGTTCCATGCGTGTAGCTTGATCGGCCATTTCTCGATTCACAGCATCTAGCTTGGTGTGATGCTCAACAATTGGCAATTGCGCTCTGCCAGAGACAATCTCTGGGAGCTCTACAGCAGGACTACTGCCCGCCATAGTTGAGATCTGGAAAATCGAAGAAGGGTTCAACGAAGTAAGAAGAAGTGAGAGGACCTTTTTGACCAGGAACAATCACGTAAGGATTAGAATACTCGCAAATAATGAGATTTGCTCTCGTATATCTGGTTTTGTCATATCGTTTACCCCGCATCAGAAAGCTTTGTTCGATCCTTATCCGATTTTTGAGTCGGCGTCTTCCCCGAAGGGGTATCTTCGAAGGATTCCTAATACCCGTCGGAGAAATGCTGATTGGATATAGATATTGAGTTTTCAGATTGAATGAATGAAATCTTATATTTTGCCGAGGAAAAACGAAACTGAACGGAAGTGACTACTTAGCTTCTCACCCGAGACTGATTCTAACGAATTCGACCTGCGATTTAGGTTGATCAAGCTTGGTTTTTGGAGTAAAGGAGTACGCCCGACTAATCGGAACCGGTACTCTCTACACAAGTAGGGCTAGGCAAACAAATAGTCTTTTGTATTTTCATGAGATATGATGTTATTGAAAGCAACCAAGACGTACCCTCTGTTTCATAACAGGAAGAGAAAGAAAGAGCTTCGCCCCGTTTTGCAGAAGGAATTCCTCACGTTCAGTCCTATCCGTTTTTTACGTGCACCATTTTTGACTCTCGAAAATGATTTTTTTTCTAGGTGATTAACATATCCTTGTTTTTCTATGGCTCATGGGTGAGTGAAAACTCCCAGTGTTGAAGAGACCTGCCCTGTAGACCCCAAAATGCCCGCAAAAACCCGCCGATGCCAGATGGTTGAACCCAATGATTGTTGAATGGCATGATGTTAAAAAGACTCCCCATTGCCCCAAAAGACAGACAGAATTAGAAGGTGAAGGTGAAGCTTGAAGTACAAAAGAAGGAAATGCAAGCGTTGTTCAGTCATGCTTCTCCAGACCGTAACCACCGATCGCGTCTAGAGATCCATAGGTCTTTGCCTGGTTTGATTCACCATCGCTAGTGCCGCCATTGCGAGGTCCACGCGCCTTCAAATCCTCTTTCAGCCATTTGAGAACCAACTCTCCCAAACGGCTATTTTCAGACGTCCACTCAGGGACCTGATCATGGAACTTTTCGACGGGGCCCCAGGCCTTAACCTGGCCGAGGTGCATGTGCACTAGGTGAGTTGGCCACTGAGCAAGGTTGTCCAAGATGTGAGTCGCATAGACGATGGTACAGGGGCGGCTTTCCGTCTCCCGTTTAAGAAAAGCAAGGAAGTTGCTTCGGGAGAGGAGATCCAGGTCCACTGTGATCTCGTCAAGGAGCAAAACCCTCCAGGGCCGCAGCAAGCCCATGGCTAGCTGCACCCGACGTCGTTCACCATCCGAGACGGCATGCATGCGCCAGCGTAGATCAATGTCGAGGATATCGACAAGCTCATCACGCCTCTCCGGATAGGCATTCCCGCCCACCGAAGCCAATAGCGTGGGCACATCGATGTCAGTACGTACAATGCTGTTCAGTACCCACTCCACACCCAAGTAGGTGACGCCTTCCAAGCTGTCCTTGAAAGGGTCTTTTCCACCTACGGTAACGGTGTCTGTAGGAGCCAGGCGCTTTCCGGAGACCAGGCGGAGTAGCGTGGTCTTCCCGGCGCCGTTCGCTGTGCATCTTGCATTAGCCAAGCCTGTCTATAAGAATGTAATGCACCGCATTTAGAGATTTACCGCCGATCAGAAGAGTCCGACTTCCGGGTGGGAGGTCCAGCTGCACATTTTCCAGCCCCGCCGAGCCATCTTGGAATTTGTAGGAGAGACCCTGCACCGCAATTGATGGAGGTGGAGTAGCCATGGTAGACACGAGAGATCCCAAGATGGGATCAGAAACAAGAGTAGAAGAATGAAGAAGGAAAATGAGCGAAAAGCACCTGAAAGACAAAAATGAGTCACACTGTTGAGGTTGTCTAGGTAGTAGTATGCCCCTCGACCTAAACTGAGCCGATGCTAGTGTGCCCGCAATCGCGGCGGCGGATGAGGTAATGTGCGATAACACTCACGATAACAAGTAGCGACCGCACTTTTTTTTCCCTCTTCAACACGAATCCCCACGATGCGGAGCTCGTGATGCTCGCTGCTCTCCGATCATTTCTGCCTGGTCGAAGAGCAATGATGGATCCCCTCATCGCGGTCGTTGGGGCGACGGGGACTGGAAAGTCTAAGGTAGGAGAGAAAAGAGAGAACCCCTCACAATAACCTCGCGTGCCACGATTATTTAAGCTGATGGGTACAGATAGCTCGCAGTGGACCTAGCTTCACGATTTAATGGCGAAATCATCAATGGTGATGCTATGCAGATGTACCGTGGCCTGCCAATCATTACGAATCAGATTCCAATTGAAGAGCGAAATGGCATCCCCCACCACCTGTTGAGCTGTGTCGATCTGGATGCGGAGCCGTGGCACATCAGTCGTTTCAAGAAGGAGGCCCTACGCCTGATTGACGACATTCGGGCGCGTGGTAAAGTCCCGATTCTCGTCGGAGGTACCCATTACTACACCCAGGCAGTCCTCTTCAAGGACCAGTTGCTAGGAGAAGGATCGGATGACAAAGAGGTCTCACAATCAACGGAGTTTATTCCATCGACTTCCGAGAAATGGCCCATCTTGGATTCTCCCCCCGATGTTCTGATGGAGAAGTTGAAAGAGGTGGATCCAGTCATGGCGGCACGATGGCACCCGAAAGATGGGCGAAAGATCCGGCGCTCGTTGGAAATCTATTTCCAGACCGGAAGACCGGCGTCCGAAATATACGCAGAACAAAAATTGACAAAATCTCAAGCAGTCATGGAGGATGAGAGTCTATTTCGGTTCAATAACACCTTGATTTTTTGGGTACACGCCCGCAAGGAAGTCCTCGATATGCGCCTAGATGCGCGCGTCGATGGTATGATAGAGCAGGGCTTGATGTCAGAAGCTCGAACCATGTGGGACTATGTCAAGGAAAAAGAGGCCGAAGGCATCTGTGTCGATCAAACCCGCGGTGTCTGGGTGTCTATAGGGTTCAAGGAACTGGCCCCGTACTTTGGCGCTCTCCAGGAAGCTCAGATGAGCGATGACGAGCTTGAGGCTCTACGGAAGAGGTGTCTCCAGTCCATTCAGACTGCCACGCATCAATACGGCAAGTCTCAAACAAAATGGATTCGGAATAAACTTTGGCACGCTCTATCTGAAGCCGGTCTGACTCAACGCCTCTACCTTCTGGACAGTAGTGACGTGAACAAATGGGAGGAATGCATTACAACACCATCTGAAAATATTGTACAGCTTTTCTTCCGCAATGAAACCGTTCCTGATCCCAAATCGCTGTCTGAGCTGGCAAATACCGTGCTCGGTGCAAGAGAAGAGCAAGGTCAGTCGCAGGCAGCCTTGGAGAGTTTCACTTGCGACGTCTGTAACAAGACAGTCGTCGGCGAAGAGCAGTGGAACATTCATCTCAATGGATATACTCATAAACGGACTTTGAAATCCCAGGCGAAAAGAGCAGAACGGGATGCCTACTTTCGGAAACGAGAACTCGAAGCCCAACAAAATACGCCTTCTGCAACCGATTCTTGCAAGAAGGGAACCAATGAAGATTAAACAAAAATACAAGCTTCGTTTAGTATAAGATACCATTCATAATCATTCCATCCTTTGGGACATAGCGAGTTCGTAAGGAGCCAATTTCAGGACGCCGAGCGCCAGGCCGTGAATGCAGGCGAGAGAATATCGCCATAGCCGGACTCTTCAATCTGGAATACTTCGATGACGGGGGACTTCTCCTGCTTCCGTATCCGCCAGATTCCGTCGGACTGAATAGTCTCTTTTAGCCCTACAGATGGTTATTGGTCATTCTCCAACAGAAGGGCGGTCAAGGCATGCTTACATTCTAAAAACGCAGCTGCAAAATTGATGCAGACATTTCCGTCCCAAGAACCCTTGCCCACTTTCTTAACCTTTGCAGGAATGCTAGCAGTGTCTAGCTCTTCAAGGCGATTGACAATGCCGTCTTGATCGCGGAAGCCAACGATGATCTTTGGCACGCCGAGTAGAAATGATTGCGCCCAGAACTTTAAGAGCTTGCGTTCATACCTGAGCATGTCTTGGTCTCTTCGGATTTCTGCGGATGTTTTCAGCTCGACCCAGTGAATGGGGTCTTCTGTTCGTTCCGGTTTGCAGTCCCACACTAGAAGATACGGACACCAGATTAGCTCTTGCTGTGCTTTTGGCAACCCTCCGGCATGAAGCGAACGTACCGGCATCAACCTCACCCCCAAGAACCATGCGCACCTTCCCGATGCCTGTCTTGACAACTGAACAATATTGTGCGCTATTATTGACAACTTCGACCTGTCGGCCTTCAATTTCTGCTCGAGATGTGGAGTCCCATGGTTGCCGCAGAACTGATAAAACCTCAAATTTATACCCTGGAATAATCAGCGTGACTATAATCTGGCAAACAGAGAGGAAAAGAGATTATACCCCAATACATCATCCGCTCTTGTGATGCCATCCCTGGAGGCATTCTCTGGCTCTTTTGGCGTTCTTTCTGCGCATTTTTGTATGCATTATTTTCCTCGATAAATCTGGAAACGCATTAGGAAACGCTTTTAAAGACGACCAAAAAAAATAAACAATAAAAAATAACGAAAAAAAACCTGGAATCACCCACATGGTGCCCTATTCTTCGTTAATTTGGCTCTATCGGGGGGAACATAAGCTTGATTCTCATACCTGGAAACACGTTGCATTCATCTCAAAGCTAGAAACCAATGAACGTCAGCAGGCGATCATTCGCATCGTCCCAATAGAGTCACCAACCCATCATTCGCATTAAAAGGAGCAGCCAGGATCTATCGAGGCATGTTAGAAGGATAACAGAGAGAGGGGGGTTTTAATTCATGTATCTTGCATCTTACTTTGGTCATCATCCCTCGCCACGTCACGATATCAGTGTCGCATTTTTTGCCGGTGTCCCGTTCAAAAGCAGCGATGGTATCTAGTAGAGCATCCAGATGCTCATCAGCAGTGTCGTCAAGCTTTTGGAACGTATCAAAGCCAATATCTAGATCCGCAGGTAGGCTGGGCGGATAGTAGTACTGCAGAGATGAGTCTCCCAGGGAGAATTTGCGATTTTGGTCATACGAGAAGCATGAAATTTCCTGTATCATTATTAGAGAATTCCGGCGCGGTGTGCTGGACACGATCGCTCAAGTTTTCCTACTTACCTTGGGCCGTCGGATAGTAGTGCTCGAACCGGCGAAGCGGTGCACTGGCTGGACGCTAAAAGTCGCCTTGCTCATGGCTGATCAGAGACGGGGTTCTGAGCCGGGCGAAGAGCTGATAAAGTAGAAATGATCTTGATGTCTGTCCCGGAAGCAGGACTCTATGTATTGATCTATAATGGGCTTTCAAGAATGGTGCAGCTGCGACAAAAGGCTATCTCATGCATATCAAGAGAGTCTCTTTGTCGGGGACGAAGCCAACGAAGCCAACTACTTGGCCCTGGCGCGTTCAAAGGGTCCGAGTCGCCCTGCGCTTGGATTGCAGTGTTGTTACTCGCCGAAACAGAGAAGATGGTGTCCGATATTCACGAAGTCGAAGGGCCAAATACACGTTGGGGTCAAAGGAGATCCAGAGCTCCGGGAAAAATGCCAGGGCGGGCCCGTCACTGGTTGTGGTTTGCGTGCATGCAGCACCGCGTCCCCACCGACTTTCCTCGACTCCCCGCGAACGTCCTACACTCCCGCCTCATCGTCGACGCCGCTCCTTTTCCACATTCTTCGCCGCATCGTCGTTGGAATTCTGTACAATTTTTCCCCCTCGGTCGATCATGACCTCCCGCGTCGACAAGGCGATCAACAGCCTGCGCCAAAAGTGAGACATCTATCTCGGTTCAGATGTTAACTTGGTCGAAATTGCCTGCTGACAGCTCCAATTCTATTACCTAGATTAAAGGACCGTGACTTCTATGACGCTCACCAGCAAGCGCGGGGCATCGTAACGCGCTATTACCTCAAGCAGTCGAACTACGATGCGGCCGCCGAGCTTTTGGCTGAATATGCCACCGCTTTTCTGAGAGAGGGTGCTTCGGCTAGTGGTGGGGATTTGGCAATCATGCTTGTGGATGTCTATCAGGAAGCGAAATGGGAGATTACGGGTGGCGATGATGACACTGAGGGCCGCGCTCGCAAGAGTAAGTTATTCCTCTAATCGACCGAAAAGCTCGTCTCGTGGCTTTGCCAGCCATATGTTACCGCGCTGATTGGGCCGGAAAGGATCGACTAACGGTTGTTGCCTTTAGAGCGCCTGATCGAGCTCCTGCGCGAATTTCCTTCTGAGGAGACGACTAGAAAGCGCTTCATCCGAAAAATGATCGAATGGAGTTCGGATTTCGGGCCTCTGGCGCGAGGAGACCCAGAACTGCACCATGCGATTGGCTTAGTCTACGCGGAAGGTTCGTTCGACCATCAAATTGATCGTAATTATTCTGCATACCCTCTAACTAGTCATGCCCAGAGAATGAGCCGTATGACGCCGAGACACACCTCGTTTTGGGAACCTCCGAGTCGGCAGAGACTCTGGCCAAACTGGAGTACGAATGGTACACCCACGACGAACCTCACACCGCGGCCCTATACGCATCGCGCGCTGTATTCCCATACCTCATAACCGGAAACTTCCGTAGCGCGAACAAAGCGCTTCTGATCTTCACCTCTCGTCTCTCGACGGCCAACCCCTCCTTGGCCGTGCAGGATGTGAGCAGCTCCAGCTCCGATGCTCGGGTGTATCCGGCACTCCCGCTCCTCAACTTCCTGACTTTACTTCTGTTGACCATTCAACGGGGAAGTGCAGACCTCTTCCGACAGCTCACAGCCCACTATGCGGCACAGATTCGCGAGGTCGGTATCTGGGATGATTTCTTGGCCCAGATTGGCGAGCAATATTTTGCGATCAAGATCCCACGCCAGGGATCAATCATGGATATGATGGGGAGTATGTTTGGATTTGGTGGCGCAGGAGCCCAGGAACCAGCTGGCGGAAGGCGGGTGAAGAAGGTCGAGGCACCCCCTCCAAGCATGGAGCTCGACTAGTCGAGACAAAGTAACGCTTCTCCTTAAACAGCAAGCTTATGATTGGCCGTGTAATGAATCTCAGATGCATGATGCAGCGTCTAATCGAGTCTGTTTTAGAATCGCATCTCTTTTTCGGGCTCGAACATCCAATTGTCGTCGTCCAACGATGCGACCTTCTTGCGTAGGCTTTGGTGGACGATGTTTAGGATTTCTGACATTAATTAGTTAAGACTGTAAAGTCAAGAGGGAATTGTATGTGTAATGAGAGCTATGCAAGCATACCATCGGGTTCACCATTTGTTTGTCTATTGCGATGGCGGATCATCATCTCCACCAGCGCATCATCAAACTCTAAAGAATCGTAAGCCATAAGTTTTGTATTTTTTTATATTTTTTAGCAAGGGCCATCAAAAGAACAGAACATACTCTCTTTATCAAGGGCGTTGAGCTTCGAGGAATTAAATGCCATCTCGTCTGCTTCCTCGGTATCCAGCTCTCCCAGCTCCTCGCCATCTTCGCCGACAAGTGTTTGCGGTAAAGCAGGCATTTCGAGCTTGTAACTACCATTCTTGTCGCGGACCACGATATCGCGATTCTCGGAGGACCTGCTACTCCGCGAAGATGATGAATCTGAGGTGCTCGACTTTAGTCGGTGTGAGGGCCGATGCGTGATCCCATTGTTCCCTGGCGGCACGGCGGTGCTTGGAGGTCCGGGGGCAGCGGGGCGACGGCTCAGATTCTGGTGGAAGAGATTTCGGCGAACATCGTTAGGCCCCATTTCAAAGCAGGGTATTTGGCAGAGAATTCTTTTTCAAAAGGAAGGTCGGGAGGTCGTGATAGTCATGTTTGAGGTGCGGGATCGTGGGCGGCGTAGTCAAAGCTCCTTGGGCCACGGACCGATAAGCTCTTATCGCGGAACGCGTCCACTTTCGCGTCTCCTTGGCCGTCCGTTTTCTTCTTTACGACATCGTTCAAAGCGAATCCCGCCAGCATGGTGCAAGCCGAATCCTCCACAACTGCTGAGCGCAATGGCCTCAAGGCTGTCACAGCTGGTGCTCCTGTCGACTACGAGCTGCCTTGGTCAGTGCCTATTCATGATGGTGACTTTAATCTCAAGCTGACTCTTTCGCTCGCGGGCTGCAACAGGGTTGAAAAATACCGACCTATCTTCCTCGATGACATTGTCGGTAACACCGAAACGGTTGAGCGCCTGAAAATTATCGCCAAAGATGGTAATATGCCCCACGTCATCATCTCTGGCATGCCGGGTATCGGAAAGACAACCTCCGTTCTCTGCCTGGCACGGCAATTACTTGGAGATGCGTATAAAGAGGCGGTCCTAGAGCTGAATGCCAGTGATGAGAGAGGTCAGTTATATCTTCTCCCGCGCTGAATTAAAGTTTGAATACTGACGAGGTGGTATAGGCATCGACGTGGTTCGGAACCGCATTAAGGGTTTTGCCCAGAAGAAGGTCACTCTGCCTGCAGGCCGACATAAGCTGGTCATCCTTGATGAAGCTGACAGGTGTGTGCCTCGATAGCCGGTTGCGAGGCGGCCCGGAGATTCTTCAGCTGACATCTTGTAGCATGACACCAGGTGCCCAACAGGCACTGCGACGAACGATGGAAATCTACTCCTCCACAACTCGATTTGCCTTCGCCTGCAACCAATCGAACAAGATCATCGAGCCCCTTCAATCGCGTTGCGCTATCCTCCGTTATGCTCGACTTACCGATGCCCAAGTCGTCAAGCGGCTGATGCAGATCTGCGAGGCAGAGAAAGTTGAACATTCGGAGGATGGCATTGCCGCTCTTGTCTTTAGTGCTGAGGGTGATATGCGACAAGCCATCAATAATCTACAGAGTACGTGGTCTGGATTTGGCTTTGTCAGTGGAGACAATGTGTTCCGTGTCGTCGATAGCCCTCACCCCGTCAAGGTTCAGGCTATGATCAAGGCCTGCTGGGAAGGCAAAGTGGATGCGGCGCTGGAAACTTTAAATGAACTATGGTGAGTGCCTAGGGCTTTTGAAAAAAACCCCGTTTGGTGATGGATATAAGTTCCCTAATAAATTTTCGATAGGAACCTTGGCTATTCTTCCCATGACATTATTAGCACAATGTTCCGAGTCACCAAGACCATTCCGACGCTCTCAGAGCACTCCAAGCTGGAGTTTATCAAAGAGATTGGATTTACCCATATGCGGATCCTCGATGGAGTTCAGTCTCTGCTCCAGCTTAGCGGCTGCATTTCGAAGCTTTGCAAGATCAACATGGAGCGCGAGCTCTTTGAGCCACGTAAAGCCTGAGCGACAACATGACATCCTGCAGCATATTCCCCACGGCGTTTATGGCGTCTTATTCCAATTTCACGAATGATGTATATTTTTTTTTGCTCATATTTGGAGGGCGTAGCAAAGCAAAAAGAAGATATTAGCTAAAGAAAGGCATTGCTGTGCCAATTGGCATGAATAATCCCAAAAACCTTCATCTGAGCCATAATTTCTAATTCATTGGCAACAAGTGGTCAAGTCTGGCCCTTAGTATAATTCTTCCAGATCCGCTCAATGGCCATCGCAGCTCCGAGAACCTTCTCTTCATCTAGCCTTTTACCAATGATCTGCAGATTCACGGGATGCCCATTTACCTGATCCCTGTCGTAGAGATTCCAATTCCACTCATCTAAGGAATTCCTCGGCACATATGGCTTGCCCGGTACCTGGTCCCGGTCAGAACGCACCTGGTCTACGGGTAGGGACAGGGCTGGGTAATCGAGGAAGTTCCAGATCTTGGTGTATCCCACCCAACGAAACGATCGGTGCGGGACGCTCGTGTGAGGTAGGACCGGACTCAAGAGAATATCGACCGGCTTCCCCTTCGGGGACCGAACAGCATTCCACATATCCAGATATTTCTTCTGGGCGGCCCGTTTCCGCTTGTTTAGCTGCCAGTACTCGTACACGGAAATGGGCTTGGCCCGATTGACCAGGGCTTCGACATGTGGAATATACGGTTCGTTGGCGACGGCAATATCGCGGCGGATATCTTCCCCGCCGTCGACAGTATAGAAGAGATCCATTATCTCGATGCACTCTGCGTGGCCGGACGTGTCCCAGGTCACGAGTTCATGCCCCTGAAGTTCCAACGCGGTGGATAATTCTTGTAAGGCTCGGGCGATGGGCGGGTGGACTTTCACCATGCCGTCGTCAAGGATGAGTCCAATGACCATGGGCCGGTCCTGGACCTCTCGGAGTGCAGATTCGTTCCAAGGCAGTGGCACACACCGAGGATCGAAGTCCCAGGGTCGAGCGGAGGCCACGAGTTTGGTGATGTAGGCCAGTGATTCCAGATCTCGTGCCAGTGGCCCGATTGATGAAGGAACATGTTCTTGGCCCTCAGTAGATACGGGCACACCCTCGGAAGGGAACCGGCTGCTCTGTAAGATGGGACATCAGTATTCAAGGATCAGAGTAGATCGTGAGTTTGGGTAATGGTCTTCATTCTCCTACCGTTGGCTTCAGCCCATATATGCCCGCAGTGGCTGCTGGCATCCGAATGCTACCTCCAATATCTGTCCCGAAGCCGAGCAGGGAACCGTGCAGGGCGAGCAGGGAGCCTTCTCCTCCCGTTGAGCCACTCGACGAAAAGGCGGGGTTCCGGGCATTGGTAGTCAAGCCCCAGAGCGGATTCTCGGTCTCGGCCCACTATATGTCGATCATGAGATTTTCAAAACGTCAAGGGGTAAGAGAAGAGAAAGAGACGATCATAATAGATCAGCTCTAGTACATACCATAATGCTCTGGCATAGGTTGGTTTTGGCGATCACAACCGCTCCCAGGTCTTTTAAGATCTCGACAAGCACTGCATCTTGCTGAGCAGGCTGGAAGGCTCGACCTACGTAGCCCAGCGTAGAGTCGATCCCTTGGATGTTGAATTGGTCCTTCAAAGTGATGATGACGCCATGCAATGGGCCTTTGAGTTGGCCTGAGGATCGATATTTCGCATCGAGAGCCTTGGCCTGTGCCAGCGCATCGTCAAAGACGACTTCCGTGAGACAATTTGTCTACCGCATCTGGTCAGCAAGTATGTCAAGTGTCCCGGCCTAAAGCGATTTGAGATCTTTGTCAGAAGTGGAGGATGACTTACTAGTTGATGAGAGACCACAGCCCTATAGAATGAACCATGATCCAAGATTAGAATCAGCGCGGCCGACCCGAAATGTCTCCAGGATCAAGGGCTGCTTCTTGGAGAAGTATTCCCGGATTATTCGGATTGCTCATACCGTTTGATATACGCCCGAGTGACCTGTTCGGCCGTAAATATGCCAGTTTCGAGACTCTTCAGCAAGTCGTGGATGTTGTCGATATCGGTGATCTTCTGAACCTCTGGATCCTCCGCAATGCGACTGCGCTCTGAAACCCGACTAGCTTGAGGGCCTCGCTGCTCAAGATCGTCGACGAGATAGGGCTGGAGCTGCTGATCTCGAAGAGCGCGTTTCTGGGCCACAATTTGGGTCCACGACGGGGAGTCCTTGATGGTCATTATGGATGCTGCTTTGCATGGTGCAGACCGCGAGCCTCGGTAACAGCCTATTTATTTCGGCTTCGGATGCAGCTCGGACCCAACTCCGATTCCTCCATAATTCCGCTCTTCATGTCATGTTCAAAGGTGGGGGAGGGTGGTGGTGGTGGAGAGGAGACCAAGTGGAGTTGCAGGCAGTCTACATGTCCGGGATCAGACATGCTAATCACCGACGCTGGGGTCCGACAAGGAATATATCACGCATCTCACGTCCTCCTAGAAGCCGAAGCTATCGCATCTCGTCGAGCCAGCATGGTCCAACTCATCCCATCGCCGAAACCCGCCCTCACCCCTTCTACTCTTCCAATCTTACTCTCTCGGACTCTCAAACCCACACTCTCCGTTCGCGGTGGGCGGGGAACCACCCAACCGTCGCAAAGTGGATCCTCAACCTCGACTCCTCAACCTTCAATCCACGCCCAATCCGCCTCTCACCATCTCCTCTCCTCTCTTGATGGAGCAGCCCAGGCCGGGCCATGGATTCCACCAGCACAGGGTCCTCGACCCCTCCGACTGGCGCCATTCGCACGCGCAACAAAACCCCCGGGTCAATCGCGAAGCGCGCATGCGACCAATGCAAGTTCCGCAAGATAAAGGTAAGCTCCCTCTCCCGCCCGCGCCTTCACCAGGTCGCGGGAGAAGGATTGCGCGCTAAAGCCCCCCGGACAGTGTAGCTTGTCGCAACCCTGCAAAGCCTGTCAGTCGATGGGCTTTGACTGCACATTTCTTCAGCCACAGAAAAAGCGCGGGCCAACCGGACAGTAAGTTTAGGAATCGCCCGCATCGCCCTCATTGATGACCAGGACGGCGCTGACAAAACCGTTAATAGTCGCGTGTCGCAAATTCGACAGCAGCAAACGCATATCACGCCCAGAGATCCTCAGGAGTCACCAATTGCTAAACAGGACGCCTTCCAATACCATCCTCATGTGCCCACCTCATCCGTCGATACGGGCCAGCCCGTATCGCTGCCGGGGTCCTCCTGGACGCCCGCCCATGGTGGGGTGACTATGCCCATGAATGGCGCAGCTGGCCTGGCACCATCGGGGCCACCCACGGGGGTCGTAGACGCCTGGGGTGCCGACACGACCTCTCTAGACTCACACTCAGGCGGCGTTGTTGGGTGGAACGACCGCCCGGATGTCGAATACTGGCTACCTGATAACCTAGGCGCACAGGTGCCGATATTCGAATTCCCCGGAAGTAATATTTACCTCAAGCCCTCCCTGCCATCCATCATCCAACCTGTGCCGGACGTCGCGGCGATGAACATGCCTTCCCAGGAGCCCCAGGGCATGCGCTTTTCCCCGGCAGTGGCGTCAATGCAATCGTCAGAGAGCCAGGACACCGAGGAATTCTGGCCCAATTCGATTAATGAAGCCAATATGATCCCATGGATTGATGTCTACTTTGACCGACTGCATCCGACCGTTCCAGTGCTGAGTCGTTCCTCGCTATTCACCCGGATGATGTCCCAGGAGCATCGCAGAAATCCACATTTTGGATCGATGCTGCTATCACTGTGTGCATTTTCGTTGACTCAACCAATTGAGATCAATGAACACGCAACAACGTCGTCTCGTGCCACTCAGGCCCGATCGATGATGCACGAGGCCACAAAAATGCGGAGCTGTTCGGACTTTGGTGAACACCCCACCATCGAGGCTGTCTTGACCAGCTTCTTCCTATTTGGATGTTTATTTGGAAGCAATCAGCATAATGCGGCGTGGCTTCGTCTACGAGAAGCGTTGGATCTTGCGTCGACACTCGGTTTGAATGATCCGGAGTCTTATCACAACCTTCCCGGAGAAGAGAAAGGCCAGCGATTAAGGACCTATTTGGTTTTATCTATCACAGAAAGGTATGTAAATTCAAACTTTTCTCGACTGACCCGAAAGCCGACAAGTTGACATGTAATCCCCAGAGCATATGCTCTTCAGCGCCTGCACCCAGTCACGTTTTCTGGCAAGCCCGGATTCAGCATGCGCTCTGTTCATGATTTCCTACATAATGCAGCCCATAGCCTCGTCTCTGGAATCATCGTGCACAATGAGAAGGACGCGGAGGGTATGATGGGACTAGCGCGACTGATGGAATCCTTCGACGCCATCGACGAGGATTTCATTCATTGCTGGAATCGACGATGCGATATTCGCAACGGCTTCTGCCAGCGGTTCACCGAGACAAAGGCGCTATCGATGTTTGATACCCTGGCTCGGATCGGCCAATCGGAGCGGTACCGGGGCTATGACTGGTTCGACCGAGCTAAGGGAGATGCAAATGACAGCAACGCTCTGTTGGCCATGGGGCTCCGAGAAACACAGGCAGCGGACGTATTTCTTGCACAGAAGTGGGTTCAGAACCGAGTCTGGCTGCTATGCTTGAATCATGGTCTCCTGCGGACCCAGGCCGAGCGACTTGAGATGACATTCGGCTACGCTGTTTCGATCGCCGAATCGACATTAGAACTATGTCGATCCTTGCGATTAAGCTCAATGGAAGCCCATGGAATAGGATTTGTATGGTTGTCCCTGAAGCCGGCTGAATTGTTGGAGCGTCCCCGCTAATTCTTCTTTTTTTCTCTCCCCTAGACTGAAAAGTTGTATGATATCGCCGTCGGCGCAACAGATATTCTCTGTAACATCAGCCCACCATTCGGGACCGGAATGACCCCCTTGGGAAGTTTTTCCGAATCAATGTCTACAACCTCCACCCCACAGAGTCTAGCAGATGACTTTATGCTACTGTTCAGCAGTTTTCGAGGTGGAAATCATCCGTTTCTGGAGAAGTACAAGGCCCATTTGCGCTCCCTTCAGATACCTGGGAACTGGTCCTAGCAATGATGTCTACTTGTAATTCAGCGTGGGTTTGTGCCAATAGAGAGGATCCGGCGAATATTGTTGGGTGTATACATATATATGGAATGTTTCTTTTCTTTTTTTTTTTTGGTGGATATATACGATTCATTATATTGAGATTTAAAATTCCCCGGGCCCGATAACACCAATGCATTAATGCTCATAGATTTTCACAATGGAGCTAGCTTCCCCACAGGCTCGGTCGACGTTTCGCCTGTTCTAGATTCCAAGGAAGTCTGATACGACCGCCATTTCCAGGCCGGGACTTTGGCCGCATACATCTCATCGATCTCCGCGAATGTGCGGCCACGGGTTTCCGGCATGAAGAAGTACATGAAGACAATAATGGCAGCCATGCATCCAGCGAAAATGAGATAGGTTTTTGCGCCGAGATTCGCCGCATCGGCAGATGTTAACTGCGGTACTACAAGCGTGGTGACGACGGCGGTGATGCCTTGGGTTGCGATTGTATAGGACATGGTGAAGTGGCGGAGTTTGGGCGTTGCCATCTCTGCTGGCATTAAATTGGAGAGTGAATAAAAGGAGGAAGCCCAGAAAAAATTGAGGATGAAGGATAGCGCGGCAATGGTCATTTTGGCGTGCTTATTGTGTCGGTCAAACGCCAGGCCGCCCGATACGGCGTCTATCACGAAGAGGATACTCATTCCGACAAACGCGGTCGGACGTCGCCCGGCGCGGTCAATAAATAGCGGCGCGGCGATCGTACCGGCTAGGGTACAGCAAGACGCGATGATTGTCAGAGTGAAAGCGTCAGCGACGCCTATTTCAGTGAGGAAGACGGTCGTGTATGTTGTCGACAGGATGACGCCGGAAATCTGGTTGAGAGAGTAGAAAGAACCAGCGACGAATGTCCTTCGGCGATTCTCTCGATTGAAAATATCCCAGAAGCGGGCACCAGCGCGCATTTCGCGATGCTTTCGTTCGCATAATTCCATTAGCCGGAGCTCATCATCGACCTGCTCGTTGCTGAAGCCACGGAGCTTGCGGAGGTTGCGTCGAGCCTGCTCCATGTTTCCCTTAGCCACGAGCCATTCCGGACTTTCTGGGAGAAAAATAGTTAAGACGACCAAGAAAACGGGCACCGCAGATTGGATCGCGAGCGGGATTTGGTAAGACAGATGGCCCCCGATCTTTTGCGTGCCCCAGACAATAACGGTGCTCACGACGCCGGCGGCCAGATTAAGAATATTAACCGAGCTGACACTCCGGCCTCTCATGGATGCGGGAACCACCTAGCATGGACATGTTAGACAAAATCCCCGGAATTAAATCAAGCTGAAAAGAAGACTCACCTCTGCGAGATACAAAGGGGCGGTGGCAGTAGCAATCCCAAAGGCAATTCCATTGATAAATCGTCCCCCGACAAAGGCCCCCAGATTCGGAGCGAAGACCTGAAGCAGCCCGCCTCCGAGAGAGACGATATATGCGGTGACAAGGGGCCACTTGCGGCCAAAATGAAAGTTCAAGGGCGATGCTAGCAACCCCCCAACCACAGAGCCCACTAAAGGGAGGGAGAAGATGAGGTTTTGGTTGCGGGCTGTGAGGACATATCGACCAGTGGCCGGGTTAGGCCCTTGAAACTTCTCAACCTGCAAACAGTGCTGTTAGATAGGTTCATTGTAATAAACTGCTTGCCCTGGCCTCGGGACAGGAGGAGGGAGCGCTCACGAAGGAGGCCAATGCGGCAATGGGCGAGATGAGTTTATCGTCATAGCCGAACATGAACGAAGCTGCACCGAAGACGATGCAAGCAAAGACCAGCAGTGCATTCACAGGCCCCTTTTCCTGGCCTGACTGGTCGATATGCTCGACTTCGGGTTGGACGAGGTCCTCCTTGTCCGACGTTAACGCCATTCGCAGTGACCCGGCCCAGTGTGAAAGTCGAGAAACCGGGGCCCAAGGCCTGGCAGTCCATTGAAATGCCGCCTTCATGGCGGGTTTATATGCACCGCTCGCTCAATGCTCCTCATAGTACGGATTTCCCCATGAGAAGCAGAATCAAGCGTAAGATTTCCCCGGATTTTTGTGAAACCGTTCTCGGTCTCGTTTAGTCAGGCGAGACGGGGATTTTCGCCGAGGTTTTCCCAGCACATCACCCCAGATTTGGTTTCTGGGGTACTTGGAATGGTGGGACGAGCAGGTGTCAACCCGAGACTAGTCTGCTGGCTCATCCAGGGGCTGTCGATCGTGAGTCTATCTTTCCTTTCAAGCCTGCGTCTCCACTTTGCTGCCATTGCGCGAACTGGGCTGAAGGCTAGATTTCACCGACGATCTTCCGCTGTGATGCTGCATGCCGCCGAGCGGGCCTCCGACCAAGTCCCGGTAGCATCGGCAGATCGGAAATCGGGGAAAAAAATGCCACAGGGACCCATATGGAGAGAAGCTTCATTCGTTGAATTGCCGATGGCAGCAGGGGAATGCATTCGATGTCGTAACATTCCGATCCGTGCCTGAATGGGAAGTTGAACACGAGAAAAAAAAAGGAAAAAAAGCACTAACCAGATCATTTCAGCTCGGCTACTTTAAGATCTTTTTCTTCCAGCACCCAGGTCGATTCATGCGTCAAGACCTGCCAGAATAGAGCCATGCCGGTTCTATCAAGCTCCCTCGATGGAGTAGGTCCTGACATACAGGACAAGCACCCGCAATCGACGTTGGAAAGCGAACTGGGAGAGATCGCATCCAACGCAACTCATTCAAAGCCAGCCTTTCATTTAACAGCTTCAGCAGGCTGGATCAACGATCCTTGTGGCCTGGGCTATGATCCTCATACCGGGCTCTACCACCTTTTTTCCAATGGAACCCCCATGGCAACGACTGGGGCAATATGTCCTGGGGACACGCCGTATCTTCCGATCTTATCTCTTGGGAGAAGTATAGCATGCCGGCCCTGACCCCATCTGCTGAATATGACTGCCGTGGCATCTTCACGGGCTGCTTAAGCGCGACGGATCTCCATGGGAATTTTTCGGGAGCTCTGACGGCCCTCTACACGTCTGTTAGACACCTTCCAATCCATTACACGCTGCCGTATACTACCGGCAGTGAATCGCTCAGCTTGGCGGTCTCAGGCGATGGTGGGAAGACATGGGAGCGTCAAAGCTGCAATCCCATTCTACCAGGACCACCTCAGGGTCTTTCGGTAACGGGATGGAGAGATCCATACTTGACAAATTGGGCCCGGCAGCAACCGGACCACCCATCAAACTGCCAAGCACCCTTGTATGGATTCATCTCCGGTGGGATTGTAGGACACGGCCCTAACATCTTCGTCTACACGGTGAATCCCACGGATCTACGACAATGGCAATACGCGGGACCCCTGGTCAGCGTGGGCAGCAACTTCCACCCATCCCGCTGGTCTGGCGATTTCGGACTTAATTGGGAGGTGGGAAATTTCACGACCTTATCCAATGACCTCGGCCATTCCCGGGACTTTGCAATCATGGGCGCCGAGGGATGCCTGCGTTCTGAAAATTCCGACTGGACCAGGCCTGGTTCAGCCCGCGAAAGACGCTCAGCGCGGTCTTTATTATGGATGTCCGTCAACTCGACAGAAGAAAACAATGATGAGGCGCTGAGCAAGTATAATTTTGGCGGAATATTTGACCATGGCTGCTTGTATGCCGCCAACTCCTTTTGGGATGCGCAAACATCCCAGCGGATAGTCTATGGCTGGGTTACTGAAGAAGACCTACCTGATGGACCTCGCCATAGTCAAGGTTGGAGTGGTATGATTTCTCTTCCTCGAGTGATCCGATTGTTGTCTCTGGAAAGGGTTAAGAAGGCACGCAATTCGCCCTTGGAGTCCATTACCTCCATCGAGGTCATGCGCGATCCCGCTCACCCAGATACATTCACGATTCACACACTGGGGATCAGTCCAGAGTCACGACTTGCGAATTTGCGCGAAGGAGCTAAAGTTAGAGAGCTTCAAGATTTGCCTTTCCCAACGAAATTAGCCTCGCCAGTTGATTCCAATTTGCCCCTAACAAACCGCTGGGAACTAGAGGCCGAAGTTTCTGTTGGTCAATTGTGCCAACGGGTGGGCATTGAGATCGCGCACAATATCGGTATGGATTCATAACATGCAATAAGTTGTTCTTGTATATTACTGAGACTGACATGATTTCCAGATTTCTCACATTGCACAACTCTCGCCTGGGACCCCTGCAATGAAACATTTACGGTTCATCGACCGCCTGTGGAAGACAAGGAGATTAACCATGGATACGAGTCTGCGCCACATACACTATTTACACTTGTCAATGAACAAGGTGAAGAAGTCGAAGAAACACTCCACGTCCATGCCTTCTTCGACAAAAGCGTATTAGAAGTCTTTGTGAATGGTCGTACAGTCATCACAACCCGGATCTATTCCCCATCAGACCAATGCTTTGGGATTCGATTTATTGCGGAGGCGAATGAAAATTCGCTTGCGGAGCAACCGGCACGACTTGTGCGGGCTAATGTCTGGGATGGGCTAAAAGGGGAATAACGTTGTGATGACAGCATGATAGTTCAGCAATTGATATGGTATAATTGTATATGAATATTCATATTTCATGCAAAAAATTAAATGATTATTTTGTGAATCTAGTATTATAAGGCATTCGAAAGGCCATCCAAGCGAATAGAGATAATAAAACAGTCGAGAAGATAAATGGTTGAAATGCACCGGGTGCTAGAGCCACTGTCATCACATCGTACGCCAATAGCAAGCTGAAAAGGACAAGAAGCTCGAGAAGGCAAAAGACATAAAGGGCGCATCATGGCGCCTCTCTTACCACACACCGAGGTTATATATGCATGGGTATCAAATCATAAAAACAATGATAACGCACAGAAAGATCAGAGGAGCTTTATCGAGAGCACTAGTTCCAAAATTTCAAGCTCGGGAGGCCGGTCCAGCCATCGCGTTGATAGATGCGCCAGTAGTATACCGGCACGCCGGTGATGATGAACCCAACCACAATCAGGGTCTGGAGGGGCTCGGCAATCACAGCACGACTCAGGAGGAACAGGCTGACGCAGCAGAAGATGATTGGGGTAGTGATCCAAGTGCGGTAGGGACGCTCAAGGCGAGGTTCGCGAATGCGTAGGACGATCAGGCCAAGCACAGTAAGGAAGTAAAAGGTATAACCAGCCACGCCATAGAATGTGACCAAAGTTTTGAATTCACCAACGCCGATATAAACGGCTGTTAGCGCCGCATTGAAAGCCATGGCATTGATTGGAGTATATCCAAGTTGAGATGCGTCGCCAAAGACGCGCGAAAGAGACCGTCGAGCCCATGAGGCACGGCGAAGGCGGCTGCCTGCAGGAGGAGGGGATGCGGAAGAGCCACGGAAACCAAGAGTCCCGAATAAAGATGGAAGGTACCCTTCTTTGCCGGCTGCATAGACGAGACGGCCACTGGTGAAAGTTGTTGCATTAAGGGCGCCAAAGCAGCTGGCTGACACGACCAGGGCGAGGATTAGAGCGCCGACGGGGCCAAACACTTTCCCGCCGAATTGGACGGCGACAGTGTTGCTAGCTTCGATGGTAGAGTGAGGTAGTACCAGGAAGTACGAAACATTGGCCATCAAGTAGGACAAAATGACCAACGGCATGCCAGTATGGATCACACGCGGCAGGTCGCGGCTTGGGTTCTTGAACTCGCCCGTGACATAGTTCGTCTTAGTGTAATAGCAATGTTAGACCTCAATCTGTAAAAAAGGGGGGGGAAGGGCGAGGGCTACAAATAGATTACTCACATTATCCCAGCCATCAAAAGCCCAGAGCCCCGCATACAGCGCCACCGCGAAGTCGGATATTTCAGTGTTGGTTCCCTCAAACCAGCCATGGGTCTTCCATTCGTCATTGGCACTTCCTTTCGAGGAAATGCCGGTCACGGCGACCACGATACCAGTCACAGTAACGCCTAGCAAAGCGATGAATTTGAAAAACATGAGCAGGTCTCCAATGCGGGTAGCCATCTTGGTCGAGATGCAGTTGAAAAGCGTCACTGCGAAAAGACCCCCCAGTGCGACTCCCTTGTTAATCCACGGATTGATTTGTTCCATGTCCGCGCCTACAAATGCACGCACGACATATTCCCCAAAGATAATCGAGATGATCGCCGCAGATCCCGGTTTCAGGACGAGGACCGCGCACCATGTGAAGAGAAAACCCGATAGTTCCCCGAAGATCTTCGACAGATAGACCTGCGCGCCGCCGTTCAAGGGGATCGCGCCGCCGAGTTCCGCATAGCTAGCTGCGCCTGTCCAGGCCAGCAAACCGGCTACAGCCCAGACAATGAGCGAGGCACCTGGTGACCCCGCATTCGCATTCACTTGGCTTGGAGACGAGAAGATGCCCGAGCCAATGATCAGACCCACGATTAATGAGAGACCATTCAAATATGTCAACGTCTTGTTTCGTTCCAAGGACCCATCCAGTCTTTCCCGATCCAGTCCTGACGGGGTCCCCAGGGGAGCGTAGCCAGCCTGGGTTTGTGATAGCGGAAACAGGTTCCGGCCGAAATCGAATGCGGAGGAGATCGAGTAGGATCGGAGAGGCCGTTGATGCCCAGTTTCAAGATAGCCATCATCGTGAGAGTGTCCTAGAGGATCCTCATCCTCGAGTGAGAGCTTGCGCGAGGACGAGATACCATCGGGGGAGGACGACCGTGAGGAGCCGGCAACAGAGACCGGCGAGGAGGAAGCGAGAGAGGCGAGCTCTAGAGAGTCTCGTGGAGCGGCGAGATTGCCATTTCGAGTGTCGTGAGGGAATGCGCTGCTCGACATTCTCTCTTTGTGGTAGGGTTGTCTAGGATGCGGGAAAATAATCCGGGGCAGCGACAGAAGGGAGCGAAGGGATTGAGGGATCGAGGTCAAGAGAGCGAATCGACTGGATCAATAGAGGTTGGCAGGACTCTCCATCTCTCGGAGCGTAGAACAGCCAACAAGGATCGAGGAACCCAAGTTGGGAAAGGAAGGGAAGTTGGGAAAAGCCCCGAGCGGGTAGACGAGGCCAAGCGTCCAGTGCCAAGGGGGCATGAGATTCCGTCGATCGGTTCCGCGCAACCCAAATTCCCCGCGCTACACTTCGCTTCCAATGCGCATCCCATGAAGTCCACAATTCCTACTTTGTGCTGCCGGCGCAGCTCCGGTCTGCGATCCGCCGCGCTTCGCCCTGCCCGGTACGCATCCACGTCCCCGTCCCCGACCCCAACCCCGTCCGCCGCTCCGCCCGCATCTCCGAAATCTCGCCGCTGGCTGGGCATCGTCGTTGTGAGCGCCGTGGCAGCCGGCGCCGGCGCCTATATTCGTTCCCAAGGACCTGGATCGGCTACGTTGAACCAAGAGACGTTCACCAAATACAGCCTTGTCTCCAGAGAGGCGGTCTCCTCGACCAGCAGTGTGTTCACCCTGCGGCCACGATACCATAGCGACGAAAACTACGATGTCTACGAAGACGCCTGGCGCACCGGCGTATGGAGTGTGATGTTCAAGCAGCCGCAACTCCAGATCGGTCGAGACTATACCCCCTTGCCTACCACCGAAGCGACATCATTGACCGTGGATGAGGAGAACGAGGGATACCTGCGGTTTTTCATCCGCAAAGACCCATTTGGAGAGGTCTCCCGATATCTGCATAGCTTGGAAATTGGTGCAGACATCGAAATGCGAGGACCACAGATCGAATGCTCCATCCCAGAAGAGACTCAAGAGATCCTGTTCATTGCGGGTGGGACGGGAATTGCACCGGCCTTGCAGGCTGGATATTCTCTTTTGAACCGGACAACAACCCAAAACCGACCAAGGATACATATTCTCTGGGCGAGTCGCCTAAGACAAGACTGTCTCGGGGGCGTAAGTGACACGCCGAATGGCCCCGTATCCACCGGGTCGTGGTTCTGGGGCTGGTTTGGTTCTTCTAAGAGCAGTGCCTCGGAGAGTCAGGCCGTCCCTGCAGTCTCCCAGAATCAAGCTTCTTCTCTCATTGTGCGAGAGCTCGAGGCGCTCAAGTCACAATACCCGGGACAAATCACGGTGGACTACTACTTAGACGAAGACAATCGATTCATTGGGAAGAAGGATATTTCGCAATTCATCGAGTCCACCAGTCCCGCCGTCGAGTCTGGTAAGAACAAACTCATATTGGTATCAGGCCCCGAAGGCTTTATCAGTTACATGGCTGGTCCGAAGGTCTGGGCGCAGGGCAGGGAGATTCAAGGTCCACTACAAGGAATTATCAAGGAGCTGGATCTGAAGGAATGGGCTGTTTGGAAACTTTAAAGGACTCCCTTGTCATCATCTGTATCATATTATTTTTCTTGCAGCACATAGCATATGCCATGGAGTTATGTTGAATAGTCGTAACAGCCCTGAACATTTTTTTTGGTCTGCCATCCGAGTCGATAGCCCAATGATATCCGAACATAAAAATAAAAGGAAAAATAAAAAGCTCCTGGTTGAATTCGCTAATCCATCATCAACGCCACTGCCTCCAGGGCAGCTTACTGGGTCGAGGCAAAGTCCTCCAGATATTGCACTAGCTTCTGAACATTCTCCAGGGGAACGGCATTGTAGTTGCTGGCACGCATACCGCCAACGCTGCGGTGGCCCTTGAGACCTTGAAGCAGGCGCTTCTCGGCACCGGCAATGAACTCCTTCTCCTTAGCATCATCTCCGCCGCAGACCCGGAAACAAATGTTCATACGGCTGCGAACGCTCTTGTCGGGGACAACACGGTACACCTGAGGATACTTGTCGAGTGCCCCGTAGATAAGAGCTGCCTTGTGGTCGGCAATCTGTTCTTGTCCACTGACTTTTTGGGCACCGAAGGCCGCAGTGAGGTCGGCCATGACTTGGCCAGCAATCCAGAGGTTGAATATCGGGAGGGTGTTGTAGAGGGAGTTGTTCTTGGCGATAGTGGCGTAGTCCAGGACAACGGGACCGGGAAGACCGCCAATGTTCAGGCGATGCAAGAGCGCGGCGGGAGGGGTTGCAGTCTGAGGGGGGAAGTAGGTCCTTACGGACGATGGCAATAGTGATACCGGTGACACCGATGTTTTTCTGGGCACCACCCTGTAAGATTTGTTAGTCGAATGGACATCTGTGGACTAGGGATAACAGCAACAACTTACGAAAAGGACAGCGTATTTGCTGACATCAACTTTTCGGCTGATGAAGTTGGAGCTCATGTCGGCCACAACGAGACGTTCATCTTCCGCATCCTGGCCTTGGGCTTCTAGCACCTTGGGGAAGCTCTGGAACTCGACACCGTCGACAGTCTCGTTGTCACAGAAGTAGACAAAAGCAGAGCCCTTGCCGCCCTCTTTCTTGGTGGGAGTCAAGGACCAGGTGTTCTCCGCCGGAATGGTGCCGAACTTGCCGTCATTCGCCTTGCGGGCATCCAGAGCGACGTTGACGTACTTGGACCCGACCAGTCTAGCAGCTTCTTGAGAAGCCTTCAGTGACCAGGATCCAGTCACCAGGTAGTCCAGCTTCAGCTCCTCATCCACCTCCTTCTGCAAGCGTTGGAAAACCAGCTCATCCACAGCAGCTTTCTCCGCGCCGGGGTTGGCCTTCAGCACGTCGGCCTCTGCGCGGCGACGACGGCGCTCCACCCAGACCGAGACCAGGTTGTGGACGACAGCGCTGAACTCGCCACTGCCACCGGCCTGCATAAAGAGAATTTCATAGTTTTCCGGAATGTCGAGGAGGGAGGTGAGGTTGGCCTTAGCATCTTCAAGAATCTTGTTGGCGGTGGGGGAGCGGTGCGAGATCTCGCCGAGACCGAGTCCGGAATCGTTGAAGTTGACGAAGGCGCGCGCGCCAGCCTCGACGACGCTGGTGGGCAGAGGAGCGGGACCCGCCCCAAAGTAGGAGACTTCTTGCCGAGTTGGCATTTTGAGTGAGAGGAGAAGAGGAGAGGTGGTTGGGAGGCGAGGTTGGGAGGGTATCTCGAGTATAAAAAAAAAAAAAAAGAGATCCGGCGGGGGAGAGAAATCGAGTCACAAGTGGACCGTACCTGAAGTGGATCAACCTTAAGAGTCATACAACGCCCTCGAGGCCATTTTAAATCTTTGAAATTCCATCATCCTCTAATTCTTCTCGGCAAATCCTCCATCACTCACCGGATTGATTTCTACGAGCCAATGAATCGTTATTTGAGAAATATCCGGCGGCAATGGCGGGGTATGCGCCGATGCGGCGCGGGGACATTGGGGTTGGTGCTGCATACTACTTGAGATACCCGAGAGTAGCGGAATTGCGACGAAGAGAGACAGGCCTAGATATGGGAATGGAAATCCGAATGAAAGACCCGATCTATCGGTCAAGATGAGATATCTCCTTCAGCGACGGGACAAACTTATGGTGATCAACCGCATCTATTATTTTTCGAACGTTCCGCGGCGGGGCGGATCTACGAAGTCCGTCTCTAGACCCTGGGAATGGTGTCGCTCCAAAACAATGATCGATCAATATCACACGGTCTAATCCACATCTGCTCTGAAAAGAATGATGTATCTCAAGATTGATGGTCGTTCATTTCACCATCAATTGCGCTGTCACATCGTCGTTCCATCGTCCGCATGCCCTGCAACTCAATGAAGCCGACATCGGATCAAGCAACATCACGTGATATAAACTGATCCTCGAGTTGACCTTGTTTGCACATGTTTGTTCAATCTAAAAGGACGTGGGTTCCATTGAAGATTCTAATGGAATGCGAAATTGATTTGTGGTTCATCTACCGAAAATGTATATAGTCAGGATAACGTTAGCTGCAAAAGCACGCCCCTCCTTCGGATGTTTCTAAACGAAAACCATTCTCGCGGATGTGACTGGCGAATATATAAAACTCAACCGTCTATACTGGATTTCCCATTATTCAATATCTTTGGGCCCGCAGCTTTGTTTTGATGCAATAATTCTTCTTAAATGTTGGGCTGTTCTTTGCGTTGGAGCAATTTTTCAGCCTCAGCTATCGCGTCATACCCATATATCCATGATTGGACAACGGGACATGTCCTATTTGCCATTAGAATTGAACTGAATGCCAATTGAACAGTCTAGGGTGCCACAAACCATCGGCTGGGAAAAGCACCAGTAATTTCTTTTCCAAGCTGCGACGCGAATATTTTGTCTCGCGCTTCTTGTTCAGGGCCATCTGGCATGTGGAAATCTTTCCTCTATAGCCGATGACCTCTAATGTCAGCCTCTGTACCGGAAATACGTATATGGGATATAATGTTAGAGCTCAGTATTGTCGATAGTGCATACCTGCTTGAATGTTTCCCTAGCTATAGCCTCACTTCGCAACTTTCGAAGCCTTTCAAATGTATGCAAGGCGTTCGGGAGGTGCTCCTTTTTTGTGACGGACTTTAAGATAGTCCCTAGGGCCGCTCCGTCCTCCATGGACGAATTAGCGCCCTGTGCAAGATAGGGCAGCATGGGGTGACAAGAATCGCCTCTGTCAGATGTTACTTGGTGGCTCTATATCCTGAAGCTTAGAAGTACAATACTGATAGACTTACATTAAGACAAAATTATTGGCTTCGTTAATCCAAGATGGTAGCTCCTCTCCTGCAATACATTAGTGTCAGTCTACTGCAATGACAGCGAATTTTCGATTCTCTTACTATGCATAAGTTTCCACTTGTCAACGCTGTCAACGTAGCCTAGAAGTAGAGTAAGACTTTGATCGAGTTAGTCATTAGGCCTGGAAGGGAAAATTGCTGTTCAGATTCTGCGTACATGGGATCCCAGCCTTCGAACAGCTTTTTCATTTCTTCGACATTTCCAGGTTGCTTCGAGACACCTGGGGGGAGATCGTCGGGTACAAGTAATACAAGATTATACATTGTGCCTGCCTTCAAGGAGTATCCAACCGCGTGGGATCCGGGACCAATCCAAAAATGGACTTCTGGATGGCGAACCCAGTCTTGTAAAGCTGGCTCCTTGATTTGATCCAAAGTCAGAGCAATTCGATATGCCAAGTCTCCTGTCGGCTTGGGCGGATCGGCAGTTCCTAGGAAGCATTCTCGAGTTCGTGACCACAAGCCATCGGCTCCAACTATTAGGTCAGCGTGGTATTCGTGCCCCGAAACCGTAGTGATCGATGGAACTGAGGGATCGACAGTTTGTACGCGTTGATTCAGATGGAACTTCACTCCCAACTGCTTCGCCCTTTCGTACAACGCTTGCTGCAAATCCACTCGATGTAGATCCACGAAGGGCGCACCGTATTTCCTTCGGATATTCTTGTCAAAGTCCACCTCGCGGGCCAGCACCGGCCCAGAATATCGATGTACAGACAACTGTGTCGGCTCGGCTGCTTGGTCCCACATGACCTGAGGCAGGTCCCAGCTTTTGAGAAGACGCGAGCCATTAGGTGTGACTTGAAGGCCGGCACCAACCTAAGCAAAACTATGTCATTATTTGATCCTCATTGGGAGGTTGGTGACAAGGCAAATACTTCTGCAAGTTCCTTCACTGCCTCCAGGACGGTGACCGTATGGCCAGCCAAAGCGCACGATATGGCTGCAGAAAGCCCAGCGAGGCCTGCACCTACAACGATGATGTGCAATCCGACCTTTTCAACTGCCTTGAGAGTACCGGCGTCAAAATTGTGGACAATAATCAGAGTCAGAATACATACCATTTTCCACACCTGCTGAGCACTCAAAAATGTAGTCGCGGATGATATATGCACCAACAGTAGAACACTGGCGTACCACTAGCAATGCTGCGGAGGACTTGACTTCTGGCCTGGATCACCATCAGCACTCGCCATAGATGTCAGTGGGGTTAGACATTCAGACGATATTGTTTTTCGGAATATCCGCCGTCTACGGATCACGGATCATGGATCAGCCCACGGCTGGGAGATAGAGGTAAGTATCTCCAAGGAGCTCGGGAGACCTGGACAGCAAGCCCAACTCAGCCCCTCATATGCTGCAACATTTCCACAATAGGCATTGAGGTGTGACACGCAGGGGGTGGGTGAGATTTGGCCCCACCTACCACGTTAGGAACGGGGCCAATAGGAACAGGCTGATGCGATTGAATTTACTATTCAGCGGTGTTTTTTACTTGGTTTGGTGCACAACAGAATCCTCGGCGATAATAAAGAAAATTAATAAAGATGGGAAGGCTGGCGACGTAAATGCGGCAGCCCAGCCGACCGACTATACAGTCTTGCCATAGAGCGGTTGGGAGGCGGCTTTCTATTTCTGCCACTCGACAACTTCTATGTCGTGATCTCTAATCTGCTACGTACTTGTCGTCTTCGCAATCCCACAACTTCATTGATTCCATTCTCAAAATGGGTTTCTTAACCCCCTTTGTGCCTTATCACACGTCCGCTGGCTCGAGTACCATTCGAAAGTGAGTGTGACGAGAAATTGTGCCACATTTTGAACCCCCCCCCCCCCGGCTTCCTAACAAGAATTTTACGAACTCCCCATGTCGCTCCTTGGTGCTAATAACAGCACAATGCAGATTTGGCGGCCTCCTTACGGTTGAGTTCCTGGAGCCGCCCCCCGGCCGAAGTTTTATGATGCGTCAGACCTACAGACTGGACGTGGAAGGACCCATCCCACCTACGCTGCGAAAGCTCATCGATGGTCCCATGCGGCCCGATGGCCCTGCAATGCACTTTCATCGGTACCAGAACGAGTTTTTCCACGTCGAGCATGGTATCTGTGTGGCTGAGGTGGATGGCGTGTCGCGCAATCTAACCCCAGAAGATGGGGAGGTCTCTCTCCAAGCGAACCGTATTCATCGTTTCAGCATTCATCCTGATTCGGGAGAATATATGACAGTGCTGCTGAGTGGCTCAGATGCGGGGATTGATAACCAACTTGATCGCGTCTTCTTCGAGAACTGGTACGGATACTGGCATGACGCACTGCTCTACGATGGCGGTCTGGATTTCATTCAAAAATTACAAGTCAGTTATTTTCAATTGATAATATCAAATACATGCACTAATTCACCCCAGATGCTCGATGCAGGTGGGCATTATACTCCCGCGCCGGCGTGGATGCCCTTCAGGCTTTTCTTTGGCTACTGGACCAGTGTCGTCATTGGTCGGTGGCTTGGGGGTCTGCTAGGCTACAAGCCATTTTTCAAAGAATATACGACAGATTGGGAGTTTGCTGTAACAAAAATGAAAAGTTCGTTCTGGACTCGACGATTGGTTGACGACTTTTGGGGCGCGAAGGAGCGCTGGAACAGAGAAGCAGAGCTCTCTGCTGGACCTAAGCCGACCAATGCAGAACTCCAATATTTAATCGAGGATGTGACAGCGGCAACGAGAGCCGCAAAGGCCAAGGCCGCAGAGAATGGTTCATATGGCAACGGAATAAATGGGGTGGTAGAAAACGGTGCGATAGCTGGAGGAGAAGAGGGGACTGCCATCGGTGTTTCTTCTGGGTTAGAATCTGAAAGCGCTCGAGCTCGGAAGCGCTGAAATTTAAGTTGAGAGCGTGTTACTGCCCTGGGCCCCCAGTAGCCGAAGGTGTCTCGAAACCTTGACTGGTGACCTCTTTTGAAGCCTATGCTATATAATATCTCACTCGTACACAGGTTTCTGAGAAGTCATGGTCTCTCTTTTTTTCTCTAGATGTAAACCCTCTAATACCAGAATGAAAAATCGTGCCATAACCTAAATCATTATCTTTTGCAATAATTGATAAATTTTTTAATCCCTAGAATAATGGCACATATGTATATGTTGTCAATGACAGCCAAAACTGAATCTATAACAGCAAGGAATGTGGCCCTATGCGATACAGTAAACCACACTGTCGGAGCTAGGAAATGAAACAATTGTAAATCAAAACATCTAAAGTCAACATCTCCTAACCTCCTCATATCCTAAAAGAAGAATATCTGCGCATTAGACCTTGCTAAACTACCAGGGAAAGAATAATAAAATGTTCATTCGAGTGCATGAGCCTAAAATTGAAATTAGCCACAGCATGAGCTGTTTCCCCCAACGAACAAGTCGTCGTCAAGCAACGAGGCATATTCTACTCCCAGATCTTAGCAACGGCGCTTGGATCAGTTGCTGCTACGGCCAGAATCCGAAGCGACAGATGTGGGGAGTGGGCCTCCGGATCCTTCAATGCACGGTCAGCCCGGATAGAAACGCCGGGGCTCAAAAGCCGGCACTTGATAACAAACCGACAGAACACTCTGTCTCAGGTCTTTTTGGAGCGAACAAAAGTACTGAAGCACCCCCCCACCCCATATCTTCCTACTCGATTAGGTAGGTGATATCGGTTAATTAATCAATTACTCTTATCTTGTAATGGATACGAAAATACGTCACGCGCCCCTGCAGGACTTGGCAGCTCGTCTTGGCACAGCCATAAATTATTAAATTATAATAGGCAGGGATCATCCGGCCCGCGCCGCGCGTGTGTGTCCACTCAGCGCTCCATTTCTCCTTCTGGAATATCTCCTTCTGGAATGTCTCCTTTTGGAAAATCCTCTTAAGCTTTTTCTGTTCTTCGTATTTGTGGAGGCAAATTGATGTGCATAGGCGTATAGTATCTCCTACAGTTACACCCAGCTTCGCAAAGACACAGAAAAATACCCCTAATTATGCATTCGCTCTCCGATAATTTTGTATTACATCTTCTTTAATGTAATGCGATTCCGATTGGCCACAGACAGCCTCCAAACAGACAGATCTGCAATTCGCAATGAATGCTTTGCCGGTCCTCTAATTGGAAAGGTACTACAAAGTATCTCTATCATGATGTACTATTAAAAGAGCAGACTTCTGCGTTTCTTTATTTTTTGGATAGTCAAACAGACACTGAAAGTAATTTTCACCATGGAAAGCCTTATCACGAAGATACAGCAGGAGGCTGCCTCAGCCAACTATGTAGACCGCAAAAAGCTTCTAGACAGCTTGCGAGACTTGCAATACAGCATCGAGGCCCCTGAGGACGCCATGCAGAGAGTGATACACATGGTATGCATCCTAAGCCTAAGAAATTATCCCGAACTTTTGCACTTGCAGATTACCTCAATTTCTGTTACAGACTTTTGAATCTGTCCCTTATACTCCCACTTAGTATCCTCGAAGCTAAATCAATTCGAATAGAATCTTCACTTTGCTTCAATCCGCACGGCTCTTGACTTGAATCTTTTCAATGATATCCTTGACAATGTGGAACCATTGACTGTCGATCAGTTAGCAGCCAAGAACTCTGCAGATCCTCTGCTTCTCGGTAAGTACCGAAAATATAGTCACTCAATGTTTAATGCGCCAGAAATTCTAATATTGCGATAGGTCGTATTCTCCGGTATCTGGCGTCGCTTGGAGTGATCAAAGAGACTGGCATAGATACATTTGCTGCGACACCATATACATCCAATCTCGCAAGACCCGAGATCCAGGCCGGACTGTACGTCTACTTTGACATGTGTAATCCAACATATCAAGAAATGCCTCGTTACCTTGCGGCAACTGGTTACAAGAACCCTACAAGTTTCACAGACGGCATTTTCCAAAGGGCTCACCAAACTGAATTGCACACATTTGCCTTCGTTCATGGCGATCCGGTGAGAAGTGCCCACTTCAATCATTTTATGAAAGCACAACGCGGCTCCCAACCTAAATGCTTTGACCTTTACCCCTTTGATGAGGAAAGTAAAGGCTGGCCATCAGAAAAGCCACTGTTTGTGGATGTTGGTGGTGGTGCCGGGTATCAAACTGCAGCCTTCAAGGAGCAATTTCCGAACCTTCCTGGTCGTGTGATCTTGCAGGATCTGCCGGAGCCAGTCGAGGACGCAAAATCGGTAGTCCCGGCGGATGTCAAGCGAATGGTGCATAACTTCTTCGAACCGCAGCCCATCAAAGGTAAGAAACAATAAATTCAGGTACTTTATTTGGTGAGACTAACTAGAAAACAGGTGCCAAGTTCTACTATATGCGAATGATTTTGCATGACCATACAGATGAGAATAGCAAGAAGATCCTGAGTAATCTAGTACCTGCCCTGGAGAAAGATTCTCTCATTCTGCTTGATGAAATGGTTTTGCCCGCTCAACACGTGGATGAGGCATCCACACAAGCGGATCTTACCATGATGGCTTTCCACAGCTCGATGGAGCGATCGGAAGAACAATGGGCGAAGCTTGTAGGAGAGGTAGGACTGAAGATCAAGAAAGTGGTGCCGTATGCACCGGGCTTTAACCTGGGAGTTGTTGCATGTGGGCTCTAAGTGACCATGATCACATTAAGAATCTTAGGAGAGAATTGAAAGAGCGAATAAAACCCCAGAGCTTCTCATATATAGAATTATCTAGAATTTTCTGCTCCACAAGTTTAAAGGTAGAACAAACATTGAAGAAGGGAAGATAACATTGATATCAATAGATATACTGGCATGGTGAGCTTCTTACGATTCATATTTCATATTCCTCATCTCGTTCCTCCAAGTACTTCAATCTACAACAATACGCAGGAACCGATTCCTTCATCACATCCTTCAATTTCGTTTTCCGCATCATATCCTAACATCCCCATCGCATTATAAAACAAAGCATCTCTCTGATACGCCTGTCTCCGAAATGATTCACTATCAATTTCGGCTCTTTCTCAAACAATCATGCTCTTCACTATCCCAATCGACACTACCAATAGTGGACTTTGTAAGAATCCGGATACGGCTAGGACATGGTGGAGAAATATTACCAAGTCTTGATGGCACAAATTCGCCATATTTTCTGGATTATTATACAATAATAATAAATAACAGAAAATAATGATAAATTATTGACGTAATATTTCCGGCTTGTCAAAATTTTGAGAATTTAATTGTGAATATAGGTATATTACGCACATGTCAAGCTTGAAAGGAATCTTGTGATTAAGCACAATAATTAGCTTTCAAAAAATAGAAAGCATCTAACTTAGAAATATCTAGTTAATTATGTATATTTACCAGCGGCACTGATGTCTCGCGCTATTAGAACTAGGACTGAGGCAGTACTACTAACGAAAAAACGCGCATATATAGAGACAAGAAGAAAGATTATTGTATATTGAATGTTTACAGTGGCTTCACAATGCAATAGCAACTTGATATACCTGTTGTGGCTAGCCCGGTTTAAGGGCTATTATCCAGACGTTCCGTTATTTCCCTCTAATTTCGGATTATATGGGAACTTACGTGCAAGTCATGATCTTCATGCATTTTTCAATACACCTCTCGATATCTTCGCGTGCAGAGCTAGAAGAAGGATAAGGAATGGACATATTGACAAATCGTACAAATATATATGAATGATAGGCTTAGGGTAATAATAAATTAATATCACCTAATCATATTTCAATGAAAAGTAAAACTTCTATTCAAAATACGGAAGCATCTTTAGCTCTTAATAAGAAAACATGATAACGATAGAAATTCAAAGAAATTGAGGCACATTCTAGCAGTAAAGTATGCATGAGAAACGTTCACCGACCCAGCAACGTCCGCTATTGGCAGCTTGAAAGCACCACCAAATCCAGTTTCTGCATTTTGCCCTCGAATAAAGATAGCCTTGATTGGAGCTTTTCAGCTTATGTCGGCGTTTGTTAATTCGCTGCATGCATGAGCGATAGCTTTCGAGACAGCTTGTATCTGTTCACACGGGTGAGCATGTCGATTGTCTCTAGATATATGGAAACAGTCCAACTTACATTCGCAACGTCAAAGACCTGGAAATGGTCTCCTGGGATATCCATATAAGGCATCTTCGCCTTTGTAATGATCTCCCATCCCTGAATAGAAGTCCTGGGGTCGGCACGATCTTGCAACCAGGCGTTCTCAATCACCCGACTACCATTGCTCGCATGTAGATGAAAGTCATCCCTTGATCGGAGCAAGAAAGTCCGTGGAATTGGTCGACTGGCGCTGGTCACAATATCGGGTTTGAAACCCCCAAGCAGGCCTGCGCAGGCTGTGAAGCTTCTCCTGACAAGAGTGTGAATAGTTTCACCCACCAAACCACCTCTATTTCTTTGACCTTTTGTAACAGCATCTATGATGTTCGCAGAGAGTGGCTTGTGATTGAGTGGTGGTGGTGAATCGATGAGAACTACACCGGCGACCGTGTAGCCTTCTGCCATTAGGACTCTAGCAGCCTCAAACGCAACAACACCACCAAACGACCATCCGCCGAGAATATAAGGGCCAGAAGTCGTCTTTGCGATAAGTCGTGCGTAAGATTGTGCCATAGCAGGGATTCCTGACCAGGAATCTGGATCCAGAAATTTGGGGTCGTGGATCGCGTAAACTGTGCGATTGGAGGGCCTTATTCGGTGATATTGAACACAGATACCGCTGCCGTCATGGATGAGAAATAGAGGAGCTCTTTTAGTGGCGTTCTCCTCGACAAGATGTACTATTTCAGGTTGCTCTTGTAACTTGAGCATAGCAGCAATCTTCGCTTTCATGGACGAGGATATTTCTTTATTTTCGGCTTCTGGGGCTGAAGATTGTTCTTCACCACGGATTTGAGAAGACAAACGAGAAGAAATTTCAACTTCAAGTTGAACTGGTTTTACATCATCTATTTTTACCTGTAACATGTCAGGACTGACTGTACGCCTTGAAATCGCTGCCATTGCTTAGTTCACTATATATGGACCTACTAATTTCTCGATATCTCTCACTGTTCTGCATTCCGAAAGGTCCGAAGATGAAAGTTTCTTTGTGCTTGATGGACTTTGTAGACGAGCCTCCAGCTCGATCATCATCAGTGAATCAATGCCAAGAGCCTCGAGCTCTACATCTGACTTGACTGAAGTAATATGGGCACCGCATGTTTCGGCGATTATGGACGCAACAAGTAGCTTATCTGCAGGCGTCGCCGGTGTTACTGGCATAGTGATAGAGTCAACAGTCTCTGCCTCCGAGGAAGGTGTGGGCCCTGATTGGCCCTCATCGTTGCACAGCTGCTCAACGTCCTCAACAGTCTTACACTCCTCTAGAGCTGATATATCAATTGAGGTGCGAAGCTTAGAAGACAGGTTGGAAGAAAGCTCAATAATCATGAGTGAGTCAAAACCGATGGCGTGGAGGTCGGTATCAGCAGCTAAGTTTGATACTTCTAGATTGCAAGTTCTTGCAATGATCTCCCTGATGGCTGGCTGTTTGTCAACAAGCACACTATGAGGCTTTGAGTCGAGAACCGAAGATTTTGGAGCCACCAGGTTGGCTCCTCCAATAGTGACAGATTGATGTGAAGGGCTAGATCTCGCAGCTGTCAATCGGAGAGCTTGGGCCATTCTCGTTAGTTTCACTCGCTGGAAGACCATGCCCTTGAAGACAGCAATGACGCCTTGTGAGTCAACAGCATATGCATCTGCTATGACCACACTACTGGCCGCAATTTCGAGATTGTTGCAATAGACTTTGAACGTCGTATCTGAGAAGGGGAATTCTCTAGCCATGGTAGCAGATTTGACTTCCTTGCAGATACAGACTTCTTCATTCTCAATGTTTAGATTGGCAACAAAACCAGCAACATGCAAAAGGACGTCCATAAGGATTGTGTTCGCCTCTGATGTCTCTCCTTGTGAATTCGGGAATCGACAAATTGCGAGTGCTTCGTCTCCATCGATGCGTATAGACTGAACCATCTGATACAACTCGGAATATGTGACGACTCGTGTGAAAACTTTTTCATACATGGCTTTCCGGAGGAACACCTGTGTGCTCGATTGGTCATTGCGCAGAAATCGTTCCGTTTGTCGTTCCATGAGTGGCACTAGTTTTGCATACTTTTGAGCATGGGCAGTAGACCGCATCTTCAGCTGCCCTTGGCAGTGAATAATTTGCTGCTGCGGATCCGAACCTGCGTTGTATGAGCCCACAGAAAATGAATAGCCTGCCTTGTAGCCACCGCTAGGCTTTATGGAAACCCTAACTATTGCAGAAGAGTCCTCTGAATATAGCAAAGGCGCCATGTATAGCACATTTGAGAGTGTCCTGATGACCTGTTCATCATCATCTAGCTGTGTCCACTTGCAGGCAGCTAGAGCCATCTCGTGGTATACTGATGCAGGACAGAGAGCATGTTCACAGACAAGGTGACCGATAATATAATCCTTGAAAACCGCAATCGGTGTCTCAAAGATGGCTTCGCCATTCGTCTCAGATGGACGCTGAACAATCTTGGACAGGAAAGTGTGCGAAGTTTGAGAATCAATAATTTGATCATCTTCATCCGATTGTCTTTGAGGACTCTCATGTGGATAGTGGATGCCAAATTCTTGCTCTGAGAACGGCATGGCCGGAAATGTGCTTAAGACTGCCCGCTCATCAAAAGCTTTTCGCCAATTCAACATGGTAGTGTTTTGGTAGAAATGGCATAGAAGTTTAGCAATAGCGGCAGATGCTGGAGTTCCCTTTCGTAACGAGGGTAGAAGATCTGTAGTATTGCTATCCAATCTAGTGCTAACCATTGGCAGCAAAGAAGGATGAGGTCCGATTTCTATCCACCGGGAGATTTCAGCCCCAAGTCCACTGCGAGAAAGCTCATGAACACCTGCGTTGAAAGCAACGGTCTGGCGACAATGCATAGCAAAATATTCAAAACTGAAAGCTCTTTCGTCAGGCTGGACAAGCCGGCCAAACACGTTCGACATGACAGGGATTCTCGGACCTGAGATTTCGAGTGTTTTCGCGACTTCTGTTAATTGACTCAATATAGGATCCATTGCACTTGTATGATAGGCCATTGGAACGTCGAGGAGTTTCGACCGTGTCTTCATCGTATTGAGTTTTGCCTTTAGGGATTGGAGTTGGCTGATGGGACCCCCAACAACACAATCAGACTGACTGTTATCACAAGATATAGCCAGATTGTGAAATTCTGGAGAGTTATCAATGTGATGTCTCATGGTCTCTGCACTGAGGTTAACCGCAAGCATTGACGTTGTTTCAAGTTGACAAAGCTCCATCATAAGTTTCGCTCGGTGTGCTACCAATTTAAGACCACCTTGTAAATCAATCACACCAGCAATAACGAGAGCGGCATACTCTCCCAAACTATTGACAGTGTTAGCTAAAAAACCGTAGAAAAAGAATCTGGTGTTTCAGCATACCTGTGACCAAGCACCATGGTTGGCATGATGCCAAAAGACATTAGAAGGCGCGCTAGTCCTACTTCCAAGACAAAGACTGCGGTTTGAAAAGATTGTTGTCGTTGGGAGAATGACTGAGACTGCTCTCCTTCGTCGTCTTTGCATGCAATTATATTGAGACAACCCGGATATTCATTGTTCAGTAACCATCGCTCGCAGTCCAGAACAACCTTTTCAAATTCAGGGTAAGCAGTCAAAAGCTCACGGCCCATTCCTAGGTACTACAAACTTTGTTAGATCCTTAAAATCCGGTACAGTGTAAGGGAGCCTCACCTGTGATCCTTGACCAGAGAATGCGAATACTGCACGTGGTTCTTGATTCGCAGACTCTCGAATGTTGTAAATCTCTGCATTTCTCAAGTTATCGACTACCTCCTGTATGGTGGAACCGATGATAGAGACACGATAATCAAAGATCTGGCGGCGAGCTGTGCTAGTATAAGCAATATCACGAAGAGAAATTGGCACTGAGGGCGACTCCAGATAAGAGATCAAAGCCTCTTTATAGGCAAGAAGGCTTGTGTTGCTTCTAGCCGAGATTCCAAGTACATAGCTGTGAGCCTCGCACTGCTCTTCATCTTGAGAAGTAGCTTTGAGACTGGTGTATTCTTGCAGAATCAAAGCACCGTTGGAACCAGCTGCTCCAAAGTTGTTAAGTAGAGCAAGTCGCGGGTGTCTCAAAGGTCGGGGCCAAGCAGCACCATCACGATCAATGACGGATCCATCCGTGCCAAGGTCTTTGATCTTGCGGTTGAGTGTTTTCAGAGATATCTGCGGGGGGATTTCGCGATGTCTCATCATCAGGAGTAATTTGGCTAAAGCTGCGCCGCCAGAAGCGGCCTCGCAATGTCCGATGTTTGCTTTGATAGAGGTAAAATGGACAAGATTCCCTGGATCTCGATCATTGCAAAGTGCACCGCGGATGCTAACAAGTTCATTTGGATCTCCGGCTTGCGTGCCCGTTCCATGTGTTTCTACCACAGTAATCTTCAAAAACGTTAGTCATTGCGCCAGTATTGATGATAATAATATAGCGGAAGATTTCTGGCGGAGAAATGAAAATTCTCTGGCCGGTATCAGTTGCCCGCTGAGAATTACATACCTGATGAGGATGAACTTGGGTTTTGCTTAGCAACGTTTGAAATAAGCTTTCCTGGGTTGGTGCATGAGGGTGCGTGATGGAATGTGCATTGCCGCTCTGATTAATCTCAATGCCTCTAATAACGCCGAGAATTCGGTCGTTTTCCGATATCGCATCACCAAGTTTCTTCACCACGAAAGCTGCACAGCCTTCAGACCGGCAGTAGCCATCTGCTGAATCATCAAATGGCTTGCACTGGCCAGTAGGACTTAAGAAGTGTGCTCGATCGAGACCAAGATACATCTAATTCGCTGTCAGTTCCTAATAATTTGAAAAGAATGACTCCATTGGCTTGGAGAGCAACATGGACGACTGTTCCTGTATTTTTTTTTAAATGATGATAAAGGATATTGGATATACTCACATCAGGACTAGTGATGACATTTACACCGCCGACCAATGCCGACCGGCAGTCTCCAGCCTGAAGCGCTCGTGCAGCTTGATGCATGGCTACCATAGATGAGGAACAAGCCGTATCTAAGGTTATAGATGGTCCACTCCATTTGAAGACGTAGGCTATCCGTCCACTTTGAAAAGCGCGTAACGTCCCTTGAGGAGAAGCTATTAGCAGGCCATGGTATCGATAGGAATCAAACATGGGATGATTTACCAGGGCTGTAGTAGACATCAATACGGTCTCTAAGATTGTCGGTATAGTCCAATGTAGCATTTCCGATAAAACAACCAAATGTCTCTCTGGAAAATGACGGGGTTGAATCAGGCACATATCCCGCGTCTTCGAGTGCTCGATAGGCAGTTTGGAGCATGACTCGTTGTTGTGGATCCATTGAATAGGCTTCTCGCGGGGAAATACCAAAGACTTCGCTGTCGAACATGAATGGGTTATCTAGAAAGTTCCCGTACTTTGTTCTCATAGTGCGGCCATCTTTCTGATAAAAGTCTTCAACATGGAACCTTGAAGATGGAATCTACAGAGTATGAGTCAGCTGCAGAGCGGTTAAAGAGATGTTTGAAATCGTTCGGCTTCACCTCAGTGCAAGAATTGACACCCTCAACCAAGTTTTGCCAAAGAGCATCGGTAGTACGAGCCCCTGGAAGATCCACACCCATGCCCACAATAGCAATATCATCATATGACAGCAACCCTGAAGCGTCTTGTGGCAGGAAACGTGGTTCGAGTATTGAAGCACTTATAACTTTCACGTTATCTGGGAGTGTGTATCTGGCTCCCGACATGCCATATCCAGGGCCAAAATTCAATATTTCATAACAAGCATCCACAGCAGTAGTTGGTTGTTTGGTAGCAGCAAGAATGTTCTCCTCAACCGCTACCCAGTCTACCGGCTCTAAAAGCATCATATCCAGGAGCTTCTCACAGAAATCTTCGAACGTTGCCAGCTGGCCCGAATCAATCGGCTTCCCATCGATATTGGAAAACAGTGGGCAAATAAGATGTAAGGGTGTCGAAAATGAGAGCATGTTATTCCGAAGGTCTTTAAGTACGTCCCTTCGGACTTCCTCGAGCTGATGACGGTTATGATACATGGAGAAAATATTAGTTGGCCGTATCTTGCATTGAGAGAGGACATTGCTTTGGCTGAATTGCCAAAGATGATCACCTCTACCGCTCAGAGTGATGCAAGTATCGGAGTTGATGGCACTCAAGTAAACGTAGGAAGCAGGAGACTAAAACATCAAAATCAGCACTCGGGTCTCCCTATCGATGGCGATGGACAATTCATACTTGACTGTTGTGTTCTTCAAGCAGCTCCTGAGCATGCTGGACTGTAATCCCATCAACGACTAAACTCCAAGGCAGATGTGGTGGACAGGATTCTTTGGCCACCATATTATGCTTGTGGCATTCAATCCGGATGCCTAAATACAGGGCAACGTAGAAGAAATCCTGGCCTCGAGAGAGCAGGTCGATGGTACTCCTAGATGTGGCCGCTGCTGCACACGGCAATAATCCGGCACAGAATCCAGCGACACCAAAAAGAAAACCAGGCTTCTCTGTTGAGTATCGTAAATATCTGAGAAGCTGAATTGTATATAGAGATACATGTTGAATGATGCTATTCCGTTGATAAAAAACTGGAGGTCTTATGAGGCTTTCCGGCTCCACAAAGTCTTCCAGCTTGATATCTGAGGGAGCCGCTGGCTCTGAATGATGGATGTGATCTCTTTCACAAATATGCCATGGAATGCTCGTAATATAATCTGGCCTTCTGGTGATTTAGCGTCCTCGGCGGCAGTCTTCAGAGTTCGTTCCGAGAAAAGCGCATCCGAACCCAAGCCGGCGAAAACAGGAATCTGATTCATCTTGATACGGATGGTTGAAAGCCGCAGGGGGTTACCCTAGAATCAAGATGAGTAGATAAATTTTCCTGGGAAGTAAAATGAGAATTAAAGATGGAGATGATGGTGCTCAACGAGGATGGCATTTGTATATCTATATCCCATTATTCATCCGAGGATGCCTGATTACTACAGCAATCAGACGTAACTACTGGATGAACAGGGTTAAGGACTTAGAAACAGTCGGATCGCGCCCCACGGCCCCCCCAAACCCTCAATCAAGGTGCCAGCACTTCGCCGGCCGCCCGAACGCGACCAGGTGGCGCTAGACAATACCTCGATGAGGTGTTGCGAGACCAATAGACCCACCGATATGGATTATGTCGGAATTCCCACCAATTCGGCAGCATTGATAGAACCGTCAATCTTCATGGCTAGAAAGATTCTCTACAAAACAGGAATGGTCCTGAGGACTTGATACGACGACCCTGGTCGATCGTTACAGCCGGTCCCCGACAAAAGCCGACAATACCCATCTTCCACTGAAACATATTAAAACAACATAAAAATCGTTCTTCACGGATCCACAATCCCTAAACGGCCTTGAGGGATTCCGGAACTCCTTCTGGAACGGAACGGACGGAAGGAATGCTTAGGGGCCGGTTCCCGCGTTGGTATTCCGTGGATCATCTGTTGAAACAAACGCCTCCTGATAACCACTTGAAGCCAAGACAGGTATCGAAACGTATCATCGGATATTGTCCATTGTTATTGAGTCTCGTAAAAGAGTGGATCCGAGTGTAGCAAAAGTTTGAGAACGTGATTGGGTAGTTGAAGGTTTAAGAACTAAGTGGGGAGAAAACAGACTAAAATATTATGCGGCCCGCTGTGGCTTACTTGGACTGTAACAGCGAAACTGTAAACGAAACCGAAATCGCATCCCATCATGGATCCGTATGAGAACCGTAACACCATAAAGGTTCCACTGGAAAAAGTGTGTGATCACGTCTTACGCCTTTATCGCGGGAGGACAGGAGGATCTGCTTAGCGGCCGCTTCCCGCTACTGCACGTAAGACAGCCGTCAGCCGCAGCAGGTCCACTCCTACGCACAAAGGTACCTATCTATCTTCAAGTTTAAGGAGCGGCATAACAAGCTTTAATTTAGGTCCTAATTGGCCGCCACTGCGGTTCCTTTGGAGTATGGTGCAGCGGTTGGCTTCTTGGCTTCTTGGCGTGTTGGTTGGTGGCCTGATCGTCTCTGGGTCGTTATTCCTTTAATCCAACAGTTGCGTGCCGGCAATAACATGAGACCTGAGACCGGGGTCTGATAGGAAAGGAACTTGCGCCTCATTTTTGGATGCATGCTGAGCAGTGTCCTGTGTGCTGTTTTCTTCGTCAAGGATTCAGTAGCTCTTGATAGGGCTGATTGTGTCCACATTTCGGGCCAGGTTCATGAGGGAACAGAATAGGACTGGAAAGCAATTCTAGTAATTATATGCTCTAGCCAGACGGAAGGACAAGCACATTGTTGTTTAATCTCCCTAAGTGTTTGCAATTTTATTGAGTAATTCTATCTGGTATTGATGGAGTGTCCAGAGAGAAAATGGAAGAAGGAGAAGATGAAGAGGAGGATGATGTGCATTATCTGACTGACTCTACGTGAAGCTAGTGACGATGTCATGTCCGGCGAATCAGTCCGATATTTGACCCACGTGTGACTATACAGCACGATAGGGGCGACCTCGGAGCCGTGAAATCCATGCCAATCTATAGACATGCCGAACAGATCATGACTCCTTCTCTCTTTCTTTCTCATGTGTTGATCTACTCTCATCACCGTCCCTAGCCGGCTAGACGGCAACAAATGACCTAGCACGTATAAGATAGCCGTATTCTATACTTCTTTATCTATACACACCTCATCTTAAAGAAACCATCTCGAGTTTCAAAGGACATAGAGCCGATTGCATATCCCTTCCTCAAGGAGGATTGTCTAATCCAGTACATGCATTGCGTCAAGAGCTCCATCTGAGTGGGTGCCACTCCATATGTCAAGATGATCTTGATAAGCTGCCCACGTGTTAATTTGCACTTCTCCAATGGATGAGCAAAGGCTGTCGTCCGTAAAAAGCGTAGTATCAAATGTGTGATCCAAATCTCCTCCTGCGAGAGAGCCCGTCAACATATCCGCCGGGCTAAGGGATGGCGCAGTTGAGGCCATATCGGGTGATTCCTGCAATGTCAAGCCCGGGGTGATTCTGCCGTGATTGGTCAGCTCTGGCTTTTCGTCCAGGTTGGTCAATATGCCGTTAATTTTAGCGACATGTGATTTTGTGATATTCTCAGCTCGAGCAGCGAAAGGTTCGGTTGCTGCGAAGGCTTCAAAGACAGCCAAGGCTTTGAAGATCCACTGTACTGCCCTTTGTGATTGTGGAGAGAGTGGATTGGCTATAACGAATCCAAGAATGGTCACCGTGGCATTCCACAACGGGGGTAGAATTTCAGGCCAGCCAAAGAAAATGTCGGAAGAGGAGCAGAGGTCGTGTACGATAATTATCATGGTGATGGCATGCTGGATCGAGCTGCAAGCATGTTGGTCTGTTTGCGGCTGTTGGACATGAGAGGAGTTGGAGGGTTGTGGGAAACAGATGAATGGCCGCTGGAGCATGATATATGCATTATGATAGTATACTTCAAGTAGAACCCGTTGGTGGTGGAGCCAGCTGGGGGCTCCTAGCTCTAACACTATCGGACTCTCTGCCGTGGACATAGATTCCGTGTAGCCCGTGTTCTTCCGGGGATTAAGGAGGTCGTCCGGTAGTTCATTGCTCCATTTCTCTAGGCAAGCAAGCGACGTGGCCAGCAAGTTCGCTCGCTGCTCTAGCACCGTGACGTTGCTGGCATCCTCGTATAGTTTCGACGTGGAAACCATTCGATGAATCTCGGCAAGAGACACTGCCAGCTTCACTGCATGAACAAAATAGGTTGACACATGCAAATTCTTCCAGCACACCCTCGTATTTCCTGGCATCGTAGTTAGTTCATCAGCTGACGGCAAAGCGCATGTTATAGTAGCGGTCTGTACAGCGACTGGCTTCCCAAGCTGCTGGGAACATTTGATATCGAGCATGAAGAGTAACCACCAGATCTTTCTCTGGGCTATTCTCTCTCGTGGCTGAAGTCTCTCACTGGGCTCCTCATGGAGATTGACACTATGACTGTCGCGAATGGCGGTGCCCAACAGGCAGTAGGCCTCCCTGAAATGGCTTGCATTCATGAGATACAAAGACATCAGAGCGTAACATTGCATTGATAGAAGTGTGGGCTCTGTCAGAAGAGCGATATAATCGCGACAGCGGCGGAAATACTCGTACCCTATCCATGAGATGTTGACAGCACAATGGCGCAAACTCAGGATGCGGGAAGTAAGGCCGGCCCCATGACCGTATTGAATTCCTAACGCCGTCATGCAATTTGCCAAAGCTTTAGTTAATTTCCCAACCTCCGGAGTTTGTCGCCGGTCCAGATCCAACAGCGATTGGAATTCCACTTCATCTGAAGCTTGGAGGAGTGGATGGTAGGCTTCCCAAAATAATCTCAGGAAATATTTTTGTTGGTCCTCGGTCAAGTGCTCATTGCAAGGAGGTTGGCTGTCCGCTGACGTTGCGATATGTGGCAAGGTAGGGAACGGACCGGGATAGACATTTTTGAGATCCGAAATTGCTCCGTTGCTGGCGGTGCGCGACGTGGTCCTGGAATCGGCAAAGAAGGCATCGAGTTTGGCAAAAACATACACTGGACGGTTGAGCAACTCTATGTGCTCATCCAGCTTCGTGTGGCCATTATTAGGAATAGGTATATCGGTGGCACGACTGGCAGGGTTTGAGGCTAAGGGCATTGAGTGCTGGCTGCCATCCACACTGCTCACGATGTTCTCCGGTGCCAGGATTTCCGGCTTCGGCGCAAAGTCATCGGGTTGCACATGGTCCCTGGGATGGGGCTTGAGGTGGCGTTCTCTTTCAACAACAGTTAGTCATAATCAGCAACGATCGCACTCTAACAGTCAGATTTTCTCACCCGGTTGAGACGAGGGTCTTAGAAGTTTGCTTGGCGGTTGGACTGGAGGTCCACATGCATCTGACTTTATCCTCAACACAGCGCGAGCACGGCTTCTCCCCGCACTTGGTGCGGAAGGTACGACATCTATCGCATGCTCGCGATACTTTCTGACGTTTCCTGGAGGGCGACACCGAGTTTGAAGTACGTTGATCAAGACCGTGTTGCGCGGGCGCGGCCAGATTGAACGTGTGGAACATTGCAGGCGAAGCCCGTGGACATATGGGGGGAGGCGTCCCTACGCAGTGAAGAGAGAATACAAAGGAAGAATTGTAACATTGTTTGACGAAATCTGCCTTTGATCACGTCCAGTGTCACATCTTTCCATCTTCTGAGGACCACCTAGCGGGGCGGTTGTCCCTTGCAGAGTGTTCAGACTGCAGAAATGCCGCCGACACCGCAGTCGTGATTGACAGGGTGTGCAGACACTAATTCTGCAAGATATCAACCGGCGATTCTGGACCCGTTCATTCAAGCATCTGACAGCCCCTCCCCCTCTATCCATTTCTTCAGCACGGTCGCATACCAGTATGACACGTGTCCGTGAAAATATGTGGTCTCGGCTCGGCTCAATAGAACTATATAACGCACTAATCACCTAGTGGAGATTTTAGTGCCCGGTCCGTTGGAGGATCGATACGAGCTTATACCTTATTTTCATTGGCTGCAGAATGGTGCCCACAAGCGCAGGGGTGGGCCCTATCGCCGCCATAGAGCAACCCGCCACCACCATGGCAAATATGATGCCGGCAGTGCGTAAAGAGCTCACCGGATATTATGCTCAAAGCTGGCCACAGGCGCATGAACAGGGATGTTATGTTCAAACCTATCTATAGGTGCAACAACAGGGCGCGCATAGATATGCTAGTGAGATTGAGGGCTGGGAGCCCGGCATATGACGAAGAGACAACCGAAGATTAGGAATAGATGTGGCTGAAACCAACCCAGATAGCCGGCCGGTCTGTGAAGGTTGGGGTAGTACACTGATTTGATCGCCGTAAGACCTTGGGGATGTCCATCCAGAAACTTACAGTATTCGGCTTGAATTGGTATCATGGCTTTTTTTGGCTTTTTAGCGCGGTGGGATGTTACAGCACTAACCTGCATGTCAGCATGAGTAAAATGATCGTCCATAATCACCAATCACTCACAAAAGCGATGCCTGCGGTTTGAAACCGGAGGCAAAAACTCCACCCAGGAAAAAACCTTGGAAGAGAAAAATTTCGGGAATAAGCGCCAAGTGAGCACCAATATGTTCAGAACGATTGTATAAACGAGCATACCAGGCGGCCACGAACGACATGCCACGTGACCGCTGTAATAAGTTTGAAGAAAAGGATCATGGAGTAACTCTGGCTGGGGGCCCTTAGGAGATCCTGGGATAGGATGAAAGAACTCTGAATTGCAATATAAATAGACAACTACTCCTAGTCTCTCACGCTCAACTATCATCATGACCTCAGGGCTACTGGTATATATACTTGTCGAGCCTTACACCAGACCTTGAATTGGGTCCCGTAGCTGGGAATTTCCCTGTCTGGGTAGAGACTCATGCTACGGAGAGACCGAGGCAACCTTAGGGTTGCAACATGGAACTGATTGACAGAAAGGAGATAGAAACGTTTACAAACCAAGTTACATAAATTCTCGGTAAGAAAATGGGCCAATAGTAAGCTGTAGCCCACATTACGACTAAAACTCATTAGGCGTTCAACATATATTTGCCTTGGCTAAGAAGACGAATTCGTTTGATAAGGCCTATGTCTAGATGTCCAATCGGAGCTGACCAGAATCCGTACCCCTTTGGGATATGATCCCGGCAGGAATTAGATTTGCTCTTCTCCTTGTAGAAAAACGCTCCCAGCTTGAAATCATACCACCAACCATCGACTACGCCCGATCAATCTTAGTGTTAAAAGTTCTGTTCAACTCCCAAGTTCTAGAGATATAGGCGCGAAGCAATTTCGAGCAAGACTTCAATCTGTAACATTTCTGTATACTGCTTTCTTTGCCCTACTACAATCCCACCATAATGGGCTCCATCCAGGCAGAAGACGCAATGGCCCCCCCAGGCCCTCTCATAGTAGGGGCGGGCCCAGTGGGAATGTTGACAGCTCTCAGGTTGGCACAGCTGGGGGTGCCATCGATTTTATGCGAAATGAATACCGAAACGACACGATGGCCCAAGATGGACAACAACAGCTGCCATACAATGGAGATTTTGCGTATAATGGGGCTTGTTGAGGAATATCGACAACAACCCGGAGCTGTACCACAGCATACCGAATGGGACACCATTTTTTTCAACACTTGCGGGCTCAAGAAAAAGCTTATTAGTCGATGGGTAGGTCTGCCATCTGCCACATTGGAAGGATGGTCCTTCCAGAAGAAAAGGATCTCTCAGCCAGGAGTTTTGTTTAACCGATTTGGACTTGATGAAAAGAAGTCTTAGCTTCAAAACGTGGATCCACTAACACCTTCTGCTAGCATATCCCAAGCAACAACGAATATCGCGCCAAAATCCATGCGAATAACGACGGCTCACAGCCTGCCGAGCCGGGCCAGCGTTGCTCGCAGATCGTATTTGAAGCATTCTTGAAGAAAAAATGCCTTGCCGAGCCCCTGATTACAACTCACTTTGGTTACAAATTTATATCGCTCGCGGAACACGATGAAGGGGTCACGGCTACTTTCAAAGATATGAACAATCAGGAAAAGACGATTAACGCACCTTACTTGGTAGGCGCAGATGGCGCCCAGAGTAGAGTAAGGAGAAGTGTCGGGATTGAACTCCAAGGCAGACCTCTGTAAGTGTTACGTCCCCCGGTCAAATGTCAGTCAAATGTCACCAGCTAACATGGTGGTGATTTTCTCTCCTAAGGCCCGGTGCTTTTTTCATGGTGCACTTCCGGTCCAAAGAACTTACCAAGCTATCCCCATTCGGCAGGTGGTGGCACGCCTTTGGTCTCCACGGCGGCTTTATGATTGACCAAGACGATGCAGACACCTATACCTGTCACGAAACTTGCTCTGCTGATGCTGCAGCCATCAAAGAACTCCAAGAACATCCGGAGGAAATCCCGTATCGTGTCCTTGGCAGTCTCGACGAGCCTTACAGATTTAAAATTGACGAAATCATGGTGGCTAATGCATGGCGTCCGAACTTCGCGCTCGCAGATTCCTACGTCAGTCGTGACGGGCACGGACGTGTATTCCTTGCCGGCGATGCTGCTCATCGTAACCCTCCACATGGTGGCTATGGTATGAACAGTGGCGTTGAAGACGCCATCTCGCTAGCCTGGCGTCTTTCAGCTCTACACAAAGGCATTGGGGGAAGCAACCTTGTTACGTCATATACGAATGAACGCAGGCCGAATATGATGATGCGTCTTGAGCGTTGTGATGCCCATATCGGCAAATTCACTCCTATGGTTGTGCGGACTATGACGGCCCCGAATACAGACATTTTCCTCGAGGAGAGTGAGGAAGGTGACAAGGCACGGGCCGAGGTAGCAAGCCACCTTGACAGCGTGGGATCTGAAAATATCGACCGTGGAGTGGAACTAGACCTAAGATATTTGAATAGTGAAGTAATTGTGACTGACGGAACAAGGGAGCCGAGATTCGATATTATGAACTATACGCCAAGTACAAGGCCCGGGCACAGGGCGCCACATGTATTCTTGAGCGATGATCTGACAAGCATTGTGGACCTCTATGGGACAGAGTGGTCATTGATGGACTTCTCCAAGGTCAAAAGTGACCATCAAACGACAAATGGCTTTGTCAGCTTGGATAAGGAAGCAACATCCCCGGTGACATCATTCAAAGCTGCGGCCAAGGCAATGAAAATACCGCTAACGCATGTCCAACTGGGTGTCGGAGAGAGGCATGTTAAGAACGTGTGGGAAAATTACGATTATGTGCTAGTCCGCCCGGACGGATACGTTGCCTGGCGCGGAGGCAAAGAAGGCGCGAGGGATGAATGTTGTGAGCTGAACGAAGGACGGATTAGGAACATCTTGAGAGTCGCACTGGGCTGGAAGACGGACCCTGGATTTGTGGCAGGGGAGAAGAAAGAGTTGAATCTGGAAATAAATTTGACAAGCATTCATGGCGTGGAAGAGGAGCTAGGGGTGGGCGAAGGTCAAGGGGATGCGTTTGTAGGGTTTTTTAAAGAGGACAAGAGAAGATAGATGCCCCTCTGGGTCGATTAACACCGCTGTATCGAGTGTGTCATTCTGAATAATATACTTTGATCAAGGATGGGGCAGCAAGTTTTCCAAAAAAAAAAGAATGAAAAGAAAATTCAATCCAAAGTTGGAAAAGTTTTCAAGCAAAAGTATAGCTCTGAAAGAGTTTCACCATACAATTTGGTGCATCTTTGGCATAGGCCTTGAAGGTCTTGAATTGCCCTGCATGCCAATCAACTAAATCAACCCTAGCGTTCCAATGGATCCAGCAGCGCCAGAGTGCTTGATGCTTTCAGCGTCATCTTCATGTGAATATTACGGGATTGATGGACCCTGCATCAGTGTCCCAATCAAGTAATCTTCCGACTCGAGTTTCTGCATGTCTACCGCCTCGTTCGGGTTGTCGTAGATAGAGTCCTTGAGTATGCGACTATTTAATATAGAGAAAATTGATCTTCTGGATAGTGTGTAAAGACAGTTGATTCCTGAGCTTAATGATCCCTAGATTCTGGACCGAGAAAGCTTGCTCACAAGCGTCTCAGACTCAGTTTACCCTGGACAGTTGTATTGCGATGTCGAACAAGCAGATCTAGTAATTGACTGATTCATCGATCGGTCGACCGCTCGAGACTTTAGAACACATAGTCGCTGCGAGGCGTTGATCATTAATAATTAATATTGCCGATGACATCTGAGCGATGTGTCAAATTCCTGAAGGCTACGCTCCTTTGGGTTGGACTTCCCATAGGGACAGGAAGAAGTTCCGGCCACTAGACTGCTCTACGTGCACGGCGTGCATCGGCGGCCACCAGTCACCGCTCGACCTCAGCTAACTTTTTGGTCATATTCCGCAAGTTGGCCGACTGGAAGGCGGGTGATTGGCTTGCTACAAGGGTGTTTCCTATGGATTCCGAGTAGCGGAGCAGCCTGAACGTCTACCAACCGGACCCCTACTATTCAGTCATGCGCATTGGCGTATGTTGATAAGGGACCCACGGCCCAAAATGGATGCGCCTCCGGCCCGCCCCTTTGTGATCGCCGCTGTAATCTGTGTACCGTGTAAAGAAAATGCCCTAGTATAGCGCCCTACACTAGTAACTTCTGATGGCGTGAGGCACGGATGGTCGTTCAAAACGCTGTAATTACAGCGGGCGGGTGCCGTACCGCACGGCCCGCACGTTCCGCGCGGATCGCCCCCAACCCGCCATAGCTTTGGTGCTATCAGTATTTATTCTGCTTATGAAAAGCGCCAGCTGGGCATCATTTTTTACGTCGCCTAGTCACTGTAGACGTGAAGCACAGTCATTAGAATGCCCGAATCCACCATGTCGGTGCCCATCGAGAGCTCGCAAGATGAGGAAAAGGCCATACAACACCCCGGCTCTGAATCCGCCTCGGAGCCCGCCTCTGAGAGCCCTGCGCTGGACTCAGCTCTCCCACCAGAGGGCGGCCTTCGAGGTTGGCTTTGTTGCGCTGGTGGCTCCCTAGGTCTATTTGCTACCTTGGGCTTTCTGAATGCGTTGAGTTCTTCCCTCTGCAAAAAAGCTGTTTATTGGTCCTTTTGCTGACTTGAACAGCATTGGCATTTTCCAAACCTTTTATCAAGAGAATCTCTTGAAAGACTACACCTCTTCCGACATCTCATGGATTTTCACAATTCAGCTTGCTCTCATTTGGGCTCCAGGTTCCCTATTTGGTCGCATTGTTGATACCTACGGACCGCGCCCGGTCATGTTGCCCTGTACCATACTTTGCCTCTTCTCACTGTGTATGACAAGCCTGGCCACCGAATACTATCAGATCATATTGGCGCAGGGAATAGGTTATGGACTCGGCGCTGGAGGTATTTTCACAACGTGCTTGATCTGTGTGGGGCAGTGGTTCGTCAAGCAGCGCGGCCTTGCTATGGGAATTACTGTGGCGGGTAGCAGTATTGGTGAGTCGCAATCCATTCCATTAGTCTCTATGATGTGCTTATTTGATGTGTAAATAGGTGGTGTGATATTCCCGTTTTTCCTGCAACTGGTTATGGAAGACGTGGGATTCAATGGCATGGTACGCTACACGGCGCTGTTCCTAGGCATCGCTTTGATTGGCGCCTTCTTTCTCCTCAGTGCGCGCCTGCCTCCTAAGAAGTGGGACTCGAACATGACATGGTTTGACGTCAAGTTGTTCAAAAACCGAGGTTTTGCTTTCTATGCCATCGGCTCATATTTTGTCATGTGGGGATTGTGGGCACCTTTCGATTATCTTCCTAGCATGGCCCAATTGTCAGGAATGTCGGATTCGTTGGCCCTCTACCTGATCGCTATCGTGAAGTAAGTTTCGTCAATACTGTTGTCTCCCAGCAGAGCTAACCTGAGAGCAGTGCTGCTTCACTTTTTGGACGAGTTATTCCCGGCCACATCGGCGACAAGGTGGGATACTTTAATATCATTACCGCATCCGCTTTCTTAAGCTGCCTGTCGATCCTCTGTTTATGGCTGCCTTTCGATTACCATTCTTCAAATGCCGGCCTCATTGTCTTCGCTGTGGCTTACGGCTTTTTCAGCGGTGCCTTCGTCAGCATCATGATGCCATGCTGTGGAAAGTCCGGCAGCATCGAGACCCTGGGGAGACAAATAGGTACTTACCAGGGTGTCATCGCTATCTCGTAGGTCTTCTTTGGCCCCATTTAAAATGGTTTCATTGTACTGATGTTTAACAGCACTCTGACTGGCCTGCCGATCATGGGAGCTATCTTGGGAAGGCAGCATAATGCAACCTACATGGGCATGCAAGTATTTGCCATTGTGACTATGTTCATCGGTGCCTTGTTCCTCTTGGCTTCTCGAAATGTCCTGGCTGCGGCTCACGGAACATGGAAATACTGAAAATGTGACGATCTGCTACATCGTCGGACTCGCCCGCGAAACAGGAATGGATCAGCCGAGTGGCCCAAGCGCGGATGTGGAAGCGCTTGTTACACGGAACCGCCTAAACCCTGAAAAGAAGAGCCCGGCAATACAACAGAAACGGGCTTTGTGACAAGCCATTACAATTAATAAAAAATGGAGCCAGATCTGATTGAGGGGAAGGCGGAATGCAAGATAAGGTTTTCTTTTTTAATTTCCCCTAATCTAACTATAGAAGCGATGGCAGTTTGTTATGTTTTCTGTATTTACTCCGGCGTTCTGGACGGCTCAAATTTTGTTTGAAGCAGACGAGGTAGAAACTCTCGCCGGCGGGCTCGAAAAAGGATAATAGAAATATTGATTGACTGGTTTGATTCAAGACTGAAACTACAAAAATCAGACTGCACGATATACAACAATTGACAAAAAGTGCATCTATGATCTTTCCTTGCCTGATTGATATGGTGGCAAGAGAAAGTTGACCGGCAGGAAGAGGAAAAAAAGGCGAGTTGTCCGCACTTTCTTGCGTTGCTTGACACCGTCTCCATGCGAGGCCCGACCGGTCGGGGATGTTGCTCAATAAACAGCCTTGGTCTTGTGTGATTGGCAGAATATGACATAATCTCAGCGTGTGGGGCCCAATGTCCCGCAAACTTTGACTCCGTCACTTAGAAAAAGGGGTCCCGTGACCGCTACCCCACTGTATTCGGAATCATAGGTTCTCCGGTCCGGAGATCAGCCAGTCAGCGTGCCGATGAGTCATCGCGCGAAATACCCGGCGACTCATTTGCCGGAGGGATTTCTTCCTTGTGATTATCGTCAACCTGCTTCTTCTGTTGATTTGGCCGACCTGGGTGCCCACGGTGGACGTCATGGCTGTAAGTGCTGATTGCATTGATCCGGAGGCTTCTCCTGCCAAATCTCTCTACGCCCAGCGAATTGACCCGTTATGTCTAGTCCCGATTCCTGTCCGCCAGCTCTGGCCACCGGGCCGCTTTGCTGCGGAGCCCCAGATCCCTCCGCCGAACATTCGCGACATCACGCATATTCCTCCAGCAGGCTTTTCACTCTCAGCTAGAGGACCCGGCGATGGCCGCCGTGTTCTCCTCCATGCAGACTGCTCCCAAGGCCGTTCCCCAAACCCTGACCGAGAAAATTGTACAGAAGTACTCGGTCGGTCTGGCCAAGGACAAGTTCGTTAAGGCCGGCGACTATGTGACCATCTCTCCCCACCGTGTCATGACCCACGACAATTCCTGGCCGGTTGCCTTGAAGTTCATGTCTATCGGTGCCACCAAAATCCATGACCCGAAGCAGATCATCATGACTCTCGACCACGACGTACAGAACAAGTCCGAGAAGAACCTCCAGAAATACAAACAGATCGAGGAGTTTGCTCAAACTCATGGTATTACATTCTATGGGGCGGGTCGTGGCATTGGTCATCAGATCATGTGTGAGGAGGGCCACGCTTGGCCAGGCACGTTGTGTGTGGCCAGTGACTCTCATTCGAACACATATGGTGCGATTGGATGTCTTGGAAGTGAGTGTTGTTCCTGATCCAGTATGAAATCGCTGAGCTAACCCCCTGATTTCCAGCTCCGGTCGTGAGAACGGACGCGGCATCGTTGTGGGCAAGCTCTAAGACTTGGTGGCAGGTACCCCAAATCGCAAAGGTCACCTTCACCGGTGTCCTTCCTCCTGGTGTTACCGGCAAGGATGTGATTGTCGCACTATGCGGTCTCTTTGATAAGGATGATGTTCTCAACCATGCCATTGAGTTCACTGGCTCCGAGGAAACCATGCGGAGTCTGCCTATCGATGACCGCTTGGCCATTGCTAACATGACTACGGAATGGGGCGCTCTTTCTGGTCTCTTCCCGATTGATGGCGTATTGAAGGGTTGGTTGAAGGCCAAGGCTACCACCGCCGCCATGGGCCTCGCCGATGGTCCCTTCAAGACCGTGGCGCCCCAGAACTTCACTCACCCTGTCCTGGAGGAGCTATTTGCTAACCCCCTGACTGCCGACAAGGGTGCTAAGTATGCCAAGGAGCTGTTCATCGATCTTTCGTCGCTTTCGCCATACGTTTCCGGCCCTAACTCCGTGAAAGTGGCCACTCCTTTGAGCGAACTCGAAGCAGCCGACATTAAAGTCGATAAGGCTTATCTAGTCTCTTGCACGAACTCCCGTTCTTCTGATATCGCTGCCGCTGCTCGTGTTTTCAAGGAAGCCGCGGAGAAGAATGGTGGACAGGTTCCCAAGATTGCGGAGGGTGTCAAGTTCTACATTGCTGCCGCTTCTATCCCCGAGCAGATTGCTGCTGAGGAGGCGGGTGACTGGCAAACCCTGCTCGATGCCGGTGCCACGCCCCTTCCAGCTGGTTGTGGTCCATGTATCGGTTTGGGCACTGGTCTCCTTGAACCCGGCGAGGTCGGTATTTCGGCTAGTAACCGCAACTTCAAGGGACGTATGGGATCAACCGATGCGAAGGCGTATCTTGGTAGCCCAGAAGTTGTCGCTGCTAGCGCTCTTAGTGGAAAACTCTCAGGCCCTGGCTGGTACCAGACCCCCGAAAACTGGAATGGCGTTATTCGCGGCGAAGGCGATGGTATTCGCGAAGAGGAGCGCATGCTCACGATGGAAGAGGCACTTGAGAAGGTCATTGGTCAAATTGATCACCTGGTGGCTGATGGAGAGAAGAAGTTCGCCCCTGAACCGACTGATGAGGCGGCTCCCGAGGCGGCTTCCGATTCTTTGACTGAGCTCTACCCTGGTTTCCCTGAGCGCGTTTCTGGTGAAATCGTGTTCTGTGACGGCGATAACATCAACACAGATGGAATTTACCCAGGAAAATACACCTACCAGGACAATGTGCCGGTGGAGACTATGGCCCAGGTCTGCATGTCGAACTACGATACCGAATTTAACACTCTCGCCAAGTCTGGTGATATTCTTGTTACCGGCTTCAACTTCGGCTGCGGGTCTTCCCGTGAGCAAGCGGCCACCTCCATTCTGGCCAAGCAGATCCCGTTGGTTGTGGCCGGTAGCTTCGGCAACATCTTCTCGCGCAACAGTATCAACAACGCCCTGATGGGCCTGGAGATCCCGCGTCTTGTCAGCCGCCTGCGCGAAACCTTCAGCGAAGACAAGGCTCTCACCCGTCGTACCGGTTGGACCCTGACCTGGGACGTCCGCCGAAGCCAAGTTGAAGTACAGGAAGGCGAGGGCGGTGCCAAGTGGACCCAGAAGGTTGGCGAGCTGCCTCCCAATGTGCAGGAGATCATCGCCAAGGGAGGCTTGGAGAACTGGGTCAAGCATGCAATTGAGGCTCAAAATTAAGCCTAAGACTCCGTCGGGTTGCTCTTAGCGAAAATTTGGCGTTTTGATGTGATACCCGAGCTTTGGTTTATATAAAAGCACCTTATAGTGATGGTTTGGATTTTTTTTGTTGCGCCTGTACAAAAGCCCTAGATTCAATGTGTTTTGCATGTTCAATAATAAAATATAGACCTTGCATCTGTCCAATTACAGAAAAGCGCGAGACAGTATAAGACTATCCTAGGTGTGCAAAGAGGAAGTGAAAAACAAAATAACAGAGGACGCTAGTGCGAGGACCGACGATGAAACAAGAATCCCTCCAAACACAAAGTAGTCGCTCAATATAGCTCTTGTCTTCGAGGTATATTAAACTTCGAGTCCGTATATCTCATCCAAATCGCCTCAATCAATCTAAATATAGCAATATTTATGCGCATTTATCTTGTGGCCAATCTCCCTGCATTCACTGCACCTCGGTGGAGCCCAGCTTACCAGTCGATGTTGTTTAAAAGGCAACTCGCGCTACCCATTCGATATGAGACAGTATCTTCAAACTGCTGATTGCACATAGCTGGGCGGCCGATATACCCAATCAATAATCAATGCAATTATCACCACTGGCCGTATTTGTTGGTACAAGTTCCTTATTCGTTTTCTTGAACAGAAACTCCTGCGCGCAAATCGTAACAATGCGCTTGAAATTGCATGTTCAAAAAAAGCCCCAATGCTTTTTTAGGCTGAATCCAAAGTGAGATGAACACTTTTAACTCTGTTAGCATCTTCGTCCTCTGAAATTCATTATCTGAGGAGAATATGATTATGATTTTATCTGTATAATGCCAGACAATACTATCCTAGTCTGGAAATTACTTTCAAATTGATATCGTACAAATTTTGAAAATGTCAAATGTCAAAGATATTGCCTTTTTCTCCGCCAGTTCTGTTATCTTTTGGCTTCTTGCACGGGTTGCTTGCTCCTCAATTCTTTGGAATAGCTGCTGGTGCTCATCAGACTGGTCGAAATGCCGGACAGAGAAGCAGGTTTCAGTTCCAAAGTCGTGGAAAATACCAGATCCACGGTATTTTGAATGGCTCTGACGTTGATTCAGATACAATTCAGCAATATAAAGCCTCTTCATTTGTGAATTGAAAGGGAGCAAAAGTGAGTTGAACAAGGTGACAGGTATATAAGGGTCATAATCCTCTAAGTGTCGATGAGCGTGAATGGCTGATTTGTCGCACGCAATCCACAGCTCTAGCAGGGTGAGCATCATGACTGAAGTAGCTTCAGGATTGTGTTGGTACTCTTTTGACGCCAACTCACGATACTCGGAGATCAGGCGACCCAGCTTCCCGCACGTTCCAGCGTCTTCGAGATGGTCCTTCATCCAAGTGTCGAGATAGGACTCAACCCAGTCTTCAAAGACACACAAGTTTTGGACGAGAAATTCAGAATTGCAGGAATTAAGCCCCATGGGCAGCTTTTCTGGCTCAAATGAGATGACCTGTGACGATCGTTGAAAAGACGTTAGGGAACTTTGCCCAATTCTTTGTCCAATATCTGCCAGATATTGATCAAGCCGAGGCAAATCACCCTCGGTGTCCTTTATAAAGTCCAAATGGGTCAAAATGTCAAGATCGATTTGGCAACTCTTTTGATCCATGATTCGTTGCCATCCCGATTGCGTTTTGTCGCTCACCTGATTGAGAATCAACTGGACCGAAGCGAACCAAGCCGGTTCATCGGCAAACTCGAGCTTCCATAATCGACGAATAGCCTTGGCAGCCATGAGGTATAGTACCTCACCAGGTGCTATACTTGATGCTTTTTCTATGACAGAGCTCATGAGAAATATCATGAACGATTTGTACAGCTCATGCGCTCGTTGACCATTCGACGAACGGCAAAAGGAAAGCTGCAGAGTGACGCGAAGGAGAAGCCACAAGGCCGAACGGCGCCAAGGGTAACGTGAATTGTGCCACATGACTTCTTCACGAGTATGTTTCTGAATTTGCATGTCTGTGACATCCGTTGAAAGCGGCCGAAGGGTGGCCATGAGGAATTCGGTGACCATTTTGGGGTCGGTGGTGTCTCTGTCCTCGTCATGATTTTGTTTTGCCTTTTGAACTTTCGGCTTTGTACCTGCAACGGGTTGCTGGCTCATACGGGCAATTGTCTGGGCCAGCATATTGAGCAGATTGGCTTCATTGAAAACTCTGGTATCCAAAGCTAAAGCAGGCCCTGGAAAGGTACGTTGAAGTCGACCCTGGGTCGACATAACAGCTGTGTTCGTAGGGGATAGCTCGAAACTCTCGACATGAGTTGTATCACCCTTCTGGCTGATTAGAATACCGGCATTCTGTTGTCGGACGTGGATTGAAAGGAATCCGCCTGGAATTTAATCAGCGATGTTGTCGACAGCTTGTATCTTCACAAGTATATTTCCTAACCTTTGACCAGGCGTCCTAGAGCTTTTTTAAGCTCCACTTCATCTACTCCACCATCCCGGCTGTGTATCTGTCGGACCTGAAGAAATGCTTCTGTAACCAGGCTGAAGGTATCAGCATCTTTAGCAGGAAGAAAGACCCCGAAACTGCGAAGAGCATCGAGAACAACCTCAATCAGCAGCATCTCATGGTCGGCACAATATTCTTCTTCCTGTGGTATTTTCGGAGGGAGAAAGACGTGATGGAATAGGTATAGCACCTCTTGCATGCTTTTTAATGTAGCAGGACTCATTCTGGCTTGCAAGAACTATTTTCTGACTTGGCAGATTGAAAGTAAGAGATAGAGTTTGTTTGAATACCTTCAGTTGATTGTGAGAGGTTGTCGGATATCTAGGAGGGTGTGCCGGATTTATATGTCCACGGCAAACGGACGCGGCAAACGGACACAGCAAACAGATGAGTCCACTCCCATCCTGTTGCGCAACACTAGGTCTTGCCATGAGAGGGGTTCAGAGGGATGTGTCGCCTAAGTCGCTGAAGGGGGAGCGGATGTGACGGCTGAGGAGTCTGAGGCTTCACACAAATATACTCAAGTTGAAATGACGCGAACCCTTGATGAAAAGATTACTCAAGAGAAGAATCCTTTGGGTGCCGTTAATTACTTTCACAGAGGCTAGGAAAAACCTTTGATTACTCCAGGAAACAGCAAGGGATACATGTCGGAGTATATAATGGATACTGTGTCTCTATCGCCACCCACAGCTCGCTGTTTCAGCACCAAAGACAAAATTTCATTTCAACATAGCAATCGGAGGATATCAGGCGTTTGACGTATGCCCTAGAAGGAAGTGTGACAGAAGTAGTGATATTGAGTATGCGCAAGGAAGAAGCTACCACCCTAGGCATATTGCTCTAATTACCAGACATACACGCTAAGGTCGCCGTGGAGCTACTAATGCTGCTACATCGGCTGCTATCTGAGCTGGAAATCCCTAACTCTCTTCCCACAGTATTTGATAGAAGCGAGGCCAAGAACAAGGTTCCTTCAAGGACATGACTATCGACATACCAGAGAATGATGAGCCGGAGTATGATCGGCGCTCCCATGGAATTATACAAAGATTATCTCCGGACGGCCGTCTATTGGGCTACAGCCACCAAGAGACAATACAGCACTATCAGGGGATACCGGGCAGACAGACGTCATTGAACCAGCGGAGGAAGCCACCACGTTAGGTGTTGCAGTTCGAAATAAAGGGAGTTCCCTAACCGCGGCAATAAATTTATCTACAGTTTTTGAAAGTGTGCTGGCAAATCCGAATTTCCCTGCGTAGCTCTACACCTCATGCGCGCCCTATAAGCTACGTGATTTTTGCCCTGCGCCTTTCGATGGACTGATACATGCGCTCTCCGTTTTTATTTTTGGCTCTACCTCTTGTCGTTGAAGCTTGCGATATCTAGCAATATCTAGCCAAGGATATACGTATATAACGTCCATCATCAGCCTCGGGAGCTATATCAAGGCTATTATCTGCTATTTGCGAGCGGGGTAGTCTTATATACATCAATCTGGGGTCATTCTGCGGACCGACATTTCTCACTACAATGGATACATACGTAAGATCATGGGAGAGCTTTCCTCCATTAAGAATTTGATTTCGTAGATAGGTATCATTTCATACTTTGAAAATCCAGAATCGAGAAATTCACGGACAATGGGCCTTTTTTCTCTCCTCGATAAAATTACTAGACTTGTCACCGAATTTCGCTTCCGAGTCTAACATTTTCGAATCTGCCTCGACGGCAGGCTGTGACGAATTTGCAGCTTCCACAATCATTCTCGAATCCGCCTCAGCAAACCAAGAATGCCGAGAATCCCCTTCCACCTCCACCGGCAGAATCTGTGGGAACGACGGCATGATTGGCGTTGGTGAGTTTTCTCCGACGTTCTGATAAGCATGATTCTGGTCCAATATCCCTCTTTCAATCCATCCCCATCTCAAACAGAATGAAAGGAGTCCAGTGTAGGTTAAAAGCAAGAAGACTACTTGAGAGATACTAGCCGCATACGAACTGCTAGTATCCGTCATTGTCTCTTCCGTCAGGTACCAGCGTATATCATAGATAGCCCACATCATGTTCAACGCAAAGAAGAAGGTACCAGCCCCGAACAAGAATATTGTAGGAACCTTGCGTGACATTAGTCATAAAAACGCCAACAATACAACATGACTGACCTTTGAATCTTTGCCAGCCTTCAGAGCCTTAATGACCAAGTAGGTGTCCCAGGCCAAAGTTTCCCAAGACGCCAGCCACCGGACAATCGTGCATGCCGAGTCTGTTTTGTAGGCTCGAAGCAATAAGACGCCCATTTCATTGGTAGTCAATGCAGACTGGTCAAGAATCTTGCGGTAGTAGTCGGTGAGAATCGCCCAATCAATGACGGCTACAATCACGATGATTCCAAGTATCACCCAGTGTGCGATCTTGATCTTCTCCGGATATTTTGTGTTACTGGCCAAGAGCGCGAGATGATTCAGTCTATAGAAGACATAGAAGAGCACGCAAATCATGATGTGCTGAAACAAGTTAATGATAATCTGTGCAATATAATAATAATTCGTGTTGATGCTGGTATATCCATCTCTAATGCCTGGTAAGAGCATGCCCTCTAATGGAAGGTCCAATATTTCAGATCTAACATATCGGGCAATTAGAGCATTGGTCATTAGCTCAAATTGACAATCACAGACCAAATGAAACTACGAATAGTCACAGGATCAAGAGTTACGCTCAACAAACTTACGTACAGGAAAGCCGCAACCAGGGATGCAAAGAGAGCCCATATCGGCAATCTTTTCAAATCGTATTTGCGCTGCCGACGGGCCACGACGAGTCCGATGCTGCAGCCCAAAGAATAGGCCCCTAAGATACAGTTCAACGAAAACTGTGCGTTGGTCAGATCTTTCTGTTGATTCTGGAGAATGGCTTGCGCCTGCTGAGAGGTGGTGGAGGTCATGTTGCCTCTCCAAGAGCGGAAAACGCAGCGTGACACAATCCAGACTGCAGCAGGACAGACGGCGGAGCATGCCTATGCCTTTTAAACCGACCCACGAGGCTTCCCGCCGCCATTAATCAATACCAAGCGGCCAAGAATAGGGGCGATGCTGGATATTCCATTATTAACGATGGTTGGATGGTGCTCTGGGGGATCGGCGGCCGCCAAGTTGTCAATCTGCGTCATGCTGTCAATGGCTCTGTCTAACTCGGTTCGACTGGACCAGGGCGTGTTTTTGGCCCCAAGCGACTCCACTTAAGCCCCGAACCAGAACATCAGGGTTCAAGACCGCTTCAAGGCAAATGCTGCGGTCGGGCAGGACAACACGAATCGCTGACGAAGAAGGAAATGCTTCGCCTTGCTGGACGCCTGGGCCGGAGAGAAGAGACGTCATCGGTTTCATGATCCAAACCAAAGGAGCTTCGGGATTTATACTAGCAAATCAAAGAGACACGTCTTTTGCATATGTATCCTTGGCCATGGTGCCTGCGTTTGTCAGTCAAGCACGGTCACGGACACCGTCTGATTTTTTGGCACAAACCGCCGCCAGTCGATAGAGTGAGAAGGCATATGTGAGAGAGTGGATTGCTATCCATTCTAAATTCATCGATATCCGATCAATATCGTTATGGGAAATAGCAGGTTCTCATTAGCGTCTCAATTCAGTCTCAGCACTTTGTGGACTTAACATTCATTACCCTCGGGACTGCTATGAATGTGAGCAAAGGAGTCCTAGAAGATTAAATCCACCCCCCCTCTGTAGAAACTCCTGAAATCCTCACCCACCATCTAGAAATATAAGGGGTTTATCTGCTGCTTGCAGAAACGAACACGGCCCGCTGATCTCTCTGGCATCAGGTGCAACCTTGCTGTTGAGCAGCCTCAATTGGCCCAGAGGCACACCCTACCAGAAGTTGTGGAGACAGGTTCCAATGCTAAATTTACTACAGTAGAATGAGATTGAGCTAACGGGTTAGGTGAGGATATTGAAGAGGATTTCACTTGCCTGCAAACTCGTTTTTACTCGATTCTTACTTTGCTATTCTTTGAAATAATATCCAAAGAGATATGCCAGTCCCTGTCTAACCCTTGTAGGCATACCTTAACTTGCCCTTTTGGATTTATGTGGCGCAGTGGATCCAAATCCGAAGCGCTGAAGGCCACTATTAGTGCCTTACACCGCCCCCACCAACCCTTCCGGGTTGTGGGTGCGCCACACAGTCTTTTCGTTTCACACAGTCTTTTCGGATTCTTCCTACTATCCTATTTTTTGCTTCCTACCTAACATCACTTTCTAAATATGACTAATTTTAATGAATCTCGTATGGCTGAGGCCTGCCTAGCTGCATCGCGTGTTAAGAAGCCTAATATAGCGCGTTTAGCACGGGAATTTGGCGTACCTGAGCGTACGCTTTCAAATCGTGTTAAAAAGAAAACACGGCCTATTACTACTAAACGCGGTGTCGGATACGCCCTAGAAGCCTATCAGGAAGAAGCCTTGATTTGCTGGATTCAATATATGAACGATTGCTATATGCCTATCACCCCTAGGATACTAGAATCGTGGGCGAATCGTGCATGCCAACGCGTCGGCAAGCCGTCGGTTAGCAAGATGTAGGCGTATCGCTTTATTAATAGGCTTCCTAAACATCTTCAATTAGGGCCTACTAAGCAGTATACGAAGGAATCAAAGCGAATCCTAGCAGAAGATCCAGCAGCATTAGCGAATTAGTACGATCTATTAGCCTAAACAATCAAGAAGACTACACCAGCACGCTTAGTCTATAACTTTGATGAATGCGGCTTTCAACCAGGCGAAGGAAGATCTAGAAACGTTATATCTACTACTACTACTACTAGTAGTAGTAGTAGTAGGAAGATAGTAGATCTTCCTCAGCCAGACTAAGGCGAAAATATCACGACTATCGAGTGTATCGCTGCCGACGGGTAGCAGCTAGAACCTTGGTTTATATTCAAAGGCAACAGGATCTTTATAGAATCTTGGTTTAATCAAACAGAAGACCTACCACTACATACTACGATCACTACATCACCAAACGGTTGGATAACCGACGATATAGTAGTTCAGTGGCTTCGATTCTTTATAGAATTAACACGCGACCGTACGAAATCAGGTGAAAAACGTATCCTAATATTCGACGGTCACGGTTCGCATCTTACATTCGAATTCCTACACCTTTGCGAAGAGAACGATATCCTACTAATAGGCTTCCTACCACATACTACACACCTTTGCTAACCGCTAGACGGTAAGCCGTTTCTAAGCTATAAGCAACACTTCCGCTTAGCGAATAACGACCACGCGTTTTAGGGTGGAAGCCCTATCGGAAGATCGGAGTTCCTTCGAATAATCGGTAATATTCGGAATAGAGCGTTTAGCCAGCGAATCATTCGGGAATCGTTTAAAGATCGTGGGATCTATCCAGTCGATAGTAGAAAGGTTATTAATAGCCTTCCTATCCAAGAAATCCCAGATCTCCTAGCGCCAGATCTACCGCTTCGTTTAACACCGCCACTACCACAAACAACTATATCTTCTTCTAGTATCGACCAATCGCTACCTAGATCTATTCAAGATCTAGAGAAGAATCAGAAAAAGATTGCTAGATATCAACAAGAAGATCTTACACCGCGGCAGCAACGTAATCTTGATCGCCTATTTCATCATAACAAGATTGCTATAGAGAACCTAAATCTAGCGAACGATACTATTCGCAAGATTAAGGAAGCTCAACAACCACTACAGCGCCCAATCACCAAGCGCCAGGTTAAAACACCGCTTAGCAAAACAGGGGTTCTCTCTATTAGAGATGCAAATCGTTCTATTACTAAAAGAAACGAGAAGGAAGCAGAGGCAGAGCGGAAGCGGGTAAGCAAGCAGTGGAAGAAAGCGTATAGAACATCACCACCACCAGAACCTACACAGGAAAGCCAGGCATCGTTAGATAGAGCAGAGGAAGCACGTCAGAACGGTAATAATTTCTTTATAGATACTAGTGGGATGCAGCGATAGATAGTGGAAATAGGAAGAATCCGAAAAGACTGTGTGAAACGAAAAGACTGTGTGGCGCACCCACAACCCGGAAGGGTTGGTGGGGGCGGTGTAAGGCACTAATAGTACTATACAAGACAGACACCAATTTTTCCAAGTTATGAAGTGCAAGCAACACAGTCTCAATGATGGGAAATTTTCCGGATACACACATAAAATGTAAGAATGTAACTATCATGTTTTAAGAAAATGAATACACTAGTTGAATAAGATACCCAGCAGCGTCACTTGGATATGCTCACGTGCACGTGATCCGCATTTTTATCGCAACATCATCCCCAATATAGACTCGGTTGTGCTGCATCTTCGCCTTGACACGCCCAAATCCTGCATGCGAGCACCTCAGCTACGACTTTTACGTTGGGCTTCCCCCATCCGCCCTTCATGGACCCGCATACGAGAAGCAGGCCTCCATGAATCGCCGCTCCGGCGTCATGTCTTAATCTCCGCAACCCCAGCTTGCCGAAGCCTACCGCCACAGGCCAGAGCCTTCTCGCAGACTTGTTTTCGGCGATTCATGCTTGATGCGGACTCCACCATCTATGCTCTGTCTACAGCCCCCGGAAGAGCCGCGATTGCAGTGGTGCGGGTTTCCGGCCCAGCTTGTGTATCGGTATGGAACTCCCAACCAACTCGACCGCCCAATACGCGAACAGTCCCGATCCTAACACTACCTCTCCAAGATATACAATGCACTTTGTCCTCGTACCTCGCTCCCCAAAGCCCGTTTCGCGGCCCTCCGCACCCTCTACGACCCGACGCTCCCACCCTCCCCGAACACCATCCTCGACGCCGGCGCCCTGGTGCTCTACTTTCCAGGCCCCAAAACCGTTACGGGCGAGGACGTGCTCGAATTTCACATCCACGGAGGACCTGCGATTGTCAAGGCAGTGCTGGGCGCCGTCGCGCGCACGAACAGCCCAGCTACTGTCGTCCGCTACGCCGAGCCGGGCGAGTTCACGCGTCGCGCCTTCATGAACGATCGTCTGGGCCTGCCCCAGATTGAAGCGCTAGGCGACACACTCTCTGCAGATACGGAGCAACAGCGGCGTCTCGCGGTGCGGGGCGCCAGCGATGCGCTGCTGCAGCGCTACGAGCTTTGGCGCCAGCAGCTGCTGTACGCGCGGGGAGAGCTGGAGGCGCTGATTGATTTCGCGGAAGATCAGCATTTTGACGAGTCGACAGACGAGCTGGTTTCGTCTGTCGCAACACAGGTGCGGGCGCTGAAGGTCCAAATCGGGTTCCATGTGCAGAACGCGTCGAAGGGCGAGTTGTTACGTAATGGGATTAAGGTTGCGCTGCTGGGGGCTCCGAATGCGGGGAAGAGCTCGCTCATGAATCGGATTGTCGGCAAGGAAGCGGCCATTGTGAGCACCGAGGAGGGGACGACGCGAGACATCGTTGACGTGGGCGTGGATCTGGGCGGGTGGTATTGCAAGCTTGGCGATATGGCGGGGATCCGCGCCGAGGCTGGCGGGACGGTGGTCATTGGAGCCGTCGAGCAAGAAGGTATTCGTCGAGCCCGAGCTCGAGCTCTGGAATCGGATGTGGTCATTGTGGTAGTGTCGCTGGAGGATTCTGCGGAAGGGGTTCGTTTATTTGTAGAGCCGGAGGTTCTTGACGCTGTCAATGACTGTGCAAAAGCCGAGAAATGTTTGGTCGTCGTCGTCAACAAATGCGACAAACTTTCCGCGGACGAGAGAACTGAAAGCTTGCCGCCGTCACTTGCAGGTATCATTGGCAAAATCTTCCCCACCGTGCCGACAAAACGTGTCTTTGCCATTTCTTGCAATGAAGCACAACGCTCGCCTTTGTCGACCGCCAGCTCAGCTGATCCAGGGAATCTACAAAGATTTTTACGTGGTTTAATTTCGACCTTTGAGCAGATTGCATCACCGCTAGGCATGGAGGGAGAAGGAAGTGAGCAGTATGATATATCTTATTGGGAAGATTCACTGGGCGTCACACATCGACAAAGCTCGAATCTACAAAGATGTCTTGACCATCTGGACGACTTTCTATTCCAGACCTCTCCCGGCCCTGCGTCCGACGCCTCCTCCCTTCCTCCCTTCCTACTCAGCGAATTTCCCTCCGTGGATGGTGAAATCGATATCGTTACGGCAGCGGAGCACCTGCGCTTCGCAGCCGACACGCTATCCAAGATAACCGGTAAAGGTGAGAGTGGCGATGTTGAAGACGTGCTGGGCGTGGTATTTGAGAAGTAAGTCTGAGAGCGGTCTCTAGCCGTCTTTCCAGAGCGCGCTAACAGCGACTGTAGGTTTTGTGTTGGCAAATAGGATTGATGCACCACCGGGTTATTTCAAGAAGAGTTGAGAACCCTTGAGGGGGTAATATGAGTAGAGTGGCGAGATATTTCCCCCAGCCCATTGCTGGAGCTGTACCGATTGACATTGAGCGAAGAGATGCGCTTATTCTGGCTGATTTTGGTGGCCATCTTGCACCGGATCTTTCAAGGACCCAGCGGGGATGCAATGCACTCGTCATCGTCGGCCTCCTTGTTCGGTCCGTTATAACCGCCACGACCCATTTTGAACGAATAGATGCAGATAGAGTTCCTTGAGAGAAGGGAATGACGAGTCAAGTTTGACAACAATGATGGTGAAGAGCTTTGGGTGCCTTGGCCTGTGGTGACCGTGTTGTGTATGGTAATGAAGTTATAAAGTTTTTGTATATAGAACTCGGATGAGCTTTGGTGGAGCGTAAATATGGTAATATAATAATAGATATCTCTGATCACGATTCGCACTGTTCAACAGTCTGAATTTGTCCAATCTATAGAAAAAAAGAAGCCAAATCGTCATGATCTGCATCCATATTTATATATGAAAAAGAGCTAAATAATTCCCCAAAACAACCCCCAAAAAGGAGCACGCCAGCCGGGGGGTCCGAAGTACGGGAGCGTCTGCCTGAGAATGCGAAGCCCCAAACGAACATCCAATGACGCGAGTGGGATCCTATGATTCACCCCCCAGGCTCCCACCAGCATTCCGAATCTTGCACAACCCGCCCAATTCGGGCAATGTTCTAGACGAAATTCCTGGCCCGGACGGGCGCGAAGAGAAGAACCCGGCAACTTGGGCGCCCTCCGCCGCGGCGTGCATGTCTGAGTCAGGACCGACTCATATCTTCACGAGGGCCAGAGGACAGCTGGAGCCAGGATCCCGGTTACTCAGTAAGATCGCTAAACAAACGAGCCCACTACGCCTCCAGTCCAACCAGAAACGACTAGAACGCCATGGATTCACTTAACCGGCGTTCTAAACCACGCGGGCTGGGATGCCGATTGAGCCACACTGCCCTTGGCACGCCCTAGCCCCGGCGCGCTTCAGAAATGCTACCGTGCCCTCGATGACGATTATCTTAGTCGATCGGAGTCTTTTGTTTCAGCTGATAAAACAAGCTGCTTGCTGTTTGAGGTTGAGACACCCGGTTCTGAGGCTCTCTTAAGCTGAAAGCCAGTGGGGAGGGTTGGGGGGTGGAGGAGGCAGTGGTTTACCTGCGGTTTAACTGAGGGTTTAAGTGGGCTCAACGAAGTTCACCGCTCGAGTTTAACCGACGAACGGGGGCGATCTTTGTCTGGGCTGCCGCATGGTCGCCAATCGCGGGGTGCACGGTATACCAGACTATACTATATCGCCATATCAGAAGCGAAGATGACACGGATCACTTACTAGGTCAAGGAACCAATGCACTGCAAGCTAGCACGCTCTCCTTTGAGACTAGTTGTGGCTCGAAACCATAACGATGGAACTCTTCTGGGAGGGAACAGCTGTCGTGAGGCGGGAAGCGCGGGGCTTGTCAGCTTTCTAAGAATAGGGTCCGCTTCAACGGTGCTGTGGACGAATCGAAGACAACCCGGGAGAATCCTTTGGCGTCTGACGAGCTGGAGAGGGGCCATAGGAGTCCCGAATAGGAAGCGTCACGTTGTAATAGTCAGGTTTTGTCCATCGCAACTTGGCTTGGATCCTATTTCCAATCTTCTTACGATGTCACAGTGGCACAATACCTTACAAATTTATGCCGTCATGCCGGATATGACGGAGCTTACGGACAGAGCAGCACCGACCAGGCGGTTGATGGTTGTTCTCTACATGCAGTAGGCCCGCAGGTACTATTAATAAAAATAAGAAACCCACGTTGCGCCCCTGCAGTCACGGACGGGGGGGCCATGTCCCCAAGACGCCGATCGCCTTTATTTTCCACTTTCATGCTTGGAGCAACGGGCTGACACGAGGGATCATTTAGAACGACGAGACCCATAAGGCCATATGGGCCATGGGGGTGGTAACGAGCGGCTGGAATGATTGGAAATCCATGTGTGACTTAGCCGCCCAGCATTGACCCGTACGGCCTGTTCTCGAGCATCGACGGCCCCAAGAAGACGCCCATTAATAAACATTTGCAAAGCATTAGTAAACCTGTCAGAACGCCAGTGGTCGGGCTCAGAATTATATATTAACCTGGATCTAGTATAGTTCACCGCTCTTGGTGGCGGGGGCGTTTTATTTTTTCCTATCGAGTTGACCTACGAATCTATGGAGAGGCCAGTGTTCGATGCCATGTGGCTTCTTCATGATGCTTAGCTGCCCAAACTCCTGGTCTCGGTATTTGGAAGCTATCACGAATGAGGAATTTGCCCCTCCCTTATTATCTAACATGCGCATGAAGAGCAGAGGGGCCGAAAGTTCAACCCCGCCCTATTTTCCGGCCCCTCACAATAAGCAGATGAATTGGGAGCAGACTAGGATCCAGGTTTGGTCGAAAGAGAAATTTCCCGATCGGGTATGCAGTAGACTTGGCATGTCTAATTTTGTCCGATCGTGGTAACACAACTAAAGGCTCCTTGGAGAGACAAGAGTGAATTGTTAGCTTACTAGCCGTGGATGCGATCGTAATCTGCACTGTATACGCGCCCATATCCAAGGAACGATGCGTTCCTGAACGAAAAATGAGACAGTGTTTCAGAAGTTTGTGACGGTAGAGATTTAGCAACTATTGATCAGTGCGCGGTGTCAATATCGGGCCAAGAACTGGCAGATCTTTGGCACGCCTGATCCGCGATTCCCAATCAAGGTTTCTGATAGTTTATTCGGATCCTGTCTTAGATCCTTTTTATTCAAGTGTAGGGAACTCCAAGTCATGCATCCATGGAAACAGGAGTCAAGGTTCAGGAGTTGTCGATATCCAGAAACCCCCTCGTCGTGTTCAACCAGACTGGACAGATCTGGGGGGAATTATTTATATTCCGACAGAATAAGACCGATCTGTCTAATAGAAGAGCTAATTATGTGGAAGTTGCATTCGTCGAGGGCTGTCAAGTGGTATTCTTCGAGGAATATATTTCAAATACTCCCAAATTGGATCTAAGATGTTCACTTGGTATTTTCTTTTTTCTTTATCACGCCAACGCTCTTGCGACTTCTACCTCGATTTAATCGATTCACTGAGTGAGAAAAATCATCGCAAGAGAATTGAGAAAGTGGACAAATTTGACTTCGATATCGATCGTAGACGGGCCACCAGACAGAAGCCGCGTTGGGCTGAGGCACGGCGTTAGAAAAAAGATTGGTTTGTATTATTAAGAGTGACGGGGCAAAATATGAAACTTTTCAACGTTGAATCGAGCCTACCAGGTCATATATAAGTCAAGGCAACGTGAGGACACGGTCATAGCGGACCTTTTAACAGATGGGTCACATCACTAAGGCGGGAGTCAAAGGAAGTTCAATTTAGACACGAGCTCTTCTTTTACATGGAGAGGTTCCCTTAACGGAGTGAGCTATATAGAACTGTCATTTCAACTTTTATTTCTACTAAAGAACAAATAAGAGTTCTCCGGCCCACCATCTTTCCGTCATGCTTTATCTTACTCATTCGGAAGCCTTTATTTGTTAAAATATCTGTTAGGCTTCGGTAGTCTTGGTCCACTAAGTCTTGCTGATCCCATACTAACAGTGAACTATGACTGTTTAGCTAAGACCTTTCATTCTCCACATCTTCCATTTCTACCGCCCAAGTCTAAAATTTGATATTAGCAGAGCTCAGGTCTTCGAAGTCCGCTTGCTGTCTTGAATTTTTTTTTTCATCGACTTCCACTATTCGCCTATTTCATTTATCAAGACCAGGAGTTTCCTTAACTCTAATGGTTATCTAACATATTTTTAGAAGCTCCTTTTCTAAGGCCATGGGTATAGGAGCGCAAGCATCGTTCGTCCTCCGTACGCAGATCCGATAATCACCACGTAGATATAGAGGAATAATAGGCATTCATCGGAGATCTTAATGGTTTTTTCGATATTTTTTAGTCCAATATTTATAGGCTCGTGCTAAGCGGTTAGCTTAGCACACATCTTCTTCGTTGCCTTCGTTCTCTCTAAGCCAGCATTCGTTAAGTTCCGCTATATAAAAGTCGGATAAATGTCAATTTCTTCATTGCTGGGATCACCAGCAAGGTTAGCCCATGTTTTTTCACGACCATTAGAATCGTTGCTCACCTTCAATAGAACGTTATAGATTGTAGAAGACGACTGCTTGCTAAGCCTTCTTGGATGAGGATGGTCTTCAACATATTGATCATCGAACGCTGTATGAATTGGATCAAATCCTCGCTCAATCGAAAGCGCATATACTTTGTTAACGTCGCTAATATTGAGGCCTACTGTTTTGGAAACCTGTTCGGCTGATTGATGGGCATAGCCATGCAGAGCAACTACTAGCGCACGCTTCATAGATGATGACTGATTTGCCATATAGTAGGACTAGTAGTAGTAGTGGTAGTGGTAGTATTTGTGGTGGCAGAATAACGAGAGAAAAGGGGAAAGACCTTGTATGTATTCTCTTTGTAAAGGACTAGTGGTGAGATATATATGGTCAGTGCGCTGATTGTTTCTTTTGAGATGGACTACCGTAGAGTAGGCAACTATTCGAAGGGCAATTTCAGAATTGACTGGGTGTGGTACTTGTAGTGCATATAACTCAAGGAAGGCTGGGCGGACGGCACTGTTCGCCACATCCTTTGGTCGGATATAACTGGATTTTATCATTATAGAATGATAGCCCAATCAAATTGAACAAAAGAAATTATATGAAATGTAGGTATTTCTATTTCTCATAATACTGGCCTTTCTAGCAAAATCCTAGAACCAAAAAAAGAAAGATACCAGTCATCCCAGCCCATATCTCCCAATCGGCACAGGGTGAGTGCGAGCCATGCCCAGACTCTGAGAATAATAAGAGTGATAGGGAGAAGACAGAGGAACATATAGTGCATAATTTGAAGTTGTTTTGATCGTCTGCCCTCTGAGAGCGGGGTAGTCTCTTATACATCACTCCCGATTCATCCTGTAGACCGCCATTCCCCCACTACAATAGTTGGTCCTCCAACCCCGACATATATTCACACGGACCTTAAATTATGATGATCGAAGTCCATCAAATTTATGTCGATTCAGGAGGTAGGAGGCCGATGAAAATAGATACAATAGTACCGGTCTAAGGGTCCGTGTAGTACAGCGGGCGCATTGGTACTTTCACCAGGTAGCTTCCCCCCGCCCGTGATCATCACGGCCCCCAACGCCCGAGTGGGGATACATCGCCCCCATGTGATTTGACGAGCATTGACATGCTCATCTCCGGCTGAGTTGAGTTGTGTTCCTGCACCTGAGGAGCCATGGATCCGGTGTCAGCGTTTGGCTTGTTCACGGGCGCAATTCAGGTTCTGCAAGCCATCGCATCGACGGTGGGGGGCCTCCGTCAGCTAACCGGGAAATTGCGGGAGGCTGATCTGACAATTCACTCGCTTGTTCAGGAGTTGACGTGTATCCGGACTGCCTTGACCAGCCTGAAGGAATGGCTGCGTATCCACCGAAGTGGCCACAATGGAGCCAAAATGAGCGGACTCGACCAAGATCTGGCGGTGGCGATGGATGGATGTCGTATAATCATGGATGTCCTGTCTGAAGAGGTATTTGACTTGGTTCAGAGTGCCCATAGCAATGGAGGCATTGGTTTTGGAACTCGCATGAAGATTGTATGGAACGATGAGGCCATGCGAGGCCATCAAGAGAAGCTTCATGCTCAAGTGCAGGCACTGCAGCTGCTCCTTCAAGTATGTCAATGGTAAGGGAAGAATGCTTGCACCGGATGTTCATTAGAGCAATATTAATTATCAATTAGTCATTCATCAACTGAGCAAGTTCGCCTTCTTCGAAAGGCTACGACGCGTCAGATCATTGGGAAAGTCGCGGATGATACTGCGACGCTGAAGACCGGCAGGGCAAGTAGGATAGGCGACGCAGACAATATCTCCGAAAGCAGCAGTCGGCGACCAATTAGCGATCGCATTTTTGATTTCGATGCCGCTATCATTGATTCTCCTGTATATCAGCGAGCTTTGAATCAGTGGAATGCCCCCAGTTTACCTCCAGACACACGACCCCAGCAGAGCGAACCCAGCATCAACATCAGCCAAACCTCATTCACAGACGAGGGCTATGGAAGTTATCTTTCCGAAAATATCAACAATAGCATTTCATCATCGTGGACTACGCCTACCCAGGTACATGGACACCTCCTGGCTGTGCCAAACAGTCCTGCGGGTCCAGTTCATCCCGGACACAATAGGAGTATATCGCAGACTCAAGTGTCCCAGCGGACACAGCCCGGAAATGCACGAAGAAGTGTCTCAGATTCGAAAGTATCACGTCTGCAATCATCCGGGTCCAGACTAGAGCGGCTATCATCCTTTTTGGGACGTATGAATACGTCTAGTCGAATAAGTTTACGGGTCCCAGCTGGGAACTCACAATTTGTTTCCACAAGCTCATTTGCGCGACGCACGAATCGTTTTAGACCGAACTTTCATATCAGCATTGACCTTTCTAAATATGGGGCCTCAGTACCGCCCCTAGTGAAGGCAGCCCAGGTGGGATCTCGAGATGAGGTCGAACGGCTCCTCATACAGGGCGACAATGTAGAGGAACGGCATGAAGAATCAGGCCGCAATGCTCTGTTGGTTGCCTCGCACTGCGGAAGAAAAGAAGTAGTTGATCTGTTGATTCATTGTGGAGCACAGCTGACCGTAACCGATGGCTCTGGAGAGACAGCCCTCCACCTTGCCGCATCTCGTGGGCACTGGGAGACAATGGAGCTGCTCTTGGTTGAAAGCAGTCTACTGGATACTCCAAATCTCAAAGGCCGAACAGCGCTGAGAGTTGCTGCCGACTGTGGTCAGCCAGAAGCTGTACAGGTCCTGCTCATCCACCACGCTCAAGTCAATGCCCGTGCAGAAAATCAAATGACGGCTTTCCATGCTGCAGCAAAGCGAGGGGATGCGGAGATTCTGCAGCTTTTGTTGAGCAATGGCGCGGACTTGGAGGCCAAAGATGGCATGATGATGACGGCCTTGCATTATTCATGCGAGGAGGGCCATCTGGATGCTATAGGGCTATTACTAAAATTTAAAGGCAATATTGAAGCGCCAGGCCGGGATCGCAAAACTCCGCTGATATGTGCTGCCGAAAAAGGTCAAACAAAAGCCGTTCAACTTCTCTTACAACAGAGAGCTTCTTCACGTAGTGTTGATGATACTGGAATGACTGCACTTCACTGGGCAGCCTACAACGGTCACGAGGAAACGGTCAGAGTTCTCAGTGAGAGAAAAGGTGCTCTAGAAACGGTCAATAGTGTCGGGCGTACAGCTCTGCACTTGGCAGTTATGCAGTCGCAGTTCGCTGTGGTGGAGCTATTGCAACGAATGGGAATTCCCCTCGAAAGACGGTGCAAGACCGGCCTTACGGCGCTTCATTATGCCTGCATAGCGGAAAGCTTCGATATCACCAGGCTTTTGATACTGACCGGTGCCGATATCGAGGCTGTCGAATCTCAACATCAGCAACGGCCTCTGCATATTGCAGCAACCAGAGGCTCCATATTTATATTGGATGCGTTGTGTGACAAAGGAGCTTCTCTTGATGCTCGCAATGGAGTCGGTGACCGACCAATTTCCGTCGCCAGTCGCTTCGGAAATGCTGAGATCGTGCAAAGATTACTCGACCGTGGATCACCTCTCTCTCTGAAGTTTGGTGATGGACCTCGAGAGGATTCTCCTTTATGCTTGGCTGCTATGGGTGGTCATTGGCACGTTGTTTCCTTGCTGATAATGAATGGCGCATCCATTCTGAAGCAGGATGAGGCAGGCTGGTCACCAATTCGTTACGCTGTATATCATGGCCACCCGGATGTGTTACAGTTGCTCCTATCTAGTGGCAAGATACCTGATACCATAATTCCCGATCTTCTTCGCATGCCTGAAATCGTTGGGTTTTCTCATGGTATTCCGGAGGATAGAAAGCATCAAGTCCAGAGCGTTCTCCAGCAAAATTTGCATCAAAACCATCCAATCGCACCGCCATCTTCATTCGGAGCATCACATCAAGAGAGTCCGCGCATCTCCATGATTGAAAATAGCTCTTCTGTTTCCCAGTCAGTTAGTTTTGCCGTTGAAGCAGATAGCTCCACGCCATTTGAGCTGCCTGGAAGCTTGGACCAAGTACCGCCCAATACCAACAATGGTCCTATTTCTCCTAGGTCAGACGTATCTATTCCGAGACAAACAGATGACAGAAATGTCTTGTATGCAAGTGACAGAGTCACCAAGTTACAGAATGAGGCCCGCGGGATATCAAAAGCCACGCCTTCAAACAAGCGGCGTGTCAGATCCCGAAGTCGAAGTATATCTCGAAACAGAGAATCGCCACTCTTATCTGCGACATTTATGCCCGTCACGTCCTCTTCATTTATAATGCCCCAAGCGAACCTTTCATCCACGCAAACGCGATCCCTCGCATATCGTACAAAAAGCGGAACGCTGAATCGTCTCTCTCTTTCTAATTCCAACTCAGATCTCTCCGAGGTCGACCGCATCCCCCGAACACTTCCTATGCAAAGATCATCATCGCACCGGGCTGAATCTAGGACCCGAGCAGAGATGCAAAAGGATGATGAGTCAGACTCGGACTCAATATCTTCCGTCTATACGGCACCGGAGGGGGGGATTATTTATTTGACACTGCTACAAGTAGTGCAGGCGTCGAATATTGAAACCCTACCAAAGGTCTTCTGTGATGTATATAATGGTAATCATTTATTGGAGAATATCTACCCGAACAAATCACAGAAACAGTAGTATTAGTACGATTGTTCCTATGCCATGATTATTTTTATGTTCTTGAACTTCTTTTGTGAGATTACAATTGGAAACTTGCGTCTCAATTGGTTTGCAAGGAACTTCATTAATCGATCTTTGCACACGATCCAAATGCCTAGGCACCACCCGTCTCATGCTCATCGATCATCAACATGAAAATCAGCTGTTTTCATGGCTAATCATCGACACCCCATCTCTTTAGACAGCGAGTGTTGCTCGAAACTTGATAGGTGTGTTTCTCCGTGCCACGAAGCCCTCAAGGGTTTTTTACGAAGATTTCTTGACTAAACTTTGGCCTTGAAATTAGATAGGTGGTAATCATAAGTGTTTGGAACTGATTTACCTTTAATCGATATTTGAAAAAGGGTGCCGGTCGAAGGTTTTTAATTTACCCGTCGGCTACTATGGTTTATATCTCGGTTGCCTGATTGAAACTGGCCTTGTTGACAAAGCAGAACAAAACTTGAAAATCAATCTCTGTGCGGCGGGCGAGGAGTTGGATATGTGTTGTTCAGTCATTAAACACCAGTGGATCGATGTCTCATTCCTGAAATTGCTTATTACAAGTGCGCACTTATTTTTCGTTCATGCCATTTTCCTGCTGTATATTCTTGGTAAATTATAGAGTGGCGTTGTTCATAGCGCTTGAAAATTGACTATTTGACCACTCAGCAGGCACTGACTAGCTTCCTACTGCATTATTACGCTGTAATCTGTTGTATTTTTAGGGTCATGATAGCACTGTAATTCTTTTAGTATTGAATTTTCCAAACAAGAAATCAGAACAATATGTCAACGTAGTAGGATACGGTATCGGCTAGGAAGGCTGGGGTCCAATAGAACACGATGCTCAATCTGATGATGTCTAACTATCTTAGTGTTAAGCCAAGGCGCTCGCAGACGATCTGACAGACAGAAAAAGACAAAGCTGGCATCAACAAACCAACCACCAAACCGCCGCACACCACGCTGGAGAAAAGCCTCCCCAGGGGGGAAATTGGTGCTTAATATGAGAAAGAGAGTGTATTTTTCCAAAAGAAATGAAACTAGATCTGTAAATACTTTGCACAAAAAATATATCCTCAAATCAGAGAGCACCCATCGAGGCCATTTCCCCACTGGAATCGAAGAATAGTAAAGGTGTATTATTCCAATAACTGAATCTTGAAGAGATTCAGTTCGAAAGAAAGGGGCATTCTCTTTCTATTACCTTAATGTCGTCTTTTCCGCTGTTTGCCGAAGGTATGACGATAAAGGATTCCGATGCCAACTTGTTGTTCTCTGTGAACATATAGGGGAATGTGTGGGTCTTCTCTATATTCAGTAGTTTCTCATTCCCGACAAATAATATACCACTATTATTATTCTTCGATTCTATAACGATTGAACATTAATATTCTTTCTTTCTTTACCTAATCAACAGGTCGCTAACCTGCAAGTTCTACTCTTCTAACACTGTGTAGGTAGTAGCCAGCTAATAGGGCGAAGGTGAGCACTTGGAGGCGTGTTATGAGGCCGAAGATCAGCCAAACTGCTCCAGGCAGAATACATTTCCGGTTTAATGAGGTAATAAAGCGGAGGACCTTTTATATTCTGGCTAGTTTGGGTGCTGCTAGTGTGACTTTTCAAGTCTGGGAAGCGAGCAATTTTGCCTTCTGCATACTGTCAAGCTACTTTGGAGCTATGAATATTGAACCCCTTCGGTCCTGGTGTATGCTTAAGATAGTTCTAGATTGTCCGGATGATTGAGCAACCAATAATTGCTCAAGGGTGTTGTAATGCCTTCAGCAAGCCTCTGTTTCACCGTTCGGGCGGCCTCAACACAAGTTTCCTGAAGCGCCTGGGCCTCCTCCGATGGATTTTCCCTCACGGCCTCTTTAAGCCAAAGAAGGGCTGAATCAACCAGCTCGATATCATGCTGGATCTTATAATGACGCGAATTATACAAAGTATTGGCCGTCAATAGCACTATTGCAGTCGTGTAAGGACATGAAGTCATCCTGTTACCGTCAATAATGGTATTCTCAATGTGGTGTGTCACTACTAACCAGCGAAACCAGGCATCTTTTGACCACATCTCTCGAAACAAGAGCATGTAGTTTCGGGCCTGGTGTACTATTGTCTCCCAAGCCGGGGGTAGCTGCATTATCTGAATTCCTCTGCTATGGTCGCGAACACCACTCACCCATTGTCCATCCCAAGCGTCGGCCCGGTTAACAAGCGCCATGCATTGGAGACTGATTGAGTGTAAAACACAGAAAAATCCACCATTTGCTGGTTTGTTTCTAATACTCGAGATGACAATACTGGCGCTGAATTCGGGAGGTATGGAAGCTCGCCATTCATCGAGCGCGCTAATAATGTTTTCCTTTGCATTGCCTCGCTCTTCCAGGCTTCGATTCACTGCTCTTGTTGAGTAAAGGGAGTCATATATACGACCCTCAATATTGGCCAGCTTAACGCGAGCCAGAAAATAATTTACTCTGGCATTTCCATCGGCCGTAACGACAATGCCAGCCGTGTTGTCATTATCATCATTACTCGTGGGCAAGGAAGACGGTAATTCCACGTCAATGTCGTCATCGCGTTGAACCGAAGGTTGTTGGGTACGAAGACTTAAATCTTTGTCAAGAATGTATGCCAGCCAGAAGACGCGGGCATGCTGTCTCCTTTGCACAAGATCTAGATGTGCTGATGCTGTATGGCTGTGGAGGCCTAACTTATGTGCGAGACGCATGGTTGCCGATATTAGGATCAAAGATGGGGTCAAGTTGTGTGCAGTTTGGAGTACCATCACCATGCCTACCAGTACCTGTATGTTAAGAAGGCGGGTCTCACTCAGCATCACAGTAGATATAATAGATTTTGCTTTGTTGAGATACTCCATTGTTTGATTCTCCTGGTACTGAGACCGGACATTACTAGTGCTTTGTGAAACATGTTGGCTAGCCAAGGCGAAGACGACGTTGACGGCAGCCCATACTACTGGGTCGCGTTGTCGGGGTTGATGGGCATAGCATTCACCGACTAGACGCAAGAGCGTGTCAGAATGAAAGAGCGGTAGGACCGAGTTGTGAGTGTTGAGAAATATTCCGACCAGGGTCATGGCTTCCTGAAGTTGAGGTAGTTCCATTGAGCCAATCATATGATCGTCGTCCTCGTGTTGATCTTCAACGTGTGCTGCTCTTGTCGTCTTGTCGAGCCCTTGTATCGGATTTGGGGCCTGGTTTTGACCTCGGTTCTGACCCTGTAATTTTTGAGAGTGAGTATCCTCATTTATCCAACGTCCGAGGATACGTACCAGTTGAGTCTTTAGGCGCCATACTTCCGCTCGTAGGCTCTGGACTTCATCCGCCTTCTCAGCCCCGATATTGCGTTGTGCTCTAGGCTTTGACTTCCGGCTCAGTGCCATGTGTGTGCAATCCGTCTCATAGTTTATGCAGTTCGAGCAGCGAGGTATCTGTCCGTCGCACTTGATCTTGCGAGAGTAGCAGAGATCACATGCCTTCCCATTAATTTAGCACTTCGTACTTGATCAATCCGTAAATTCGATTAGCGGCCTACCTTCCTCGGTCGATTACTCAATTCCATTTTAGCTCCAATACTCTTTGAATTCGATTTAATTGTTGTACTCCCTCCGTGGAGCTAAGTCCAAGATTGTTTTGGCAACTTATATGAAAGCCCCACATCCGCAGAAGCGGAAATTAGCTGACTAATATCCCGGTATATTTCCAAGGTTGGAAGCACCATCTTGGATTACTAATACACCACGTTCCATGGGAAGAGAGGTACCGCAGGGTAATGAAATCTTCGATAATGTCTAATGTAAAACCTCCATGCAACCCAGGAAGAAAGTTATTCGCAGGGAGCAGAAATAGCCCGTGTAGTGCTTCTGCTAGAGTAGTAAAGAGGCTAAAATATAAGTGAATCACAGTCGCAGTCAGCTATAACCGATTTGGTTCCGCGGAATTCGTGATGTATTTTATTACTAATCTCAGAACTTTGTTGCGTCCATGGGTGATTTGGCTGTGACGTGCAAAGTCTACATGAAATACTTAGTATGAGATATCTATCAGGTCCCGGGCCTGCTTCAGGCATCAACTATATGCAAGCGGTCTGTGGAAAGGAATGTATTGCAAGGTAAAAATGTCAATGCTTGATAAGAAGAGAGGCTCATTCTGGTAGACTGGCATCGGTCAGAGTAGACAAAAGACCTTTAAGATGTCAAAGTAATTTGCCTCACCATCTATTAGCGCATAAGAATTCCAAATCCCCTGGTTCTTGTCTATCCCTTGAAAATATCTAGTACCCCAGACTATCTATTCCAGCCCGGATCGACTCCTCTAACCCAACCCAACCAGAGAGGTCGAAAAATGACTTGACAAGGTCCTCCGCTCTCTTAGCAGGAACAATATCACTTAGGTCTCGGAGCTCATTCTCAGGAGGACTTGGAATTTCTGTGTTACCTGGACGGAATTTTTGCAGAATGCGGACGAATTCCTTCCAGGTAAAAGTCGAGGCGAAGGCAAACAGACGTTCAGACTTGACCTCGGGATGAAGAAGACCAATGACATGTACGCGCGCGAGGTCTACAACGTCGATGTACTCTATTTTCAAATACTGGTCAATGAACCAATCGAGTTGAATGTATAGTAGCAGGAGGAAATAGAAGTAGCACAACACCGTGGAAAACATCGCACGATACTTACGTCCTGGAAACCCGAAAGCTGTGGAGTCACCCTTAAGCAGGTTGGCTGCCCACTTCATGGTGGAGCCAGATATTTCGGAGTGAAGGACTCGTCCGAGCTATTTGCAAGATGAATTAGCCAATGGAACGGAGTAAGGTATCCAGTAATTTGTTTACAATCCACTGATATTCCATGGAGCGGGTGCACAACGGCCCTAACGCCGCCCCTTTCGTTTACTCACAGTATAATAGGGCAAAACCGCGTTAAACGCGAACATCGGCTTGTTCTCTTTAATCCACTTCCACGCCGCTAGTTCACTCTCCGTCTTAGACGCAACGTAGACCGTGAACGGCTTGGCATCTGTTGGGGTGCTTTCATCGTAAGCGGCTTTGATCGTCGCCGTATTCCACGTGTCTAGTAACACTATTAGCACAAAGCTTGCAGTCGTAAATAGAGATTATACATAAGAAGATTTTTGGTCAATATCCTCGGTATACAAGTTCGGCAAAGTGAATGCTTACCTTCAGTGACCACAATCCCTTCGACCCCCGGTTGGGGTAATGCTGCCGCTGAAGCCGACGAAGTGAGAACGACTCTCCGAATCAGTCCTTTTGGTTGCTTGGCGGCAGCTTCCAAAACAGTCTCGGTGGCTAAAACAACTTTCGGAATAACTTCCTCAACATTCGGGTTAAAGGTAACGTCCGATGCCTACAATTAGCTGTTTAGTACTATACGCTGCAGAATTTCTCAAAGACTTTGTAGCTGGGCATAGCTATGCGGCAAAAATTTAGAAAGGCTTTGTCCATACCACATGAATGACACCGCTAACGTCCTTCATTGCCTTGCTCAAAGACTCAAGGTCACTCAAGTCTGGGATAATAACCGACTCGAAACTATTCGGACCAAATTTGGATTTGAAAAGGTCCTCAAGCCACGGCTTCTGTGAACGCACCGTTCCTCGCACAAGGTATCCAAGAGATAAGAGTTGTTGAACAACCTGCGAACCAATAAATCCATTGGCACCTGTGACCAGAATACGAGAGCCAGGCGGAATAGCACAATTTTCTTCGTTGATCGACGTCATTTTGGTTACCAGGTGTTTGTTCACTTGCAGCAAGGTGTAGTAAAATAGTAGAATTCTAAATTGAAATAACTTGAGCTTCATTTCCTGTCTTGAGGATCATTGAGTGATTTATATTCTATTTCCATCAAGCTGGATAAGCAGATGTCTGCCTCCGTGGAGCTGGGTAGGCTATTTTATTTATCAGCCATCTACCATGACTTTCCAGGAGTCAAGTGAAATTTTGCCATCATTAAATCTCCACATGTTATAAATCATAGCATTTGAAATGAACTCCGCGGAGCTGGTGGGGAGGTGGGAGGCTATTCTTCCGCCTGGGGGCCCCACAGCCGGTATTAATCAGCCGTCTACCATACCTAGACAGTCAACGGATCAGGAGTCAAATTAGAAGTAGCATTGTAGACCCTTATAGACATTACAATACATCGCATTCGAAATGGCTTGCGCGGAGCTCACTATCTTAGGCATGGTCTTGTCAAGCTTATTTAGCTAAAGCGTATAATTTCAGCTGGCCTCTCGTGAAATCCTCAGATTACAGGCTCTATCGCTTAACGTCCAACACACTTCTCTTTTTGTTCTTCCCCCCACGTTCTTGAGATATATTTCCAAAATGAAAGTCGGCATCGTGAATGCAGGCAATGTTGGATTGCGTCTGGGTATTGCCTGGATCCGCCTGGGTCATGATGCCGTGCTCAGCAAAGACACTCATGCGGAACAGCTTCGAGAGCGCGTCCGAGAACTATCTTTGAAAAAAGGCATCGGAGAGGACGAGACGGCCCGGTTTAAATAGGGTTTACTTACGGACGCTGCAAAATATTGTGAGCTTGTCATTCTGCCCACATACTTCCCACGCTTGGGTCATATCCTGAAAGAGCCCCAGAACGACCGCATCATGCTTTCTGGGAACATTGTGATTGAAACAATGAATCCACTAAGTATGGATGCCAACTTCAATCGGTACCATGACCTCAAGTGCATGGAAAGAACCTCCATCATGGAGGAGGTAGAGAGAGTTTTTCCAGAGGAAATACTTGAATCACTACTACACACATCTCAATCGACTCTGGAGATAAAGACGGGCGTATACGATAGCAGAATGCCCTACAAACAAGGGAAATGTTGCCTTGCTTTGCCATTCAAACTAGAGGTGGATGAGTACGCGAGTCATACTGCGGCAGCTCCTGCTCCAAATTGTTTCTCCTTTTATGCTCAGTCTTCTTGGGTGTTTCGTGTGTTGTCCCCTACTGTGGAATTTCTGGCAAGGAGAGCTCAATCGAATCAAAAAGATCACAAAAACGAAGAAAAATAACATACAACAGCAGGGATTCGCTGGTGGTCACCCACCCAACTACTAACCTGCCGGCGTGTGGCTTAAGTACGGCTGAGCGGACGGGAAGCCCTGTTCTCCACACCCTGTGGTCGTATGTACAAGACACATTCAGAAATAGAGTCAAGTAGATTGTTGCTGATACCGCTCCAGTATCAATGGGAAGAGCGCCGCTTTAGCGTTACGTGATTTGGGTGATTAGGGTTAGGGAGCAAGAGACAGGGTAAGATGTCGAGATGGAAGTCTGCATTATACGGCTAAGACCCACTCATTCCCGTGTGCGTCAGATTGTCACAGAGATACTCGGAGCCACGTGCTTGAGACTGGATTGATGGTTGGGAGGAGTGGTCATCTTGGTTCTAAGCTTTTGCCTTCTAGCAAATTCCTGTGTGGCAGGTAGGAGCCCAAGATACTCTATATGTGATTGTCATCTAGCACGGCCGAAACTTGAGATGCCCAGTATTTTAAGTAACTTTCATGGCACTTGTGGCACTGGGCCATTTCTAGCGCAGGATTTGAGGCATGCGCAATGGTTGACAAAGATTGGTTGGAATTCTTAACAATTCGTTTCCATTACATAGTAAGACATTATTGCTGATACACATAATGATAGACATGACAATCATAAACCAACCCACTCATGGTGTTTTTGTACATAGAGAGTCTAAGCTTCTCTTTCTCTCTTCTCTCAATATGTCAAAGAAAATGCATCGAAGCCAATATTGGCCTCTAAAGGATGTTGCTCCCTACATGGGCGATGCTCTATGATTTCCTCTCCGTTGAAGAGAGATTTCTATATCCCTCAGTACCTTGGAAGTTCCATACCGACTAACTCAATCCATGACCAAGTAGGGTCGGCAGAAAGCTCTGCATCCATAGGTGGCACAACCCAAAGATGATTTCTTCCCCAGGAAATGTCATCCCACACTTCTTGATCTGAGAGTGAATCTGACATTGCGGCAGAGAAGTCCAGCTGAGTGCATATGGGAGGGCCTTGAGAATCATCCATCGCCGCGGTGGGGTTCTGAGCAATGAAATCATATCGAACGCGTTCGAATGGACGAATCTATGGGAAGCGTCGCCTACCGGACGTATTGCAATACTCCCCAATGGAAGCACTGTATTCAAAAGAGCTGCCCAACGATTGTCGTGCCGGTTTCCAGACTGGTACATTGCTCGAAACTGGACCTCGTCTAAAATGGTGACTAGTGGCTGAATGTTTGTAAAGAATGCGTCGACCAACTTCAGTCCGGCGTCAAAAGTGAGAGGGACAACTTCTGGACTATTCCGGTAGTGGGAGCATTCAAATTTGATGCCAATGGTCTTCGATTTTCACGTTCATAACCACGATAATCAGTACCGACTTGCAGCTGTCGTTCGAAGCCGGATTGACTTTGCCGTTCATAGCCAGATTGGTTCCTGGCACTAGGGTGTGAGGATAGAAAGGAGATGGCGCTTGGATCTATCAATATCATCACTTTCATTACAGCATTGATTGATGAGACGCCTAGGTAGCAGAGGACTGTGCCACTGGGGAAATAGAATTGACATCATCGGAGGCATCATTCACGAGATCTTGCTGTACTTCGCGATCTGGCTCGGACTGAACTGGAACGATTTCATGTGTTTCAAGACAGCTCTCGTCGCGATATGTATTACTTTCAAGTTACATCGACGCATGCCATGTGGAAGCTGTGTCCGACGAAAGACTGGTGATTGTGTTTGAGCCGTCCCTTTGATCGAAAAGCAAGATATTCATCAGCTGTTCGCGGGTAAGATGAACTACCGACTCGAGCTGTGCGGAAGGTAAAAGGCGTCTGAGGACCGCCCGATAATGCAGGCCGACTACGGATAGCTTTCTATGATGCTTTGGGCGTTAAAATTACAGGATATCTCAGATTTCCAATATCTTCCTATACGACCCCGCCGTACCGGGAATCCGAGTCAAGGGTGGATAATGCGTACCGCGAGGACAGTCTTTTCTCCCCGTATCGGCAGAGATGCGGCTTCTTGTAGGATACACACGATCCGCAAGGCTGCAAGCGATCACAGCAAGATTTGCGGCGGCAACATTCTTCGCAGCCGCGACGGTCACATAGAAACGCCGTATTTTGCGGTTTCCCATCTTCCTCTGATGGCCCCGATGGGCGGTTTGACCGGCAAAGCTCGAAAGTATGAAAAATTGAGAACTTTCAGCCCTGTCACAGATGGATTTAAAAAAAAGGGAAAAAAAAGAGCTTGATTGTTTGTGCACAAGTGGAGAGGAGACGCGGGAACGATCGTCGCGCTCTTCGGTTTGATCGCTTCTGGATACTGTCAAACGCAGGAAGTGAAGCAATGCCTTCTGCAGTCACAACGGCAGACCTACCTAGAGCATGCATTTCGGCTTGGTGGGTACATATTTGTGCAGGGCTGGGGCAAGAGAGTGTTCATTGTGGATTACATATGTATTCGGCTTCTCTCGACTCTTGGATGGTTCCAACCGCTCCATGAACCTTCTCCCGTAAGCTGGATGCGGGGGATCTGGGGAAGTTTTCAAACGGAACTACGGTAAGCAGGCTCTAGACTGAGCCTGACCAGAGCGATCTCTCGTACTTGAATCGTATTCCTCTAATCAGAGTTCCCTTGATCTCGCACTGGCACTCTCCTCTCGTGCGATGCGTCGGAGATCCCTGACGGGGCGAGTTTCAAGGGCAACGATCGTGCTGGAGTGTTCCAGCTACGCCAAAAATGGCACGGGGTTTTGTTTTTCGGACACAGGAGAGTATGGGCCAACGGTAAGTCTGTCGAACTAGAAGCCTGCAGTGCCCAGCCAATCCTTGCCTGTGATCCTACCCCGCATTAGTGCTGCACTCATCCTGCACTGCTGCACTGGTCCTACATTTTTGTCCATCGTCGTTCTTGTCTACTGGACTGGAGTATGTCCTTAGAATTGTCGGCCTGCGTAATAGCCACGAGTATGGATCTTTGCCCGGGCAATCCCCTGCAAGCGTAACGTAATTAATCACTTCCTTTCCGGTCACGGAGGGGCTGAGATGCGTGACTCTTATGATCTCTGACCACTACCCCTAGTGGGTTAGGCCAGGGATACGCACGATGTGTGCACTTCTCTTTTCTTCAGCATATTCGAAACTAGTAGGGTCTCCACGCAGATCCCAGACAATGATGATCTCGACCTTCGTGTCTACGCAACAACCGCTTTGTTCAATTCCAACCGATATCGTTCAGTACACTGGAATATTGCTTTACGAATCCACGTGATGATGCATTTCGCCCTCGTTAACTTCTTCAAGCTGCTCTATGGGAGCAATGCGGCTATTCAGAGACATGATGCAATGACAGACCGATTCAATGACGATTTATAGATATGGAGTCAGCAGGGGTCCTCGTTCATGCCGCGCCGGAGGGTTTGATACACTACAATCATTCCAAAGGCATAGCAGTGGAGATTTATTATCAGATCAAGGTTTACTTTGAATAAGTCTCAACAGCTGATCGAGAATCACATTTTTCTTCGGACGCCAGGTACATAGATATATCAGCAATATCGTCAAGCATTTCAGTCGGACTTCACAATGTCTGATTCTGGGCTAAAGGAGACCTTCTTGTAGACAAGTACCACACTACGGGTCAACCTGCTCCGAAGTTCCATCATCACCAGCCCAGCGCTGAACTGATCGCGGAGGCAAGAACGGCCGCCTCCGCAGCGTGCGTGGAAGCGTCAGGGTGATAGTCACAGCCAACATCCGAGCCCTGCGTGGGCCAATCAACTAGGTAGGCATTGAACCCGAGCTGGGAAACAGCAGACTGAAGCGCAGTCTTCTGGGTGGTATGTTGAGCGTCTGCCGTCGTTGGAAAGGAGTCACTTAACATGGGAGAAGTGAGTAGAAAGAACTTGGCTTGAGGATAGTGCTCCTGGATACTGTGGACAAAATCGACCATCCCGTTGGTGTAGGTGGTAGCGTCAATGGGCGACCGCGCGTTGTACGACTGTCCTGAGGCGTCGTAAGCAAGATAATTAAAATCATTCGTGCCGAGATTGATGACCACAGCATCCGGCGTCCAGTCCAACGGGAAAGTGTAGCTGTTGTCGGCATCATTGGCGCCATAGCGAGTATAGAGCTCCGGCATGAGAGGGCTCGTATCAGTTGTGCCAGTAGCAATGTTACGCACCAGCCCCTTGCCACTCCAGGCCACGACACTGTAGTCGGCTCCCAGAGACTCCGCCGCCAGGGCCGCATAGGTCTTGGGGTTGTCTTCCAGAGCAGCCGTGTTGGTGCAAGGGTAAGTGCCATCGAGGCCATACCCAACAGTAATGGAATCGCCGATCACCTCGATCTTCTTGGAAGGGACGGTATTCGCTCCTAGAGTTCCATCCGTAGTAATATCGCCAATGATGATCGTACCAAAGAGGGCCTCTGAACGTTTCCGGAGCTCGACAGTATGGGTTCCTTGGCTTAGTCCGGCAGGGGTGGAAATTGAAGTTCCAGTAACATTGGAGATCACTGTCGGCGCGCCACCATCGATGATCAAGTCAACACTGTTGGTGCCAGTGACTGATGATAGGGCTATGCTGGCGGACGTTCCAGTGAAAGTGAAAGCTACACCAGTGCCTGGCCATGTCAGCTCCTTGGTCGCCGGGTTGACGCGGCCAAGATAGCGAATCGTTCCCGTACCCAGGGTAGGACTGGAACCGGAGGATGTAGTGGAAGATGCCTTGGATGTCGTGGATGTTGAACTTGTTCCTGATCCACTGCCACCAGGCTGGCACTGAGAGTACCACTCATTGAAAACGACACACGTATAGCCGGACGTACAAGTTGTGACGCCTGTATACCCTGTGCCACCGCACTGCGTCCATGCGGCAGCTTGCGCCGCAGCAACCCCTAGGACGAGCGGAGTAGCCAGATAAAACTTCATAGTAGATTATGGACTTGAGGTTTGCACCAGGACTTTGATAATGCCTGAGAGGGTGTGTGAAGGCTGAGCAACAGATCTGGGGTTTCTTCAAGGGAAGAACATCGTGCTATTTAAAAGACTCGCAGTGACAGTGCCTCGCGAGGGACTGAATGTTGTTCTTCTGTACAATTGGTGGTAACCAAATTATGGAGACACAGTATAATAAACGCCACAATGGACGAGCGGAGCTCAGGATTTCGGCGTCCTCGATACGCTTCTTACAAGGTCCACGCCTACAGGCATAGTAACTCTTTTGCACCCGGGGCCCAGAGAAAGTCTCCGCACCAATTTGAGGCATATTGCGGAATACGACATCCCAATGTGGTAACGTGTATGGGAAGAATTGGGGAGCTAAAACGCTAGCGTGTCGCGATTCCGTCACTGTACCGGATTACGCTGCAAGTCCCAGTTCTGCAGAGTTTTGAAAAAAGAATAATGCTTATTCCGAGAATTATATACTCTCTAAACTAGTTCTTTGGCCTGTTATTATATAAATTAAATATCCGAGCCTTTTTCCGGCTTATCTGTAGACTTACAAGGCTTTAACGTTACCGTCACGATTACGCTTTCTTTTCAAATACTCCGGATTAATCGTTACTGTCAACCAGAAAGAATACTGCATTATTGCAAATTGGTTTGTTCACCTTTTTTGTGGTCTAGCGTTCATTTACAGTTCGACAGTAACCTAACGCTAAGTTTTACTATTAGTGTTCTATTTTATATCAAAAATAAGATACTATCAATCTTCTATTAGCTTAGCTAGCCTATTAATCGGAAGAGAGGAATGGTCGGGATATTCCGACTATAGTATAGATATTTATTAGACTAGCGATGAGCGCTTGAGTCTCTTATAGTACCTACCCTAGTACCCGACCTAGCAAGTAGTGCAAGGGTACTCCCTACTTTTATACGTGCTAATTATCGCTGAAAATACCGCGAAGGTAGTCGATATTCTTTGCTATAACTAGTATGAAGCTATTAGGGAGCACACCTAGACACGTGCTTCCTATACTGAGCCAAAAGACCACAATGTCAAAGTGCTTGCACATTGACAGCCAAGGACCCAGATATAGTAGCGCACAATAGTGTTTTCCCTATCATTAAGAATCCTTACTCCGTTCTTGCCTACTCTTACCTATTCTCACCTCTATCACCCTAGTCTCAAAGTTCTTACTTCTATCACCCACACTTACATAAGATCAAATCCGATGCTATTTTAGAGCTCATGGCGCATTAATAACTGACTGCGTGTTATAAGAGGCTTAAGTACGGCTGAGCGGATGAGGAGCCCTGTTTTCCATGTCCTGTGGTCGTATGTAATTGAGTATCAGCGGAGGATCTTGTATACAATGTTGACTGATCCTTCAAAAAACCATATTGTCCTTCTGTCAATTTGCTATAATCTTAGTCATCCATACTATCCCTCTGGTCTTATCTTTCCTCGAGCAGAAATTTCTCATATGAGCTTCCCCTTCTGCTATGCACTGCTGACCGCTGATGGTTTATATACCTGTCAAATACAGTGTAGCTCTCCTCCTTCGTGCGTATGACAGGTCTGCAGGTGTCAATATTTGAATCAAAAGAAACCCGAGGAGTTATTCTTTGCTTACCGCCGGCGCATCAGATGTCACTGTGGGAGACTGGGTAGCCGTTGACGCATTAGATTCATCACCCTGGTGATGCTCATGCTGTTTTCCTGGACAGCCAGTTCCTGGCACGGCAATATCATATGCGTAAGACTCCAGCGCGAAATATTGGAGTGTTTCAGAGTCATGAGTAGATAATTCTGCATTCTCAACGGCCAAATCAATGACTTCCTCATATCCATCGGCAAAGTGTTCGACATAATTTTGCCCAATAGATGGAACATGATAGAGCCTGTGGAGAAGATCAGATGCCCAAAATGTATTGGTTTCATATTCAGAGACCGTGTAGCCTAATGCACACATTGTTGAAAGAGAGCGGCGTGTTTCATAACTGAGGTCGCAAATGACGGTTTCATCGGTCCCGTTCTCGCCTCGCCAGTGTCCTGCGTAACCTAATCGAGGAAAATATTTAGTGAAATAATCATTATATCTTTGGACCCGGTGGTTTACCTTCGATATCACAGTTCCCATCTGGATTATCACAACGGAACAAGACGTTCCTTCTGTCACCGTTCATTACTACATCAAAAGACCCTGCAGGCTTCATGGAAGGGCTATCGCCAAAATACTTTCTGTAGATCTCGCTTTCGTTTCCCCAACGCAAGATATGATCTCTAGCATGGTTTGCTAGAGTGGTTGCTTCACTCAATCCCAATTCGATTTGGCGACGCTGGGTAGCATTGCAGCTTGAATGAATTGCAAACTGTGTCACTGCTCCAGTATCCCAAGGAGATATGCTTGATTGAGAAAATGGAGTAGACCGATTGATATGATTTGGAGATGGCAACGCAGCTGAAATAGCGACAAAGAGAAGCGCAATAGGAAGACAGATGGCCATATTGAGGTTTTTTTGAACACTGATTTTTGAAAAATAACATTCCAGCGATCAGTGCCTTTTTTCTTTCTTTTATACCTGAAAACTTTTGAAATTATACCCAGCGATCTTGTGTGTCTGCCAAGTCTATCCATCTTTTGTATTGGGGCATATATTCCACAGGGTTTCATGGATTGAGTTCCCGTACGTCTTGGCCCGACCTCATATATCATCATAGTTTTTGGCATCATAAGCGCATTGATTATGCCAAGGGAGTACCTTGGTAGTTTAATTCTAAAAACTTCCCGCTATTTGAATCTACGGAGCACACATGCCAAGAACCAAGGCCAGCGGAGTTTTGCCAAGATGCTTGGAAAGAGGACCTTGATAGAAAAAGTAGCGCGGAAATGCCCCTCCCCGATGGTAAAAGACCCTCAGTCATATAATGTTTCATCGCTTGGCAGCGACCGAGAAAAGTCTTCTCCGCTTGGCAGCTGGTACCCTGCTCGGCACCAATTCGGTCAGGTATCCGTCGCTTATTTAAGATGCAACCTTATATAACTAAGGGCCAATGTTATATGAAAATATGTCATCGGTGATGTGAGATTGAAATCAAGTCCACTGATTTTTTTTTTCAACAATTTCATTTTGACACTCAAAATGCAAACTTTCAGGACCTTGATCATATTACTAGGCGTTTTGAAGGCTCATGCGGCCAGCTCCACCACGACAGCTGCCACGAGTTTGATAACTGGCTGCCATACTCATGGATCGGATATTTATTGCTACAATGAGAATGGAAGTGAGGTTCTGGTCTCTGCGACAGCAACTACAAGCGGTATCCAAGCTCAGTACACTGGTTGTCATACTCATGGAAACGAATCGTACATCCTCCGATTCTAACTCTTGATACATAGACTAACATTTGACTAATTCGCAGATACTGCATGGATGACGAGGGAAATGATGTTTTAGTCGAAGAAGAAGAGACCAATTCTGAGGAGGAGCATGGTGATGAACACAATCACAGTGATGAAGAGTCTGAAGAAAATAAAACAAACTGTCACTTTCATGCAGGCGTTGAGTGAGTTCCGTCTAAAAAAGCAATTCAAATATTGAGTTATTAACCTAGTTATGCAGACATTGCACTAGTGAGGACGAGTCAGAAGAAAATAGCGGTGCATCTTGTGGAATTCAGACAAGAGATTACGACGTACCACTAAGGATTGGAACATTGTTCGTTATTCTTGTCACCAGTGCGATTGGCGTCTTCGCCCCTATTCTGCTTGCACAGCTCCGTTTTGCATCTATCAACGCAATCGTGTCGATAATCCTTAAACAGTTCGGAACGGGGGTTATCATCGCAACAGCATTCGTCCATGTAAGTTCCGCGCTCGTTGATCAAGTCATCAAAGTTAACGAGATACCAGCTTTACACACATGCTTCGCTTATGTTTACAAATGAATGCCTCGGCGAGCTAGACTACGAAGCAACCACTTCTGCGGTTGTGATGGCCGGAATATTCCTTGCCTTCTTGTCCGAATACGCTGGCCATCGCTTTATGGCTGCTCGAGCTAGAATAGCCCCTTCATCGACAGTAGAGACGCCAGAAACCCAGCTTTCATCTCACAAGGCGTCACCCCCGTCCACACAACCTTCAAATCTGGTACACCTAGGCCATTCACATGGTCTGCCTCTCGATCCTACGAAGCCTAATAGCAAATTTTCTGTGCTTGTTATGGAAGCTGGGGTGCTCTTCCACAGCATTCTGATTGGCTTAACGCTGGTTGTTGCTGGGGACTCTTTTTACAAGACATTGCTAGTTGTCATTGTCTTCCATCAATTCTTCGAAGGATTGGCACTGGGAGCTCGTATTGCGATGCTTCCGGATGCTATCCTACCTTCAAAGGCCCTCATGGCAGGAGCCTTTGCTCTCATCACTCCGATAGGAATGGCAATTGGATTAGGCGTGTTGCACTCTTTCAACGGAAACGAGCGAAGCACCCTAATTGCCCTAGGGACACTAGATGCACTTTCTGCTGGTATTCTCGTCTGGGTTGGTGTTGTCGATATGTGGGCTCGAGACTGGGCGATTGAAGGTGGTGAAATGCTTGATGCATCTTTAGGGAAAGTATTGATGGGGGGTTGGCGCTGGTTGCTGGGTTGGTCTTAATGGGGGTTCTTGGTAAATGGGCCTAAGCGCATGCTAGAGCTCGAGCATTACTGTGTTGTCTGCCGGTGATTTCCGCTAGCGAGTTCGGAGTTTACTCCTAAGCTCATCAGACCCCATTATAGCACTAAAAATAAAATTAAACTCTTTCACACGATCTAGATTTAGAACAGGAACTAGGGCTCTGCCCTCCATTATCAGAGCATTTTAAGATTGTTTTCAACAGTGAAGTTCAAATCCCCAGATCTCTAGCCAGCACCATTTCCAGTCCGTTGCTGATAAGACCGAGATGGAGACCCACTTGGCCGGCCTATGTGGCCAATGTCTAACGCTTTCCCGCAACAACCTGCCTGATTTCGAATAGGCTCCCCACATTAATGAACACGAGACCCTTCAATAACCGACCCCCGCGTTGTGGCTAACGCGACAAGACGAGCAAAGAGTTGACTGCATCAGAGAGTCTTGAGTAACAACCATATCCCTGTCGCACCAATTTCTGTACATGTGGTTGGTTGGATTTGGCTCAATATCGGAGAATGCCTTGGTCGGGAGGAGGAGGACGCAGTGCAACAAAAGACGGCCGGTCACGCTACATGAAGTTCCGGATGGAGCTTCCTAGAATGGCTAGTGAGACGCTCGACACGGGTACAGAAGATAAGAGGGCTGATATTCAGAAGAGTGGAGCACCGCTAGGACAGCTACATATGAGCTCCCTTCCCTCAGCCCAGCGAGAGATTGAATAACTTCACTAACTTCATTTTTGATTTCCAAACACCTTCATACTCTTCCCATCGCAAAAAAGCTAGATATATTCTCCCCTGCCCCTGTTCTACTATCATTATCATCATCATCATCCGGTGGATACGCACCACACCAAACTTTCCTTAGATGGCGGTTTTTTCTCTCTACCCACTACGGCTTCATTCGCACTCCTATACCATATCGCTTTCCCAACCTCTCCGAAAAGCCAGTAGAAACAATACTTGGATATTTAAACACGTGCTCTAAGCCAAGAGCTATCGTGATTGACGAAGCCGTAGTGGCAAGACTAACATCATGTCCATTGATATCGTTCCTTTGGCGAACGCCGATATCTCCGGTGCTGTAGAGTGTGTTCAAAAGGCTTTTGCCGACGATCCCTACTTCCGATGGGCGTTCAATAATCCATCAAAGGTACGAGATCTTGGTTCTCACAACGAAACCCAGGCAAGCCCTTGTTGGATCTGTGAAACCCCCAGAATCAAAGGACATCAAAATGAAAACAAGGAATAACATTTCGGCAGTTTAATGTCCAGAGGAATGCGGCCTCCCTCGCGGCCCATTTCCAGTATGGTATCAACTGTGGTTGTCCCATATCTGTTGCAAAAGTGAGCCAGGCTGCCGGGGACCGAAAGACCGACCATGCACTCGAACTTCCACAAGGTAGCATCGTCGGCGTCAGCTGGTGGTATCCACCGCAGCCAGCCTACATTCCCCAGACATGGTCAGTCTGGGCGCAAGACTGGCTCCTCTCCTTCCGACAGCTCTTAAATAACATCCGCTTCTTGGGTCGCGGGGGCTCAATGCCCCACGATACTGGATCTGGAAGAAGTTGCAACAGGATACACATAAAGAGATATGGAAAGACCCCCGTGGCTATTACTTCTGCAATCTAGTCAGTGTGAGCTCTGAAGCTCGCGGCATGGGAGTGGGGAAGCGATTGATGGAGAGTGTCATGGCGAAAGCAGATCAAGAGAACATGCCATGCTATCTGGAAAGCTCTAAGGGGCAGCCAAATGTGACTATCTACGAAAAGATGGGATTTCAACTGGTTAAGGAAATTGAATGCGCTGAAGGTGGAGATGTCTGCAGGGTCAGTCCCTCCATGGTATCTAATTCAATTTTCAGAGTTGTGATTCGCTAACACCACTCTAGCTCTATTGCATGATTCGGAATCCCAAATCCAAGAATTAATGAAACGAACGTAACGAACACAATCGCAAGCGACGATTAGGAAGCAGCAAATTTAACTTCATATTTGAAGCTCAATTTCCTTCATATTTCCTTTCCTCGACGATCATAGACTGGGAGAAAGTACTTGAAGTAAAGGATCATCACTACAGGCTGCGCTGGGAAAGTTTGTGATCCTTTCACACATTCATTACGGCCAATGAGATTATCGCGCCGTCAGGCATTTTACTTTCTACCTATTATTACAGGGCAGGAACATGGTAACCGAAAGCTGGAATTTATAGCACTTCCCAAAGGCCAAAGTGAAGGGAGTTCATAGGCTAGGCAGAAATTGGGAGTCGTGAACATGGACAACGTGGTCAACATAGATAAGACCGACAAGGCTATGCCAGGATCTATAGTGTGCACTGCTAGCATTGAGCCCAAGCAAACCATCGAAGCATCAGAATCCAATAAAAGCACAATGGGACTTCGTTATATGCCTTCGTGGTCTAGTTGGTCATGACGTCGGTCTCATATTCATTTATGACGTCCCTGGTAAACAGGGTTGCTATCCGAAGGTCTCCAGTTCGAACCTGGACGAGGGCAATTTTTGTCATTTTTTGGCCCAACTTTATTGGAGTCCAAGTTTTATCATATCGAGATGATGCAATTTGTTGTTCCTTTTCCCTCGCCGTTCAGCAACTATCCGCATTGGAGGCGGGGGCTGTTTGCACAGTGTATAACTGACTGAGTCTCTAGCGAAATCCACTGCCAAATAAAGGAAATTGGCGATTCGCTTGTTTATTAGGTAAAATTAATTATCACAGAACACACCAACCTAGCCTATTTTTGGGGAAATAACCGGTTTAGTCTCTTTTTTATTTTTTATTTTATTTTTTCTTTTTTGACCAAGGTTGGATTGATTCACAGGTCATGGCAAGAAGGACCCCACAATGTTCATTTCTATCAGATTGAAGATCTCATATATGCTTCCAGTACTGATCGTCTCCGAATTGCTCATTATTAGCTATAAACATTTATATTGTTACATAACTGCGCTTATCATGATTATGCTGGGTCTAAGTCATATTTTGATACAGTAGCGACCTCGGATGGGAATATTTCATAGCGCTAGCCTAACGTTTTGCTTTCCTTTATAGAAGTGAAATTATTGACCTGTAAAATACTATCGCTTCCACAATTAGCATACAAAGTATGCTGATTGCTCATAACCGAGTGTTATCAAAGTCAGATCTCCTTGCTATAACGGTCCGCTTTTTTGACAACTGTAAGCTGTCCTTTCACAGCGAAAGACGTAGTAGAATATTCTTTTTCAATGATTGAGCTATGCACGTTAGATGACTATTAGGCCTGTGTCAGTTTCCTATAGTCACTGCCTTTCAATCAATATTCTTATTCCTATTAGAGCTTCCCTACTGACAAGCTGCTATAAAGGGATTTGCGCCTCCTTGTTTCCAGCCTAGTGCGAGTAAGAAGTGTTGCATATAATATAAGATTGACAGATATCGATTAGAGATAACAGATAGAAAAAAACAGACAGATGAAATACCAGAAACCAGAAACGAAAGGAGGGATCGCCGCCCCCGCAGTCCTAGATCCTGTAGTAGTCCACGACGCTACTATACTATAATATATACTATTTAAAGCCTTGGTAGAATAGTTTCCAACATAAAGTTATCTTTCTTTACATTTCCTTTGATCCTAGATTGCCGCCCTACATTCGTGTGTCCTTTGATCACGTGGCTAGATCGGAACTGCAAAGACGTCTAAAGACGAAATTAATCAAAACGACTGAGAGCGAAGGCTTGAGGAAGTAGTTCAAGAGTATAGAAGGCCTGTGCCATTTCGCCAGATTCTAGGTTGCTCCTTTAAATGATATGAATAGGTCTCAAGATGAAGATTTTGAAGATACCTAGTTTCCCGCCCTGACCTACTAGCGGACTTGCAGGTGCCACGAATCGTCCAGCTACAAATCTTGAGCTATGCTAGAATCGCAGTGAGGATGCCTTTGGAATATTTAAGCTTGAATCTGTTTATATTGGCCAATTTATCGAAGACTCGCTGGGATTGATATTGATTTATCCGATCGCCTCAATTGAAACTAACTTTTTTGACGAGAGGAGATATCCTATATTTGAGACTTGCTTGGGTTTAAACTTGTTTCGGGGTATAGATGAAGCGAACACAGTTGGCAAGTCGCTGTGGCTCTCGAACATTTTTTTTCAAGACACATGAGAGGGCCATAGGTGATCATATAATTCTGATTTCAATTCGATTGGCTAATTGGATTTATTATTGTCGTTGATAAACAGAATCCTTCATCGGCATAATCATGATCATGATCATAGTATATCGGTATGAAAAGAATATGAAAAAAAAATAAACATCTGATTTTGTGGCGGCTGCCCCATGGGCGACCAGAGCGACTTGATCAACTAATTGGTCTCCTATTTAAGGCTGCCTATCAACTAGATTACACATAATTAGGCGTTGGTCTCACAGGAGACCTGATGTTCTAATGTACCATGGGAAACAGAAACAGTGAGCCTCTCAGATAGTGAAGACCAGTTTCCTTGCTAGAAAAATTTCATCCGTGGATGCGGGTATAATTTGATCAAGCAGCGCAGTAAATCTCTTCCGAGATAAGTCAAGAGTACATATTTTTAGCCCGAGAGGTAAATATTTTTTCCGTATCATTCGGGTTCTTGCGATTCTATTCCAAGATCACGACTAGGAAATGGTCAAAAGTCGACGAAGCATTGTTGATGAAAGTTTATCTTCGAACGTCGCTGCTTTTCCATTATTGCTCATCAGTGGACGGCACTAGGGATCGTATTCAAAATTTACACGATATTAGGTGCGTGCTAAAGTTTGCTACCGTATTTTTCATTCGTCGTTTCTAAGGTTATGGAAATATGATTTCTTTCTATCCATCATCAAAATACTAGGATTTTCTAATTTTTGTGTCACTTTTCTTAAACAGGGCCTTTGGGTTCCTTCGGTTCTTACTGTATTAGTCCATGATGATCCCGCTGATCATTGAGACGGTCAAATTCTCGCACTTTCTGCTATATACATTTTATCACCGCAAACAATATTTCGGTGTCAATTTTATTTTATCTTTTTTCTCACTTTGATCTCATGCCATAACTCTTTCAGGCATCATTTTTTTTAACCGGAACCACACTCTTCAACCGCCATAGACCACAAATCTTGTCTTGTGCGGGGACGGACGCGCAGGCAGCCCAATTGTGAATGCGAATCCGAGCCCGGCCCCACGGACAAGCTTTGCACTAACCACTGTAACCACCGGGAAATAGTGGACACCCTGAAATCGAAGTCCGAATCTGCGTCAGCCCTGCTATTTCTGGTACAGAAAATTTGATTCTTTCGTAGATTCCTTGCAGATGGGGTCAAACACTCCAGAGCCCGGAAGAGACGTGGATAATAATAGGTCAACCACTACTTATATTTTTATGTTTGATACTACTACCAGCCACATCGTTCAACATAGTGAAATAGTATAGAATCATGACTCTCCGGCTCCGTAGCCAAAGCGTCACGCACACCGCATCCGCGGTGATCCGCAAATACGATCTGCGAAGGCACAGCCGAAGGTCAATCCCCATTTCCAATAGCATTGTATGTACATATTCGGTCGGTCCAAGGACCCATAAATGCGCCACAACGCACCAATTATGATCCGGTACAGTCCGTACGAAACAGAAGCCACAGATCAGATTGCGAATATGAGGCATCGCCCCCGGGCTGGCGTAAGCCCGTTTTGTGCTCCGTTCGCTATATGAAGTCGCACACATCCCTGGCGTTTCCTTCCCTTTGTTCTTTTGTTCCCTGCTTCATCGCTCTCCTCTTTCTCATCGGCGTTTCCGCTCCTCCATCGCTTATCCCCAGCGTTGATTGCACCTTTTGCATTCGGGCAGATCGACCCCAGACCCTCTTTCTCCTCATGATGCACTGACCAACCCTGAAGGGTCTCAACTATACTTCAACCGACGTCTTTTTAAACCTCTCGATCGCCTATTTTGAACAGACTTCCCGGCCGTCACAACATTTCCTACCACTATGGGTCTCTCCGACTCTGCCATCATCGTTATTGTCCTCGTGGCATGCTTGTCGGTAACCGCTCTTGGCGCTGCGTTTTTCCGAAGCCGTCATCCGGTCGAAGACGAGGGCCGGTATAACACATCCCATGAGCAAGGACAGTATATGCGCACAGTCCGCATGAGGAACTACGGGCATTTGCGACAAGAATCACTCGGGGCCGCAAAGGATCTGGAATCGCGATGTATGTTTGGCCGGATCCTTCCACGATCGCATCGACTCCAACTTGGTTGCCTGGATGGAATTATGCCGCTAACCGAGTGATCATCTAGATACCAACGATGAGTCCTCGGGCTATTATCAACCCCACACGCCTGCGGCATGAAACTCCCTCTCTTCCGCGTACATAACGCACTTCTTTTAACGAATCTCCGATGAGTACGATTACATAGATGTATGGGAGGATGAACTGGGATTCATCCTCATCTGGCGCTGGGACATTACGGCGCACGGAATGGGAATATGGACGGATTGGCAGGGCCCAAATCCCTCGATCAGCGATCGACCATAATTTTTTTTTTTTCGAATGCACTTCGACTTGGACTATAATGACAGAATGATTCGGTCTTCATAGTCGGAACTAGTAGTCGCATTGCAGAGTTTGTTCTTTTTCTCCCCTCCGTCTTCATCGTTACCATCTGTGCCTTATCCAGAGCAAAGTTTATCGGTTCATGTGCATCTCACCTTGATTATCCGAGGATCTTAACTGTTTCTGCTGACAATTTGAATTGTGTCCATAACATCAATGGTATTCTATATAGCAATGCATGCTGCTGCTTGATTTTGTCTTTCGAAGCTCTCCTTTGACCCTTTCATGCTCCAGCCTGCCCGTCAGCTGCCGAGTGAAACTGTCTCGAACAAGCCACACAATAGATGAAAATATCAGGTCGCTAATCTATACAGCAGGTCTTATTCTTCTCATTCTAGTGTTTTTGTTCAAGTTTTTGCTATGGCTCTTTATTCGCAGAGCTAATCAGATTGCCAGTCGCGCATTGATGAATCAACATTCATCCTTTCCAACATACCGGATACTTCTCCCTTCGGTGGACTTAACAGGCAGATCAAGATACTCTCTGCATTCTCTGCAAGATATGAAGAAAAACTTCATCGGTTCCCCCGCGTTGGACGGGATTGAACACCTAGACATGACGTCAAAGCGAATCAAGCTTCTCAAACTCAAAGAAACCATGGCATCAGCCCACTAAGTCTGCTCGCATCATCAACTCCTGCCATCCAAATGGTCTTTTGCGTCAGATATCTTTGGCGACCATGACTGATCAAGGCCAATCGCTGTCTCCTCCAGCCAGACCGCTGTCCATCGCGCTTTGGAACTTCTCGTCGCAGTGGTTCCTCGTTGCGCAAGGCACAGGTATCATCGGTGTGATTCTCCATCGATTGGATTATCAGTTCAATGGTCTACAGACCCTGGCCAAGATCGTTTGGATTTACACTATTGTTCTACTGGGCCTGGGCCTGGCAGGGTACCTACTCCGCGTTATTCTGTATCCACGACATGTCCGGCAACAGCTGCGGCACGACCTTATCGAGACATCCTGCCTAGCCTCTTTGCCGATCGCCTTCACGTCGATTCTCCAGGTTGCAGCTCTGCAGTATGGCCACCGTGCTGGCTTGGCGATCTACATCCTCTGGTGGGTTCAAACTGGTCTGGCCGTGGTGGCCTGTCTCGGCATCCCGTATGTCCAACTCCAACTGCAACCTCAGGGCATCCAGCGTCTGCCCCCCGCCTCCTTGCTGCCCTTCATCGCGGCACTGACCTCCGCAGCAGGTGGAGGCGTGATATGTCGCTATACCTATGTCAGCCCGCGCCTGCAAGTACCGGCGCTCGTTGTGTCCTACCTCGAAGTGGGCGCGGGTCTCGCCCTGGCGGCCGGCTTCGACGCGATGATTCTCGTCCAACATTTCGATCAATTCAGACCTGCGCCGGAGAAAGTGTTCGCCGACATGATTGTGTGTGGGCCCTTTGGCCAAGGCGCGTTTGCGCTCCAGGTTCTCGGCGAGACGGTCCAGCACGGTAGTTTTGCGGCGTACCACCGGGGCACTTTCTTGACAGCGCAGGCGGCGATCCCTATCGGGTATGCCAGTCAATTTTTAGGCCTGCTTACTTGGGGCTCCGGGATCTTCTGGTGGTGCTTCGCCATCCTTAGCATCTGCCATACGCTGTGCGCCCAGCCAGGCGGGTGGCGGCACACTCAATTTAGTATGGCGGCCTGGTCGCTCATCTTTCCATGGGTACGTGGATCTAGCGTTTGTTCCCCCCCCCCCCCCCTACTTTGTGGTGGGTCGTTCATGGGGTCGTCAGATCGCCAGTTTCTAAAAATGTTCACCAGGGCGTTTTCACGAATGCGGCTGTTGAGTTTGGCAAAATCATGGACTCGCCGGCCTTTGCCGTGGTCTCGACGGGTCTGCTGCTCATCCTGCTCCTCCTCTGGCTGGTCGTTCAGGGTCTGACAATCAAGGGAATCATCACCGGTCGCATTTTCGGTCTGGACCGCGGCTGGAAACGAGGTAGCCTAGGCCGCGGGGACTCCACGGAGCCTAAAGATGTATGAGCGGTCTTGTATTTCGTATCTCCGACCCAGATCAGATTCAACGCGCTCGTTCAGTGTCGGTGTTGCGAGACCTCGGACACGGCGTCTGAAGTCCGGTCTGGCGGTCGGTCCGCGCTCTTCGATGGCCCCCAATTTTTGGCTGTATTCCAACCTCCAAACCTACGAATTAGATACGGCTTACGGGCTAGCAGTGCGGCAGTACAGCGCAGCCTCGGTCGATCGACCAGCTCCCGTTTGCTGTCCTATACCTTCCTATATGCCTTGGGCCCTACAAGGCGCACTCCCGGCTCCTGGTTTCCCCTAATCGGTTACCCTAATTTCACTTGCAGGATTTCGGCTCGCATGATCCTTGTAGCTCTACATAGCCGGATTTTACTCTCGCCCCCAAACACCCCCCAAAGTCCGTGGTGATGGAAGAATTTCGTCCGGGTCGCAGTGGTTTCTTCATGCGGCAAAAGCCGAGACCTAGCCACGATAGCCCGCCACTGCGGACGGAGGGCTTGGGGGTAAAAATCAGCCGCAACTGTGTCCCCATGTGTTTGACGCTAGGCTTCACTTCGCATTGGGTTGGCTGGATTCTGGGTCGACGTCAGTGCCTCCTTGGGTTAAACGGCGTATTCGTAGACTCGTGTTCGACCCAATCCCCACAGATGGTTCGCGCCATGGTTACTAGATTCGGTCTACGGCCGTATTGGTGAATACGAGTACGGCGAGGAGAGCCAAGTTGGTGGAGCTAACTATTTATTGACCACAATGTCATGGCGAACAAGTCGGTGAAAAAAAAAGAAAAAGAACAGAAAACTATATCTCTGTAACATCGCGATAGTCGAGTTTCTTCTCGTTCTAATCCTCAACCATGATTTTCCGGCAAGAGCCGATGCTGAGCACTGTCTCGCTCAACTATGACAGTGAGGCCAGCGACGAGCGGTACGAATCCAGTTGGATACACTTCCAGACGGCTTTGGAGGACCGGAATCTAATGGCATTCTAGACCGTCGCAACCCACGCATACCAAAATCCAAGCAAATTTTCAAATTGCCCGCCCACCACCCAAATCCTCTCTCTGGCTCCGGCCCCGACTTCTCCTCCAGATCCAACAAGTGATCTCCGATCATCGCCCCGTCCCCGTCCTCGAAATATGGCAGCCGCTGTTCCGGAAGCCCAAGCTGAGCCACGACTTCCTCCAGCGGCCCAAGCTGCACCGGGGCGATATCTACGCGACCAGCGATGAGTCCTATCGCGTCCGTCCCGGTTCGCCGCGCAAGGCGCTCGCCATGTCAGACTCAGAGGCCAGCACGAGCAGCACCGCGTCCCAGGAGGATCAGCAGAAAGACATTGTTGCGGTGATGTGCCAGCTCCCGGGCGAAACGGCGCCCGCCGCGACTCTCCACTTTAGCAATGCACAGCGCAGCTGGCAAGGCCGCGCGGGCACCGCAGGCGCTGACAACATCCCGTGCTACCGGTTTACAATCCACGACAAGAGCGGCAGCGACGACGATCCGGGGCGGATGGTCCTGCAGTGGGAAAAGCGCAATACGGCAAAAGAGGACCTGCGGTCCCGGTCGGCGCATGCAGAGCAGTTCGCGCTCTTCCTGATCGATCGGCAGAAGAAGCGGAAGAGCCGCATAGCAACCATGGATCCCGGTGGACTCGAGATCCTCATCCGGAAGACGGACATTATAGAGAATCTCCAAGTGTGCCTGGATTTAACAAGCCCGGTGTCGTCGTCTGCTGCGGGCAGCGGCCTCGATGCCCATGAGAACTTATTAACCTGGCTCTATACCCATGTTCTGACATTAGGTGTTTGGGTGGCCCAGCAAGAAGGGTGGTTCAGCTAGTTCAGGCTCAATGGGCCCAATTTTGAAATAAATGAATGAATGACCAATGACCAATGACCAATGACCAATGATCGAAAAAAAAAAAAAAACTATCTAATTATATTTAATATCTCTCAGTATCTCCCGACGAGAAGCGGTCTCATACTTTTAAAAGAGGCCGATATACGTGGGGTTCTAATACGTAGCCACGCCTTCTTCCAGCGCCTTGATCTGCAACGCCAGAAGACGTGAGTAGTACCGACACAACGCAAGATTCCCGCCCATGAACCAGAAACCTGGGTGGCCACTGCGGCGCCAGATCGTCCGCATTTCGCCCTCACTGTCCAGGCCCCAGACATCCCCGACGCGATCAGCCACTGCGTCGCCAAAGATGAGCCGCGCCTGCGTGCGCATGTTCTGGTAGCCTGTCGCAAAGACAATCTCGTCGGCCTCCAGCTCCGAGCCATCGGCGAAACGCAATCCATGCGGCAGAACCTCGCTGATCTCCTGGCCCTGCTTCACCTTGATCTTCCCATCCACGATCAACTGGCTCGCCCCGACGTCGATGTAGTACCCTCCACCCCGCTGGAGATATTTGACCAACAGCCCCGCGTCCATGGGCCCACTGTCCACCTTGAACCCGGCCTTCTCCAGGCCCTCCAGGGTCGCCGCGTCGTTTTGGTTAATAAGCTTTGTGATCTTTGTCTGCTGTGTCTTGAACAGCTCCGGCGGGATGCTCCACAGATACAAGTCCGCATCTTCCGTCTGCGGACCCGCCTCCTCGTACAGCCCCTTCAGGCCAATGCCGACGATCGAGCTCGACGACACCACGCATGTCGAGCTGCGCTGCACCATGGTCACCTCGTATCCCTTCTCGACATAGTCCTGCGCGATGTCATGGCCGGAGTTGCACGAACCGACCACGACGGCCTTCTTGCCGGTCGAGCCAGCCGCCGCGCCCGGGAATTCAGAGCTGTGGCAGATACGATCACCCGCGAAGTTCTCTGCTCCCTTAAAGACGGGCGCATTCTTCTTCCCCGAGTGGCCCGTGGCCTGGATAACGTGCCGCGGGTGGAAGGTGCGTGTCTCGGTCGAGCCGTCTGCTTTCGTGCGCGTGAGAACCACTGTCCACTGCTTCTTGGTCTCATCCCAGGAAGACGAGGTCAGCTCGGTGTGGGTCCAGACGTTCAACTCTAGCAGCTTGACATAGGACTCGAAGAACTCAGCCAGCTTGTCTTTGGGTGTGAAGATCGGCCAATTAGCCGGGAAATTGAGATATGGCAGGTGGTCAAACCACACTGGGTCATGGAGCACGAGCTGGTGGTAGCGGCGACGCCAGCTATCGCCAATCCGATCTTCTTGGTCGATGATCAGAGTGTCGACGTTGAGCATCTTGAGGCGGGCACCCACAGTCAAACCACCTTGGCCCGCGCCTGGGACGAAATTTCATTAGCGGCTCTAGCATGGAAGTTTTACATTTAGATGAAAGAGAGAAGGGGGGGGAGGGGGGGGAGGGGAGGGAAGATGGTATATGGCACATACCGACGATAATGACTGCTGGGTCCTTATCCTCGTAGTTGGTGTCTGCCGTGCGTCGATCCTGCCAGTTCTTTCGTCCGTGCTGCTCGCCGTGTTGCACGCCGACAGGTCTTCGGTGGCCAGTGGCCTCTTCGTGGCCCGTCAGCTCCAAAAGCGACGTGAAGGCCATACAGATCTTCCAGTCGCTGCCCTCCTGGGCCAGTCGGAAAATGCCCTGTCCCGCACCAAATTCGGTGGTGACCTTGGTAAAGAACTCCACACCATGAACTTCGCCATAGGCATCGATCGGCCCATTATGCGGAGCGCGGAAAGGCGAAGAGCGATCAACCTCGAGAGTCAGTGAGGACGAGCTCGCGGTCACGAAGGCAGCGACGGCGTCCGCTCCCTTGAGCGTGCGGAAGTCCCAGGACAGACAGAGGTGGTCGCGCCAGTAGCTGTTGTCCAAAAACAACCGAACAAGGGCCTGTGTGTCTTTTTCCGCGATGCTGCGGTTTAATTGCTCGATGACCGTGGTCGCGATCTTGTCAGGGTCCTCTGGGGCAGCGGCGTTAGTTGCGGGGAACGTCCCGAGGGGGATATTGTAGGAGCCGGGCTCGACTCGCTCGCGCGAGGGAAGAGCCAGCTGTTCGACGTCGGCGGTGGCCATTGGTAGGTCAAAGAAGGGACTTTCCTCAATTCTGCCTTTTGCCTGGCAAGGGTGGAAGAAGAGATGGATTCATGCAGAATTGACCAGCGGTTGTTTAAAAGGGCAAGCATTAGAACCCCGCACGCTCGTTCTGGAGAGGCAAGCGACGTGGGGCCCTGCATCTCCCCGCCAGGACTTTCAGCTGTCAGCAGGCAAACAGCCATTTTAGGAGTTTTTGCATGATTGGTGTGCTACTAACAGGTCGCTAAAAGTGTGAAACGGTGGTTCAATCTGACCTACAGGCGCGGCGCTAACCTTGAGGGCTTTAGACTCTTCTTGGCGGAGAGACTCAAGTCAGCACAGGGACCTGGCTGGGGATTATCTGGTCTCTCCAAGGGGCTCAAAGATACGTAGCTCTTCAAAAGAAACTCATTATTTCGTGAGTGTTTGTGTATATCTTTCCTTCAGTTGAATGTCGGAGGGAAGTATAAGAGGCGGCTTGGGTAGAGTTCATGCGGTACGGTAATATAAACATCAGGCTCTATCCACTCGCCGGTCTAGAAGATTAGGGGTTACACGGCATATTTCTGGCATTCTGGCATTCTGAAACAGAGTGAGAGCCCAACTTCACTGAATGCATGGATACCTGACTGTTTCTCTGGTGGTCTTTTCAGCCGGGGTGGGAGGCGAGGAGGTAGTAATGAACAGAGCAAGAGGTGGAGATATATATAGACACCCCCCCACAGAACTTGCTAGTCACTGATTTGACGGCGATCAAATTTGGTTACCCCCAATATTGGACCTCGGTCGAGAGGGGCTCATTGTGAAGGGAGAAGAAAGTCAAGATTTAAGTCTTATTAAACCCCATTGAAATATAGTCTCCAAGATGGGTACAAACCATTTGATTTGGGGCCGCTCTTTTCGAAAGGCTTTGCCCCCTTTCCTCGGTCTCAAACCGTGCTGTAGACAAGAGTTGAATCATGTAGCATTAATCTAGAGATCCCTACATCAACTAGCATCATTGGTCTAGTGGTAGAATTCGTCGTTGCCATCGACGAGGCCCGTGTTCGATTCACGGATGATGCATTCTTATTTTTAATCTATTTAGGTTTTTTTTTTTTCCCTTTTTTTCTTTTAACTTTCGGCCAGCTAAATCTTATTTCTATCTCTCCCATTTGATTATGATGATAATTCTGATACCTCACCCCTGATACCTGGTACGCTGGGTTTCCATTTTAGCCAATATGTCTAACGTTGGAAAACAATCTCCCAAACGAAGTTGTGCTTCACCGGCAGCAATCCCAATTAGCTCCGCAGGGCATCAACCAATTTTATGACAACCTCCCCTGCGTTTCTTCGGTCGCACATGGCGAGACGCCCATGCTGCACCCAACCGCTTTCTCCTTTCTGCACCTATGGAAGCACGGCTGGACCCAGCACCAACATTATGATGTGTTGGAGGTTTTGAAACAGTTGAGTTGGGCTCAGGGATCCTATTTTTAACCAGCTCGACGATATCTCCAGACTTTTTGCTCGAACCTTTCACCGATCCATCAATGAAGATCTCGTGGAAGTGGATGATCCTTGAAAGTCCGGTTGGCAGCGATAGGCTCAGCCCAATGCCCCTCAGCGAACGGTCTAGACCACGGGTTGGGGCGGGATCCTGCATCAGAACCGCCCAGCCTGAATGCCCAGAAAACAATGCTCCATAACAACGGCCACGCAGCGTTCGGAGGAAGCGTCGTAAGCACCCCCCCCCATACTGTACCTGGCCGACCCGGAACGACGCGTTCGCGGAGCCACTTGCTCCGAACTAATGACACTCCTGCCCTGATTTGATCAATGCTTCTTATTTGCCCGGATTTCCGCCCGTTTATGCGCGATCGCGGGATGGCTTTCTTTTCTCCTATCCCTCTTCTCCCTGGGCCACGAAAGTCTCGCGCATGCGACCCTCTCATGGCAGTGGCCAGAGCATCTCGAGCTGAAGATGCCCACATTTGAGACGGACGCTATCAATCTCATATTTCGCCTACTGCAGACATGGGTCGGCTCAGACGCCAATGCCTAGTCGGGTTTCTGGCCGCACTGGTGATCTTTTTGGTCTACAGGCGCCACCGGCCCTGGATACCAGCCGATGGGCAGGGCCCATCGCCGATCGCACTCCCCGCAACAGCCGATGCATCGGACGATCTCCCGCAAGAAGTGCCCAAATCGGAGTTCTCATGGACTACTTTGCCTATCCGATTCCCAGTCGCTGCAATTCAGCCGCTCCCTGAAGGACATCCGCAGAAGGTGCCGCGAATTCAGTCGAAAGCACCAGGAGTGTCGCGACTGACACTTTGGTATCAAGCCGACCGACAAGCCGCCGTCAAGGCGGCCTTTGAACGGTGCTGGACATCCTACAGGTCCTTTGCATGGACGGCGGATGAACTCGCACCCCTCAGCGGAACACCGCGAAATGGGCTTGGTGGCTGGGGTGCAACCCTTCTGGATAACCTGGATACACTATGGATCATGGGAATGAGAGAGGAATTTGAGAAAGCTGTGGCGACAGCCGCGCAGATCAATTTTGGAGACACTACATCGCCGAATGTTATCACACATGAAATCAGTATCCGCCTTCTGGGAGGTCTGTTGTCGGCGTACGACTTAAGTGAGGATCCCAGGCTGCTTCGGAAGGCTGTCGAGGTCGGCGATATGCTGTACATGGCATTTGATACCCCAAATCGGATGCCAATTATCCATTGGGACCTTCATCGAGCCGCGCGACAAGAGGAACAGCTCGCGGAGGAGGTTGTATCGGCGTCTGAACTCAGCTCCTTCATCCTCGAATTCACCAGACTGTCCCAAATCACCCGTGACCCGAAATACTTCGACGCAGCGCAGCAAGTCATGGTGAAACTCGACCGGCAACAAGATTCGACTAAGCTGGCGGGCATGTGGCCTGTCGTTCTGAACGCCCGATCGGAGTCCTTTGACGGAGATCTCTATACTATGGGAGCCGAAGTCGATTCTCTCTACAAGACACTTCCCAAGATATATGCCCTGCTCGGAGGGCAGGAACCAATGTACCGCAGAATGTACGAGAAGTTCACACGCACCGCTGCGGGACACAGTTTATTCCGACCCATGAATTTTGAGGACAAAGACATTCTCGTCCCGGGGTCTGTTCGAGTGATGATGACCCAAAACGGGAAACCGCGCACCCACTTGGAGCCTCATGTCCATCATCGTGCCTGTTTTGCCGGCGGGGCTTTTGCCATGGGGGGCGCGTTGTTCAACATTCCAATTCATCGTAAAATAGCCCAAAAGCTGGTCGATGGCTGTGTCTGGGCTCACAGGGCGATGCCGATGGGAATTATGCCCGAAATTTACGAAATCGTACCATGTGCATCGCAGAAAACATGCCCGTGGAATGAGTGGCATTGGAAACAAGAAGTCTTCAAGTGGACGATCAGTCAACCGGATTCGGATCCCAACTTGGAGGTCGATACATTCATTCGCGAGCATAATCTTCCCAGGGGCTTCATCGCCATTCCTGATACTCGGTACATTTTACGACCCGAAACTGTTGAGAGCATCTTCATTCTATACAGAATTACTGGTCACGAAGACCTGCTTGACATTGCCTGGGAATTGTTCGAGACAATACAGAATGCTACGGAGGTTGAGAATGGAAATGCCGGACTCGTGGATGTGACAGCCGAGAACACAGAGACCGCACACAACGATATAATGGAGAGCTTTTGGATGGCGCAGACCTTGAAATACTTCTACCTCCTCTTTGGCTCTTCGGATGTCTTGAGCTTGGACAGTTTTGTATTCAACTCCGGGGGCCATCCGCTGAAGATTCCTGAATTTGTGGGAGAAGGGTTTGAATTTCAGTGATTGTCGAGAGAGATTTTCGATTTTCTTTTTATTCAGCAAAAAGGGATGCCATTGATGTCGATATTTCTGAACCAAGGCTGGTGCTTCATCGAAAGCGCGGAGATGGGTCGGTCGGACAACCACTGATGTAATATTAATCAAGATAACATAGCGATGGCGTTACAATTCATTTCACATGATCTCAGAAGCAACCTAGCTATTTTAGCTATTCTCCTACAGGCATACACTCACATATTTAAATGAGCAATTCAAGGATCTCGGACCTCATCCGGGCCGCCAGTTTCAGCCCAAACTTCTAGTACAGCTTGGCGGCGAAGATCCTCTTCATATGCTTGCAAATTATCACCAAATACCGCTGCTACTTGTTCCAAAGATTTGTTAGCTGTCTCAGGCACGAAGAAAAACGAGAACACTCCGGCGATTATACACCACACCCCGAAGAACAAGAAGGTACCCCAGCCTATAGACTCAAGCATCTGAGGAACGATAGTTCCAATGATGAAATTAGCAAGCCAGTTAGTTGCCGTCGCAATTCCAACACCCTTTGCTCGCTTGGAGCTGGGAAAGACCTCAGCAGGAAGAACCCAGCCTAGTGGGCCGTATGAAAGCGAATAAGCGAATATATAAACATCTATAATGGGTTAGCTTTGCATGTAGAGTCATGGAAGTACAGAAGTGAAATACTGACAAATTAGGGAGACCCCAAGCCACCCAACCCCCTTGTGCGTGTCCCAGTTTGAACTGAACTTGGCAAAAAGACCGGACATTATCAGGTGCGGCACGGCCATCAGGAAGGCCCCGTAGATAGCAATGTTTCTCCTGCCGATCTTATCCATATACACAATAATAGGGACACTACCAACAAATTGGCACACGTTGATCAAGCCTGAAAGAATCAATGACATATTGTAATCCTGTCCTAATTGAATGAAGAAGGTGGGAGCGTAATACACGAAAGCATTGACGCCTGAAAACTGTTACCAAGAGCATTAGTCTTTGATGGGTTCTTGTTTTTGAGAGTGATGGGTCTTACCTGTTGGAAGAATGCGACGGCCATAGCGACAAAAGTGCGCCTGACATACTTGGGGCGGAAAAGGTCAATCCATTGCTTAAGTTCCATCATGAGTGGTCCTGTGTTAGGGTGTTGGTTTTGTAAGATTTGCTTCTGGAATCGGTCTTCCGTCAGAATGCCTCTCCACTCCAGCTGAACTTTCTCATCGGATGTAGGAAGACGTCGAAGCTTTGCGAGCGACTGGAGACTGTCTTGATTTCTGTTTCTGAGGGCTAACCACCGAGGCGAGAATGGGAAAAAATGGATGCCTGCTCCGACCATGAGGGCGGGAACCATCTGGAGGAGAAAAGGTAGTCGAAATGCCCACTCTCCGCTTATGTCTCTGATTGATGGGCTCGTTAAGATCATCATCTTTCAAAGAAGGAATGACAGTAATGCGTACCTTGTTCCATATGTAATCCAGTATGCAACGATGGCTCCAATGACTATGCTGATTGCTTCGAGGACCATAAGAGATCCCCGCAGATTGGGAGGAGCAATCTCAGAGATATACAATGGGGCACCCATTGCCAGGGCTCCTACTCCAATACCTCCAATAAAGCGACCAGCAACCAGGGAATCATAATTCTGAGATGCAGTTTGGATGACGGCGCCAATGCAGAAAAATGTTGTTGCGACACTGAGGCCCCATTTTCGAGAGATCTTATCGGCTAAGTAAGGAAAAAGAAGACATCCGACAAAAGCACCAAGTTCCAGCATGCCGGTCATGAAACCTTTGTTGAAGCCATAATGCGGATTGCTCTCGTCAACCTGTGGAAATTGGACCGTAAACTGGGGCATTACCAATATTAGAGAGATAACTCCTTGGTCTAAATAAATCCTTTACTCGCAATTCTTTTCAACTTGACAATTCGGCACATACCGTATCCAAAGGAGAACCCTCCAATGGACGCTAGCAGGGCTGCGCCGCAGACATATGGAGATTTGAGAATACCCTTGATACCACTCTCATCATAGGTAATTTCTAGAGTAGCGAGCTCAGGGACATCGTCCCTCGTGTGCTCACAATGAGCGAAGGATGCATCCTTTCCGGCAGTTAGAGCCGACAAGTCCTTTGTGTCTGACATGGAATTGGCAAAAGATACAAATAGAAGTAATCAAAACGGAAGGGAAAACTTCCCGGATTCAATTCAGAGAGCTCTCAGACTATCTTGGAATTTATATACTGGTCACGCCAATAGCCACGTAAATCTGGGGTTGTCCACCGTATACCAAAGGACAGGTATTTCCCCGAGAAAGCTGGACAGAAGTGGGGGAAATCCCCGTGGGGTTGCGGAAATGTTGGCCCAAAAAGTCACGATGGGACCGCAAAAGGACAAAGCCGGCGAAGATCGACCAAATTGAATACGAATGATGATCAACCAAGCCCAGCACAAATGATGACCCATTCCCCTGGCATGATTGGCAAAGCGTCCGGCTTCAATTCTCTCACAGCACACCCCACGAACGAGGTTTGAAATAATTGGACTCGTGTTTCCACCCCGCGTTTCGCTAGGGCACTGCAAAAAGCGGGCCGCACCTAGTCTTGAGCAGGAACAAATTGCGTCATAGAGCGCTTCGCTCTTCAGGAAAGGACCCTTTAGGAAATTTTCGCCGCGGTCTGCACATATTCACCGCGTGTAGTAATCTTGCGGGAAAACTCCTCATCGAGAGTATGAGGTGCGCTAAAGGCAGTGAGCCGATCATAAGCTGTCTAGCAAGCTCTCTCTTTGGGTGTGATCGACGCACGAGAAACGAAGCTTTCAACCTTTAAGAACCATCGAAGGTTATAATCAGGTATTTGTGATGCAGCGTAGAGACCGAAGTTGAAGATGAACGAGACTATATCGAGGCAGAGGCGCATTTTTGCCTCTTGTAGTTTTCAGAATATGTTCTTCACTTCCATTGAGATGATCATTTTTATTTTGGCCAAGCCATCTATATTCTTATCCCATTGAGCCTTTATTATTTCCCTCTCCCAACGCCAAAGGAAGCAAACAATATTTCTAAAACAGAAATCACGAGACAAGAAATCCTTAAAAAGAATGTAAAAGGAATTGAGGCTGAATTTTCTGGCCTTTATCATAATGATCTCGCGTGCCAGGCATCCTTGAGTGCGGCCGATGTTGCTGCTGTAGGCCATGCATGACAGAACTCGAGATCAGCTAAGAAGTCCAAGACAGCCTGTTGTTCAGCAGGGTCATCGAGATATTCTCCACAAACAGAAATTCCCACTGCGGCATCAACAAACACAACTGGTAATTTCGGGTTCGATAATGCCAGGCCGACCAGGCGACGGACGATGGATTTGAGTTCCTCTTCTAAAGCACGAGTTGCTTGGCGTGCTGCTAGCCCAAGACGTGAAAGCTTTGGATTGGAAACGGCAAGCAGAATGCGGGAGAGCTCAATGTGCTGGGCTCCGACTACCTGGCAGGCATTACTATGCCAGATAGCCGGGAAGAACTTTCCAGATGCGGGATCCGCGTCTTCGAAATACAGTGGCTTGAAATCCAATGGTTTTTTGGATTCCCACATTATATCGAAGGCTTTGAGTGCGGTCCACCTCTCAACTTGTTGTTTGGGGGCCATTAATTTGCCTTCACCGAAGCAAAATTTGAGAAGATCGGCACACCACACAAGAATGCGATTTGTCCAGGTAAAGTCATTCACTGGGTCAAACTGTGTGTAGTCATTCGACGGACATATCGGTAGTCGGAAAGTACGCTGATTAAGAAAAGCGCTCCAAATCTCCTGTCTAAGCGCTATCAAGCATGCCGAATGGCGGAGGGACTTTGAAGGAATGGCGTGCAAATCTCGGTTCCTGCGAGGGCCATGGATGGTAGCATATGCATAGAAAGAATCATCTTCCTGGCTGTTGACAATGAATTGGACTGTGCTCAGATATGCTTCAGAGTCAATGCCAATGGAGGGTGCTAGGTGGTTGCGTTAGCTTCTCAAACTGAAAGCTAGTAGATCAGTGGAGACTTACTATCAATTTGCTCGTAGAATCTCAGGATGGTAGCCGCAGTAAGGACGTCTTCGTTATACTGTTCCCGAGGATCTTTTGACAGCTCTAGAAGATATGAGATGCAAGTATGATGATATTTGATAGCGGAATCAGTGCTGAGTTGTGGAAGGCTGATACCATTAACTTCTATTATGGCTGAGTCCTGGCGACAGGCGGCTAGCTGTACCAGATGGCCGGCAGAGGCAGTTAAAATGGCGTACCGAAGTACAGGACAGAAGACCGCTCTTTGGGGAACATTAAGCTCAAAGTTACGGTCTCTATCACAAGTGTCAAACTGTGGGAAATTGTGTAAGTTGGAATACACGGTATAGGAATGGTTATTGACTGACCCATGGGGCAAGGTTTTCCGTGAAGTGTCGTATCAGGCACGCTTCTTCCAAATTCGCATATGAGCTATCTGTGCAGCCTTCTGGAAGCCCTTTCAAAGGGCCCAGTGGGTATTGATTTCTTTGTAATGGAAACTTGGATCGAGACAGCCATTGTTGTAGTTCATGATCTTCGCCTTGGACCGTTTGTGGATTCGGATTGAAGAATGAGGCGGTCGCCACTGAGCTAAAAGTTGGCCGAACCTGACTAATTGAGGTATAGTATGAAGTTGACTCTGTATTATCTGTGTTTATGTTTTCAAGAGGACTGACCGAAGAATGGGCTTCTTCATCAAGGTCGTATCTCTTGGTGGATCTTGTAGATTGGCTCGCAAGGCCGCGTGGCTGTTGATTAGATTCAATACTCTCAGGTCGCGACCCGTTAGGTACATCAATCAGTACTGAAGTACAAGATCTCTTTGTCTCCGGCTGTGAACTTTGGTCTGCGTGAATATAAGAAAAACCTTCTTTGACATAGTCAGAAGAGAGAAGACTTTGGATATCTGGATATGGGATTTCTGAGTGGCTTTACCTGTTTGGCTTGTATCAACCCATTTTTGAGTTGGAGAGAAATAAAAACTCTTCCTCCTCTGCCGACCTTTTTTGAACTTGAAATTTGTTCCTGCAGACTCGCAAGGTAGCTTGGATTTGATGCAATTAGAGCAGGGTCGTTTCCCATCACCTTCGAGGAATTGTTAGCGAGATATCACTATAGGTAAATAGATGTAATAGGGATTGAATTACATTTTCGGTGACGAGCTTCAGAATTGACCCATTAGTCTAAGTTTCAGTCTAGGAAAGAGAGTATTGCTTACATCTACAGTGTTCACAGGGGTTCAGCGTATAGCGTTGAGGCGACGTCATTCGTCTTTCTGGGGTGTCTGGATGAGTTCTTGAGGCGAATGAATAGGCTTACTGAATCAGAACCAGTGAGTAATTAATAAATAAGCACTACCCTGGTTCTCGTTGCAGGTTTGTCGTAGGGAACAGTGTGTGAGGTGGAGTTGCGCGGTCTAGCGTGCTTGTGCGGAGAAAGAAAAAGTGCGGGGAATAGAGTTGAAATTAGAGCCTGAATATTCAGGCTACAAACGACGCTGTCCGTTTAATGTTACTTCTCAACAAATGAAATACGTACACTGGGGACACCCCGGATCAATACCTCGTGAAATATTCAGGGAATATCTGACGAAGTTTGCCAAAATGTGTGGGGTGATCTTAGTTAGCAGTACTGGAAACTATTGTGATATTCAATCAGGGCCTGTTGGTGCATCACAGATTAACATAGTCCTTGATACTGATAGCGTCGTAGCGAAGATTAATGGGCATTCTCAGCTGTCAGGCCCGTAAAATCATTCTGCCATATTCAGCCTACCCATGAATGAAGAAGTCATATAGATGAAGAATTGCCGTAGTTGTCAGTTTTGTAGCTCAAGCATGCGCTTACATCGTAGCCTTTGCTGGTTTAGAGATCAAATACACATCATCAGGGTTCTCTTCCGTGATGTAGATATAAGAGTTGTATATTGCTCCGCAGCCCAATGAGGCCTATGTACGAAATGAAAGCTGAGAACAAAACATGTGATATCTAAGCCGAATATTTAATTACCAATGCTTGAGCAGTGTTTCAACATTTTGAACGCCATCGAAAATTTAGCTAGAACTTAATCTCGAATTTGCCGCTAGTGGCTATGAAACTAATTTAGAATTGATATAAGCTATCTTATAACTTATTCACCAACTTCACGATCATCATCCCAATTAATGAACTGAACCACTTTCCATTTCATTGAGGCAATTCTGATCTGCTTACCCCAGAAGTACATGGGAATTGAGAACAATAAACATCCACCGGAAATGGCAGCCATTTCACCGTAAGCTAAAGCGTAGCCTTTCTCGACCCAGACATTGGTGTAAAATGAAAGCAAAAAGCCAAAGCAAGCTGAAATAGAGATATCAGCCAAGTTTATAATTGTAATATCCCCTCAGCCCCCTCTGTTATGTTCTTCAATTGTTTCAGGACTTACATTTAAATGCGAGCTGAGTAACTGTAACTTCGCCAGCAATAGGACGGTAAGCATCGATGCAATAAGTGAAGGAAACGTTGGTTCCTTGCACAACGGCAAAAGCATCTGAAGATCGTTTTTAGTAAAAGCCCCAACTAGTGAAAGGAATTCAGGAGAAACAGACTGAAGAATAGGCCAAGTGTTGGAACCATCCAGTGTAGCTTATTTTGAATACCCACACCATAGAGAACAAGGGACAATGGAGAGGCTATGATGGTGAGGATGATAGCTGGGAGACGCATTTCTGGTTCTCGGATACCGCCATTGCGCTTTGTGAAATAGTCGGCAATCCAGTCTGAGAATGGCCCACCAAGCACAATTCCAAAAGCACAGCCGAGCAGATTTCCAATAAAGCACAGTCCAACTTGCCATGGTTCAAAACCGTATGCAGTATTAAATGCACTGCCAATGTTGGAAGAAATAGCCACCAAAAATCCAATGGTCACCGACATAACAATTGTTGCCCAGAACACAGGAGGTAAAATAATGAGACCAAGGGGTCGAACCATCATCCTCCATAGTGCCTCGTCCGTGTATTTGCGCCCGTCCCAAGGCTTGAGATCCTGCCAGTAAGAACGTTTGGATGGAATCGATAGTGTGCTGTTGGCTTCGACTAATTCCTTTTCTCGCCCTTCGGCGATAACTGCTGCTTGATCCGGAGAAACCACAAGGGGGTTGTTGTATCTCTCAAATGCAGTCTCAGGGAATGAAAAGATCACAACCAGCAGGGTAGCCCCGACTAAGGCTGCACCCACCCAATATATCGTTCTCCAGGTGTAATTGATTACAACCAACCCAGAAATAACGGATCCAAAAGCAACGCCACCCGACAGCGCAGCATTGTAAGCAGCCATGTATAAGCCCCGTTCATGAAGATAGAAAATGTCTGTAATAGTCAAAGGCGCCAAGCACTCACCAGCACCGCCAGCAAAGCCAAGAAATAGCCTAGTAACGATCTCTGCACCATAGGTTTTTGAAGCACCAGAGCCGATGATCATGAATAGGTAAATCGTGAAGCTGACAATGTAGACGGGGCGACGTCCATACTTCAACATTATTGGAACCCAAAAAAGATTTCCGACGCCTTGTGCCAGAGCGCTGTTATTGAAGAAGAATGCAGCATGTGCAGGGGTTGTGTTGAATGATTCTGCAACGCTTAGCATTGTCACTGTTGGCCCCGCAGCCATGAAGTTGCACATGATCATGGCGATAGCAACAAGAATGGCGATAGCGATTTTGTACGATTGTTTCCTTGAATATGAGAGACGGAAATTAGCAAATTTTCAGAAATTGTAGGTGCTGTGTAACAAGGACAGAACAACTGTCTATGAGATAGCCGCAGCGGCATATTTTGATCATACCACTTCAAAGGATCGTTAGGATCAAGAGATGGGGCTGGTATGAGGATGATTCGTTGAGTAGTCGCATCGCGAAGGCGGACGTGGCCTAAGGTGTGGTAATGTTCGTCATCGTAGAAATGCTCCTGGTGGGAGACAATTCCGGACTCCACGATATTGTCTGCTTTCGCTGCTGGTTCGGTCATTTCGCTCGGTATTTCTGGTGAGAGCCACCAAGAAACTGCTCGTTAGGCTCGAAGCTACTTTAAGCATATCGAGTACTGTATGTGTACGTATTAAATAAGAAATCCTACTGGAGACCTTTTCTTGTGGGGGAAGTGGAGATGGTGTGGAGCCGAGTTTGTTTGGCACCCCTCTCCGCCTCGAAAGAGTAGATACCTCCATGGCTATCAAGCCGTTTCAATTTAAGTTAAGTCAATAATACATAGCCCAAGAGCTCATTCCCACATGTTTGCCATAAGGACTTGCTTATTGCCAAAAGTATATTGTACACCAGCTGTGTACAACATGGTTGTGGACCACAGCCGATGTTCGCCGACAGCGAATGCCCTAAAACTCTCACCCCAGCCCCTGATGGCAGATGACGCGGCATTCTCTCTAGTAAGTCATGCCCAAGAATGCCCAGCTTACGTTACTAAAGTACTGCCTCTAGCCCTTGGCCTAGACTTCCCCCTTTCGTTCTTGCCTTTTTATTCCATGTTTCGACCCATCAACGAAATATCTCATTTACATATTTCATGGCCCATTGTATCCAACCATGTACTAAAGGAACCAATACCAGAATGTATGATTAGATATACAACGATGAGATAAACAGAGAAACTAATATTGTGATCCTTTGTCTTTGGCCGCAATACTTGGGATTCGATTCAATACCGACTGAGAGGAAGCAACTTATTAGTTGGTTCTTAATAATCTTGAAATACCACCTGGTTCTTACAGTCGTTCTCGAAATCGGCTTGACCGATATACACTGAGCAACTCTTTCCCGGCCCCACCGCTAAGACCTTAGCGCAGATCATTTATTGAGCGGGCGGCATCATACTAAGGGACTCAGTAAAATGCGTCGTGTATGTTACAGTAATATGTGACATAAGATTACATTACGTGTATGAAAGGAGAGCCCATGGAATTCTATGGAATTCTATAGTGGATCTCTACATGTCATGTGGGGAAAGGCCAGCTTGCGCAAGTAACTTGATGATCTGCTGAGAGGCCTCTTTTTCCCTCTCCTCTTCCTTTGGGCGGTGCGTACTAGTCATCACTTGCGAGGTGTCTCTTTGGCCCAGAGAACCTCAACAAGTGATATTGGCGACCAACGACCGTCCTGACTAGTTAGTGGTTGTTTGTAGGCGAATAATACCCTTAACGGCACCGAATAGTGTAAGCCTTAACTAATTATCACTCACCTTTAGTCTGTCGTTACTGTAGGCCTAAGAAAATAACTACTAGTTCTCTCGTTAGCTATAATAATTATAGCGTTTAATATCTTGACCTATAGGTCGATATATCACAATATACACTAACACCTAGCAACTTCCGTTAGTTACCTATCTCCCTATCCGATATAAGCTATATTAACGTCGATTACGTCTCCGCTATTAATTACGCCTCTCTAAAATAAACTGCTTTATAAAGGAATAGTCTTCTATTACTCTAGTACGTTGATTAGGAGGAAGGGCGAATATACGACGAGGATCTACCGACTTATATCTACTATTTAATCGAGTAGAAGATTACTCTGATAATAGGACGGTAGTGAAAGATATAGAACAAGATCTAGTTCTATAGTTATTTTCGAAATCGCCTTAACTAATATATACTAAGAAACTCTTTCCTAGTCCTACCGAAAAGGCTATAGCGCTAATTATTAATTAAGCGGCTAGTATTAAATTAGGGGGGTAGTTAAATACGCTATATATATTATATTACTATACTAAGCAAGATTACACTATACGTACGAATAGAGCACGGAGGAAATATAGATAAGATATTATTTCCGCTCTAGCTAAACTTAGTTTATTCCTTATACTAACTACTAGCGATATTTTCTACTAGTTAAAAGTTACTTAGCGTTGCGTGAAGACACGCGATATTTCTAGAGAATCTAATACGATAAATAGTACTCGTCCTGAAGCGTAAGTAAGATATATTGTAGATAGTAATATAGCAAAATCTATTAGGCGATACTCCGGTAGTAACTATAGTAAATTCTCTAAGTTCTAAGTGATATATATACTATCGGAACTTATACTAACACTCTCGACTTATAGCCTTTTAGGTTTAGTAGTATAGGGCGACCCTATATCTATAACTAAAAATAAAGGGGGGTATTATTATTAGTTTTAAAATACGTGCGACGACTACTAACTAGATCTATAAATATAATTCCTAAGCTGTCGAGGGTCTAGAGATATTAGCCGCTACCGGTATCCTATATCTTAACGATATAATCGCGTGAAGCTAAGGCGAGAAGCTTTAAGTTATAGGAGAAGGCGACTGATCCGACCTAGTCGCTATAGCCTTTAAGGGTCTATATATATTAGCCGCTACTAATATCCTACACCTTGACGGTATAGTCGCGTAAAGCCGAGGCGAGGAGCTTTAAGTTATAGGAAAATACGACTATATCGACCCTATTACTATAGCCCTTAAGGTTCTAGAGGTATTAGCTACTACTAGTCTCCTATACCTTAATAGTATAATCGCCTAAGCCTAAGGCAAGTAGCTTAGAATTATAGGAGGAAGCGATTGATCCGACCCAGTCGCTATGGCCCTCGAGGGTCTGGAGGCACTCGGCGCTTCTAGTATCCCATATCTTAATAGTGGAATCTTCAGAAGCCGAGATAAGTAGCTTAGAATCACGGGAGAATATGACCGATATGACCAAATCACTATGGCCCTTGAGAGTCTGGAGGCATTGGCCGCTACTAGCATCCCATATCTTAATCGTGGAATCATCAGAAGCTGAGGCGAGTAGCGTTGAGTCATAAGAAAACATGACTGAATTGATCCATTTGCTGTGGCCCTCAATGGTCTGCAAATATTGGCCGCTGCTGGTATCCCATACCTTGATAGTGGAGTCTGTAGAAGCCGAGGCGAGTAACTTCGAGTTATTGGAAAATGCGACCGAGTTGACCGTAGATCCATGGCCTTTGAGGGTCTGGAGGCATTGGCCGCTGCTGGTATCCCAAATCTTAACGGTGGAATCTCCCAAAGCCCAGGCGAGGAGCTTGGAATCATGGGAGAAGGCAACCGATCCGACCCATTCGTTATGATCCCCGAAGGTCTGTAGGCATTGGCCGCTGGTGGTATCCCATAACTTGACAGAGCTATTGTATGATGCGGAGGCAAGGAGCCTAGAATCATGGGAGAAAGCGACCGATCCGACCCAGTCGCTATGGCCCTTAAGAATCTGGAGGCACTTGCTACTGCTGGCATCCCATATCCTAACGGTGGAATCTGTAGAAGCTGAGGCGAGTAGGTTCGAGTTGAGGGAGAATGTAACCGATCTGACCCCTTTACTATGGCCCTTAAGCGTCTGGAGGCACTGGCCGCTGCTAGTATCCCACAGCTTGATAGTGAAATCTTCAGAAGCCGAGGCAAGTAGCTCTGAGTTATAGGAGAATGTGACGGAATTAACCCCATCGCTGTGACCCTTGAGGGTTTGGAGACACTGCCCGCTGCTGGTATCCCATATCTTGACGGTGGAATCTTCAGAAGCCGAGGCGAGCAGCTTCGAGTCATGGGAAAATGTGACTGATTCAACTCCATCGTTATGGCCCTCGAGGGTCTGGAGACACTGCCCGCTGCTGGCATCCCACACCTTAACGGTGTCATCTCTGGAAGCCGAGGCCAAGTACTTGGAGTCATGGGAAAATGTGACTGAATTGACATCGCGGCTATGACCCTCGAAGGTCTGGAGGCATGCGCTCCACCCTTCTTCCATAGATGGTTTCCTTCTTATCCACGTTGGCTCTTTCATCTTATATTGGGTCCTTGTTATGCTGCCCTCTGGGCAAAATATCATCCCCGAAGCGTATACTTGAAGAGGCTGATTCTCAATGGCTGATTTGAAGTACCGAATAAATCGGTTTGCATCTCGAACTCGAGTGATCAGCTCTGCGTCCTCCGTTACGTTCTTCAAATGTTAGAAAAGCACATGTTCACTCTCGTGGAAACTAACCTTCAGTAAACTATCGAGTCTTTGCATAGATGCTATTCCATCTGATAGGCTTCTCAATAAGCTAAGAGCCTCAAGCCAATGAAGGTAATCCTGGCGAAAGAATATCCCGACCGCGCCACTGTCCTGCATGTCTTCGATGGCGTTCTTAGCCGGAAAGCATTCATACAAGTGGTCAACCCAATAGACACACGAGTACCGTATGGTGACTAGCGGGTCCGGATCCGGCTTTTTGACCTGATCAATAAGATATCCGGGGAGAGCAAGGCCGTAAATGTCCTGTCGCAGTGTCATAGAAATAGCTTGTAAAGATCTCAAGAAGATGGAATAGTGCATCTTTTCCTTTCCCTCGGAAAAAATCTCATGGCCTGCTTCTCGAAGGAGAAAGTCCTTGGCTGACAGATGAACCAAGGAGATTCTGCGGTCTCGCAATGTCAAAAAAGAGCCACAAAACCCAACAATCTCTGCCAGCACCTCGTCGTCGCTTACGATGTCTTTAGGCAAATCGATGCATGTCGCTAATTCACCTATCGTGATAGGGCGATATACGGTGCTTATGACGGCGAGGAGAGACTTGCAGAGGTCAGCATCTTCGGACTCACTGATTTGGCTGAGCATGCGCCTATAAAGCTCATCAAGACCAGGTGGATAGTCCGCCAATTTGCTCCCCACGTGTCTCTTTGACACTGTGGTGAGTTTCTTGCAAACCAGGGCCACCCAGAGGAATGTGCCATTTGCCTTTGACACCAAGTAATGCTGAACAGTGTCACGAATTTCTGGGCTATATTTGTTCTTTTCCGCTAGCTCATTTACCTTGTGCTCAATGAAGGAGTTGACCGCAGCTGACATTGTGTTGTCGTTTGATTCGAGACAGAGTTTAATCGGTGTCATGCATGTGAGGTTCTTTTCAATGCTCGGCCAGTTACGGCTAGAGACGACCCATTTCACATGTGAATAAGCTGATGACTTCCGGAAAAGAAGAAAAAGTCGGTTCAAGTCCCCAGTACACTCGTCAAGTGCATCAACAATCAGGTATGTCCTTCGCAGGCTCGGGTCCTCGAGAATCTTCGTAAAAACTCTCAGTAATGCGAACCATGCATTCTCACCCTCGAAAGAGCTGTCGCGGACATAGGTGATGAGCGAGGCTTGTTGCTGCACAAGCATATATATGAGTCCCCGCAGGACTGCTGTAGCATTATTGATGCGACTGTTCGTTGCTTGGCAGAAAAAGAAGGCGATATTGGTGTCGTGCATAGTCGTCTCAGATAGTTCATCAATGATCCCGCAAAGTAACATGGTTTTGCCCTTACCGGGATCGCCCTTGATCCAGAGAAGTTGGCCGAATCTCGCATCCCTCCACCTCTGAAATTCGACATGGTCGAACACCCAGCCATATGAGCCTCTGAGAAGGCCCCCTTTCTCTTCCTCGATTCGGGCTTTGTCAAGGGAGGGATCGGTGGCCTGGAGAGTGTCTCGACACCGTCGATCCTCGGTATTTGATAAGCGTTGATCAGCCCGCTCTAGGATATTCCTTTGGCTTCGCTGTATTCTAACAAGTTCCTGAATATTATCGAGAACATCATTTAGGGCCTTTCGCGATGCTCTTGCCTCCCCGGCGAGCATCTTCAATTGCTCCACACCGGTACCAGATAAGGCCTTCTCGAACTTCTGTCCGAGAATTTTCTCTTCCTCCTTTAGGTGATCCACTTTATCATTCCAGTTATCATATTCTATGACACTCCGGAAATAATTTTTGGTACGGCTGCGATAAAACCTTATGGCAGTCTGCACCTGAAAATCTATAATGAGTGAATACAGGTCCACAAGACCCTTCATCAAATCATTCTTTAAACCAGGCTTCATATGCTCGGGTATCAGAAGCGACTCCATCTCGACGTAGTAGCGCATTTGTGACGTGACATATGTAAATCCCTCCCGGTTGGCAGCATCAATAGCACCCGGATTCTTTAGGAGGGGAAGAATGAGTGCAATGCCTGCCATCACAGCTGGTGCATAAGGAACATCTTTGATCGCATCTTTGATGTAGTTTTGGGCGCAGTCCACAGCCTGGCCTACCTGGCCAATCCCGTCTTCTAGACTAATCTCATGGCCGAGGATTGTCACTTTGACCTTGTTGTCTTCCACGTGCTTCAGACCTAGTTCGACTATTTCTTTCAGCTTCTCTCGGCGGGCAGCTGCGTTCTGGTGAGGGATCTGATTCTTGATCTGGACGTCGTCTTCTTCCTGGTTCGAGGCCGATAAAGGGTTCCCTTCGGCTGTATGATCCCATCAGTATCTCCTGGGGGAGGAGGTGTTGCATACGATCATAGTTACCCTTTATTAGTACTCGAGAGAGGAGATCTTCATATTCGGATAACAGCGCTGGTTTTTTTTCTTTCAGAGAGTCGTATGCTGTGTCCCAGAGTGAGGAAGGAGCAGGTCGATTGGGGTTGATATCTGTAGAACGGGATTGAGAAGAATCTGGAGCGCTAGCAGTGTCACTTCTAGCCACTCCTGAAAACATATTTTGAGACATCTTCTTAGATGATGCAGAGGTCAAGGTGGAAGAACCTGTGGTTGACTTGCTGAGAACCGGTGCTGCAGAAATCGATCCTGTAATACTTTCGGATCGCCAGGGTACATGTCCTGTAGACGTTAATAATGTTAAACTCAGCTTTTCTGTTTCCCCATACCAGCCGCTTGTGCAGACACGTTATTATGTCCTTTCGCCTTCAGCCGAATTCTGTTGAAGAGCCACCATCGCCGAGACATGTCACGTTGTTCGTTGCCAATAGTCATTCCGAGTGTTCCACTAAGGAAGTGGAGATCTTTGTCATAGAAGGAGAAATTGGAGGGCGTTCAAATGGCCAGCTGTTGGTCAAAACTGCACGTCTGCCAAGCCACCTTGGCCTAATGGTCGTGGCGTTCCGAGAAGAAAGTCGGAGCAGATCTTACTCGGCTGGCTTGTAATTCAAAATTGCCTCAAGATAAATCCCACTGCTTCGCTGAAGGGGCCCCTGATCTTGGTAGCCATGGGAGCGAGGAAGTGGCCCGTCGCTCAGGCCGCTATCACAGGGGTAGACGTTTCCATGGGATTTCACTGAATTCCCGTCTGCGTTGTGTACTGTTACGGACCTTAGTACCGTAACATACAGGGCGCACTTGACTCCTTCCTCAATCTAATGTGGGCTGCTCAATAATTAATTTGCGCTAAGGCCTTGGCAGTGGGGCCAGAAAAGAGTGATTAAGTGTGTATCGGTCAAGCCGATTTCGAGAATGACTGTAACAATCTTGATATACACTCAGCTATTCAGCCAGGAAACCACACAGCTGAGCTTGGCAAGGCAGAAAGGCCGATCGGATCACCAACACAACTACCTTGCCTCTAGTGAGCAGGAGGTCTTAATAAGATAAAAGACGCCATCTTTCCAGAGGAGAGAAAAAAGATCTTGTTCATACTGTCTGACCAGCAGAGAATTAATTTATAATGACTGTACGCCAGGTGGAATCTAATGATTGGGCTGTCAGCCCAGTAGGCGGCTTCTCCAATACAGTATAGACAAGGTGACCACAACCTGCCGGCCTAAATGAGATTTCTTTCTATTAATCAAATACACATAGTAGTGAGCAATTGAACAAAATTATTGCTAAAATCTATTGTGTATGTAGAGTCACCGCAATGTAACAGACATAATTTTGCGATCGATATTCAGAATTAGTTGAGTTTTTATTAGATTTTCGCCTGAATATGTAGGAGAGGTCATTGTAGTGCCTATTTACCCCTCTAGATAGGCCTGAAATTTCTCACTGATTGCCAGATCAAAATATCTTATATAATATCGCGTATGCAAGATGGCGATAGTGGGTCGGTGGAGGGGAAGAAAGGGCGGAAAGCGCTCTAAGAAATTATTGCGTGTTTTTGATTCATGGCTGTAGCTAAGTCACTACAAAAACGGGATCTCAATGGTTGTCACAGATGAATATGTACAGTTATTGTAAATGCGAGAATGTTTAGTTTCCCTCAATAGCCTCTGAATAAGCATAATCGATTGTCATTCATTCATCCCCTTCTGAACGCCTAATACGATGCCAATCACCAGTGTGATAGATTACGGAGGGTTTGATTCCACTTATTTTCCATCGTCCTGATACTTTAACAAAAGTATGTTCCATCCAGCTCCTACCATCACTCGTCTCACTAATCTTGCCTGAAGCATCCTTGTTCTGATCCGCTCGCCTTCCATGGCTCACAAGTTGCTGCCATTGTACTATCATCTGATTGTCGTCCACGCTTTTAAAATATGGTAGGCCAAGCAAATGTTGGGTTGCGAGGACCGCATTACCCAGGTGTTCTGCGGAGAGCCATTCGGTTGCGAAGTCTTTCGATGTATATTTCTTCTCACCCCATTCTGGGTTAACCAATATATAATCGACGATTACTTCCGGCGCAAGGCTCGCTAATAAACGGTGAAAATCCTACGGATTAAACATTAATTTCTTTCCCCCCCAAAGTTGGGTCGCAAAATATCCTGTACTTTTTTATCATAACCATCAGCCCACGCACGACTTGTTTGGGCAATGGCGATGTAATCTTCAAACTTTAAGTTTTCGGGGATAAAAATGTCGAAGTCGTTCATTATGATCGTTCGTTAATAATAAGATCTCAGGAACATAATGTGAAATTTATTGTCTAATTTTGCATTTAAAGCGCTTTATGGTCTTCTTTATATAGCAAATGATGAGAAGTATCCACTGTTAGAAATGCCCTCTTTCTAGTACTAGATGCTTCTCTGGGATGTGGGGGAGAATTGGAAAGTTTGAACTTTTTAATTACGGGCCGAAAACGTAATGCAATACCCGATCTGAAATTAAATTGAAAACTTATCATATGCTTTAATCAAGGTCTTTCAAACAACTAGACACAGAAGTTGAAGCATAGGTACTTCACCCAAGTAAAGTAATGGCTGGGGTGTCATTTTTGGATAGCCTCCTGAACTTCAAGAAGATAAGTTATTTTGAACGATTATATTGAGCGCAAATGTTTGCAAGTGAATTTCACAGAGTTTCTTGTCGTTTAGAATATTCTTTGATCGCCTCCTCATTGAAAATACCTATGAGGTCATTTTCATGGCTATCATATGCGTCTTTCATAGCCGTGAAACCTAGTTCTCCGTGTTTCAAGTTTGGCTTAAACCCTTCAAAGTTGTCCCTTGTAAAGTGACTCAAGTCTAATGGGTCCTCTGATCGTAGCATTTTCCTCGCTCGAATATTATCCAAGACCTGAAGCTCGTCTTTGGATAAGGCTTCAAAGCTCACACCACCCTGCTTTAATCTACGCAACAGATCTTCACGTTGCTCCGAGGTCACCTGAAGAAATGCATTGAGGCAGAAATCAACTGTTTTGGAGACTTCAGCCTGTGTAAGCTTACCTCCCACGTCGGCATCCGCTATGCCTTGTATTACTATTAAGCTTCATTAGTACTCTAGAAGTAAGTATTGATAATCTTTCACTCACTTGGCCGGAAGAAGTTGAAAGCAGTGTCGAATCCCTCCTCATCAAAGTCACTCAACACTGGTTCCATTTGCTTTCGGATCTGCTTCAGTGCTGTAATAACAACCAACAAAAAGCGTGTATAGCCTTCCGTTACTTTACTAGAATGCCATTTGGCGGCAACCAACTCGCTACTTTGCTTCAACCTGGAAGCTTGAATAGTCACAGCTGCAGATAGGGCACTGGCTAACGCGAGATGGACCCCAGATGAAAAATAGGGGTCAATGAAGCACCCCGCATCACCGACAATGCGGAAGAATGAGCCAGCGTAGGTTGATGCGTTGTATGACCAGTCGGAGGCAGCTTTGATGTCCGATACCATTTCCGCCTCAGATAGAAGTTGCTGAACATGTGGGGCAAGCTTCAAGAGTTCTGAATAGATAGCTTGACCGATGACTCCCAGAGCCTTCTTCTTGACGATAAACATATCTTGCCGCATAACAATTCCCACAGACATTGTTCCATTATGCAGAGGAATAGCCCAACACCAACCACTGGCATCTTTTGATAGTGGATTAGCATAATGTAAGATATCGTGAGCAGAATTGCTTGTAAATGCCTCATACCTGTTAAAGCTTCAAAAAAGGGTTGATTTTCCTTGAATGTTCCCTTGGCATATCGGCCAGCCCCTTTCCAATATGCCCAATGAGCAATATTTTGCAGGCCCTTATTGAATTTTCGATTTTTCAAATACTTGGTAGAAATTATCCCATTTCTACCGCTGGCGTCAATGAGATATTCAAATCTGATTGTGCTCGATACCTTGTCACTTTTGCGATGCCATACAGCAGATACCGGCCTTCCCGGGCTAACCGATTCGGGATCATTGGCAAAATCCTGACTTTGCCATGGAACGAAATTGATGGATGTAACCTGGACACCATCATAGACCTTTGCACCGCTTTCTTTTGCATGTTTGAACATCAATTCATCTGACTCGGATCTAATCAAGTTCCACGAATAGGCATTTGGGCCACCGGCGGCAATGAAATCAGTATCTTGACCAAGTCAGCTTTTGCATTAAAAGACTTTTCCGAGGATCAGCCGAGAAACTGATTATATGTATCACATACAGGCATCTTCTTTCTCATTGAGCTTAAATGCTGCGCCAAACTAGATGATGATTCAGTGAAAGATTTGAGACATTCAAAGTCGTAGGAATTGATGCACCTTTTTTTCGAACCCATAGTTGTCAAAAGTAGACTCAAGATCGATAAATCTTAAAAAATGTCGAATTGAAGGCAGCATGCTTTCCCCTATATGATATCTAGGTCGTTAAGTCACCGAATAATTCAAAAAAAAGGAAAGAACTCTTGAAACCTTGGGAAAACGTCGGCCTCTAAAAGTGCGACATCGACACCCTCTCGAGCCAGAGCCGAGGCAGCGTAGGAGCCTCCAGGTCCACCACCAATCACAAGAACAGTGCAAGAAGAAGGAATTGACATATTGATTAGCAACAAAAACTCAGTACGGAAGTACACTGGTACTTTTTAATCACAAATAAAGACGTCAATCCAGATAGACACTGAGTACCGAGAAGTCGAAGGGCTTTATATCCACTAGTTTTTTCATTACATACTAGTACCTGTATTATATCATGACTAGTGATACTGTATTGCTTTCGGCATACCGAGGCATTGAGCTGTGGGTCAAGGGTACTTCCTGCATGCTGCTGGCCAGTCAAAAGTATTATATCAAGGTTAAATACGCATCAAAAAGCACATTTTTGTCCAATCTGACTCCGAAATGTAGCTACTTTCGATCTTCCTGCTGTTGTGGCGGCATAAGAACGCTACCCGATGCACCAGCCTACGCGTATAGACCGACAGGTAGAGTGCAATCATTTCCCCTCTTCTGGCTAAGATTAGCGTATTTCGCCTCATTCGCTAGATTCTAGAGCCTCTTTCCTTTGCCTTGTTATTTGATAACTCAGTAATTCATGCCAGCTTGTATGTCAGACATGGCGGAGTTACATTTCAGTCCTCGGATCGGCTCCACAATCTCGACCGATTGTGGCACAATTTCCAGATACGGTTTCTCTCATCGGCTTTCTGCGCAGGGGGGCCTTGAGCTAGCGCTATTTCATTGATAGTTTTTTTGACAAAAATTACTCCATGTGAGAGTACTTATAGGAATGATAAGTCTTCCAAAGGCGATATGAAGCACATTACTTGCCCACCAAGCTCTACAAATTAATCTCTTTTATCCATTTTCTGACTTTCCATTTGGAACATCTGGTGCCCTTTTACCATGTTTATTACTACTTCGCTCTCAAACATCGCAACTGTCATTGACGGGCTCGCTGCTTTGACCGCAGACAAAACAAGGATCTTCGACTGGACCAGTCAGAGTGCTCGCAAAGTCGCAATTCAAGCTGCGAGGAGACTAATCACAAACCTGGAGAAACCGGAAGAGACAATACAACATACTGCATTCTTGGTAAATATAGAAAAGTCCAACATAATCTCTGGAGGTTGCAAGCAATGCGATCTTTAATCGTCTCTCATAATTTGCTGACCTGGATAGCCAATTCAAAATATTTGCGCTCGCATTGCAATTGATTTGAATTTGTTTCAGATCGTCATTGATCATTCTGGTGAAAGCCAGGATGTCCCTGTTACTTCCGTGGCAATTTCTGAAAGCTGTAATGCAGAGTCGCTTTTTATAGGTTCGTTTTGGAGATCGAACAACTAATAACGGCTAATCACAGTAAAACTAATTACACCATGAGACTTTAGTCAGAATTATGAGGATCTTAGTTGCCAATGGCTTCTTTAATGAAGCTGGACACCAAAGTTATCTCCCGAATGAGGTTACCAGGACAATGACACAACCGAAATACAAAGCGTGCATTGAATTTTTGTAAGGTATCCCCATTTCACTTAAATATCACTGATTACATGGTATTGTAAGAACTGTTAGACAGAAAATTAGCACTGACAGACATAGTTTTGATCAGGCCCTGATTACAGGGGCAAAGGTCCCCGAATATTTCCGGCAAAAGGGTTTCAAAAGTCCACGAGATGCCAGGGCTGGACCTTTTCAATATGCAATCAACACGGATTTGGAGACGTTTCATTATTGGTCTACCCAGCCGCGTGTTTATGAAACATTCAACATTCTAATGACTGGCAGCAAAGGAAGCAAATTGGGCTGGACGCACTGGTTCCCTATCAAAGAAAATCTTCTATTGGGCTGTAAATCAGCAGAGGGCTCTACTTTGATGGTCGATATTGGTGGTGGGATTGGAACCGAGATTTCGGAATTTTATATTAATTTTCCAAGTTTTCCGGGTCGTTTGATTCTGCAAGACCTTCCGCCAGTTATTAGAAGTGTCAAAGAACTTCAAGCAAAGGTTGAAAGACAGGAATATAATTTCTTCACACCTCAGCTGGTCAGAGGTAAGCTGTTGATCTCAAAATAACCATTTTATAGTCTGAAACCGATGAAGTCTAATTATGTTCCAGGCGCTCGTATTTATTACTTCCACTTTGTTCTTCACGACTGGCCCGATGAAATGGCCATCGAAATCCTCCGCAATACTGCCTCTGCTATGGAACCTGGATACTCTAAGCTCATCATTAACGAGCTCATCTTGCCTGACATACAGTGTTCACTTTTCGATGCTGGATTGGACATCAATATGATGAATCTACATTCCGGCATCGAAAGATCTGAAAGCCAGTGGACTTCCATCTTGAATGGTGCTGGACTTGAGGTGGTGAAATTCTGGTATAATCCTGGAGAAGGTCCGGGTGTGATAGAAGCAATTTTGTCTTAGCCTTCTCATCCATTTAGTAAATTTGCATCAATCTATTCATATATATATATATGTATATATATATATCACCATTCAAGGCAAATTTGACATTCAAAATGCAAAAAGTCACTTTCTTCCATAATTCATATTATTATGATATGACCATCCCAAAACATTGAGTGGCGTTATCACTGAGAGTCCCCTTGTCCATAAATAGCGGCAAAATATACTTTTAAATGCCTTTCTCATCCGGTAACGTTGGCTTGGTTTCCCAAAGACTTTTTAAGAACAGGTTGACTCGATCAGCGACGAGGCCAGGTACCCCGCTTCGTTCTCAATCATCGTAAGACATTCTCAGTATGAACTGAATCATTCACTAGGCTTACTAGATCAACAAAATTGATTGAGAAGCGTGGGTCTCTATAACATCTATGACAAAACAAGAATACCAGAACGCGTTAACAAGTGGTTTGAGCTATGGTCACTTTACACTAAGGCTCGGAAAATATAAATGCTCCAACCAATCCTCTCTCAACACATTATTGTGGCTTGTATTTTCTTTCATGGTGCATTACACTTCAATAACTATGCTCTATATTGTATTATAAAGCTTGTCGGATTGTGGGCCGCCGGAAGGATTTCCGGTTCTGCCATCCTTTTAGGTATTATGAAAAGTGTAATCGGTCCTCCAGGTAAAAAGCCCCGATAGCGAAAGCTACGACAATTCGATGACTGGATGAAAGAATAGTCCAAATCCTGCTGTAGGGATTGTAAGCTGACTGCATATCTTCCTGCTAAGTTTCACTTAACATGGCTAAATTTGATAACGCGTTGTTTAATTGAGATAATGGCCACCTCTTCTCATAGCATGTATTATAGATGTAATCTATATTTGGGGGCCGAGAGGAGTGGACGTTCCGAGATTCATGGTCGCATGCCTCTGAACAAGGAGCAGCATATGATATGAATGATAAATTCTGAGGAAAGTGACTTCAGACTAATTATCATACGATTTAAATTTCTAATCAGAACATTCAGGTCGGTTATAAGTTAACGACGGCATTTTTCTCATGATGGAAGACGAGCCCTCTTTGGTCCTCTTTGGCCCACAAACCCGTCTCCCTCCACCGGAATATCTCTTCAATATTCGCTCGGCTATAATAGCCCGAGATTCTTTGAAAAGATTCATTGAGGCTATCCAGACTTTAGACAATTTATGGGAAGAACTTGTTTCACATGATCCCTGTCTCAACGCTGTGGCTGGGCATGAGTGCGCCAAGAGCTTCCGACAATGGATCTTGCATGGAAAGCTTTTTGATACGGCGGAGGGCTCTAAGTGTATGTACACGATGACTATGACAATGATTGATCACTTTTCAAACTATCTGGCATTTCTCGATACTCGTTACGACCAAAGAAAGCTATTACCCACGACGAAGACCACCAGAATCCAGGGGTTTTGCGCAGGACTTTTAAGTGCAGCTGCAGTTACCTATGCCGAGAGAGAGGATGATCTGATCGGGAACGCAATCGTTGCAATGCGTCAAGCATTTTGTATTGGGGCTTATGTGGACTTGGATGAGGTCAAGAACCATGATAAAGATGGAATCTTTACCACCCTTGCCGTACGTTGGAAGTCGGAGGAAGGGTATGTAAAGATTCTAGAGGTTGTGCAACAATTTCCACAAGTAGGTAACTGTTCATTTTAGCCTGGTCTAAATATAAGGCTTTGGTCTAACCGAGTTCATTGTAGGCATATATATCCACGATTCGAGATTCAACAAATGTGAACATCACAGCACCTTCTCATGAGATTATTTTCATTGAGAAAAAATTAGCAGATCTAGGCATCGGCACAATTCCTATTGGATTATGTGGACGTTTTCATTGGCCAGGACATCAAAGAGCCCTAGAAAAGTTGATTGCATTCTGTGACATGAAAAGAAGCATGCAATTTTCATGTGCCAGCTCAACTGCGGTCCCTGCGGTCCCTATTCGATCAAATTCTACCGGCGGAATTATGGAGAAGGAGCAAGTAAGGAGTATGATTTTTAAGGATATCTTAACCAAGACAGTCAATTGGCAAGATACGATAATCTCACTGATGTCTGATACTGATATGAGCCCAAATATTCAGGCATTAGTCATTGGGCTTGGTGATTCTCTCTCTCGCGCACTCGCTAAGAAGCACAAAATCAAATGTGTAAAAGTGGAGCAATATTTGGCGTCGAAAAAACCCACTGCATTGTTTGAGTCCCCTATGAAAAAGAGAATCCCAAGCGACAAGCCTCAGGACATCAGTGATGGTGTTGCTATAATCGGGATGGCCTGTAAATTCCCAGGCGCAGAATCTCCAGCCGAGTTCTGGGATATTTTGACATCTGGAACTTCAATGTTGGATAAGATGCCGCTGGAAAGATTTGATAGGACAAATATCAGGAGATCCCCATCTCTGGACTACTGGGGGAACTTTGTGTCTGATGTTGATGCTTTCGACCATCAATTTTTCGGAAAGTCCTCCCGCGAAGCAAAATCAATGGATCCGCAGCAACGCCTGCTGCTTCAAGTAGCCTATCAAGCCCTCGAAGACGCTGGCTATTTTGGAGTTGCGACTGATAGTCAAGATCTGCAAGATGTCGGATGTTATATTGGCGTGTGTTCATCAGACTATAACGATAATGTGGCATCCCATACAGCGACGGCCTTTTCGACGCTGGGAACTTTGAGAGCATTTTTGAGTGGCAGGATAAGCCACTTTTTTGGACTTCAAGGACCTTCTTTGACTTTGGACACTGCTTGCTCATCCTCCGCAGTTGCCATACACTCCGCGTGCAATGCCATCAAGATGGGAGAATGCACGGCGGCTTTGGCAGGTGGAGTGAGCATATATACCAGCCCATATTTCTATCAAAACCTCAGTGCGGCGTCACTCCTCAGTAAAACTGGAGCGACCAAGCCATTTGATACCAGCGCTGATGGGTATTGCCGCGGAGAAGGCATTGGCATTGTGGTTCTCAAAAAGCTATCTGCGGCTATCATGGACGGGGATTGCATACTCGGGACGGTCTTAGGATCTGGCATCAACCAAAATGCCAATTGCACAGCAATTACTGTTCCCGAGACATTCTCGCAGCAATCTCTTTATCGAAGGATTTGCAAAATTTCCGGTATAAACCCCGAGGATGTTTCATTCGTCGAAGCACATGGTACTGGTACACCGGTTGGCGATCCCATCGAATTTGAGAGCATACGAAATGTATTTGGTTCAACCCCCAGAAAAGCAAAATTAAATATCGCGTCTCTAAAAGGCAACATTGGCCACCTTGAAGGTGCATCTGGGGTGGCAGCTCTGATAAAAACAATTTTAATGATGCGTCATCGCAAAATCCCACCCCAAGCCAACTTCACCAAACTGAGTCCAAGAATAAGGACGCTGGGGCCGTACCTTAACATCCCGGAATGCCTTCATTCATGGGATCCGAAAGTTCTCATAGCTTGTATCAACAATTATGGCGCTTCCGGCAGTAATGCGGTGATGGTTGTTCGGAACTTCTTCAATGATTTAACCGATTGGAACAATGATAAAATGTTGGAGATTACTAAGTCTTTGAATAAATACCCGATATTTATCTCTGCCAAGTCAAAAACCTCTCTACATGCATTTTGCAAAAAGCTTTTGACCATGAGGGCCCAACTTGAAAATGATTTGGAGCATTTCATGCTACAGATATCTTTCAAATTGGCATTTCAACAAAATTATTCCTTTCCTTACCGCTTGGTTTCATCAATATCCAAGCCAGATGATTTTTTTTCATTATTGTCCGATATTTCATCCGATCCATCGCCACAGCAGGCCGCTGAGATCTTCCTTAGTGAGAAGTACAACAGACCTCTAGTGCTGGTATGTGGGGGACAAATCAGCGATTATGTTGGCATCTCACGAGATTTATATGATAGTTGTCCTTCATTCAGGTATCATCTGATATCTTGTGATAGGACGCTGCAATCATTGGGATATCCTGGTCTTTTCCCCTTAATCTTCGAGCCAACACCTGTCGATGATATTGTTCTGCTTCAATCCATGATATTCAGTCACCAGTATTCTTGTCCAAAATCGTGGATCGATAGTGGTGTCAAAATTGACTGTGTTGTCGGTCATAGCCTTGGCCATCTTGCCGCTATGAGTATTTCTGGAGTTTTGACTCTAGAGGATGGGTTGAAATTGGTATGTGGCCGAGCTAGGCTCATGCAGACAGAATGGGGCCCGGAACGAGGAGCCATGATATCCATCGAAGCAGACTTAAATAAAGTCAAATCATTGATTGCAGCAGTTACGAAAATGTGTGGCGATGAAGTTGAGATCGCATGTTATAATGGACCAACAAGCTATGTGATCGTTGGCGCCGAATCAAATATCCAGATCTTGCAGAACATTCTCGAGCAAGAGAATTTGAGATTCAAGCGTCTCAGTGTGACACATGGCTTTCATTCGATATTCACAGAGTCACTCCTTCCTGCATTGACAAAATTGGCTGAAACTCTCCAATTCTGCGATCAGTCAATACCATTGGAAATGTGTACGGCAATCCACAGCTGGGAAAGAGTTGATCCAATGAAAATAGCTAGCCACACGCGATCACCAGTTTTCTTTGATCAAGCCGTGAAAAGAATATTTGAGCGCCTAGGGCCTTGTATCTGGCTGGAAGCAGGATCAGACAGTTCGGTGGTCAACATTGTCCGTCGGCAGTTCAACCCTGCCGACTGTGCCGCGCAGCACTTTCAATCCCTTCGGCTCAGAGGTTCAAATAGCCTTGACAGCCTAGTGGATGCGACGACAAACCTCTGGAGGCTAGGTCTAAAGTGCCGATTCTGGCCATTTAAAAATTTCAAAGCGCAATCCTTTTCGATGTTCGACTTGCCATCCTACCAATTCGATAGGCCACGTCATTGGATACCTTGGAAGGGTGACTCAAAAAATCAAGCCAGCGAGTCTATCATTGCAAATCAAAAGCCGATTTTCCTGTCCTTGATTACTTTCGACGGCCAGTCAGAGGCGACTTTTTGGGTTGATCCCAAGAGCATCGAATATCGCTCTTATGTGGAAGGCCATGCCGTTTTAGGTCAGCCATTGTGCCCAGCGTCACTCTATATTGAGATTGTTTGTCTTTGTTTGAAACTGTTGATGCCGAAACTCAAGCTTGGTTACACTGTGACCACAGTGCAAGACCTGAATATTCATGTCCCCTTGGGCCTAAAGGTTGATGGCAAGATTATTGTCAATTTGCATGCAACGAACGAATTTCAGTGGAAATTCCAGGTGAAAACAACCGCTAGTGAGCAAGGCCTGACACAGCTTCATGCCAATGGAGTATCGCTTCTGGCCGACGGCAATAATGTCACAAGTGAAATGCGGCGATACGAGAGGATACTCAAGTACGAGGACGTTCTGGCTAATCAGAAAAATGAAAATTCTGATATGATGCAAGGTTCATTGATATATCGCCTTTTTTCAAGTATTGTTACATATTCGGATTCATACCGAGGAGTCCGAAGTGTTGTTAGCAATGTCACGGAGGTTGTTGGAAACATTTGTCTTCCGCAGAAACAATTGGATCCAGGAAAAGAAGCATTTCAAATAACTTTACGCTTGGATAATTTTGTGCAACTCGCAGGTATTTTCTGGAATCTTCTTTGTCCAAAGCGAGAAGATGCAGTTTATGTCTGCACAAAGATTGAGAAAGTCCTGTTGGCTTCTACGTTTCTCGAACCAGACGAAAACCAGAATTCTTGGCTATTATATGCACCAATTTCTCAACATGAAGACAACCAAGGTGTATATGACATATTTGCATTCGATAATGCTAGCAGAAGAATTGTGGCTGTCGTTTTGGGCGCCACTTTCACTAGTGTTGCTTTGAAATCTTTGAGGAAGGCACTCGTCAACGTGAATCATACGACTCCTGGAGGGGAAGACAAGCTCAATAATGATCAAGATTCAACGCCAGATAAACAATTCATTTCTGAAGATGGAGTGGCAAAGATTCCTCCCTTCTCTGGAAAAAAGGAGACTATCGGGTCGTCAATGCCAGTATCCCAGACCACCTCTAAGCCCTTGTCATCTCGCTCAGATGTCTTCATAAAAGTTCGAGAACTCCTTAGTCGAGTTACTGATATATCCACTGACGGGATTCTCTTGAAATCGACATTCGATGAGTTAGGAATAGATTCACTCATGACAACTGAGGTGAACAATGAAATCTGTCAGCAATTTGCCATTCAAATACCAACAGTTGAATATCAGTCACTCCGAGATGTCCGTGCAATCGTGGATTACCTTGCAGCCAAACTTGATGATAAAGGAGAAGATTCATTGTCAAATTCATCATCAGGCCTTTTCTTTGAGTCATTGTCTGAAGGAAATCCAGCATTGACACCTCCATCAAATTCGTCAGATCGATCCACAGCAAAAACGGCTTCGATTCGTGGAGCACAAGAGTGTTTTGAGGAAATAAAGACAGAATTTGATAGCTTTGCAAAGAGGACCAATTTCTCGAACTTCTGGAAACTCGTTTATCCGCGCCAACACAAATTGGTCATTGCATATATTATCGAGGCATTTTCAACACTTGGTTGGCATTTGAGACACTTGAAACCAGGAGAAAGATTGCCACAACTCCAGCATAGTTCAAGACACGAAAAATTGATTGCACATTTGACACAAATATTGAAGAACGAGTCAATAATCGCAATGGACAAAACGGAGCTTGTCAGATCCGACATTCCTATTGACCCCCAGTCATCCTCATCACTATTTGAAATACTCTGCAAGGACTTTCCGCAACATGTATCCGAGTTTAGATTACTACAAGTTGTCGGATCAAAACTTGGAGAGTGTTTACAAGAAAAAGTCAATCCTCTCATGCTCCTTTTCGGAAACCCACAAAACAAGCTGCTATTAGAAGAGGTCTATACCAACGGACCAATGTACGAAGCTGTCTCCAAAATACTCGGAGAATTCTTGATGAGGGTATTTCGTAGGTCTATTCCAGATCCTCAGGACCATTCTGTGTTTCAAATTCTCGAGGTTGGTGGCGGAACAGGTGCAACGACTAAACATATCCTCGATCTGTTGTCTAGTCTCAACATACCATTTCACTACACCTTTAGTGACCTGTCAGCTTCTCTTGTAGCGGCTGCCAGAAAGAAGTTTTCTTCTTTCCACAACAATATGGAGTTTGTCGTTCTTGACATTGAGAATGAGCCAGGCGAAAAATTTGACAACCACTTTCACGTTGTTTTGTCTACGAATTGTGTCCACGCAACGAAAAGGCTTTCCAAGTCTGCTACCAATCTCAGACGCATGCTGAGAACTGATGGGTTTGCATGTCTAGTTGAATTTACCAAAAATTTGAGCTGGTTTGATCTGGTATTTGGCGTTCTGGATGGCTGGTGGCTTTTCGAAGATGGCCGTAGACATGTTCTGGCCGACGAATGGTTTTGGGAGAAAAATATGAAGAATGGAGGCTTCAAGCATGTCACATGGACGGGCGGAAACACGGAGGAGAGTCGCACATTGAGGGTCATTGTTGGCTTTTTACAAAGTCCGGATGACCAGACTTATATTCCAGCAAGACCGAATAGTCCACCAGGAATTTCGAAGGAGATTGTTGTTTTCAAACGTATCCAGAGAAACGTCTTGTTTGCGGACGTATACTACCCGACCGATGGGGCAGAAGGAAAATGGAAAATAGGTATGTTCAAGAATTGCTCGGGAACCATATCCACTGACTGAGTTAAGGTCTCATGGTGCATGGCGGCGGCCATGTGATGTTTACACGCCGCAATGTCAACCTCAAACACTTAAGACATTTAATTCAAGGGGGATTCGTCCCAGTTGCCGTGGATTATAGATTTTGCCCGGAGCTTAATATCCTTGACGGGCCTATGACGGATGTTGGAGACTCCTACAGCTGGGCAATTTCTGAACTTCCCAACATTGAATTTAACTGCCCTGGTCTTCAGATTGACGGTGGCAGAGTCGGGATCGTCGGCTGGTCCACCGGCGCGCATTTAGCAATGACTATCGGATTCACAAGTGTCCAGCGCGGGCTTCCAGCACCTACAGCTATTCTTGCGTTCTACCCCCCTACTGACTATCAAGATGATTGTGAGTTTTTCTCCCAAGGATATAACCTTCCCATGGATTCCACATTCCTTGGTTCTGTTGTACCGTCGATCTAAAGGTTCCTGTCACTGACATCCTAAAGGGTGGCGAAAGCCTATATATCCAGATGTCTCCTTATCGCCTCCTGATGTAGACTATGACTTACTAGAAGGTGTACTCGAAGAACCAGTAAGAACATCATGATTTTTTTTTCTACTTTAAGAAACTTACCCGTGCTCAAATTTCAGATCACGTCCTATTTCCCTGAATCCAACCTGCATGCGCCCGCAGGGGCGATGGTTTTATCTGATCCCCGCTGGCGGTTTGTCTTGCATATGAACTGGAAGTGTCAGACTGCTCCTGTTCTTGTCAACGGACTTCCAACAAAACGCGACGTTCGACAAGAAGATCAAAAAACATACTACAGTCTTCCTCAACCAAGTTCGGATCGGATTGAAGCTATTAGCCCGTTCGCCCAGATCATCAACGGCACTTATCGCTCCCCAACATATTTTGTCCACGGTACTGCCGATGATCTTATTCCTGTTGAGCAAAGCGAAAAGGCATGCCAAGCTCTTCTAGAGCGAAATATTGCGTCGGGACTTTTCAAACTGGAAGGGGCAGATCATCTTTTTGATTTCTTCAAGGATCATCTTGAAGGCGCTTTGGAAGCAGTTAATGCGGGATACCACTGGCTTTTCGAGCATGTTTAATGGCATGCATGTTCGCTACGGATCATATTGCAGCGTTGTTGACAATCACGAGGCCTAAATCAATCAATCAGTCTATGAAGATCTATCAAACTAATGCAGCCTTCCTGATGGCGCAATGGCTACATAGGCGCAGTTTTCTTGCGGGCATAGGATTATTCCATGGTAAATGAGTTGGACTCAAAGGATGGCCCAAATGGCCTTTGCGGTGGCGCATTCATACACCATATATCGGAGCCGACCTAGCGTTGCGTTGTATCTACATAATTCTGGGTGCGGGACACTAGTGTGCGCGGAATAATAGTGAATAATATCAATTATGGCACTAGTTTACTTAAAGATGACCTGGGCCAATGGTGAAGTTTCAAACTCCTCACCAGTTATCGAAGATGGAAAATCCCAGAAGTCCCAGCCCTCGAAGCCTAAGTTTGGAATCTAGAAACAAGGGAAGTCAATACCGTGAAAATTGCAGTGCTAGCTCAGTTTTCTGGACAAATATTCCACTCACAATATACTCGGAATCCAGACTCGAGCCGATCCCACTTTCGGGGGTAAACCCGCTCGCCGCGACAGCAGGCGTGAGGGGCATTCCTTCCGCGGACATCCAACTCCCATTCGATACGTGTTTTTGAAGGAGCGTCTGACAGGTTCGCATGCTATCTAGAAGCGCCTTTCGGATATTCGAATATTGAACTTCCTCTCCGCGGGGCAGACTGCGGACCTGGGCGAGTATGCCAGCAAGAAGACCGTATCGCTTAACACTAGGTATCCCTGCCACCAAACCTTCGTAAGTACTCGCCTGAATGCGCTCCAGGCTATTAACTAGTGGAGCACGAGCTGCTTCCGCGATTTGTCCTAGTACACCTCGGGGTAATGAATCCGAGCCTGGGGGTTGGATGGCGGCTTCTTCCTCTATTTGGGTTACAAGCTCTAGACTAATTACCATGATGACGTCTAGAGAGAGGGGCCCTTTGAAAACCCCCGCGCCTGAAAATGAAAGGCGTTTATAGTCTTGATACGGCCCTAGGTCAGCTTCTAAGGACGGGTCGACTCCGTCAGCAAACGAAGCCATGATAAGAGCGGAGTCAAGGCTAAGTTTTCGAGAAAGGTAGAAGCGTGGATCATGAGTGGCTTGTATCGCGAAAGGCCGGTACAGGTTGAGCAAGAAGCGCCGGAGTATAGACTCCACGAGTCGAAGGTGAAATTGAGTAGGTTTGAATGCATTTTCATCAGTTTGAGGCATAAAATTGTGAAATCTGACATTCACCTCTTGGCATAACGCCGAGAGCTCGCTGCCCAGCTTGAGAGCAGCCTCATATGACTGCTCATTCGTGCACTCGTTGATGACCCGGGCGATGCGCAAGCGGGTGGGCAAAGACTGCAGAAGCAGAGTTTGAAGAGATGATGTAGTGTACAAGTCCTTGGGCTGCGAAGGGGGCATATCGCTCGTATTGGGCTGAAAGTCATTATCTTCCAAGTTAGCAGGTGGGCGCGTATCATAATCCTCTGGAGTCAGAAATGGAGGCATTGCCGCATCGATTGAGAATTGAACATTGATTTCCAACACTGTAGCCCAAATCCGCCGTCTCATCTCCGCATCGAACGGTGAGACGGTTGGGAAATGCCGCGGATCTCGATGCAGACCTTGATGCACGGCTTGTCTCAATAGCGTGCCTGCAGCCATCCAGTTTGTCTCTTTGTCGATGGCATGCGCCTGGCGGCAGAGAAGTAGCAGGCAGTGGACCTGTAAACTCTCAAGACTTCCTAATTCTTTCGCAAAAGGCCCTGTCAGCCACCATTGCACTGCATAAATCCAACGTCGAACAGGTACATGTGGGTGACTCGAGGGTCCTGGTTCATCATGAAAGATAGACCCAATGGCGAGAATGAGGAGAAGCTTCATGACAAAGGCTGTCGATGCGGAGCGAGGCTGCTCCCAGAAACGTTCATATTCTTGATAGAAAGATGGAAAATGCATAATCCGGTAAATCAACCCCAGTGTACGCAGATAATGCTGGACGAGCTCATCGCACAATTCCCTCTTGGGCAAATCATTCAGAAGACCCGGGGCTGGATCTGCGAGCGGAGGCGCTTGCCGACCTTTGATAATTCGTCTCAATCCAATGATCTCTCCCAGTACTCGACTAATTTCATTCTTGCTGCTATCGGTGAAGCTTGCTGTGCCACGCACTTGGCGTAAAAGACGAAACTTGTTCAATATTAGTGCCTGAATACCGGGGTTACTCTTGTTTCAATGCATGAGATACCTGCTTAAAAGCTCGTGCCCAATGAGTTGTGCCAAATAGTTTCATTCTCTCTCCCGAGCGTGTCAATCGCGGAGCCAAAGGCGGGATCGTAGTTCTCGGCTGATCCGAACGTCCCAATGGACTGGCCACTCGCCGTTGTTCTAACTCGGCGATGCGGTTCTCCAGGTCCCCAAGGCTGCGAGATAAGCCAGAATTTACATTGTCCGGCAACGCATCTTCCGAAACATTATTAGATTGATCAGGATTCTCCAGTTTCGACACCCGATCATGTAGTGCTCTTATGCTGCTCTCCAGCTGTGCGAAACGGAGTTCATTGCTAGACTCTCCGGTACGCGCAGTCGCCTCATATATTCCAGATCGCGACGACGAGTGCTCCTCGCTGATCCTTGATACCTCAAGTCGGGAATCCAAAGCAGCTTTACCTTCATGGACATATGAGCAGCTCAACGAGTCGAGGGCTTTGGTGCAGGGTCCGCACGGCATTTCTCGGTCACATCGGACTTTTCGGCGACGACATTGTTCGCACGACAGAGCTGGTCGCCGGCGTTTCCGCGGCGGGGGGGACTGGTAATTTGCATTGTCATCCATCTTCGACACGCTGCAAAGATGTGAAATCTGGAAATGTTGATGTTCAGGAGGTCGTGATTCTTTTACGCAGCCTTACAGGCGATTTGTTGTTGGTGCCGCGGAATTCCGGCAAATCCGGGGTTTTATCGGCATATTCGGTATCATGCGGGAGCGATATTGCCACCCTTAGAAGTTAGAAATGTGAATAATCTGGACAAGAGTGAGATAACAGATGCTTTTTTATAAATTAATTAAGAGATTTTCTTAGCGTATTTGGATTCAAGTCATGGGGATAAATTGAAATATGGGATATCTTTGAGTATTTCCACGCAAAACCAGAATCTATATATCCGGGGCCCTAAACCTAGCACCATTTTCCCTTACCCCGAGCCAAGCCAGTGGAAGCCACATTCCATAGAACACCAAATATGTACACGAGACAGAAAAGAAACAATATATATAGGTATATATATAGAACGAGAAAATAGAGAAAAAAGATGGGCATGCGTTAGCCACTGAAGGACATGGCTCGCGCTCTGGAAGCCCGCTTCCGAAGATCCGCCTCGCGGCTCTTACGGCCCATGCGACCCAGTGCCAGGGTCTCAAGGGTGTAAGGCTTGCCGCCCCAGATGAGATTTCGTCCCTTCTTCTGTTGTAAGGGCGGAATCCAGAAATGGGTTACGACGGCTCCGAGAATCATGCAGGCGCTAAAGACGAACAAGACAATGCCGTGACGCCGCGTTGAAGTGGTACCAGGGCTGCTGCCAAAGCGGTAGTATGTGGAAAATATTTGAACGAGAATAGAACCGAGCTTACCTGCCCCGGCGCTGAGGCCGTGGCAGGTACCACGGTAACGAGTAGGAAATAGCTCGGCAGGGATCATGTAAGTTGTAGCGTTGGGGCCTGCTAGATGTTATTATACTTATTATTTCCCAGGATGATCAGTGAGCACATACCAAAGTTGAATATCACCTGGCCGATGACATAAAGAGTCACGACGACCGGGGGACCGGAGTAAAGATTGACGAACAAGCTGCCGAGAGTGATGAAGAGAACGGATAAAGCAAGAAACATGTACTTTTGGAGAGCGACACGGTCAATGCGATGCGAAAAAAGAATGAATAGCAGACCACCGACGAAGCTGCCGATGTTGAGAATCACCAGGCCGTGGACGGAGGTGTTGAAAAGCTGCTGGTAGACGCTGGCGCCGGGTCGATCATCCGTCTGCCAATTGGGCGCTGAATGACTGAGGTGGAGATCACCCCATGTCTTTGCGAGAAATTGCGGGCTTGAAAGACCGATACCATAGTACCCAAAATCAAGGAGGAGCCAGGCAATGGAAGTACCGGCCAGAGTGCGCCAATTTCCTTCGGTCCAGAAATATCGGATAATGTCAGTGCGCGCAAGGCGCCAGTGCGAGTTGAGAGTCGCCGGAGGTAGACGGCTGTACTCATCATCGTCGTCAATGGAATCACTGGCGAGTGATGATATTTGGGGAAGCTGTATGTTACTTCCAGCTCCACCTATGAAGCTGGTCTGCTCGAATTCGGGGGTCATAACCGGGTCATTGAACAGGGTGGTCGCATCGAACTCCGCCGTGACGGGATCATCCTCGATCTCCACCAAATAACGTGGGCTCTCGGGAATAGCAAATCGGAATAGAGTTGCGATGGCGCCAGGGATAACACCGATTCCAAGGACCCAGCGCCACATGCTATCAACGCTCCGGGTCAGGTCGTCCGTGTCCTTACTGCGAGCCACAGCAACTACAATCAGTGAGACCAGATTTCCGGCAATTTGACCCAGGGGTTGCATAAAGAAGACACTGGCCATCATTCGGGCACGATGCTTGGTTGGGGCAAACCTGCATAACTTGTCAGCTCGGGAGATTCCCTTTCGCACGAGGTCTCTCGGTATATAAGGAACATACTCAGAGGTGATGACTGCGGACAGCGGATAGTCTGCTCCCACACCGATGCCGACACAGATTCTCCACCAGATCAGCCAGGCATAGACATTCATACTCCCATCCTCGCCCTTCGACGACATCACAACGCCGAGCGTGGCCGTGATCAAAAGCACCAGCTCGACGCCATACATCTTCTTTCGCCCGTTTTTGTCGGCCAGAAACCCGAAGATCACCTGTCCAAACAGTGTGCCCGCCAGCGTTGCGATGTTGATGCAGGTCAGTCGGAGCGAGGACGTATCTTCTCGCCAGTAGACGTAAGAAATCATAGGGATGGCCATGTTACTGGCAAAGAGCTACTCTAGTGTGTCAGCAGTTGCCCTTTCTGCATCGTCACGATATCCTCGAATGCCGACCTGGGGGAAGGTGGGGGGGGGGGGGGGGGGGGGGAGACAACGCACTGTGTATCCATCCAGGAAGAAGCCCAGACCAGCAACCAGCACAACAATCCATTGATAGCCTTGCCGGTCGATGGTCTCGTATATCTGTCGCATGCGCACATATCGATCCTAGTCGAGAGCATCGGATTAGAGGTCTGCATTTCCTCTCTTCCACCTGTCCACCTGTCCACCTGTCCACCTCCATCTTGTCATCCGGCCTGACAAATCTCGCATCACTCACCTGTTCATGATCGAAATCCCGCGCACGGTCAGTCTTGTATAATCGGGCGTGAAACCTGCCCATGATCGCGGTTCCGCTGGAGTGCGTCCTCACAGATGTTTCATGACGGAGCTGGCGAGGTAATAAGGAAGAGAGGTTCAGGAGATTGGACGTCCGATCTGGTCTGACTCCGCTTCTGCTTCCCAGATCACTCCACGCCCACCACGAGCCGGCCACGAGCGGCAGCACCGCGTGGGGCCAATGAGCCCGGCACGTTGAGCCTCGCCATTGACCTGCCCAAGAACCCTGCCCGCAGTAGCGTCAGTCCGGGATTAGTGCGGGCCGACAAAGTTTGTGGCTCGTTGGAACGCGTATTATCGAGCATAGAGAGAGAGAGAGAGAGAGAGGGGTGGTCCAGGGTAAACGGACGGTCGCTTGGCGGGCTTTCGGGGGAAGGTCTGGAGGCCTCGATTGTTCGGGGCGAGTGGAGCCCAAGCGCCGGGGGATCACCCCACTCGCCCCGACCCATCGAGCCACTAAGCGCCCGTTGTGCCTCCACGTGCGGGCCTCGCGGTGCTTGAATCGCTCTCGCGTCTCCACCTCCGACTGGGCGATACTTTTCCAACCACGCCGCCTTCCGGGTTGGGAACACCCGCGTCCTCGCAGCACCGGCCGTGACTGCCCTTGACATCTTTCACGAATGAGAGCATGCAAAAGCCCAAATATCTCATACATATTGTCGACAATCATCCGTCGAGCCAGAGCATATTCCCCGGATTGGATCGCACGAGTCGAACTCAACGGTGATCATATCTCGAAACGGGTAGCATCCGCTCGCTTTCATGGCTACATATCAATCTACACCACACACAAGGACTCACGCCACGACGAATCATTATCCTGGTTCTCCAATTGGTATAAGATTATGGTATCACACGGTAAATCCGACTCCGAAGAACTCCGCCATGCAATAGTAATAAGGGAACAAAAAAAACAAAAAAAAAAAAAAAAAAACAGAAAAGAAAGGGAAATGAAAAGAGGACCCTAAGAGAAAAAGTAAAAAAAAAAGGTACCAAGTACAAGATCCCGGAATTTAATCTATTCGTCGTCATCCAATCGTAAGGTCCGTTGACAGCAGCTGGCAGAATTCCTTGCAATCTAAGACACTGTTAGCGAGGGCCTCGGATGTCACTGCCATTTCCTCTTCCCTCCCCCCCCAAGGAGCACGGACCATTGTCATCAAGAAAGGTGATCTGGAGGTTTCGCATCTGTGATAAGATCTCAAAGTTGGGATTCAACTCGATGGTCATCGGCCGCCCCGCCTTTTTGGGTGGTTTGACACTCGCGATGCAGTTCACTGCGAGGCTTTAGTAAAGAAAAAAAAAAAAAGGAGGCTTCGGCACCCGTGGAGGATCACGGAGGACTCACGGGGAATCGAAACGTAGCGCTTGAGCGGACCACGCTGTGAGTTTGCAAAGTAGAGTAGGACGCGTTTGTTATTGTGGCCCCGGAGTATTCGAATATTCTGGCTGATGCACTCCTCACCACGCCCTTTGGATTTCGCCTCAGCCATGCCGCCGATGAAGGTCAGTTTGGACCCCAGCAGGAGCTCTTGGAACCGAACGCAATCTATAGTCAGATCAGAATATACATTTCATCAGCATAGGAGTCTTCACAAAAAGGACGGTAATCGTAGCGATACGCACCATCCCAATTCTCGAATTTATAGGACAGTTGGGTCATGAAAACCACCTGGGCCGTTTGGACGGTTTGATGCTCCAGGAAGGACACGCGCAGAGGATAGTCGTCGGATTCTTTGGGGTGTTCGAGATGCGGGACTGGGAGTTTGGTATTATGAACTGGGACAAAGCGTCAGTGTCAGGCTCTAATGAATCATTTTCCGCTTTTTCTGTTCTGTTCTCTGCTTGACTTGGGGCCTCGATATCTGGAGGGTTCCGTCGAGCGGGCCACAAGAGGTAACTGATTTGACTCACAAGCGTGCACAAACGGTGCCTGTTGCCCGAAACCTCCTCCAAGCTCAAGGCATTTCAGGGCCCCCGTGGTATCTTTACATAGATCGATATAGGTATAGCGGAGTTTGAAGAGTTGACCATTTTTCACAAAGGAACTAGAGACAAACCGCCCAAGGGCGATTCCGAATTAGTTCTGGTTCAGTTTGACGGCCTCGTCCCTGCTGTTTTCGGGGTCGGGTTCTCTTTTGTTTTTGTGAAATTTCTCTCTCTCTCTCTCTCTCCTTCGTGGTCTGCTTTTGCGGCATATGGCAATATTGGAACGAGTCAAGACATACATGGTCATAGAGGGAGTCAGCTCGAGTCGAATCACCTCATCGTACAGTTGCCATGACTGTTTCCGTGAGCTCGACCCGGGGAGGTCCCGGGGCTCTGGAAGAGGATACTGGTGGAGGCGGACGACACGGTGGAGGTTGAGACCGTGCTTTGACGGCGCGACGACGTGCTTGCCCACTCCTGGTAGTCTGGCGAGACAAGGTGGCTCATGGCCGCGGTCTTCGCGGGGGGGGCCCCCGATGATACTTTAATAGCCGTCGCACACAGGCGGAGAGGGGCGATTGGGGAGGGCGGATCTCCAGAGATCGGCCGACGGGACCCAGGACATGATTCTATGGTAACATTCCTGTCTGATGGTCTGGGACGGAAATGAATATATGAGGCGTCCGTAATAAGCGCCAATTTCGAGCAACATAGAGGGAGGGGAGGGGGAGGGGGGCCAATGGATCCAATGTAGACAGTCTGTCACTCTCTATTTCGGAATCCCCCAGGGCTGGTGACCGAGTCGCAGCTGCTGCGCTGCTGGCGCCGGATTTCCGTCAAGGCCTGTGGAGCCGCCGCCGCCGAACGTGCCCAAATGGCTGGCCAGCACCGCGTCCCAAAGACCCACCGCCGCTGTCCTTTCCATGTGGCTTGGGGCTTGGGGCTTGGGGCTGTTTGGTGGTCTTGTCCCGACCTCTGCTTATACATGCATTCTCGGTCCTGTCGGCCAGAGAGGCATTGCTCGCATAGACTGTCTAGATTCCACCGCACGTCGATACGATCTACCCTAACTCCCCAGTACACACGGAGTATATCCTTTTTCGCTGTTCCCCTCCCCAAAGAACTGACACGCCCGGAAATGAGAGCAATCAAAATGCCCTGCCTCGAACGGTCGTTCCACTATTTCTCCTCCCTATTTGCTCCGACTTCTGGGTTTATAGTTCCCATGGATCCCCGATCAACTCTTATAAGGTGGAAAAAGCCAATTCATCCCCCTCCCCGGTCCCTCCTTCCGGAATGTCCCCGAGCAACGGTTCTCGAAAAACTCTCGAACATCATCCATCGAACGGGTCTGGAAGATGGTGCCGATCGACCGGCATGGTCATAGCTTCCGACCCATCTGCAGGGGCGGATTCGCGTCGTCCACCGATCAGGCCTGGGAGGAAAAGAACCCTCGCTAGCTGTCCAAAGTACGAAAGGATACTCTAACCATAGAAAAGGCCCATGTGGACGAACCGACTAGCCCTGATAGGATTCCACGTTGTTGACCTCTATGCATGTATGGGATACTTGTGCTTCATCCCCCACCTCTCCTCCCCCCCCCTCCCTTCCTCCCCTATCGCACCTATCATGTTCATCGGTATGGGGTGCTTTAATCTCCATAATCGCACAGTGGTGTAGTAGGATCGATTCAGAGAGCTTTTACATCCATTGAACCCCTCCCCCAAACCCCTCCCAAGGCGCTTTATGTCATCCCCATATTCTAGCCGTGCATTATCCAGTATACTCCGTAGACCTGCGTTCTGCTCGCCTTGCCTTCCGCGGTGCGCTATCCTCCCTTGGGAACGCTGTCTCTCGGGGGTTCCCAGCATTCGAGAGGATGAATTGACTGCCGCGTGCCTGCCTTGCTTGCTTTCATCCAGAGTGGAGCCCGATACAAAACTACATATTCCGGGTTGTTGTATTCTTGTGTGACGAGCTCCCAGTCAAATGTCCACAGCAATCGCGCCAGGATCAAGCGCATCTCCACCATCGCAATCGACCTGCCAATACACGTGCGCGGACCAATCCCAAATGGCTGGAAGGCATCCAGGTTATCGCCAAGGTCTTGGAGCCAGCGGGCTGGGAGAAACTCTGCCGCGCGATGGAAGGCGTCTGGATGCTGGAAGACCGACAGCCGCATCACGCCCACCTCCGTGCCTCCAGGGACCGCGTACCCACAGACCGGAATGGGATGGTCAGTCCGACGCCACATGGGCCCTGGGAGAACGGGGTTGAGACGCATGGACTCGTTCAGCACCGCATCCACCAGGGGCACCTGGACCGAGACTGTTTTGGAGTCAATGTCCTCATATCGCGCGAACCGGGCGCGCAGCTGCCCCGTAAGCTCCTGGTAAATATCTGCGTGTCGCCCAAGGTTCCACATGGTCACCGTCAGCGCCGTGGCAACTGTGTCTCCGCCGCCGGTGACCAGGGTAGTTGCTTCGCCAAGGAGTTCGTGCGAGTCGGTGGCTAGGCTCGGGTCCTGTGCCTGCATTTTCTCGGTCCCGTTGATAATAATACTCATGATGTCGTCGTGCTCCGTCTGGCGACCGGATTGTTGCCTAGCCGCTCGTTCCCGAGTATGTTTAGCGGCGAAATCAGCGACGCCTCGAAAGGCCTTCGGAATGAGGAATGAGGGCCCGACCTGGAAGACCCAGGATAGGAAGCGGTAGACCTCGGGGATACATTGCGCGATGACTGACATGCGCAGGGCATTGGGCAGGACGTGCAAGAAGGGGTGGTCGTCGACACGATCGAGCATTTGGAAATCGGCCCCGAATGAAAGCTTTCCAATAATGTCGGAGGTAGCACAGTCGAAGTAATCCGAGATATTGAACGGCTGGCCCTCTTTCTCGGTGACTCTACGGACAAGCTTGTCCACCAGCGGCATGATAATGCGCGGTTCCTGCCGAGCAAGGGCAGTGCTGGAGAAGCCCGGATTCATGAGTCGTCTCTTCCGGCGATGGGCCACCGGATCTCGAATGTTGCTGACATTCTTGCCCGTGAAGCCGATCACCCGCAGCGCAAAGTCTCCGCGGTAGACGTCGTTCCGGCCAACCACATCTTTCAGTGCCTGTGGATCACGGAACACGAGCTGATTAGGGGCAACTCGCAGCACATCAGTGTTATAAAGTTTGAAAAGTCGTTCGCACTGCTCGGGAAAACGACCGAGGTAAATCCAGTATAAGAAGTACCAGGACGAGCACGCTGCGATGCGTGGTCCGGGGAAATGACTGAGTTTATGGAACGTCAGTCGGTATATACACTGAAGAGCCCAAGCCTGTAACTCCCAGGTTAGTTTCTTTGGCCAGGTATGGGAAATTGTGCTAAAGCATCTGCAGCCTTCTTACGAATACAATCCCTCCCAGCCAGTGATAAATAGTCAGTCCATGCAACCCCGCCATTTCTCGATAGTCATATCAGACAACGAAGAAGATCAAGAAAGAAGCTTGCGCTATGTCGTTTCGATTCATCGCCTCTCTTTATAGAGCACCCATATCCGTTTCGGTACGGCAGGATTTGCATAACCATGCAATCCCGCAATCAGGTTGCATATTATCCGACTGCCCCAGAGCCGATTATCCGTCTCGCACGCCGAAGAAATAAACGAAGAAGACGAAACTGAGCTGTTATTGATGGATGGCAAGACGCAGAATCGGTGGCCATAGTGATGGCACTTTATCCCACCCGCAGATCGTGGATCTGTGCTCAGGCTTCTGCACCCGTCGGCTAACGCTGTCCAATCGTGGCTGCGACATTACTTCCTATCCACTGCCGTCGGATGTATTCAACACGATCGTTTCCTAATCGGCTCTTTCTGATTAGTTGAAATGCACCGAAGCGAATGAATTATTCTGCTATGGGCTTCTCGGTGACCGGATATTGCTGTCGCGTGACAGTCCGCATTAAGGAGCTTAGCATTAGGAATATCGATTGATATATGAGAATAGATTGCATTTGTTCCGTTCGTTCGGGAGGACGAGCCTTTTGATGCTTTGAAAAATGAGTGGGCTAGAGTCAAGCACCCGGCGATCGGATGAGTTTGGCATCACTGGGACCTTTTGAGACTAGAAAGAGATCCAAGAATAGATGACAGAATGTATTCTCTTGCCGACACAACTGTTCGATCACTGAGCTGGTCTGGAAATGATACGTCCTCCTTTCGTGGGTAGTCTGACCTATACACAAGATGTTGCCCGACCGGTGGATCCGATCATCTCACTGCTCCGTGAGTCTGATCGTCGGTCAAACAGGTTTTATCTTCATGAACGCAAGCTTTATATTAAAGCGATGTCATTCATAAAATCCGAACGAGGGGAATTGTAGTCGTCGGTCCCGAATGCGACATGCCCCGTTCTGCAGACCCACTCAAGCTTCCCTCCCCGGATTCGCGGACATCGCGATAACCAAGCGAGATGAACCACCATTCCGAAGCCATGACCCTTCATCGCAAATATTAACAATTCCACTTTCTTCAATTCTCGTACTATCGCCGCAAACCATGCCGCCCAAGCGCGTCGCCATCGTCACCAGCAGCACGCGCCTCCCACGCCTGAACCCCACGATCACCCAATTTGTCTATGACGTACTGACATCTGACCCAACAATTCCCACGAACAAGCCCTCTATGCCAGGAGATCCAGTCACCATAGATACCAATCCACGCCACATAGTATTCTCCATGCTCGATCTCTCTAAACAAGCCCTCCCACTGTACGACGAAACCGTCATCCCGGCCACGCTGCCTGCTGACGACCCCACACCGCACTATACCAAGGCGCATACACAGGCCTGGTCCACCGTCGTACGCGGATACGACGCGTTCATCTTCGTCACGCCACAGTACAACTGGAGCATCCCTGCCAGCCTGAAGAACGCGCTCGATTACTTATACCACGAGTGGAAGAACAAGCCGGCGGGGATCGTGACGTACGGCTCTCACGGAGGCCAGAAAGCAGCGGACCATTTGCGGAGCGTGCTGAAGGGCCTGCGGATGCGGGTGGTGGAGACTGCGCCGGGACTGGTAGTTCGACATACGGGCTTGCCGGTGGGTGGGGTGTCTGAGGAGGAGGAAAAGGTGGAGCTTGATGCAAGAGATCTGGAGGGGTGGAAGGACGCCGGGGTCCAGGGAATGATGAGGAATTTGGGGATGGAGCTCGTGTGTGAGCTAGATAAGGAGTGATTGAGCGAGAGAGGGCGTTCGACGATCGAATGTGATGAGTTTAGATAGTGTGGGTATGATTGTAGCCCAAGCCAAATAGAGCCAAGGCAGTTCGCAGATGGGAAATAGTCAAGTTGCGCAATGCTCGTATTCCACCATGGTCACTTGGAGCCAGAGAAATCGTTTAGCCAAGCAAGCCAGTCTATGCTGTCGTCTTCGTCATTGCCAATGCCTCGCATCAAAGCGTCAAAGAAGGCTATATCAGTATCCTGGATTATCCCGTCATTCTCGCCAGAGGCCAACTGAGAATTTTGGTCGTATTGCCGTAGGTTACCATATTTGAGCATATCAGATTCCGAGACTCCGAGTGTACCGATGTCGCGATAGTTCGCAGACTCAACTTGTGTAGGAGGCTCGCATGGGTTTGCGGAATCTACTGCCGCTGGCCGATTTTCAGGTGCATTCTCAAAGATGATACCATTTTGAGTAATGCCAATGACACCAAAGTAAGGAATTGATAGCCCAACAGTGTCGTTGATGCTTGCAGAATATAGATCCTCCCCGGCGATAGTATCCCGTGCACTCTCCGCGTGACGCACAGACAGGTCTGCAGCTGCGGCCTCGATAGCCATCAACCGTTGAAGAATGCTCGATATCTGAACACTCATAGTGTCCAGTCCTAGCCGACTTACTTCAAGCATAATCTCCTGCACATTCTCTATCAGGCCGCGATCACTCGGTCTTTGATGAGCCAATGCATTAGCCGTCACCATTGCAGGGTTTTGTCGGCAACCTTGGTGTCCCTGTACATGCGCAATTAAAAGTGTCATGGCCGCCATCAAGCCAAAAAAGTCAACAGTGCGACAACTGAAGGCAATGCGGTTGAAGCTATGGAACATGACAAAGCGCGAGAGTATTTCACGCGCTGAATTGACACATGTGATCTCTGAATAGTCGTACTTTTGTCCCGATGCCGAAGCATGGAGCATATATGGCAAATGAAGTTGTATGAGGAGGTTGTAGTGGAACAAATGGTGAAAAAGGCGTCGCATATCCCAGAATAGCGCTGCTGGTTGACTAGCCACTGTGGCCAAGTTTGGGGCAAGCCACCATTTATCTGTCAAAAATCTGGATGCTTTTTGCAATTCACCGTCCAGTTCCTGTGTAAGATGGAAGTTCTGTAAATCTGGGTTTGATTGATTGCGCTCAAGAAGTCGTGATGTGATCACGCAGTGAATACGTTCAAGACGTCCCATAGCTGTATCACGCGATAGAGCTGCCTCGGAAGCCATGCTGTGATCGAGCGTGGTTTGCGGGAGACCTAGCATTAAACAGAGGTATCGCTCGAGGGAATTGATTCGAAACCAAATGAACTCAGGGTAGGCTTTTGTCTGTCGATGTACGGACTTGCACTGCGCCCTCCCTGGTCGGTGGAAGCCCATCAATTGTGCAATAGTCATGGCTCTCCGGATCGTGACCAATCCCTTCCGTAGATTTCCACCATTGGTGTGATACCAGCTCTCCAGCAGCATGCACTCTAGACCTTCAATGCAGTTGACAAGGTCATCATTTGTCGTCACAACATTGATAGCTACTCCAGCTAGTCTTCTCATCATCTCGCGGGGTGGCTCTGACAGTCCCGCCATGTCTTTATCAAAGTCAGGGTGAAGATGCTGCAAGGCTGTCGCGGTATTGAGCATATACTTCGCTATGAGAACCGGGTGGAAATTGGCGCCTGGCCGCTCAAATATGCTCTCAAGTGACCTGGTTGTGTCAAGGTCATTGTAAGGTACGATTTGCATCTGATAGAACAACGAAGATGTATTGCCGCACGCCTTGACAATTGAACTGATATCCTCTCCTGGTGGCAAGACCGCGTGCAGAACGCGGGACAGCTTCTCGTATTTTTTTGAGCTGATAAATGAAGTTCGAACATTTTCAGCCTTCGAAACTTCACAATTGCTGTCAATTATTTCAAACTCAGATGTTTCAGGCTTCTAGATTGAGGGTTTAGCAGCGATTCCCACCAGAAAAAACAAGTGGTTGTCCTGTTTTTCGATCTTCGGTGCATGGTGCATACCGTTGAAGGCTTGAATAAAGCCTCTGTCAATGAAGAATTAAAATTGGCCGATTTGGAAGCGAGAGTTTCATCGTATAATGCCTGATTGTGTTCATTTGCTTCGCTCGTGCGAGAGACATACTGGTTCGCGGAATCCCGGTTCAATAGCTGCTCGATTAATCTTTCAACCTTTTCCATGCGATCCCCCATCTGTAAGCTTCGGTCGAGAGAAGATGTGATTTCTTCTGGATACTCTTGGCTGACACAATTCACACCACGCCGACGACAGCGGATGCATATAGTATCCGTCGGCTGGTTAAATATGCATTTCATCTTTCGCTGCCTGCATTCCCAGCAGCTGCGTGTTCCCTTACGGATCTTTCTTCGCTTCATAGATGACGTGTTATCGGTCGCAACAGGATCGACCGAGCACCTTAGCCGAGGGCTGGACTGGGAGTGAGAGGCCATGGTATCTCCTAATATTGCTCACGTGACGCGACGACTTGAACGCTCGGGGCTGGAACATGCACCAAGATGGTTAAATGCAAGAGCAGCTGACTTCCAAAGACGAAACTTGGATGAAATGACGGGAAAGGATACATTGATGTGGTACTTTGCCTCGCAGAAATTCGAGGCTTGGGCGTGAATCGTATAACTTGGTGTGCTTCGTCCGGAATGTCGGTGGACGAACGCAGGGTCAGCTGACCGCACCCGGGGGCAACGAGGCAGGGCCTTAAGTAATGATAATAATGATTAATTGACTCAGTTCTTTTGTGTCGTCGCTTATGCTTTTGCTTTTGCTTTTATTTTTTGAGAGCATTAACGAGCCGCCTGTTAAATTTCAGATCAGATTCTGGCTCGGTGAAGCCAATTGTGGTGATTTCGGCAGTTCAAGTTGGATTCTTACTTATTACTCACAGATGAGTGGGGGGCATCTTTGGCTATTAAAAGCCATAATTACTTGAATATACTTAATGATAGAAGGGGAGAGCATTATTATGGAAGCGGATAGCCAAGAAATGTGGGAAATTCCAGTATAGCGCTTAGAATATTCGAGTCCTTAAACTTGACCGCAATCTCGGAGGACGAACTTAAGTCGATTTGCTAGACGTGTTCGAATATAAATTGATCAAATCCAATGCCCAAGTCCACCTAACTAATCACTTCAAATCTTCTTTTTTTCAGAATTCAATTTAAACATTACTCGAACCTCTTTTTTCTACCATACATCACCATGGCCAATAAATTCGATTTCATTCCCAAGAAAGTATTAAACAAGCCAGTATCTTTCAATTTTCAAGTCCCTGAAGAAGACATAGTTGAATTCAAAAAGCTGTTGGAACTTTCAAAGATCGGACCTGCAACCTGGTGGAATCAACATGGAGATGCTGAATTCGGAGTATCTCGCCAGTGGCTGATCGATGCAAAGGAGGCATGGCTGACCACTTTCGACTGGCGCAAGCATGAGGAATATATCAACAAATTCCCAAACTTCAAAACCCTTATCCAAGATCACGAGATCGGCGAGTCTGAAATTCATTTTGCTGCTCTCTTTTCGGCAAAAGAGGATGCCATTCCCATTATCTTCATGCATGGCTACCCATCCTCGTTCACTGACTTCTTGCCGATGATGGAATTACTGGTCGAAAAGTATACGCCCGACACCTTGCCGTATCATATTATCGTGCCTTCTCTACCCGACTATGGTCTTTCCAGCACTCGGAACCAAAAAGTTGAAATGACTCTGGAGCGATCCGCTCGTATCATGAATCAGTTGATGGTCGATCTTGGCTTTGGTGAAGGCTATGTTGCGCAAGGCGGTGATCTTGGTAGCTTGCTTGCACGCATTATGTCCATTCGGTTCAAGGAATGCAAAGCATTTCACCGTACGTATACATACTTCGGAACAATCCCAACTTGAAGGAGGTCTAAATGAGGATAGTCAACATGCTTTTGCTGAATGGGGGACAAGCTGTCCCTTCTCTCGATACTCTGGGCCCTGAAGATTTGCATCTTCTTAAACGAACAGAAAGTTGGCGCAAAACTGGCTTGGCGTATGCCCTTGAGCATGGAACTCGCCCTGCAACTGTTGGACTAGTTATTTCATCCAGTCCGCTAGCTCTACTGGCTTGGTATGTCTGACCACATGCATCTAAATCCGACCTATCTAACAGATCTTTAGGGTTGGTGAGAAGCTTATGGAGTGGACTGATCCTCGGCAGCTATTCCCTCTCGATACCATTTTGAGCATGGTCAGCTTTTATTGGTTTACGAACACGTTTCCTCGAAGTTTATACCATGCGACGCTCGTGAAAGAGTACTTTCTCGGGAACGACCTACCTCATCCGACATCGTTGGAGAAACCTCTTGGATATTCGGTTTTTCCATATGATCTAACCATTCTGCCCGAGCCTTGGGCTCGAAAGACTTATCCTAATTTGGCCTTCTTCAATCGTCACATCAAAGTAAGTGGTTTTGAACCCCGTGGTAAACTGCTCCGGATTGCTGATTGATGTGATTAGGGAGGCCATTTTGCTAGCATTGAGCAACCAGAAGCACTTTTGGAGGACGTAGAGACATTCATCGGAGGAATGAGCGGGTCATTTGCGAGCCGATATACATAGGTCATGGTTCTTTAGGTCTAACTCTGGAAAAGTCTTCGGTCAAAGCTACAGCAGTTTATTAGTCCATGGCAACTTGATCACTTATGTGCATATTTCGTTACTCCACTTTAAAGCTCCACTTACAGAATATTGACAAATTAGAACTTCATCCGAGAATCTCGTACGGGACCCACTACAGGGGTTTCCGTCCTAAGGGAAAAGCACACCCAATAAAAGTTGGCCCCCGGCATCGGCAGCCGGTCCATGTGTTAGATACAGTAACATCAAAATGCATTATTTCTGATATAACTCTCTATCATTAGCTCGTGGCGTCCTCCGATTGCCGAGATCGTCCATTTTCATTTCTTAAGCAAGCATAAAATCTGCCCCAATCTCCATAAAGCGTTTATTACTTATAGCCCAGGCTCCCCCGCCCAAAAATGCTCGGGTCTGTTCTGACGTTTCCCCTCACTCTCGCTTGACATAGGCCCATAGGTCTATAAAGCCATCTAAACATCATGGACCGAGCCGACTCTATGGGCAACGTGGATTTGGAGAAATTCGAACAGCCTCTTGAGCATGCACCCACGGAAGAGCTCGACAGAGTGCCCACAACTAATGTCGAGAATGTTGTGGATTACGATGGGCCAGATGATCCAGAAAACCCGTTCAACTGGCCGACTAGAAAGAAAGCGCGTCAGCTAGGACTGATGGCATTCAATACATTTATCACGTAAGTTCTTTTGAACTTCAAGTTCTAGATCAAGTTCATCTTCGATGGGAGGAAAATACTAAACTCAAAGGCCCACCATCTAGTCCGCTTGCTTCTTCAATGTTCGCACCGGGTGTGGAAGATGTCATGATCGAATTCCGTTCGAGCAGTACCATGTTAGCAAGCTTTATGGTTTCCGTTTACATCCTCGGGTACTTCGTCGGCCCATTTCTGATCGCTCCGTTGTCTGAAATATATGGCCGTGTGCCTGTTTATCATGTCTGCAACGTTTTCTTTTTGATATTCACGATCGCATGTGCTGTTGCCCAGACCATGCCCCAACTTATAGTTTTTCGCCTCCTGGCAGGCACTGTCGGTGTCTGTCCGCTGACCATCGGATCCGGCACTGTTGCTGACATGATACCAAAAGAGAAACGTGCCGGAATTATGGCTATTTGGGCGATGGGACCAGTCATGGGACCAGTTGTTGGGCCTGTTGCCGGAGGGTTTTTGACAGAAAATGAAGGATGGAGATGGGTTTTCTGGGTGATCGCAATTGTGGTAAGTCAGCTTCGTGAACCTGAAAAATTGCCTGGCAATAGTCGATCTGAAAACTGACTGTGCCTGTATAGACCGGCGTGATGACGACTTTATGCATGATCTGGTATCGAGAGTCATATGCACCAGTCCTTCTCGAGCGAAAGGCAGCGCGACTGCGCAAGGAAACCGGCAATCCCAACCTACGAACTCCATTTGATCACACTCTCCAGACCAAGCGCGAAATGTTTGTGACTTCTCTCGCTCGCCCATTCAAGCTCCTCTTCCGATCGCCCATTGTTGCCCTCATGTCAACGTTTGCTGCCATTAGCTACGGCTATCTTTACCTGATGTTCACAACCATCACTTCCATCTTCGAGGACGTGTATGGATTCTCGACTGGAATTGCAGGTCTCGCATATCTAGGCTTCGGCATTGGCTCATTGATTGGCCTAATGGCGTGCGGAGCAGCCTCCAACCGAATCGCAATCAAGCACCTGGCCAAAGGTTGTTTCGCTCCAGAATCTCGCTTGCCACCTATGTTAGTTGGATGCTGGGCCATCCCCATCGGCTTGTTTTGGTACGGCTGGTCCGCAGAGGCACAGACACACTGGATTGTTCCTATTATTGGAACGGGTGTATTTGCCATCGGCTTGATGACAGTTTTCATGTCTGCCAGTACGTACCTGGTTGACTGCTATTTGCGCTACGCCGCATCCGTTACGGCGGCCAATACAGCGCTTCGATCGCTGATCGGTGCGTTGCTACCTCTAGCCGGACCATCGATGTATGGTGCTCTCGGACTAGGATGGGGGAATTCACTATTGGCGTTTATTGCAATAGTGATGTGCACTTTTCCACTGATCTTCTGGAAGTATGGGGCAAACATAAGAACACACCCCAGATTTCAAGTGAAGTTGTGAGAGAAGAGGCTTGAAAGCCTGTTATGAGGCAGGAAAGAGATAATTAGAACACCATAATGAGATGAAAATTAAGGTGATACATAGATAATAATAATAGATATAGACATTATTCCTGAAATCGAGAAAAAAAACAATCTTTTCGTACATAAAATCCATGTTAGATTGCTATCCTGCCAAAATGGGAGATCTTATCAAAATCCTCGATCACAGAGTAGGTGAGGTCACACTACGGAAAAATTCCATCAGTAGTTCTTAAAGTATTGAGAAATTGAAGATCTACAGTCCTGGGACCAGATTTTATATTGAGAACGAGACCTCTTGGGCAGATAAAAACCATGCAAATTATATTCAATGCAAATTATATATGCGGAGTATACCTTATTACCCCTGATGTGATTATCGGGTATATATGTATATATACTTTTATAGATCGCTTAACTCATCCCCAAAATGTCGTCTCGCGTGATGCCGCTCCGATCACACATGGCTCGGAAAATTCCATCCGTGTTATCCCAGAGCGCGAGCGGCGTGTCCATCTCCGCAATCTGGCCCTGATCCATGACGCAGATGCGGTCGTAGTGGATGATAGTGCGCAAACGGTGCGCAATGCAGAGCAGCGTCTTGCCATGGAAGCCCTGTGCCATGGTGTGCTGGATCTTCTGGTCGGTCTCGAAGTCGACGGAGGACGTGGCCTCATCACAGACAATGATGCGCGCGTCGCGGACCAGAGCTCGCGCGAGGGCCATGAGCTGGCGCTGGCCGAGTGAGAAATTCAGACCCTCCTCGTCGACGGCACTTTCGAGGGTGAGACGGTTTGTCGGGCGGGGCTTGGAGTCGCTGCCTGTGGCAGGGGTTGTGGTACCAGTGCCCGGGACACTTGGAAGAGCCTCCGAGTCGGGCCCCGGTGTTTCATCGCCGATGAGGTAGGCTTTGCGCAGGGCAGACCATAGCTCAAGATCCGTGTGTTCGTTGAATGGGTCCAGATTGGATCGGATGGTGCCCTTGAAGAGGGCCGGGTCTTGGGGAATAATGGCTAGGCGGGAGCGGAGGTCATAGAGACCAATGGTGGAGATATCCACTCCGTCAATGTGGATCGTGCCTGCAGATAGCTCGGTAAGACGGAATAGAGCTGACATGATACTCGATTTGCCGGCGCCGGTCCGGCCAACAATACCAATCCGCTCGCCTCCCTGGACGTCCATGGAAAGACCCTTGAGAACGAGCGGCAATCCATCTCGATATCTCATCTTCGCGCTGTCAAATGTGATACGTCCTTTCTCCGGCCAGGACGGTTCCACCTCCACCCTGTGAAGAGGGGCTTCTTCGTCTAGCTCAGTACCATAGTAGTGGACACGTTCTGTGGCGTTCATGTTGTTCTCCACTTCAGCAAGCTGGCGGACGGTGAATTGAAGCATCTGAGCGATGGCTAGGATATACGACAGAACTAGACCGGAAATACTGGGGGAGACATTGAAGCGCGAGGTGAAAACTAGGACACCAGTGACAAAGACAAGAGCTGTGGCGACACCATCCAGTCGGACGCTGAGCCATCGTTGATTCGAAAAAGTCAGGAAGTAAGCACCGTTCATCACATCGATAGAAGTCCGAATACTCCGTCGGAACTGGTTCTGAACACCATACGCACGAATGCAAGCAGTGCCGGTGATGGCCTCGCCGAACTTAGCATAGACCATTGATCGGAGGACTGCTTCGTGTCGTTTCATCTCACGTGCTGAGGCACGATAGTAGTTGGCAGCGAGTAGGAACAGGATGAACAGCGGGACGAGAGCGATGACGAACTAGGACGGATATCAGTGATTAGCAAGAGCCCGGCCAGCGCATCGGCCCATTGGTTACGAGGAGGGAACTTACATAGTAGAAGAACACGATGATCAAGACCATGACTGAAATGATCATAGTCATCGTCAACGCATAGATACGCATCGCGTCCGACAGTTCGTTGTCCATGACCTGAATATCCTTCGAGAAGCGGTTGGTAATTCGGCCCAGGGGAGTCGTGTCAAAGAACGACATCGGGGCCCGTAGTACACGAGTCATTGCACGCTGCAGCATAGTTCTACTGGCATTGGTTCCACAGGTCGTCATATACGTCGAGAATACGAACATGAGCAGAACCACCGAGCCACCGAGGCCAACATAGATGCCGATGTACTGACCTGTCGACAGCGAGGGGTACTTGTCAGAGGACCAGTACGAGAGCCACAGGCTAGTCCAGATGTTGGCGACATTCGCAAGGCCGAGGAGAATAAAAACGACAAGGGCATTGAAGTAACTGCCAGAGGCGTGGATGTATGCCTTCCACACACCCCATCCTACCGAGGCCGTGGCCCTCTCTTCTTGCTGCATCAGAGCCGCTCCTGGTTTGCCAGGGGCAGCCTTCTTAGGACTGGCCTCTTTCTCCTTGGGCTCTTCGGTCACATCTTCAGCAGCATCCTCTGCGTCGTCCTTCGAGTCCTCTTGTCCGGAAGTGGCCATGAGCCGCTTGAAGAGTTCGTTATCGCGCATCAAATTCTCGAATGTGTCGACAGCGTGGATCTTGCCTTCTTCCATGACCACAATACGGTCGCAACGACTAAGCACGTGGAGCTGGTGGGTAGCCAGAATCCTGCACCGGTCCTTGAGGAGGCCACAGATTGCTTTGTCCATGATGTGGCGACCAACGTGGGCGTCTACGGCGGAAAGCGGATCATCCATGAGAACCAACTCGGCGTTGAAATAAATAGCACGCGCGATGTTCAGTCGCTGCTTCTGGCCGCCGGAAACTGTAATTCCACGTTCTCCGATCTCGGTCTGGTCGCCGTTGGGGAGAATCGCAAAGTCCGGGGTGAGAGCACATGCGTCAATCACATCATTGTACCATTTCTCGTCATAGTCCTTGCCAAATAGGATGTTGTTGCGGACCGAGGCGTTCTGAATCCAGGCATATTGTGGGCAGAAAGCTCGGGTAGTGCTCATCCGCACCTTGCCTTCAGTGACTCGCATGTCGCCGGCCAGAGCAGAGAGCAACGAGCTTTTACCGCAGCCCACGGTGCCAATGACAGCGAGGAGCTCATTCCGTCCGACCTCGAGTGAGACATTCTTCAGCTGAAACGGCTCAGCGGGGGTTTCTTCTTCGAGACCTTCTTTTTCTGTGGGAGAGGTCACCTTGGCTTCCGGACGCCCTGCAGGTTTCTTGGCATTTTCTGCGTCTTTCTCGTCTGTCGGTAAGCGCTCCCAGGTGAAGGAGGCATCTTCGATCTCTATGGCATTGGACATTTCTTCCAGCTTTTCAATATCTTCGCTCTGCTCTTCGGCATAAAGGAACTCCTGGATCCGGTTCAGCGCTGTGGACGCATCAGTCACCTGGCCAATCACCAGAGGCAGCATGTTCAGTGGCATCCGCAGCGAGTTGAACAGGGCAAGAGACGAGAAGATGGGAGCCGGGTTCAGATCGTGCTTGGACAGCGCGTAGGTGATGAACGCTAGCATAGAAGCGAAGATAGGAATTGACATGGAAACACACAGGATAGCGTTCCGAACAGCCAGCAAGGTCTGAATGGACCGAATCTCACGTTTCCGAATTTCCTTCAGGCGCGCCAGGAAGCTGCTTTCCCAGCCGAAGAACTTCACGAATCGAACAGCTTGCAGGATCTCCTGGGTAAGTGAGACTCGCTGATCGGTAATCTTGTTGATATTACGTCGTCGCTTAACCAGAAATCGTACGGCATAGGTCAGGAACGGTATCCCGAGCACCAGGAGCGCATACCCGGAAAGACAGCTGTAGCCGATGTTGACGAGCAGCAACACGAGCGTGACGATGATTGAGATGGGCGCCGTCCAGATCATATGAAACATACCACAAGCAAGATTGATGCGATCGACGTCGATGCTCATCAGCGCGATAATGCGGCCGTTGTTCCATCCACGCCCGTCTCCCGCCACACCCTGGGCCGCATCGGCCGTCGCTTTCGGATCCTGCTTCTTCTCTTTTTGCCCTTTTTGTGGGGCATCTGGCTTGACCAAAGCGTCCTTGGCTGATTGCAGCGCCTTCAGTTCCTCCGCCGTTGCTTGACCACCTGCCTTCGCACGGCCGGACAGCTTCATCGCCTTGTTGAAGATCTGCGAGATCAGCACAGCGCGGATCTGACCGCCGACCATCTGGCCGCGGAACAGGAATTGGTTGGTACACAAGCTCTGCAGGGCCTGCATACAGGTGATACCAACGACGAAACCCATGCCGCGCCCGATATGGGGCGCAGGTTGGCCGCTCATCTCGGCCTCATAAGCCGCGGTCGCAAAGGAGATCAGGTACCGGGTCAGGTAGGGCGCGAACACCAACAGGAGCGAGCTGAAGAACTGACAGATGCCACCGAGGATGATCTCAAAGCGAAAGGTGTCGAAGAGGGCCCAGAGGAGGGCGCGCTTGGTGCCGCGCGCGGTGCGACTGTCCAGCGCGGCATCGAGGCGTTCTGATAGGACGTCCACGGCGCGATCAGGGTTCACCGTCCAGATATCTTGCAGTTCAAGGGGCCGCAAATATCCGACCTATATATGATAATAAGGGGTTTTCCGATTAGCCAGTGCCCTTAATTTATTGGGTATTTATTTTCCATCGCATCATGCTGTGTCTCGGTGCTTGCGTCCCCGCTACTTCCCGCAGCCGAGGTCATAATGGGATGGAGGAGGATATAGAGCCTCTGGATTGGATTTGCGACTCACCTTCATCAACGGCGACATCCATTGGAACGAGATGATGCTTAAAAACGAGGCGCCATGTTCGCGCGATGGGGTGCGCTCCTCCGGCACGGGCGGCGGCGTCTGCCAGCGGATGGGATTCAGTCGTCGATACCACTTCTTCTCTGCCGGGCGCAACTCGTCTGGCTCGGGGGCCTTGGCTTCGTCCCCGGACGCCGATCCAGAGCTCTCGGCGGCTTGGAGCTTCTCCACGTCGGCCACCACGACCTGCGGCACGGGCTCCGGTGGCGCAGACATGGCGACGTTTGTTGACGGGGAAATTTACAACCCTTCTGCAACGGAAATGGGTTTCAAGAGAAAATTCGGCCCGCAAGAAGGGGGACGGGGAGACTGAAGAAGCCGTGGACTATGGACTTAAAAGGACTTAAGCCATGGAGATGTGGGGCGTATCCAGTCTGAAAACGGAAAGCGATTCGAGGAAACGAGGTGAAAAGTTCTCGAACGACTCGTGTGCCGGAAGTCCATATATTAATTCAGCTCCGATATGCGTTAGGATCGTAAGAAGCAGCGGCTGGTCGAGTGAAAGATCGTTTCCATGAGTCATGTCGGGGTTTTGTGCTGAATTCCCCGTGAAAGCCGATGCGCGATTCCTCGACCGCTCTATCAAATGGGGGATGGTACCCTACACCCGCCCACTCTCGGGGAATTCTATGACGGGAGCATGCAAAGTTTCTATATAATTCCTATATAACTATATAACTATATAACTATATAACTTTATAACTATATAACTGCGACTAGGGCCATAGAGTCGATGGGCCGTGTATTCGAGTCTGCTATCCTCCTTTCACCCCTGTGGCGGGCGCTTCGAGCACTCCCAGCGCAACCCGGAGCGCATCCTGCTCATTGAAACATAGAAACAAGCGAGCTTCAGGGCGTATTCGCGTTCGCGTTCGCTTAGCGGGCCCCCCAATGGCCCATCCAATCCCCATCCAATCACTGCAATGAGGCCAATCAGTCCAACCGACCGGGCGGCTTTCACATACTCCGTCGCCGACCCCATTACTAATCCCCAATACCCCGAGCCTGCAACACAATCACCTCGGACATGTCGCGGTAATTATGTATTTCCCCCCTCATATCCCGAGGTGGGGAAAGAGGCTTTATGGTCGAGACCGCAAAAGAGCAGTCGATTTATCTCCGATCCGAGCTTTCTTAAAGGAGTTAAGGGACACCCGGTGGGGTTATCGCGGAATTGGCGTACATACTATATACTCCTAGGAGACCGAGGCACGGGCGATAACCACAGGATCCTGGGAGATGATACATCCACACGTTCAATGGGGCCAGATACGTGGCATTGCAAAATATGATCTAGTCTCTGGAGTAATAAACGTACAATCTGAGGGTCTCTTTGGCGCCCCAAAAAGGCGAAACAAAAGAAAGGGGGGGGAATCCATTCCGTCGTCATGTCGTGCAATGAGCGCCAACCCATCCCATCATTGGAAAAAGAAAAACAAGCCTTTTCGCTCTCCTCTCTTCCGGCAGAGAAACTTGGATTTGCCGAAGATCTGTGTGGTGTCGGGGATGTGGGGTGAAGACTGGGGTGGGGGCATCTATGGAGTTTTTTTTGGTTTCTCGGGCTTGGGTGACAATGCATAACTGTCATCCAGGAGAAGGGTTGAGAGGAGAGACACGGCTCCTCGGCAGAAGAGTGAGCGAACCAATCTAGTTCTCCACGCCAATCTTGACCTTCTTTTCCGGTGGGGGGATGATCTCGTCCTCGGCCTGGCCCTTCAGGTTGGGCAGTTCGGCCACAGCCTGTTGGATGATATCCAACGCCTGCTGGATTTCCTGCTCGGTAATCACCAGGGGTGGGGCCAAGCGGATGATGTTCTGGTGAGTGGGTTTGGCCTGGTCGATCAGTGGTTAGCTTCTGTGTTCATACCAACTCTCCCTTTCTCTCGCTCACAGAGCCAGAGAAAGGAAAAGAAGAAACGAAAAAGACCCAACGGGTGCGAGGATGGACATACCAGCAATCCCTTCTGTTTCATCAGCATGCACAGATCCCAAGCGCTGTGTCCATTGGTCTTGGACTCGTCGATAACAATCGCATTCAACAAACCCTTGCCGCGCACCGTCTCGATCAATGGGCTCTGGAGATCCTCCAACCCCTTCCGGAAAATCTGACCGAGCTTCTCGGCCCGCTCGACCATCTGTTCTTCCTGGACCACCTCCAGGGCGCGGATCGCGACAGCGCAGCCCAGAGGGTTGCCGCCGTAGGTGGAGCCGTGGGTGCCGGGCTCAATTGTGAGCATGACGTCCTTGCGGCCCAGCACACATGAGACGGGGTACATGCCACCCGAAATGGCCTTGCCCAGCAGGACCAGATCGGGTTTGATTCCGCTCCACTCATGGCAGAGCAGCTTGCCGGTGCGGGCAATGCCGGTCTGGATCTCGTCGCAGATCAGCAGTGCATTGTGCTGGTCGCAGAGCGCGCGCGCTTCCTGCAGATAGTCTTCATCCGGAACGACGATACCGGCCTCGCCCTGGATGGGCTCAACTAAGAAGGCCGCCAGGTTGGGGCCGGCCTTCTCGAAAGCCTCGCGCAGGGCCGCCTTATCATTGTAGGTGATGGGCTTCTCGGTCCCGGGGATGGTGCAGCCAATGCCGGGAAGGTAGGGGCCGTAGTTCTCACGCGACTCGGGGTCGGAGGACAGAGAGATGGCGGCGAACTAATGCAAGGTACCGCCCATTGATCAGCCACAAATGCTCGGGAGGGATGGTCCGGGAGGAGGAGACGTCGAGTAGCGGCAGACACGGACATCCCCGTCGCGCGCAGAGCTCGAAGAGAGGGGAGGGGGTAAGGGAGGAAATTCAAATCCAAAAACCAGACCGAGAAAAGGGTGCCGCCGGGGGGGGAGGGGGGTTGTCACTTACTGTACGACCGTGGAAATTATTCTCGGCACTCAATACGATCGCCTGGTTCTCGGGAATGCCCTTGACCTTGTAACCCCATTTGCGGGCGATCTTGATGCCCGTCTCAACCGCCTCGGCGCCCGTGTTCATGGGCAGGACCATGTCAAAGCCGAAGTAGCGCGTCACGAACTCGGCAAACCGAGGAAAGACGTCATTGTAGAACGCACGAGAGCTCAGTGTCACACGCGAGGCCTGATCAACCAGGGCGGCAACGAGCTTGGGATGACAGTGCCCTTGATTCACGGCGGAGTAGGCGGAGAGGAAGTCCAGATAGTGACGTCCCTCGGGATCCCAGACAGAGATCCCTTGGGCGCGGGAAATGACCACAGGCAGCGGGTGATAGTTATGCGCCGCATACTGCTGCTCTGCCTGGATGGCCTCGTCCGTCGAGGCCGCATGGTAGTGGGCAAAAGACCCGTTGGTAGTCCCGTTGGTCGACATAGTGGGGGTGAAGATGGGCGGGTCCGGACAAAGCTGGGGGAGGAAGGACTGGAGAAAGGGAAGACGGATCTATAAAAGGGCGGAGAGATAGTTCTGGGACCGCTGCACCTCGGGGAAGAATGTCAAATTTGAAGAAAAAGAGAAGAGCAAGAATTGAAGGAAACCACAGTTGGAAGCTGCTTATGTAGTCCAGCAAACAAGGAGCCCGGGGAATCCTGCGTGGCGTATAGATCCGCCGCGAGGCCGCTAAGAGCGCGGCTTGTCTCCTAAGTGCAGGTCGTCGCGAGCCTCCAACTTCCTCCCCATCCGCTGTTCCCTAAGCGCAGGATTACACGAGCTCGCCCTCTTTCTGTCACCACGCGTCTCCAGTAACTGCGATTTACTCGCCAATCGCTGTGCTGATTCGACCGGCCCGGTGAGACGTACTTTTTTTTCTCTTGACCAGCTGGTTCTTGGTCGCTGGCTGGTTGGTCGCTTTTTTTTGATGTCATACTCCACGCTTCCCCGCGGCATCCACCACCACCGCATGGCCACAATCTAGGATCAGGCCAGTGACGAACGTGCGATTGGCAATTCGCAGCAGTAAGCGGCTTCTCGCTCCCTCTCGACCATGCCCTCCTCGACGACCTCCTCTTCCTCCGCCTCATCCTCCGTGCGTCGCGCCCCGTCGCCTCCTTCGCCCGCCACCTCCATCTTCCTCTTCCTCGTCGCGTTTCGTCTGCTCAATGCCTTCGCTGTTCGGACCTTCTTTCAGCCCGATGAATACTTCCAGTCGTTGGAGCCCGCGTGGCAGATCGCGTTTGGGAAAGGCCAGGGGGCCTGGGTGACTTGGGTGAGTGGAAAGCACGACGCGTGGCATGACAAGCCTCTCTTCTTTTCTTCTTTTCTTCTTATTCTCTACTCTACCCCACATCTTTTATTTTTTTCTGGAAGAGAACTTCAATTTCAGGCGTGAATCTAACATCACCTCCCTCGGGGTCACAGGAATGGCACCACCAGCTCCGATCATCGTTACATCCGCTCTTTTTCGCGGCCATTTACAAAGCTGCCGATCTCCTCGCCAGTGCGCTCCGCCTGTCAGACGCGACGCGCGCTGAGATCCTCATCGCGGGCCCGAAAACAGCGCAGGCGGTAATTGCAGCAACGGGAGACCTCTACACCTGGAAACTCGCGACTCGTGTTTACGGATCGGACTCACGCGGCGCATGGACAGCGGTACGTACTCGGCCCGAAGATGGAACAAAGCACTTTCGTGATGGTTCCTGGACACAAAATAGCCTGGCTGATGACGGTTAACAGCTGATTGCCACGATTTTGAACCCTTGGCAATGGTTTTGCTCCACAAGGACACTTTCAAACTGCTTGGAAACGACCCTGACCATTGTCGCATTGGATTTGTGGCCATGGAAGTGGTCAGCAGGAACTCTGGCCGATGATAGCCGCCAGAAGAATGCTGGCCGTCAGAGGGGCAGCTCCGAGAGTGTGCGACTTCTGTCAAAGTACGTCCGAGATAAAGCAAAAATTCTGACGCAGCCACTGACGCGCAGCACGCAGTCTTCGCCAATGCCTCTCCCTTGCAGCACTCGCTTGTATTCTCCGCCCGACTAACATCTTGATCTGGGCAACCTTGGCCAGTGTCGCTTGGCTGCGGACCTCTTGGACCCAGCGCCAGGTTCTTGTTCGTGAAGTTCTGCTTTGTGGGTCAGTAATTCCTCCACGCTTTCGTCAGATCACCAAACTCACATTGTCCTGGATAGGCTATCGGTCTTGGCGGTGTCCGCTGCCGCAGACCGGCTCTTCTACGGAATTTGGACGTTTCCTCCCCTTCGATTTCTATATTTCAATATTGCCCAGTCACTCGCAGTATTTTATGGTCGCAATGATTGGCACTACTATTTATCGCAAGGCTATCCGCTGCTCCTCACGACTCTCCTGCCTTTCGCGTTGTGGGGACTCTATCGTACCCTGACAATTCGAACTTTTTCGGCCTCCGACAAAGTACAGACGGCCATTCGAGTGCAGCTGGCAACAGTCTGCCTGCTCATGCCTTTCGTCTTATCGTTGATCTCGCACAAGGAAGTCCGATTTATTTATCCATTGCTACCGTCGCTTCACATCCTCGCTGCCCCGCCCCTCGTGCAGTTCTTCTATCCAGCCCTCTACTCAAGGTCGTCCAACGCTTATACGCCTCAAAGGCTGGTACTAATTTTCTGTATTCTTGTAAACCTGGTTATTGCGCTATATACGACTTTGTACCATGCATCCGGGGTTCTTAATGTCCTAACCTATCTTCGGCGCCAACATGAAATTCACACTACGTCGGCGTCTGTCATAGATACCAAACCTCAAACTGGTATCACGGCCGGCTTTCTCATGCCGTGCCACAGTACGCCCTGGCGCTCGCATCTGATTTATCCCACGATCAATGCATGGGCCCTCTCTTGCGAGCCTCCCATCGACTTAACTGCCGCCGAGAAAGCTGTCTATCGCGACGAGGCAGATCAATTCTATGATGACCCCGCCCAATTCCTCCGCACTAACATGGCCGGTGGACTATGGTATCTCCCCCGCCGGCCAAGCTACGCCTCTGTGGGCCGCCCCCTCTCAGGGAGCAGCACTCCAGCCCCTGCTACGCAGCACGAATGGCCCGACTACCTGATCTTCTTCGAACAACTCGAACCAACGCTGCACAGCCTGCTCCGTACCTCCTCATACGCTGAATGCTGGCGCACCCACAACACCCAGTGGCATGACGACTGGCGACGCCACGGCGACGTCGTCGTCTGGTGCCTCGACTCCGCCGAGCAAGACGCCTGGCGTGCCGAGACTCGCCGCCGCACGGAAGAGAGGCACGAGCAGCATTTCGAACTACACTTCGAGAGGATCGTCGAAGCCATCAAGCACGAGGCTCGAGGCTCGCAGAAGCGCGGTTGGAATACGCTGCCCTTGCCACACAACCTCCACTTCCACTGGCCGTGGTCCTCGCGGCCGTCAACATTGGACTCTTGGCGCCGTTCCGCCCAGGCGCTGTTCTCACCGCAGTCATCGCGCGTCTGGCCGTGGACGAAGAAATCCCGCTCGGCGGCTTTCTTGGACCGCTTCCGGACCCCAGCACCGACCATGTGGGACTGGATTCCTTCGTTTACATTGCCGGAGTGGTTGGGCGGGACGCCGCGGCGTGATAAAAGGTTAGTTAATCGCGAACGTGAGCTCTGGTCTTGATCGTCGGGGCTGACCAGGTTTTGATGTTCCTACTAGTATGTCCGTGTGACAAAATGTACATTTTGATATTTAGAACCTAATTTTTTTATTTTTCCTTTCTTTTTTTTTCTTTATGTATAGACAATATTCGAGATATCTGTATCGCTTGAATCTACTTCTTCTCTTTATAATAAACTAGACAGTCTTGCTTACTGGGGTCTCATATAGACACCCTTGACTTGTTGGTTGAAAGAACTCGAAGGGCTTATCATCTCTTAATCTAATGATGCCTACGATGTCACATGATGGCACAGCAAACCCGATGTGTCTTCATCCGAGCAGATTCGAACTCACAAGAAGGTGGAACGCATGGAGATCCCCTCCCCCCACACACACACCTCTTGAAACTAGCACTGATGAGTAGTGGGTCGCCTCTGATTGCTAAGAAGCTCCAAGAGGCCTTGGACCACACAGCAGGCAGTAATGGACACCCGATTGGATGAGGTGCCTACGTGAATGAAAGGCCTGAGTTGAAGCACACATCTAGTTGCACTCCTTACCATTTTGCTACATACTGAAAAGAAAGCCTCAAAAGAGCCTTGGAGGGTGCACCGCCTGACTCAAATCACCACGCGGAACTTGAACAAGTTTCTTTGGAGAATGTCCTGCTTCTTCTGCTCCAGCTCCTCCATGTCCCAGCTCACCGAGGCGAATCGGCCGGCGAGCCAGTCGCGTCGCTCACAGACGAGCCAGACCAGCGTGTCGGCAGCCAGCTCCGGCGTATCGGTCAGGACGGCTTGCTTTTCTGGGGGCATGTTCATGGCCAGCTCGGTCTTGACGCCGCCCGGATGGATCGATATGGCGATCAACCCCTGTTGGTAGTATTCCTTGTTCATGAATTCGGTGAGGCGACAGAGAGCGAACTTGGTCGTCTGGTAGGCCGACGCACCAGAAAACATGACGTGGGCGCCACCGCTGCTGATGTTGATGACCGTCTTGGTCTGCGACTTGAGCAGCATCGGTATGAAGAAATGCGTGACGAGATAGGCACCTTTGATGTTGACCTCCCAGGTCCGCCACCACTCGCTCGGCTCGGACTCGGCGATAGACTTCCACGGCTCGAGGTAGCCCGCATTGTTTATCAGGACGTCGAGGCTGCCGCCGAGCACGTCTGCCGCGATCTCGGCAGCCGCTCGCACAGAGTCCTCCGAGGTCACGTCCACCTTCAGGGAATGCACGAATGGCTGGGGCCGGTTTGCCTTCATGGCAGCGTCGAGAACGGCTGTCTCAACGTCGGCCATGTCCGAACGAGCAGCCAGCAGTATCTTCGAGCAGCCCGCGATGGCGAAGCTGATCGCGGTTGCCTTTCCGATGCCCTTGGAGGCGCCCGTGATCAAGACCGACTTGCCCGTCAGGTTGGCTTTGGCGGGATCGATGAACGGGTAAGTGTCCTTACGCGCTGAAACATAGCCAGCCACAGCAAGCCAATTCGTCTCGAGCAGAGAAGGATCTTGTTCCGACATAGTCATCTCAAAAGGAACCCCGGAGATGCGGGGTCGGATAGGAGGATGAGATTGAGACCGCTAGTGAGGTTGGGAGCAGCGCTTGGAAGCTGGGTTTGCCGTGTACTTATCTTCTCATAGATCCAAGACGAAGAAGCCGACCAATGGATACTTGCTCATGATTTCCTTTCTTGCCGGAGATTGCGTTTTAACTCCGTCGTGTACTCTCCTTGTCCGTTAACTCCACGGCAACCAACGACCACGTACAGGGCTAAGACTGGTGCTACGGCTTGGCAGCTGCGTTTGATTGCTCTTGCCACATCATAGATCCAATATGAATATGAGCAACCGGGACTAAGCCTACTGCGGGGTGGGCTCTCGTTCCGCGGTGGAAATTGGGATTTCAACCCCCCCCCGTGACTCCCTAGTCACACATTGCGTTTTTAACTCTACGGTAACCAACGCCCGCGTATTGTGGTAAGGGAATGGCGGAGACAAGGAAAGATTTTGTAACCATAGGTGTATGCTGCATGAAACAGCATGGGGCCTTATGAGGCATTTGGCAGCCGTTGCCTGACGTGCACGGGCAATATAGGCTTTGCATTTGCGTATTTGCCTCTTGGGGCGTCCGAATCGAGGTTTCAGAGATTTTTCGCCAAAGGCTGAAAGTCTCAAAAGCTACGAATTACAGGCTGGGTCACGCAAGGTTGGCTCCAAGTACAAGCGCAATTGGTATCGCTCTTCAAGATCGGAACAGCACCGCCGGCGTGAAGTGGCCGTCCAGCTAAGCGACCGAGGCCCTAGAATTATCTAAATCTAGATACCTCTAATAGTAATATTGAGATACTACTCTTAATAGCATTAAGGCATTAAGGGAATCTATGGATTTATGAGTAGATAGTAAAGATCTTATTGTTACGAAACAAGCCGCCCTAAACTGACAATATTACTATCAACTAATCGGCCACAAGCCATGTGGATAGGACAAGTAAGGGTGTCGAATATAACTAAATAACAAGTATTAATTATACTTGATATTAGGTGACCACTGATCGGTAGAAATACTATCTTTCCATCTATATCAGTCATGTTTTTGGGTCGATCAAAATTGCCTGTCAAGGGCTTCCTAGAGAGCCCGAGCTATTGTGACTCTTATTGATGCACCATTAACATCCGATGTGCTGTTTTCCAGTATCTCCTGACATGCTTCAGCCTAACCAGTGAGCCCAGGCGCTTCAAAGCAAGCCGCTCGAGCAGTTAGGATGAGATGGGTAGGCGAACAAACCAAGAAAACACCACAGGTCACGATGGAAGGTGATCTCCTAAAGAATAAACAGACTGTCTGAGCGAAAACAGTAGAGTGATATTCTCCCTATCGGAGATACGAATTATATCCTGTAAAGACTGTGTACCAGGAAAGATATGCTCCAATCAGAGATCACCCTTCGTCGGCCATTTCCCCATTACAATATCAAGTACTTCCCCTAACATATCAAGAACAACCTAGCGATTTTAAGATGTCCAACAAAAAAATGAAGCTATCAAAAACATACAACAGCAGGGATTCGCTGGTGGTCACCCACCCAACTACTAACCTGCCGGCGTGTGGCTTAAGTACGGCTGAGCGGACGGGAAGCCCTGTTCTCCACACCCTGTGGTCGTATGTGCAAGATACATCTTAGAGTAAATCCAAGTAGATTGCAAGTATTGTATTAAGGAAACCCTTACACCGCCCCCCAACCCTTCCGGTTTGTAGGTGCGCTACGGAACTTTTCCAACTACACAATTTTTCTATATTTTTCCTACCTACCCTATCTATGAACGATTTCTAGTAGTATCTATAAAGAAACATCACCTTCCTAGCGTGCTGCCTCCGCTCTATCTAGTGCTATATCTTCATTTTATATAGGATCTAGTGGTAGTGATCTTTTATACGCTTTCTTTTACTACTTCCTTACCCGCTTCCGCTCTATATCTGCTTCCTTCTCGTTGCTTTTAGTAATAAAACGATTTATATCTCTAATAGAGAGTACCCCTATTTTGCTAAGCGGTGTTTTAACCTAGCGTTTAGTAATTACGCGCTGTAGTAGTTGTTGAGCTTCCCTACTCTTACGAATTATATAATTTATTATTTAAAGATTCTCTATAGTAATTTTGTTATGATAGAATAGGCGATTAAGATTACGTTGCTGCCTTAGTATAATATACTCTTGTTGATATCTAGCAATATTCTTCTAATTCTTCTCTAAATCCTAAATAGATCTAGGTGGTAATTAGTCGATACTAGACGAAGATATAGTAGTCTATAGTAGCGGCGAAGGTGTTAAATAAAGCGGTTATAGATCTAGTACTATAAGATCTTACTACTATTGATTAGATATATTCTACGATCTTAAACGATTCACGAATAATTCTGTTAGGGAACACACCTAGGCACGTGCTTCCTACGTTGAGCCAAAAAGACCACAATGTCAATGTGCTTGCACATTGACAGCCTAGGACCCAGATATAGTAGCGCACGACATTTTTTTTCCCTAAAAAATTGGCTACTTAAACGTATAGCTTCGAGTATCACCGATTATACGAAGCAACTCTAATCCCCCAATAGGGCTACTACTCTAAAACGCGTGCTTATTATTCGCTAAGTGGAAGTGTTACTTATAGCTTAGAAACAGTTTACTATTAAGCAGCTAGCAATTATATAGTATATATAGTAGAAATCCTATAAGTAGGATATCGTTCTCTTCGCAAAGTTATAGGAATTCGAATATTAGATAGGAACTATAACCGTCGAAGATTAGGATACGTTTGTTACCCGAATTCGTATAGTTATATATTAATTCTATAAAGAATCACTAATAAGACACCTTTGGCTTGCTATGATGCCCTTTTCATTGAGAGTTTTAATATTCAAAGAGAAGAGTTGCCATTTATGGGTAGTGTCATTAAACCAGCCGAGCCGTTTTGTGAATGGAGGAAAAAGTTAGATCTATGATCTAAATCGTTGCACTTGAGGATCGTAAGTCTCTCGACTCAGGCTCCTGACAGATACTGACACGTAAAATAGTCGTGAGAATGGAAGGGATTGGGTCGAGATATATCCACCCTTTCGAAGAGGAGCATTTGCATACATGCCAAGTCAAATTTGGGTATCCCCCTTAAAGATATTCTCAGCAGAGCAAATTTACCCTGTGATAAAGCATCAGCATCCACTGTCTTCTATTTATCAGGAACTAGCAAAAGCTCTGAATTCTGTACTGAAGGATAGGGTCGCGCGTCGCCTCTATGAACAGCCTGATGAACTTCAATCCGCGTAGTTGTTTCTTGCCCTGCACAAGGATGTTCGGGTTAACTATCACACTCAAGGGCTGTCACCGGTATCTCTCGGATCTTCACATATGGCTATGATCACAGATATTGGGCCTCAATTCGCGGGCTCTGCTTGGAAGACCAAATTTCTCTTCTTGGATCCTGTGGGGCTCTTACTAGCATAGACAGTCCTGGCCATCGTGGCATGGGCTCAGGGCATTTTTGCAATGATATAAATCGAAATAGGGTGGAAATTGTTCAGATCACTACCATCCCTGCCACGCTACTCCCTTGCTCGCTCTGAAAAGACTAGCTGCAAAGGATCGATAGTGAAAGTAAAAGTATCCTTGGAATCACTATCGAACGCCACCCCATCCTCCCCAGCCGCGAATGCAATATCGAAATCGTATGCGATCCTGGAGATTACGCCCCGAAGCTGCATGAGAGCCAGTTGCTTCCCGACGCAGCCGTATCGTCCTAGTCTCATTTAACATCATCAAATATGTATTTGATTGACCATCTTGAGGATTTACTGACCTAGTTGGAATGGGAAGAACGACTCTTCGTGCTTGATCAAGTATTTCTTCTCATCAAGCCACCGCTCAGGAATGAAATTCGAGCCGGAGGGGAAGTGGCGCTCGTCACGTTGGAGGACATACTGCGGTACCACGACTATTGTCTCACCCGGGATCCAAACTTCGTCAATCTGTAGACCTTCAGGTGGAGTGAGTCTGGGCTGACCGCTGGGGACGGCAGGTTTGAGGCGGAGGGTCTCGTTGATGACGGCTTCGAGGTAGGGGAGGCGTTGAAGCTTCTCGTTGGTGAAATCCGAGGGTTCTGCAGTGCTTCCGAAGGCGTTATCAAGTTCCTTTTGCAGATTTCTATACGCAGAGGGGTTTTGAGCGAGATAGTAGAGCGCGTGGGCTAGGGTGACGCCCGTGGTGTCACTAGAGTTATGTTAGGGTTTCTTGGCAACAGGGTTACTTGGAAGTATGGCAGACGGACCTTCCGGCAATGATCAGGAGACGGCCATCTTCGTTGAGGGCTTGATCGCCGGGTGGAGCACTCTGGTCTTTCTCCTCGGTGGCTTTTAGTAGCCAGGAGATGATGTCCTTTGGGGTTTTTTCGCCGACTTGGTCGCTTTTCGCGTTCCATTGCTGTGATCGCAGGTTAGTCAGTCACAAATGTTAAGAAATCAAACTTGACTCTCATGGAGGAATTTCTGTAAAAAATATTGCGGACCAAGCTTACCTCCTTCTTTTCCGCGATCCTGTCTGCGCAAAAAGTCATGAACTGCCCGTAGTCACCCACCAACCCTTGGATAGCGCCCAGAATGGTCAAGATCCACGGTGTGGGCTTCAATATCCCGAGAAACAGCATTTGCTGGTGAAGCTCCTGGATAGCGGCACGCTCGGTGCCATCTTCCAGCTGGCGGAAGTCTGCAGAAAACCCAACTAGTCCCATGACATCGAACGCCAAATACATTGTCCACCGCGAGACGTCGAGGGGTTGGTTCAATCTGGCGCGGATCTGAGTGGTTAGGGCGTTCACCTTGTGTTGGACGCTCGGCTCGTATGTTGCCAGTGCTGTTAGAATTTATATGAGCTTCTACACTCTAAGTAGGACGGACAAATAGGAGAAGGCTTTCTTGGCTGATGTCTGATATTCATACCTTTAATACTAAATCCACGGTCCCACGCCTTCCGTCTTCGACGGTGGACATAGGGATCGCGGGTGGAGTTTAACGAGATCTGTGTGCTGTCATCGGACACATGGCTATACCATGGAGACTTTGTGCAAGACGATTGTGGTCCGTTAATCGTGAGCACAGCCGATGGCCGATTGATCGAGATCTCTCGAGGCCCTGTACGCACAAAGTCGCCATACCTTTGGTGCATTGCCTGAAGATCCAGGTGGTACTGAGTCCGTTTAATCATCTGTCGCACCGTGAACAGCCGGCTCAATTTGGCATCCCATGGGCCTGGAAATCTTCGGAGACGGTGGAAGAAGGCCCGGTAGACCAGGATGCTGATCGTGAGCCCCAGATTGAAACTGCATGCGGCCAACAGGGCGCATCCGAGAGCACAGGGTACACTCAGAGAGCTGACTTGGATAAAGCTGGCAAACAATGCCAGCCAGACACCCAAGTATAGGGCTAAGAGTGATTTAATCCGGTTGTCGATTTCACGGGTGCGAATGCACTGGTGAACCGCGGCACCAAGCCCTAGAAACGTGGGTACAATCCGCAACGGAGCCGGGCTCAGCAGGGCAGCGATACTCGTTGCCACAGCCATTCTCCTCAAAAGCCGTCAGTTTCCTGGCCTAGAAGGCTTGATATTGCCTTGCTGTATTTCTGAACTGGGTGTTTAGTCGATATTCGTCCAGGGGTGGATGCCAGAATTATAGTAACTTGGCATTTCAAACACCACCATTTGACAGAGGGGCCAGCCCCTCCCTGTCGTCCACTGTCATCCGACTCCAAAGGCTCCATGAAATTAATCCAATCAAATCTTCAAAATAAAGAAGAGAAGCAAATCATTGGACTAAGGCGTTTTAGTGCCTCCCCGACGTCACGGACGGACCGTTCCTTCGCGTTAAATTGTGGAGCTAGGCTGCAGTAGCGCATGTACTATGTGCCGTCTCCTATTGTGCGGGGACCCGTTTAGCCGTCGGAGTGGAAGTCCCGATGTTTGATTAGTCTGCCTAGCTCCCATGCTATTCATGTTGAAAAGAAGAGAAAGGGGGCGGAAGGAGCTCTCGCTTGCGCATTGAGATACTTGAATCATGTCTCAACGGCCTAGGAAGGATTGCAAAGATTTTAGTATTTCAGGATCTACAAACGGCATCCCTATTTTCGTCTTAACCACCCATATGGCTCGTACCGGCTTGCAATTAGTTAAAGACCATGAAAGACTCGTGTGACTGGAGTCGTGGTATATTTATCAGTCCCGTCACGGCCCTAGCTCTCTTTCCCCATACTGCGTCCGGGTCCCCATGAAAAAATGTTCGAGTCTCTACAGCCGGCCGCATATGCCATTTCCTTTGTTTTCTGGGCGCTCTCTACAATCCTGACGGGCTTGCGCATCTATTCACGAGGATGGATCATCAAAGCTTTGGGCAAGGATGATTGGTGGATGGTCATGGTATTAGTGAGTGCTGCGTCCTGAGCATTACGAAGGACTCCTCTAATCCTCATAGGTTTGTAATACAGCACAACAAGGATTGTTTTGCTCGTTTCTCTACTATGGGGGAGGGCTGTATGTTTTTGATCTTCCCGTGCAGTCATTAATTTAATATCGGGGAGGGCTAATTGTTAACCTTTAAACCTATAGGCATATTTCCCCAACGCCTGATCCCACAAAGATCATGATTCTCTCCAAGGTATGCTCGAGGAAGCCAAAACTAGTCTTATATGCTGTTTAACACAACCTCGATTTGACTCATGCTCACCACATGCAGCTTCTCTTCGCTGAGGAAATTGCATATATCTGGATGCAATTCGCTATCAAGACGGGCTTCTTACTCTTCTACCTCCGGCTCACTAGTCAAACCACCTTCATCTACGGTGTGTATGGGACAATGGTATTGAACCTCCTAGTCACCATAACGTTATGGTTGCTCTACTGTCTCCAATGCATGCCCTTGGCTGCCTTTTGGAACAGTGCGGCATATCCGGACGCCAAGTGTTTGCCAACATCAGTTACCTACTACGTGCCCGTCTCGCTGGTAAGTCCTCCGTGCAATTCGACTCCTGAATCTTTTCAAAAAAAAAAAAAAAAAAGCAAAATATACAGTAGTTAATTGATTTACCTCTAGTGCATCCTCATGGACTTCATTATCCTCACCCTCCCTATCCGCCCCCTTTGGAAAATTCAAGCAAGTGCCGCCCGCCGACTGGGCATCATTGCCACCATCACAGTCGGCGGCATCGCTGTCATTGTCTCCTGCCTGCGCATCATCATCCTTCACCGGTTTGCAGTCGATCCAGATTTCACATATATCCTCGGTCAAATGGTCATAATCTCGGCCATCGAGCTAAACGTTGCAATCACCGCTGCTAGCGTGCCATCCCTGAAAGCCATCTGGTGCAAGCATATCAGCAAGACGCTAACAGACCAAACGACCTCCGTCCAGCTCTCCGCGCGCGGAAAGCAAGGACATTCGAGTAGCGATGCGGGACCGACAATCTTCTACCAAAGAGGAGAGCCAGACTTGGATCAGGCGGATCTAACGGATTCATCATCGACGAATAATTTGGTTACCGGGCAAGGGAGTTTTGATTGGGTTGATATTTCGTCCAGGAAGGAGCCCATCGCTTCACGGCACAGTATTGAGCGGCCTGATGGCTCTCGAGGTCTGCGCTGAACTCGCGCACAAATAACATGCCCGTAGGACCTAACATACTGGTCCTAAGGGGAACAGGTATATTCTACTGAAGCGAGGCTGGACCTCCCATGGGTTGAGAGAAAGATCACTCTTTCCCTGTGTTCGCAGTCGATACTAGATATCCAGAGCCATCAAGAGCCAGTCGTGTAACAGATCCGTCAACTTGGAACCAAAACTGTCCACCCGAGCGGACCAGAAATTGCACGGTATAAAAGCAAAACAAATCACTAGTCTGATAATGCCATTACTATTCTATAGCCAATTTGTTCAATGGGGCTACAAAACGAAGTAATCACCACCACTTTCTGGTAGCAACGACCCTATACTAATCCGAAGCTATTTTGACATCAATTCGTCTCCCTCAAATGAATAAGGGTTTATTTAATATGACAATTACCCAATACCAAACTTCGGTAGAGGGGGAAATAGAGTAAACCATGCGCCATTTTCAATGGAGCAGGATCAACTGGTATCCGATCAACTGAAATGTTTTCTTTGCGCATTGAAATACAGAGGCACCTTTTACCCTCATTGTCGATTCGCAACTTATCCACAGATGATCTTGACCCACTCATCTTTGAGGCCGACACATAGTGGCGAGAGATTCTGCAGCTGATTGTTCTCGAAGACTGGCTTTTCGAGGTAGACGGGTAGCCGTCAATTATCTCATTCTTTTCGATTTTTTTCATGATTCTACAATAGTAATCATATTTAAATTACCTGTTAATAATATTACTAATAATATTACAGAACTTAATATTAATTCATAACTAATTAATTGAGCTGTACTTCTTAATGAACCTAAGAATGCATATTTAGAATTAGCTGATCATCCTGCTAATAATATACCATATGTAGCTAAAGAAGATACTGCTAACATATAAAGCATACCTAAATTAAAATCTGATACAAATAAACCTGAACCATAAGGAACTACTAAGTAACCTAATAAAGCAAAAATTAAAGTTATCATAGGACCTAAGAAAAATAAAATTATATTAGCTTGTGTTGGTGCTACATATTCTTTTAATAAAAGTTTTAAAGCATCAGCAAATGCTTGTAATAAACCGTAGTAACCTACAGCATTTGGACCTAATCTTCTTTGCATACTAGCCATAGTTTTTCTTTCGGCTATAGTTACAAAAGCAACTGATAATAAAGCAGGAACAATTAATAATAATCCTTCAATTATTGAAATTATACTTATCATATATTTTTATTTAATTTTTATTATTATATAGTATAGATAAAAATAATTTTTATTTACTTGCAGTTCATATTTGTATATCTATACATATACCTATATATAATAAATATACTCATAAAAAACTTTTTATATAAAGTATTATGTAACTAAATCAAAAAAAGTATAGAATTAGTTTAAAAGTTTAATTTTCTTTTTTTTTCTAAAGGATATACCTTCACCTATAATGAATGATATTATCATTAATATCTGAATAATAATTTTTTATTTATTACTATATAATAAATTAGTAATAGGAGTTCGGGGAACTCGAATCCCTTTATTTCGATTTGCAATCGAAACGCAGAACCCTCTGCTCAAACTCCTTTATAGTATATATATATATACATGTTTTGTAACTATTATATATGTATATAATACCTTTCGTATTTATTGGTTTCAAAGGAGTCTCACAGGTCCACATTGGGCGATCTCGAGCCTTTGAGTGCGTCCGCGCGAGTCATCAAGCTTTTTCTGGCCGTTGCTGAAGTCAGCTCACGAATTCATGATCTTTGTATAGCATTTCTGGTCACTGTCTTTGCTCCTCAGCCTTTTGGCAGACGAGTCTGCATCATCACCTGCCTTACGCTTCGGCACATTAATGAAGAGTCCAATGATACAAGAAAGTGAAATGGTACACGAAAGTGAGGTGAGTGATAAATGAGAAACACATATTAAAAGATTTCCTTAGAGCAAACGGACCAAGTAGAGAGAAATGAGAGATGATGTGTAGTGAGTGGATGTTGTGAGAGATAAGTTGTTGTGAGGGAGATCAGGGAGAGGTTGTAAGAAATTTCAAAAATTTGGTGTAGATGACACGACAGTTAAGGAAGTAAGAAGAGCAAAGTTGACAACAGGTCTAACCTTGGGCGAAGTCTACTTAATAGGAGCATCCCACGGTTAAATTCTTGCTAGCCAAGGGATCATTGGGGTTGTTGGTAGGCTGGGATTGAAAATTATTATGGTCCTTTTAGTAGCTTCATTTGAATGAAAAAAATGGCTTCTCACATGCAGCTCAAATTGTAGACTTTTGAGCTTTCTAGGTGTCATGCTATCAAGAAAAATCTAGCGATTTTAAGAAGTCCAAAAAATAAAGCTATCAAAAAACATACAACAGCAGGGATTCGCTGGTGGTCACCCACCCAACTACTAACCTGCCGGCGTGTGGCTTAAGTACGGCTGAGCGGACGGGAAGCCCTGTTCTCCACACCCTGTGGTCGTATGTGCAAGATACATCTTAGGGTAAATCCAAGTAGATTGTAAGTAGTGTATCAAGAAAACGGTATACATAACATGGTATCCTGTTAAATAATATTTTGATATTTTTCTAGTGTATAGTTATTTTAGATATAGTTTTTTCTCTCTAAGAGATCTATATTAAACAACTATATACTATTTCTCCTATTAAGTAGTTATTTTCTTTTAAGAAGCTGTCCTCTAGTATAGTTGTAAAGATACTATTTGTCAGCGTCGCGAACTGTCAATTAGGTAAGGAATCAATAACCAATCAGGTAGAAAGCCACAGTAGATCTTGCGTTGGAAAACAGACCGAATCTTGGAGAGCTTCAGAATGTAGGACCTCGGATCCTGAATTAAATATAAGTAAATCGCTTAGAATTTATGCAGGAAATGTATCAGGTAGAGCGGGGAAAATTCCGTGTGTGATCATTCATGGAATCTTCCACGCAGGTATTCCACGATGAACCTTTTACAATCATACACAGTAGTTTAGTGGTTGGCTTATTGATACTAATCCTGCCTTATCTACTTTGTTAGACTTGCCTACGAGCGTCTTCGTTTACTATCTACGCGATACCATGCTCTTTTTATCGGAGTTTTGTGACAGTGGCTCGCCCTAGATACTATTGATCTGAAAGTTTAAGACCTTGTCAGTAACCGGAGGGCCTAGTTCTACCGGGTACATCATTTCCTCAAAAACAAATAGATCGACGAGTCACTACATGCTGTAGTGGGAAGACCGCCTTCGCTACATGGGAGCTTATTGGATGATATTTTCCCCGCACACAGTCATTACACATATAGCTTGATTTCTTCAAGAGATCAGAATTGAACAGCTACTTACTATTTCTCATATTCAGCTTCTGCTTTTTCCCAGGGGGTTTCCCATCCAGCGTTGTGTGTTGTGGTGGTGGTTTGGTTGTTGGTTTGTTGATGCTGGCCCCGCCTTTTTCTGCCATGTCAGATTTGCCTGCGAGCGCCTTGAGGCTCAATGCCTTGGCGATTTTAGGGTCATTTTCGACCGCCGGATGACTAATACGGCGGTCGAATGTTAGCTCCACTGCCAAGATCTAAAGTATAGAGAACACGGCGGTCGAAATTTGTCGTTCTCTTCTTCGACCGTGTCAATCATAGGCATCCTTACGTGTTCTTTTGTCATCGAGAATGGCTTCAACATGATTCTTTATGAGCTCAAGACTACAAGTTGCAATCTGTGTCCTCCAACGGGCTGTCGGGGGGCAGAATATCCAACAACATTGAATGATGGCAGACGGTTCAGACCTCCAGAACAACTACAAAGCCGAGCTGGACAGAATCCAGCCTGGCTCGACCAGTGATAATGGTCCTCAAGATCAAAAAGGCCCTGACGAGATCCCTTTCGACTATGCGACTGGTGTCCGACTCGTCCTTATTATGTTCACGATCTTCGTGAGCACCATCCTCGTGTCTCTGGAGATTGGTATCATCGCAACTGCAATCCCCGGTATCACCGGCAATTTCCATAGACTAGAGGACGTGGGCTGGTATGGAAGTGCGACGTTCATCCTCGCGGCCTCGGCCTCGCCACTGTGGGGAAAGCTGTTCAAATACCTCAACGTCAAGTGGGTTTATCTCGGCGCGGTTGGTATCTTTTTGGTGGGCAGTATTGTGGCCGCAGTAGCTCCAAATAGTGTGTCCGTCATTATCGGACGTGCCATTCAAGGTTGCGGAGCCTCTGGTGTCCTTGGAGGAACCCTCATCATCATCAACTATGTCGCGGCGCCGAAGAACCATCCGCTTCTTATAGGCACCTGGATGGCAGTCTTCATGTTGTCGAATATTCTGGGCCCGGTAATTGGCGGGGCATTCACGAGTGGAGTTACCTGGAGATGGTGTTTCTGGATCAACTTGCCTGTTGGTGGGCCTATCATCGTGCTGTTACTGTTATTCCTGCGCATCCCTAAGCATATCAAGAAGACCCCAGCGACGTGGCAGGAAGTCATCATCTCCCTGGATCTCCCAGGCTTCTGTTTATTACTCGTGTCTCTCGTCTGCTTGACATTGGCATTGCAATGGGGTGGACAGACTAAAGCATGGAATGATGGCTCGGTCATCGCGACCTTGGTCTTGTGGATTGTCCTGAGTGTTGGCTTCTTGGTTACTGAATGTTTCCAGGGCCACCACGCCATGGCTCCCTTTCACATCCTGAAACTGCGCACGACATGGAGCAATGCCTTATTTTGCCTGATGTAAGTCCTTGCTATACATCTATCCGTCTCCCGCTCGTGAACTAACCTACCGATCCTCTCCTCTTTCTAGTTCCTACGCCGCCCTCTACCAAGTCATGTTCTATCTTCCCATCTACTTCCAATCCATCCATGGCCAATCAGCCGTAGCAAGCGGCGTCAACACTCTCCCGTTCCTCGCCTTCTTCGCCCTTGGAGCCGTCGTCAGCGGCGGCGTCATCACAAAGACCCGGTACACACAACCCTACGAGCTCCTCGGTGCCCTCATCATG